GAGAGAAAGAGAATACATTTTAACATTCCGCGAATCTCCGTAGCTCCGACGTGCCGAAGGTGCGAAAAGGGAGCGTGTCGTGCCTTCGTTAAGCTCCAAGGCGAATTTCTCCGAAGTGACTAAACGCGGGATCCAGCTATTAGCAGTGTGATATCTGGCACAGTGGAACCAGACGCGATGTCTGTCGCAAACACCGCGGAGCTGTCAAGTTCGCACAGCAGCGCGCTACGATGGGGAGAGGTGGTCCTTGGTATTATTTACCACCTAGGAAAATTAATTTTGACAACACACGCACGCACACGTACATACGCGCCGGATCCGTTCCACGACCTTACGCGATAGCAAATTATGTCTGCCGGTGCAATGTAACCCCGTTTTCATGGTAATTATAATTTATTTGCAGCGCTAACAAGTTCTGCACCCTCTCCTCCCTCCCCCGCGCCGTCGCCCACTCGCCCTCCCGTCCGCTCCTTGCTCCTCCCCCCGGGTGGGTGACGCCATTGATTTTGTGACGCAATCTGCATCGCGAATATCACGGCACAAAACGTGTAACGCTATTTATTACTTGTCTTTCTCATGATGGTCATATTCGGCTTGAAGACAATTGTAAGCCATTTTAACTTTCTTTTGCCGTGCGTCTCTCTGAAACACCGAGCGTTACCGAGTTTGTGTGAGCCTTTGTGTGAGACCGATTCGAGGTCGAGCGGACCTATCCGCGGGTGTTAGCGGGTAAAATATTTTCTTGAAAAATTAACGAAGAAATATGATTAAAGCGCGGAAGGGTATCCCAGAGGAATTTCAAGGAAAGACGTCGAGGCTGTTCGGGAAGACCGAAAGACGTACGCTCGAGTGGCGCAAATCGGGAAAAGTTGAATGAAATCAAAACGCGCGCCAAGTGGCGAGAACAAACGCGATTGTCGTCAATCGACCGCTAATTTGTGAATTGTCGATTTTACCATGGCTCGCGAAAAATCGTCACGTCTGCCGCGTGCAACAGAATCGCACACCCGACGCTCTCGATCTACTTTGATCTCGCATCAAATTTGAACGCAAATTAACTCTAACGAGGTGAAATTAATTAATTAATCAGTTAACCGGTAACATTGAGTCGCGCGCACAGCTACAATAGTATTTCCGCGACTTGTGTATCGGTGTGACAGAAGGTAAACACGTCTGTTGGCTTCCGCGTAAACACGAACGTGTATTAATATCCCTTATACATGATGGATCGTTAAATCGCGAAATTAATACGCAAATTAACCTGCAGGGGCTAAATTGCGAACAAACTTCACGGGATCTCGACCACAGAGAGACCGTGCATTTGAAGCATTATAATCTAATCGACTGGGATGTTTGAAAGAGTTACACAATCCTGGATATTGCCTCTGCATCCGCATTTATCGAAGCCAGATTGTGCGTGACGTTATTCCGCGATATAACTTTATTATCCCACACGGGACCGAGAGGGATCTCTTCGCAACTTATGAGTCGCGCGAATTTAAATGTTGCAAAACGTGCATGTGTAAAGCTAAAGCTGCACCACTCGAAACGCGATCGTGGGACCGCTCCTTCAAATTTAATGTATCGAACATCTTTCTGTATGTCTGATGATCCTCTTTTCCGGATCAATTTGCTCAGTTAGTCGCGGGATAATTTATTTAGTGTCATCTCCTAATTTTTTAGGGAAGTTTGGTGCATCGTGGGCGACTCAAGAAAAGCATGTATACGAAATTTTCCTGGGAAATGATTTTGCGCGTGTGTGTATGTGTATATGTGTGTGTGTGTGTGTGTGTGTATGTGTGTGTGTGTGTGTGTGCGCGCGCGCGCGCACATATATCGACATTTTCGTATATTTAATTTCATAGCCGAGCCGCATTGTATTCATTATGGCCCAGTAATGATTTTGCATTTTATGGACATGCGACAATGGAACAGGCGTGCATTTCCATGAAGGACTTCATTTGAATGAAGCTACATTTTATTTCTCACTCGCATTATACTAATAAGAGAGAGAATCATATGTAAATAGTAGTAGAATTTGCACTCGTTTAAGTAATTGAATGTTGAACACATGGCCGCACGACTTCTTTCCGTGCCATTTTTTTCTGTTTTTTTTTTCAACGCACCTCTAATTAATTAATATTATCATATATTGGTAACGTTAATATGCGCAAAAGGTACGCATTTTCGCAAGGACCGTATATGCTTCTTCGTTCGCTCCGCTAATAACATGTAAACGAGACCAAAATTGCGCCCACGGTGCGGCCTCGTGGGCATACCGGTAACTTTACGGAAAAGGGGCAAACAAAGCGACATGGCGAGCGGGGCGGAGGCTCATAATTAGATTGTTGGCTAATGGGGGGAACACCGCATGCGAATAAGTGCGCGACATTACGCACTAAGCGTGAGGCACTAACTGAATGCTCTTTCCGAGGAGACGACGTTTAAACTCTATTATTATTACACGTGCGCGTTCGAAAGGTGTGGTGCGGAAGTATTTGGGGAAAGGCAACTTGATCAAATGGGTTATCGCCATCCGCTGTCGACGTTTCAGGGTCGCGTTTCATGTGTTTCGTGTATCGTACGCGAATTCAATCGCACAAAGGCAGGTTAGGGAAATTGGTTCACCTTGTATCGCGAAATTAACAATTTATTATTACTCGTGAAAAACGAGGCAGCTTAAATTTGATCAAAGCGAGGGAAAGAGAGAGAGAGAGAAAGAGAGAGAGAGAGAGCTCAAAAGGCATGAACAAGTAAACGTTTACAAATTACACGTAGAAATTTAACGTTTGAAGAAGCGTATGTTTATACCGGATGTGTTGCTGGTCTTCTACATTCGCAATATGTTTTGAAATGAAAATATAAACTCGCGCGACCTCTCTCTCTTTCTCTCTTTGAATCCGTAGAGATATAAACTCGATTATTTAGTCAAGCGAAATGCTTTGCACATCGGTAGTAAAGCCGATTTTATAACATTTTTTTCAATCGTTCTAATATTTACACCGCGTCACAATCGATTCGGGTTATAACATCCGCACACACAAACGGTTGCAAATTTACCTTAAAGAAAGAGCGTAAAACGCGCGCGCGAATAACTCGTGCCTTAAAAAACTTGCGCCGTAATCGCGAATCATCTTGCGAATAAAAGGATTACGAAGTTATTTTAATCGTAACTCCCGTCAAACTTTAATTCGCGATACAAAGCGCTCCTCGAAGTAGAGATCTTAAGTCGTCGGCTATATTGAGATTTATTGCATCAAGCAAGCTGTGCTTTTCAAAGTGTATATCAACCGATATAGCGCACTGATTATTAATGAAAAAAAAAGTAGATAAATAAAAAGCGCGCGCGCGTATGTGTGTGTGTGTGTGTGTGTGTGTGTAGAAGAACCAACAAGAATTTTCATTTGTTCCTGTCTTTCCGTGCATCGCAAATCTGCTCGACAAAACAATCCGCAAAACAATCAAACAGTGGAAATTGAAAGTTTGATTGACGGTCCAACAGGTTCTCGGTTCTATTCCCGATGCTTCTGCGCTCGCTGCAAACTTATCGATATGTATAGACATGATCCACCGAATTTAATTCGCGTCTAAGAGCCATTCAAAGCTCGATCCATTCAAGGAAGCGTAGAAAAGAAGAAATACGAGAAAATGAGAACATGCAATCTGGGAAACAATTACGGACGGCAATATGAAACGGAAAGAATATCGATAACCCAAGTAAAAGAGTAATCTATTTCTTTTGCAGATATCATAAAAGTGGCGGCTGCATTTCAGCAGTTTGATGACGTAACAACAATTGATATTGATAAATGACGGTAAAAGATAATTTAATATATTGTAACGCAATGATATAATATAATAGCCCTCACTTCGCCTTTGCAATACAAATAGAATATCTTCTTACACGAATTATCTGCACGATTGAGGGAAGATATAACATTAGGAAACGTAATTTCCCGCGTAAGCGTGATAGCATTTATTTCATTCCTCCAAATTGGCTCTTGATGTCCGCGTATATATCCGCGCAGCAAATAATTTGTTAAACAGTGGCGTAAGTAAATAAATATGTGACCGATGCATTTGGAATTTAAATGTATCTCGACTACACATACGCGCATGCGAATCACCGGCGTCGTGTCGTCGTCGATGTCGATAAATTACATCGTCAACTCTGCGCTTACAGTAGAAATATTCCGTGTATCCTGTTAGCTACATTTGTCGGTATCTCAAATTACTGAAAAATACTGCGCACGTGATACTGCGACATCAACGCTAATGTGATTTTACGTACTCATACCTTCCACTTGGATTTCGTGAAAACTACAACTGCCGCGAGATATAAATAAAATCAGAAGAAGTGGACTCACAGGTCCAGCATGCGCGAAAAATATTAATCGCTAATGTAATAATAAAAAGATAAAAATTTTTACGTACATATCGTACTTCACTGGATATTACGCATTTTATAATTCAAACACGAAGTCAAATCAAAAATATCTCTATGATGTTGCAACCTTTATTTTTATTATCGCATTTCGAGTAATGGGGAAAGTTATACGAGTATTTCATCAAATCGTTCAAATGTGCGCAAATAATTTTTTATAATCTTTTCAAGCGAATAAATGAGATACCGCAATTATGTGTCGTTGAGATACTACACGGAACAGCACCGTAGTCATCGGAAACTTAAAACAACCAAGCCTTACGGAGGGACGCGTGTGATCGCGTTGGCGCACCGTGTACGCCGCCGTCGCATTCCCCGTCACAAAAACATGGTCTTAAAATCGTCTGAAATTTCTCTCGTTTTTTCCCCTCTCTCTTCGACCGAAACAAAGACGTTACTTCGCACCCAAGAAGAAAATGAATTTTTACGCCGTGCACGCCGTGCGCGGCCTCGCCTCACCTCACCGCACCGGAATGAAGCCGCGCCGGCCACAATTACGTAATTACGCCATTGTTTCGGCACGGTAGACAAGACTGAAAGCAGATAATAAACTTACCTGCTGCATCGGGTACGTGGTGCTACCGAGAAGCAGATCCCATGCCCACGCGAAGATCCGCGCGCAAATGTGCATTGACGTCAGCACCACTTGATGCAACCCGCCAGCGCCGCCAGCACCACGACCGGCCGGATAATCCTTCGCACTGTTCACGTCCTCCGCGGCTGCGGCGGTCGCCTTCGTCGCGGTCTCACCACCGTCGTCGAAGCCGACGAGTCATATCTTTGTCTCGCACTCGCACACTCCCGGCCGCGCGCGATTTCGCCGGCCGGCGTTTGATCTCGAGCCCCGCGCGAGAGATCGACACGCTGCTTTAATTGCGGCGACAACCGACGTTCCCGAACGCAACTTCACGCGGCTCCAACGAGTCCGCCGACATGGTGTCGAGTCGACGAGGCTTATCGTCCGAACTCTTTCGGACTCGTCTCTGTGCAATCGTGCCGTTGTTCTTGTCACTCGAGCGCGCGCGACAATGATCGGCGACTTTTCCCGGAACGCATCATGACTTCGCGAAACTCACCGCTCGCGGAATACGGACCAAGGCACCGCGACGATCGTCACTTTGAACTAACTTCGCCGAGTGCGAGGCGATAGCCGATCGTACAGTGGCATCGAGACATCGACGTGGAAACTTTGGCTGCGGAACAAAGATGTCCGCCGATGATCCCGCGATCGCGATATGCACGCGCCCCATCGACAGCGATTGCAGCTAGGTTATCTCCGATCGCCGGAGTCGTCTCGATCACGATTGCTCAGAGCTGCGAGGAGAAGACGTCTCGTCGCCGAGAGGATTCGATGAAAGTCGTCATCGACTTGACGCGATCATTCGGGTCGCGGTGCAATGGCGGTGAATCGCTACGACGAGACGACGACATCGTTCCCGCGGAATACTCCGGTCCCGCCGAGTGTGACGGATCGTTGACACGCTCTCGCCGTTAACGTTGACGCGCGACAGTCACGTATTTATCAACACTCCGCGCACGACGCGAAAGCACCGCCGCACCCCGTGCGTAAACACGACGCGACCGCGAGTACTTGTTGAATGGCGTACCCGGTCAACTGCCGCGTCGCTCGGCATCATCACTGTGAAGTTGGCGGCGATTGACTTATTTAGCGGACATTGCGAATTTAAACGCGACGATTCAAATTTAATCCAAACGCGCAGACGCGCACTCCAGACGCTTTCTCGTGATGAACGAAACGACGGTGCGTGTGATCGACTCTTAAGCCTGATCTACAATATGCTCTTTGCTTTCTGCCTCTTCCTTTTTATTTCTTTTTCACTTAAACCTTATGTCTCAAGCGAGAATATGATAAAGAATAAAAAATCGGGAAGCAGAGAGAGAGAGAGAGAGAGAGAGAGAGAGAGAGAGAGAGAGAGAGAGAGAGAGAGAGAGAGAGAGAGAGAGAAAGAGAGAGAGAGAATCAGCTTAGACCGAGCTTTGAAAGGAAATGCACAATTTGAGGTTACGAAACATTGAATTCGTCAGAGATATTTCGCGAGTCAAGCATAAACGAATAGCAACGATTGGATCGTCCCGACATATAAACCGAGGGGAAACTTCGAGAATTATAAAATATCAATCACCGTATACCAAAAATATTGAAACTACAGCGACTCGTAGTCACACGACGTAAAATGGTTACGCGACTTGCGAAAGTTCAAAATAAATCATACGTATGAGAATCACTCACTGTTGGAGTCGCGTGTCCTCTTTAAATTTTATTGACGATGTAATGCCGATTGCGGGAAAAGGAACGAATCTCGCGTCGTCATTTCGATGCGAATGCGATTCACGTCACTGTCCGCGCGAGAAAATCCACATGAGGCGACTATCTTCGGTAAAACGAGTCTTTTCGAATATGTATCTTCGACGTTTTCCCGGCTTTAATGCCGATGTCGTTCGATGCGACGAGACGCTTTTCGATGATAGCGATTCGTACCGGTCATACCTTGCATGAAGCCTCAATTGTCCGCCGATCGCGATTTCCGCGTCAGTCACAGGACGACGTTGATCCGTACACGGGCAACAGGTGTAACACGACGCGCACCAACGGAAGACCGAACGATAACTGAAGAGCGGCATCGCGCGCGTGCCACCTACTACTCCTACTAGACGCGCCGGAGACACAATGAAACGCGGTGACATTGAGGACGTGCCAAACACGCTACGTAAACAGCGAGAATCTTGTATGAAAAAACCGCGATCCTTTACTTTCTTCGGACGGAAAGTGGTTTCTGCGTGTATACAGTTCGGTCTTCAGTTTTCCCCTTTCATGTATCGAAAACGTTACACACACATATATCGAGGAAAATTCGACGAATAAATTCTCAGACCCAATCGTATTATTCGTGACTTGTCAATTTTTATATTGATTTCCTCGAAAGTAAAACCTCTACGACATGATAAAATTAACTTCACTATTTGACCATATGAAATCATCCTTTCTCGGTTTGTATCATGTATTTTTTAAACAAACCGTGCATTTCTCTCCTGGAGAAAGGATGCTTGAGTAATTTCACTTGACAGTAAATTTTTAATATTAATGCTATTTAAGTCCTACTCGCTGTTTTATCTTACTCGTCGTAGTTAAAATGATCAAATAATATCGTTAACATAATATTAATTTTATAGAAGTCTTTTCTATGATATATATTCTATATATATATATAAGTTTTTAACGAATATAATTTTCCTTTAACTTAATTAAAATATAATTTCTTTTTTATTTTTTGTACTTAATATGTTTTATACTTAATATGTTTGAAAAGGATTCATCATATTTTTTATTCATGGATCTTGCCATTTATTAATATTTCAATAATAGAAGGGATTAATCTACTCTATGAATGAAATACGAGAAAGTACAATTTATATCAACATATCGCAACAAATAAATGCGAACAATATTAAATACGTACACATAAAGCTAACAAAAAGAATCTTTCTTTTTCAAAATATTCTAATCAAACTAACAATTAGAAACATAGGAATAGCCGCAGAAATGAGTCGAAAACAATGATAACTTTCCCATGTATTGTCTGCAGGATGCACAAGTTGTATATAACTAAATTGCTAAAATCTGTAACAATCTTTAGATATATATCAATATATAAATAACCTCTATATCAATAAAATATAATATAAGCATTATTTTAACAAGTTTATATTAATTCATTTCAAATGATTTATTATAGGCTAAAAAATCTGAATATCCTGTTTTTTAATTTTTACGTACATAATACTTGCACTACAATATATTAAATGTTAATTAAGTTATATTCATTAATAATAAATAACAGAATGTTGTTGCTTGTAATAAAAAAATAATTCTTATTATCGCGACTAATAAATAGTAAATTTGTTAACACTGTATGTACCATGCAAGCAGAAACAAGCCTGAGAACGATCACACACGCCAAACTTTCTCATCAATTCATGATAACATTTGATACGGCGTCTGCATACATTAGGTAGAGATGAAACTGTCATATCCACAACCTGAATCTGTCGGTAAAATGCCATTTTGTTACGTGCTGCGCAAAGAACACGTATTTACATATATATATATTTATACAATAACATATTTTATTATTTTAGGATTTAGGATGGCAACGTGGTTATAAGTTACAATAAGTTATAATTACAATAAATACACCCACAGAAGGAGATTAAGATTACGATTAAGATTAAGATTACTGTTCTTTATTTCTTTGATCCATTGCTGAATACAGGGCATAATAAAGAATTTTATAAACAGGTTACGTTCTAAATTACATCTTATTAAGCAATGGAGTATTATATTTAGGCACATCTACATTAACATATTATTAAATAAACACGCAACAGTAGCTATCAGAATTTCTTGTCATCACTCCGAGATCGACTGCAGTAACGACAATACACCACATATTGCGGAGCGGTGTGTGTATGTGTGTATGTGTGTGTGTGTACGTGAAGAATACGTAAATTTTGACTCGAAATACTTACATTAATTAAATCTTAAGCATTTCCTTAATGTCGACAACTCTGGTCCGTATTTCTGGTTGATTATCCTTCACCAAGTCGGGCAGAAGCTCTTTCAAAACGCGCGTCATCTTGTCGAGTTGTTCATTGTTATTTGTATCACGCATTTTTCTTGCCAACGAAAGGACTATATTCAATGCTTCCTTTCTAATTCTAGTGAACTTCGAAATGTCTAAAGAAAAGTAATCACGCTTAACAGCAATGTATTTCAATCGTGCAAATATAAAATCATCTCGAAATTATTTTAAAAAGTGTCTTAATTAATACAATAATTAAATGATTAGTATATCTATATATAGTGTACTTACTTATACAATATAATAATATTTTATTGAGGCTATCACATATCTCCTCTAATACTTTTTTATCCTGCGGCAAAATTTCCTCTTTGCTTACTTTTAACAAGACAAGTCTATCCACAAAGAGATTTAACGTCGTCAGGATAGCGATTTGCACAGATCTCGTACTATTTGGCAACACTTTCTGACAGTGAGTTACAAATTCCATGCAATATTTGTCTGTAATCAAACGAATTATATTACGACAAAGGGCTATTCTAAATGTTACCTAATTGTATCTCATAAACGTCCAGTTTTGTAACCTTGAGTCGTTTTATTAGACGGCCATGCTTTTCCAAGCACCTCATAAACCGTTTCTTGCAGCTTTATATTACTTTCCTTCTTCTTTCTACTTTCCTCCGCAGTGTCTTCATCGTCATTGCTTTTATCAGATACCTATGTGTGCAAAACATACATATGTTACATACTTATGTTTACAATCTCCGTATCTCCGTATAATGCAATCGTCGATATAGCTCACTTTAATTAAAATATCTTGTACAATCTCGTAAGTTTCCGTAAACCTATCAATGTCAAGTTCGTATAAGACCATAGCGAACGCTTGCAACGCATTTCGACGATATTCCGCATTCTCCTTTTTGCTTTCTCTGTGCAGCGTTGCTACAATTGTATCTAACAGTGCGGTATCTGTGTTTAAAGCTTCTCTGCAATAAAATGAGCGCCACATGTTTATTATTAATTAACTCTTGTGCGTATAAACAGCGTGGAAATACACATTCGACACACGTACTTGCTATTGCACGCTAACATAGCAAGCGCGTTTAACAGACGTTCTTTCCCATTCCAAGTTCTGCCACGTAAGCCGTCTGTCAATATCTTTAATAGGGTATTCCTGGCTTCCATGTCGATATTATGTCCTGACTTTAAGGCAACGGTATAAACTGCATTCGCGGCTTGTACTTTTGTAGTCCATGATGCCGATTCCAAAGCTGTGCGTAAAATATCGGTTATCGATTTCAAGTTTTGCAAAATTCCTGCTTCGGTTCCAGGCGTTATTTCATTCCACAGATCGGTCCATAGCTCGATTGTACTTTCATTTCCTGTATAAACAAAGACGCATAAAAGTGAAGACACGAATGATATAACGAAGAAACGAATTTACGAATAATATGTTGTAATACTGGAATACAAACCTGATACCTTTTCTGCATGCATTGCGAAGAACGTCAAAGGAATGACTATTTTTTGGTAATTCTTCAATTTCTCCTGATTGTAATTGTTTATAGATTGCAAAGTCTGCCCGATCGCCAATCTTATTGCGTCATCTATAATTTAATTTTTTCCCGATATAGTGTTTCTCGTCACAAGTAATGATGAAACCATCAGAAAGAATCACCATTAGAAGAAGAAGTAAAAATCATGTACAAACTATTAGAGAGCAGCATACCTTCGCGTTCCAGATACCACGTGTTCAAGGTATTGAATAATTTATCTAGACTAGAATCCTTAGCTGAGCCGACTATGTGTCCGATGCTGATTGCGTTATTTTTTCTCACAGCAGCATTACGATCTGTCAAACCATTGAGTAAGGCAGACAAAACTTTAGCTGAGGAGAATAATATGAATCATTAGTTTGCCAAAAATAACAAAAAGGACATAACATGTATCATTACATTCTAGAAAACCGATATGATTACTAACCGCTATACGGTTGTAACTCTACTTTCAGATGCGTGCTGAGAAGGATTACGAAATGCGAACAAGCGATCTTCGTTCCAAATCCTATACTGCATTTGACTAAGTCTATTACTTTTGGCATTAAGTCCTTCAATACGTCCGCATCGATATATTGGATACACTGGAAGAAGAAAAAAAGAAGCATTCATAAGTGTGCGTGATATTCTTATCGAGTTACAATAACCGCGAAAACTAAAATTACCTTTGTTACCGTATCTGACGCGTAATGGCCTTTAGCAACGTTGGCTCTAACGTTATCGATAGCTTCCTGCGTCTCCGTGGACGCCCCACACACATTACTCAAGTATGAAAGTTTAGGATTCTCCGACTCGCCGATCGTCTCCAACAACGAAGGTATTAAAGTGACAAGCGACGGTTTCAACAGAACGCCGGCCGTCGATACGAGTTGAGATACCGTTTGCAACGATATAGATCTCACCGTGTCTACGGTGTGAATAATGCCAATATCGAGTAGCACGGGCAGTATCGCTTGAATAACTTCTTTTCCTGCATTACCGTGCGAAGAATCGCAATACCGTATGCAAACCTGTAGCATTATCGCGATAATAAAATGTTATTAACGTGGTGCGAACTATTCGACTCATTTTCAGTGAGCACTCAAGACTCTCACCTTGCTGAGTATCTTGGCGGTATTCGTCGCGGCTGAACGCGTACCCTCGTGAATATCGTCCATTACACGAAACAGTTTCTTCCACAGTCCCGGGCCGCATTCGGCGAAGTTGAACTGTACATTTGTCCTTAAAAGATCTGCGAGAGCATTACAACAACTGATACGTACTCTCCACTCGTTATTCGTTAGATTATCAGTTACATCAGTCAATATTTCTTTATGATACTGTTCGATCTATAGTGATATATAAAAAAATACAGTGATATATAATAAACGCTTGCACTCATCATGTATACTAATAACGAGTGTCATAAGAAATATCATATTTAATATTACTAACGGCCTTCGTTGTAGAAGGGACGACTGCCCGCCAAATGCTAGTCATGCTCTGCTGGATTTTCGGCGTCGGGTCGAACTGATATCTGTACAATCGTGGTATGATATTAGGCAGATATTTATTCAGCTCGTCCCTCGCGATACTGGCAATCGCCGCGAAACCGAACGCCGCTCCCTTTTTGGATGTCCATATCGCGTTATGATTTGCCAAGTGCATAAAGTAGTACACGAGCTCCGGCTTCTGCAATTCTGTAGCCAGGGAGCAAATCTCTCGGTACGTTGATATATTGCCACTGAAAATGTTTATTATTCCTTTAAATGAAGATATTTCAATGCCCTATCCTCGTTAATATCGTTCAATATGTATCTTTTAACATTTTATCTACATGCATGTAAACCGAAATATTTTCAATATCATAAAACTGCACAAATCAACGGAAAATGTTTTATGCAACTTGATCTCACCCCGATGGACTTTTTCCCAACTGGCCTTCTTCAAATAATTTGGTGTCAGCAGTAACTTGTTGCACTGTTCTACGACCCTGTGTGAACTGATCTAATATATTAGACACTAAAGTATCACGTTCTTCCTTTTTGCTGTTAATATGTACCAAACTAAGACCCTTCGATGCAATATCTTGCACTATATCTGTGTGCAAAATAGACGAAATATTAAATATCTTTCAAGATATTACAATCTGCTACTGTAATAATTAACATCGCTTACCACTGTCGTCGGAAAGAAAATCTATAAATGCATGGTGAATCGCGGGCAGTCTTTCCTTGACGCATTCTCGTTGAACGTTGTGTTTTAAAAGTGCGAATAACCACACACACACTGCCTTTAAGAAATATTATTTATCAGCAAAGCGTAATGCACATACGCACGCCTCTAAAATATCTCATATATAAATACCTGTCGCAGGTTTGGATGAGGCACTTGACACATGTTAAGTAATTCAACCAATACGTGTATTAATAATTCATCACTTTCCTTGCTGTACGAAATGACGTGTTCGGCAGGTAAAGTCTTCCACATGTCTCTACCTTCCGGAGAAGCTTGAGCTTGAACGCAACAAACTAAAGCTTCTCCCAGGATCAAATGGACTTCTATGTCCTTCGTCTATTAAGTATTGATGGAATTTTGTTATTACCTAATAATACACAAAAGCAAACATGTAAAGACAATGTATATATGTACCTCTTTAACAGTCGCTATAATTCTGTCAGCGACTTCCGTGGTATATGGAAAAGTTTCACCGACGCACAAGTATCCTAATGAAAGCGCGGCCTTTTCTTTCATCTGGAAAAAAAGAATCGTGAAAACAAGTGCATATAATATAAAACATAAATAAATATCGACCTGCATTGTATTATGTATGATCAATTGCGCGTGTGCAAAAAACAAACCTTCGTGTTCAATTTAGCGTTAGACAAAATGGAAAACAGCATTTCGATTATAGCCTTTTTATTCAAATTGTTGTCGCTTTCTGCTGGCAAAGGTAAAGAATACGTTTTTCCCAAGGTGCCGATGCCTTGAACAGCAGCGTCCATCAACAACATCGTGTTATCGTGGAGATATGTGCCTAAATAACATATATGTAGCATGTTAAATCCATTGTAAAAATAAACAATTTTAGTACATGTTTAGTACGCGTTCGTATAAATACGTACATATTAATTTCACAATATCATTGTAAGTTGCCCAATTACACAAATTCTCCCGATTTTCACTCCGTTGTTGTATCAAGCTTCTTTCCATCATGTAAGTTAGCGTCATCAACGCACCGTGCTGCGCTTCCAAATTCTTCTTCTTCATAATATCCATTATGCCCGAAACGTGTTTTTCAAACTCGTTTCTCGGAAGATAGGCAGTAATAGCGGCATACACTTTTGCAGCTAACTGTCGTACATCTTGCTTAGTGGACGTGAGCAACGTGCAGAGCCACGGTAGTTCTTTTTCGTACGATTCTATCATGTAAGGCGGAATAGATCCAAGCACTTCCAATAATGCATTTAAGGAAATTTGATCTGCAACATGTATAAACATACGAGCAAAATTAGCAATTAACTTAGCGCAGGCAAATATTTTGTGTGATTATAATCACGATAAGTCCACGATATTGTCTTTCATCTTACCTGCGGCAGAATGGCTTAAGAGTAAAATCATATCGAGATAATTATTTAAAACTTCCCGTTGATCTTTGTACAAGTTCTCCAGGTAACGTCCAATCAGAGGAGTGTGTTCACAAGGATGTTGCAACGGTTCATTTCGCATTGGAATATTAGCGCTTCTGGCGAGGCAAACACGAAGGTAAGTGATAATCTGTAACAACATGAATCATCGATATAAAATTTCACGCGATTTTGATCATGGATTTACCTTTCACGCGACTTACCTCGGAAAACGTTGTGGTACTATAGGGAAGTACTTGCTTATCCACATTCCCTCTGCCGCTACTCACAGCGGGCATTCTCGATTGCATTTTTGAGTGAATGTAACTCACGAGTTTCACGAACTCGGGCAATACAATCTTATTGTTAACATGTTGCTCGTCTTCGCTTTTGTGCACAACACCGTACAGCGCTTTCATAGCCTCTGTACTTATCTCATGCTTGCTGTCACCACACGCTAATAACAAGAGATACCGAGATGGAGCGTCATCAGGAGGAAATACGGTTGCGGCATAATGCATTGCCACAAATCTATTTGCAAAGGTAACAATGTCATAACACATAATTAGAATACATACTGCAATCAATAAACGTGGGTATTAGATAGACTCAGGTCTGTGTTTGATACATGCCTAACGCTGGATTCCGGTGATTCGATGTGCACCGACAACAGGGCGTTCATCAACGCTATATTGTTCTCGTCCTCTTTGTTCAACACGAATGCAGATGTTACGCAAATTAACGCGTCCCTTACCGTCCGTCGTAGCTCGCCATCAGTCTTAATTATTGGAAAAAAAAAAAAAAACATACTATTATCGTATATCTGATAATTACTATGTTTGTGCTACAGCCGAATACTTACGGATACAAGTGTGTCGAACAAATTATGCAATAAACTTAGATCTTTATTTATCAAAGATGGTATTCTTTGACCAAGTTGCCCGATAACTGTGTACGCCATTGGTTTATGAGCGTCATCACCCTCGGAAATTAATTTTATCATGCCATTCAAAATCACTCCAGCGACGCGAGCTAATGGCACGAGACTGCAGCTTAAAAGTTTAAAGTGAAAATATAGTTTATTTTGTCAATACATTGTTGTAATAATGGAATATAATTATAATTACAAAAGAGAGACGTTTGTCGATAAACAGATTGTGAAACTTACTGTTGCACAATATTTGATGTAAATTGCAATGCCAATGATTTCAGTTTGGCATTTGTATTTTTTCCATAAAGCGAATCGAAAACAACCTGAAAAATTTGTAATTTTTTTACCTATCTTGTATAGAAATTTTCCATATTTTTTCAACCTAACGTACCTGTATGCACGGTGGTATGATAAAGCCTGCTTTAGTCACACGGCACAAATACTGCAAAAGCTTGAGACGAATTCGAGTGCTCGCAGGAAGTCGTTTCATCTCTGGCTTCACTTCTTTTTGAGTCGCTAGTGCATCAGTGCCCAGAAACAATGTGTACAATGGAGCTGCGAGTTGCATCGAGGACCAGTCCAATGTGCTAAACATGTACAAGTATATGATGATATTGCTTTATAAAAATTATAATATTACCAAGATATAGTCCAGGAAAACTATTTAATGTAATTTCGAAAGCTTTCATATATACCCAATAATTTTTTTCAATTCCAGATCTGCCATATTAGCTATGTTAAATCTAGTATCTGCAGCTGCTACAATTAAGTGTATCAAAATATCCGCATCGGGGAAGAATCCACCGACGAGGAACTTAACAATGCCCAATTTTATCTGCTCGAGTTGTTCTGCTGTCGGTGGACTTTCGCCGATTACTCGCTTAAACGCATAATCGCTTAAACCAGGTGGCACAGTAAACTGAGACCAATCAATAGATTGTTGACCTGACTGTTGATTTTCCGTTTGACCCACAGATCTAATAATACGTAACAATTAATAATTGAGCAAATATTATAAATGACACAGCAATTATATCGCATATGTCTCACCCATATGGCAAAAGCAATATGTCGAGCATAAAATTTATGAGTTGTTTTGCCACATAAGGTTTGTCCTGCAAACCTAAGAGAGACGCTCGTTTGTCAGGATCTGTTGGTATATTAATATGTCCCAACGCTGGCATTATGATCAACATTAAGCTGAAACATGAGTATATATATTTTAATACAATTCAATATTTTACATCACACATTACATATATGTATATACATATAATAAATATAAAAGTGGAGTAAATATAAAAATATACATATATGTATATTTTGGCAATGTATCAACTTTACTGGGGATTTTCCAATTAAATTCATCCCCCAAACTAAATATATAAAATTAAAAAATATGTAATAAACAAACCTATCTTGGTGAGATAATGGTTTTCCCTCAATAGCATTTAATACACTTGGAACTAATTCTGCTTGCTTGCTCATCTCCATTCTAGGATATCCTAACTTAATGTATATTATTGTAAAGTTCTGCAATTATAATTATAAATACATATTTTAGATATTTTCTAAATTACAGCAAGTTGTACATTCACAGGTAACATACAATCATAAATGAACTAGCAGTTGGATCTTGGTATTGCAAAAGTAATGCCTCAACAGGCAGCTGTACTTGAGGCCTGCTCTTCACTCTCCTATTAATATGAACCAAAAGCTCCAATACTTTCTTCCTAACACCCTCCTGTGCGCTAGATAGCTTGAGCAACACAGGAGGTAAAAATTTACAGACCGATGCCTGCAACTGCTCATCTGTCTCTGCAGAACCCAGGCGAAGGAACACTCGCTCAAGCAAAACTAAACAAAACACAAGTAAAGTAATATATAATTAATGATGTATATACCTAGGTTAATCTTAACATAGTAATACAAAGAGTTATACTCTATATATGCAAATAAGTTGTAGGAAAAGTAAACTTTACATACATAATGTACTTATTAATTACATATGCACCACTTCGCACATAGATACATATTTATCTAATGAACGGCAAGGTAATTATGTTGTTAGCCACAAAGTCATCATGAGAATATTAATATCATTCGATATTAAATTGAAGCAATATTAATTGGACACGTACGCGATACGGAGATCTGACAGCTGTAAGCACGTGCTGAGGACGGCATCGAGAGGCAAGTGGAGCGGGGGAAGAATATCGGAGAAGCCGAAATCCACACGCGATCCCTTGAAAGTGATATGTTTGAAGTTGCCTTCTGCCAGGCGGCATGACAATTGACTTTACGCCTCGCCTTTGCAAAGTACCCGAAACATACCGATTTTCGCAACGTACGACATCCATGACGGAACGAACGGATAGCGCGACGTGTAATTTACGAGCCGATCACCGATGCCGCGGCGATGCCGTCCTACGCGAGACGAAAACGAGTTTTTTTTTCGGGAGTACTTACTCAGCTCGTCCGTAGCCGCTGCCATTTTGAAAAAGGCTATAAGAGAAAGTGAATGCTATCGAGTGACAAGAATTATGTATCGTGAAATCACGCAATCAGCGACATCGTTAATGCAGCGAGTACACCACGAAAAACTAATTAGCATGCGTTTTTCAACGTTAATGTAACTTCGCTTGTCAATCGTCGTGCGACGTAACACGTCGTTGCATATCGCAACCCCTCACTACATTCGACGTCGTTTTATGTGAGGGCGCTAAATTTTGGTCTGAGGTTAGAAAAAAATTGGTGAACATATCCGTGTTACGAGATTGGCGTAACACGCGATAATTCGTGTCATCGTTCGTCGAAGTTTTACAATAAATCGTGTCTATCGAATACAAATGAGACTGAAACAATTGTGAATCCGCAATACGAAATGAAGTGTGTGTGCGGTGCTTAAAGGAAAAGAAAATTAAATCTTGAGAAATAAGAGCATTCAATATGCATGGAACTGTCGCATTTACAACGTTTTTGAGGAAACTTCCTAGTAGATGATAAAATCCATCCCTATAACGTCAAAAATTTGTCAAAAATTCTTGTTCTCTACTTTGTCCGAGTTTATTCGAGCTCGAGTTATTATATCGAGATGACGAGGTTATGGTTATCGATTATAATTACGTCAGTTAACCTACAGCCTATGCGCAATCACGTGATACGATGTTTACGTTTTTTCAAGATATGTAATCAGAAATTGAAAATGTTGCGGTGATTTCAGTGACTTTGAAGAAAAAGGCGATCTCTGCGCTTGTCCGTGACTATAGAAACGTGATAATTGACGTAAGATCATGGATCAAGAAATCATAAGATGTGATGTACATTTTCATAATCGTAACGAATCGACGCGTCGAAATTATTGTAAACGATTGTTGATAACATTTTTAAATACATTTATACGTTTTGCGCTTATATTTATTGTTATTTTACCTTCTAGTTTCGCACACTTTAACAGTAAGAATAAAGACTAACCTACCTTAGCCATAATATTAATTTCAAAAACACCCGCGAAAAAATTCCGTAGGTGTGTCCTTGAAGTGCCTTCGAATCGAAAGATGTGCGTTCTCTGTCCGAAAAATTATGTGTGATAGGAAGTTACACGAGTGAAGAAAATTTTATTACATCAATAATTTTAGAAGAAAACTCCAAGATATATTCCTCAGAAAATTTACGTGACATTTGACATAATTATTTATAACGAATTTTTACGCTGTGACTCACATGTTTCTTTGACACTTTCAAACGAATAAGTGATATTACTGCGCGCCTCCGACCAATGAACAAACAGTATTTTTGCAATCTAAAGGCCGGCGTGTCAAACCGTGCTCTTGTTTGTTGACCTTCAGCACTGTCTTTAATAAATAGAGGTCAACTTGTACAGAACGTTCTACCAATCTTACGAATGAGAACAAACGCTGCTCTGCGTTGTGCTGTCACTTATTAGTTTACAGCCGATATTTGTAGGTAGGAAACATTCATTGACAATTCAGTAATTAATACAAGTTAATAGTATGTGCTAGTTAATAATTTTATCTTAAATGCATGTTTACACGCGCGCGCGCGCTAATCCAACTTTAAGTCAATAGTAATAATTTGATTTGATTTTCTTTAATATTATGAAAATATTTGTTAAATTGTTTTTTAAATAAATATTCGCGTTATATTGTAATATATCTTACTCACTTTTTAGTATGGAAGATTTATTTGATACTTTAACAATTTATTATTACATATATTGATTTCTGTATTATAATTATTTTTTTTTCATATTTTTCTCATTATTTGATATCATAATATTTTATTATATATAAATTTATGTAGTAAGGAAATTTATTATTTTTAATCTATTATAAGACACTATTACTACAAATCCTTTCATTACGTATTAATTTTTATACATGTTACACAAAAGTAAAGCTTAATATTATTTTGGAAAAAAATATGTTAATTATGTTAATAATATTAATTTCTTACAAAGCATTATGTATCTATATATGTGTACATTAAAGTATGTTAATAAAAATTATTAAACTGTCATACTATAATTGTATCTGTGTTTCTTTATATTAACGTAACATGAGAATATGAATATTCTATAGAAGATCTGTTATTTATTATTACTTTATTTATTATTTGATTGGTTAAATTGGTAAATGTAAAATCTTATATCTATAGTATAATAGTATATCATAAAACATAATAATATAAAATTTTTACATATCCAAATGACTAGTTTTTATAAGAGATTTATTATTTATTATTTGTATATGCATAATTATTAGTTATCACCAAGAGATATTACAATATAAAGGTGAAATATTTTATACTTCAATTTTATGTAAAACATATCCAATTTTATATGAAATATTTTATATTTTAATTTTATATATTTTATGTGTCTGTTGTAGGTAGCACACGCTTATGGCTATGCTTATGTGTAACAAAATATGGATAAATAAGATACGATATCTATATTTGATAAATTTTCTCTAAAACAACTAAGTGTGATTAAGTATATCTTATTTACCTTGACAATAGATTCAGCTATGTGTTTTTTTTGCGATATTGGAAGCACATTTTTAAGAAGATTTAAAAACTTTATACAATATTTATGCAATTGCTGTTGTTTAAGGTTAGCCTGGCCTTATGTAAGTTCTGACATAAATATATAAATATATATATATATATAATAAATAATATTATCAAATTATATTCTTGCTAAAAAGTTTGGGTAATACAATTATTTAGTATATACAGTAAAGATGGTCTGTAGTTACTAAATTTATTAGAGTTAGTGCAGTCAAGTCTTATGGCAGGAAGCAGTTGTCACATTACTATGGAATTGTAATCTTAGTATGTAGGATAAGAATAGAACTGCAGTCTTTATGTGTGTTCATATAGCAGAACACTGTAATGTAATATTATGCACGCTTGCTAACTGCTTTATGCCAATAACTTATATTAAGGCTTGGATTCTGCCAGGTAAGCACACATCCATTTGAGGTGTAAGTATTATCCCTTACAAGGCAAGTTCTCTGCTTGGTAAACTTTGCTCATATTTGGTGAAAATTATTTTATTCTCTATTTCTATATTTATTATTTATTAAATCTATTTGACATATATTAAAAACTTTTTCTTATATCTAAGAAAATTTTAAAGATTATGAAAATAAGATATCAATATATATAACACATGTGTATTATAACAATTATTTCTTAGTTTCAGAAAGGAACTGAAAATATGCCAGAGTATAATACATTGAGCCCCGACTCTGAACAAATAAGAGTTCTAACTGTGAATAATGGAGAACACCTAGATGGAATATTATATAAATTGAAAAAAGGTTTCTCAAAAGATCTCATTATTCCCAAAATTGTGCTATATAATTTCTCAAAACTGTATTTCAAAATATTTTATTATCATAGTAGAACTTTTAAATAGCTTGTTATATTTTTTACAGGATGGAAGGTTGAGTTTAGACTTGGAGCTTCTCTTCTTGGACAGACACTAAATGTTTTTATAAATTATCCGTTACCGGCTGAAAAAAAATTCGAGAGGCACACTTATTATCAATTGCCATGGGTTGATGAATCAGCGACTGTACATTTAACTTTACCTGGTTCCTACCATTACTATGTCACTGATCAGTATGTATTCATTATTAAATATATATGTGCTGTGTAAGACATTACTTTTTAATAACAAAATTTATTTCTCAGAGTTAAAGGTAGTACATCTGCACCTTGCCCATTCCAAATAAAACCTGTTGCATCTGGATACCTGCTGGTGGATCCTGAGTTGAAAGTAGGTGAAAATGAGGACTTGTCTTTGGATTGTATTCAAATTCAAACAATCTTGGCAAAGTGTCTGGGACCTTTTTCTACATGGGAAGATAAATTACTGGTAGCTCGAAATTCTGGATACAATGCACTTCACTTTACACCAATTCAGGTAATGTTAGCACAAAAAATAATGTTGATGCAATGATGTAGAAATGATATGTCCGCCACAAATATTAAGTACAAATTAACGTTTCAGGAATTAGGGCACTCTAAATCATCATACAGTTTGAGTGATCAAATGAAACTTAATCCTTCTTTTCATGACAACAACAAGATAATTACTTATCATGACATTGAACGATTTGTTAATATGATGCGAACTGAATGGAAGGTAAGTTATTGTCATCAATAAGAAAATAAAACAATTACTTCTTCAACATATCAAGACATATTACTGTTAATTATCGTTTGTACGTTACAGATGTTAAGCATATGTGATATTGTTTTAAACCATACTGCAAATGAGAGTCCTTTTCTAGTTTCTCATCCAGAATGCACGTATAATTGCGTCAATAGTCCTCATTTACGTCCAGCGTACATTCTAGATGCAGCATTATTTGAATTATCGATACAAGTTGCTTCTGGAGATTGGGAGTTTAAAGGTATTCCTGCTGTAATTGAAACCGAAGACCATTTAAATGTAAGTTACAAATTACTGCTTTTTTGTGTTATTAAATATCAATACAATCAAAATTTTGTTCCTTCTCTAGTTTTGCTTAGATTATTTTATACTTATATTTTTAAACGGTTTATTTTCAGGCGATTCGTCATGCTCTACACTCGCATTTCTTGCCGCTTGTAAAAATACATGAAATGTATATCGTGGATATTCATGAAATTATAGCGGAATTCTTGAATTTGGCGCGTAACGAAATGCCGCAAGATGTGTCTGATGCAAAAGGTAAAGACATTTCGGTGATTCAAGATCCCAACTTCCGTAAATTGAAATCAACCATAAACATGCAACTTGCTTTGCAAAAATACAACACGTACAGGTAACTACGCAAATAAAAACTTAGAATATTTTATTCTATTCTTACCGATTACCTACTCATGACTTTCTTACTTCATACAGAGCTGATTGCTTTGACGAGGACACTCGTTTAAAACGGTGCGCGGAAGATTTGAAGCATAAATTAGAAGAACTCAACGAAGTGATCATCAACGATCTGCGAAACCATCTGAATGCTGCAGTTGAGAATACTGTTGCCAGCATAAGATATTTTAGAGTGCAATCTGATGGTCCAAAAATTAAAGAAATCAGCGAGAAAAATCCTCTCGTTCCTAGGTAATTTTATTCATAATTTGACATAGACAAATTTTACAAAAATATATTTTTATAAATATATTTTTTTTAATTTTAGTTCTTTATAAATTTTAACGTTTACTTCTGTTATGATATATTCTGTGTTATAATAAAAAGAAATTCATGTTTAGATACTTCACTGATTATGGAGCACCCAGATCTTTAACTGAAAGGGAAAACACAATGTATTCGGATAATGGATGTTATTTAATGGCTCACAATGGCTGGGTAATGAATAGTAATCCTTTGAAGAATTTTGCTGATCCTGACTCTAATGTTTACATTCGAAGAGAGCTTATTGCTTGGGGAGATAGCGTAAAACTCAGGTAAAACTTATGGATGTTATCTAATTTCTCGGCGAATTATTATTAAAGAATATATCTAGAATTTAAAGTGTGTGTTGATTAATTATTAGATACGGGGAAAAACCGGAGGATTGTCCTTTCTTATGGCGACATATGACAGCTTATGTAGAACAAATAGCACAGATATTTGACGGTATTCGATTAGACAATTGCCATTCCACACCGATTCCTGTTGCTGAGGTACGCGCGATTACGAGCAATTTTTACGCATTGATATGTTTACTGAATAGTATAATTATGTTTTCAGTATATGCTTGACGCTGCACGAAAAATCCGTCCGAATCTTTACGTTGTCGCGGAATTGTTCACCAACTCAGATCAGAAAGACAACATTTTTGTAAATCGTCTTGGTATTACTTCTTTGATTAGAGGTAAGTCGCTAGTTACTTTCATCGAATGTATATATTAATATATCGTGTGGTTAAATATAAAGACGTCAAAGTTTATATATACGTTGCAGAAGCTATGTCTGCATGGGATAGTCACGAAGAAGGAAGATTAGTTTACCGATATGGAGGTGAACCAGTAGGAGCGTTCTTGCAATCGCGAAAACGTCCGTTAGTACCGAATATCGCTCATGCTCTGTTCCTGGACGTAACCCACGATAATCCTAGTCCGGTGGAAAAGCGGAGCACTTTCGATTTATTACCAAGTACCGCACTTGTATCGATGGCGTGCTGTGCTAGTGGCAGTAGTCGCGGTTACGACGAACTGGTTCCTCATCACGTAAGCTCGCACAAACTTAATCAAATCTCCGCTTAAATCGCTCAAATTTTTACCACGAAGACCTTATTAATTTACCAAGTTTCTTTTCCGTTTCCTTTAGATACACGTGGTAGATGAAGAAAGACAGTACTCTTCCTGGACCAATGATGACAATTTGGTAGACAATGTTAAGTACATTAATTTGAAGACTGGTATAATTGCAGCTAAAAAGGCACTAAATGAATTACATTATACGCTTGGCAAGCAAAACTTTTCCCAGGTATGTTATTAGTTGTTAATATTTTCATAGTTAACGTACGGAAAATTAATTAATATGTTGTAAACATCGATTTTACTTGGCCATAGGTATTTGTCGATCAAATAGACAGTGACATAGTAGCGGTAACGAGACACTCACCAACTACTCACGAGAGTGTAGTTCTAGTCGCGTTCACGGCTTTTAAACATCCTGATTCCAGTGTTCAGTGTGATTTCAAGAGACACATAAAACCTTTAAGAGTTGAGGGAATAGTGGAAGAAATAATTTTGGAAGCGAGCCTTTCACACGTTGACGTCAAGTAAATAGCAAACTTAATTTCATTTAAAAATAAAAAATCCACGCATTGAATTGCATATAAATGTTTTGCAGAAATGGTAAAACGACTTTCAGTCTGCCTGAAAAATATGTGAAGGATGAACATTTCATAAATGGGTTATCGGAATATGCGGTATCTCTCAAGCAGCACATACAATGCTGCGACTCTGCGATGGTCCAAAAAGTCGATTCCGGTGATCCTAAGATCACTCAACTCAATTTCGTGAACTTCCAGCCCGGTTATGTCATAGCTATACGGTACATATATAAGCGATATAATTTTAACCGCTAAGATATGATGACTACTTGCGATCTCTATTAAAGCTAATTTATTTACGGAATTTCAGAGTGGCTTTGCACGCGAATATAAAACCTGCTCTCACGGATCTTCAAAATGTTATTTCGCGCATCACGTCCAATAAACCATCAGACCTGCATGATATTATATCTCGTATGGATTTCGCAGATATGAATAAAGCTCTATATAGATGCGACCAAGAAGAGCGGGGCGAAACAATGAACAAATTTGGGGTATACGATGTGCCAGGATATGGACCATTGGTATACGCTGGACTGCAAGGTGATACATTTGACTCTATACGAAAAATATATGTTCACACATACTCATACACACACATGCTTTATAAAACTTTTAATTATATTCTCACATTATTTAACAAGTATTATTTTTTCAATCAGGTGTTATATCTTTATTGGCTGACATTCGTCCAAATAATGATCTAGGACATCCCTTATGCGACAATCTTCGACAAGGCAACTGGTTGATCGGTATAATCTTTCAAAAATTATTTCCGAGACGCGACGACTAATTTTAGATAGCAATAATGAGTGTGTATGTTGCAAATTTGACAGACTACGTGTGGCAACGTTTGAATGAGGATAATGGCACTAAACCTCTCGGAGCGTGGCTTCAGCAGGCGATGGAGCCATTTAAAACAATCCCGAGATACTTAGTGCCAAGCTATTTCGATGCTATAATTGTGAACGTTTATATCAGCCTCGTAGATCATTGCTACAACTTGATGTCGAAGTAAGTATTAAAACTAAGCGTTAAACCGAATGTACGAATTTTTAAGTTTTCCACTTGATACTTTCATCGTGCGGAAAACTTGAATTATCTATTTATTAACTGTGTACTTTGCTGTTGTCGTTCACTATTGATTACGACGTCATTTCAGTTTCGTGAAGAATGGGACTACGTTTATTAGAATACTGAGCCTGACTTCGATACAGATGTGCGGCGTAGTGAAATCGTCGCTGTTACCGGACTTATCGCCGAATCTCAGTCCACCAACGCCGAAAACGGAACAACACGATGAACAGAATAAGCAGATCTGCTTAACACTGTCAGCAGGCTTGCCGCATTTCACGACAGGTTACATGAGAAATTGGGGCAGAGATACCTTCATTGCTTTGAGAGGGCTGTTGCTTTTAACCGGCAGACACATAGAGGCGAGATTCATAATTCTTGGATACGCTGGCACCTTGAGACATGGCCTGATACCTAATCTACTCGACAAAGGAAACAATGCTAGGTATAATAGATTGTAGAATGTAGAGATATTTTTGTAAATGCTACACATCGGCAAGTTTTTCTGCAATTTTCATCTATAACAGATACAACTGCCGTGATGCTCTGTGGTGGTGGCTCTACACCATAAAGTGTTACGTTGATGAAGTCCCGGACGGTATAAAAATTTTGTCCGATAAAGTCTCAAGACTGTTCCCTACTGACGATTCACCACCTTTGCCTGCAGGACAAGTGGTCAGTATGTCACTTTAGCGCAAAAATATCTACCGCAACTTTGTCGATTGAAATAATACACAGCATCACAATTCGCACATAAATGTGATTTTAGGATCAACCGTTGCACGAAGTAATGCAGGAATCTCTTACGGTACATTTCCAAGGTCTGTGCTTCAGGGAGAGAAACGCGGGAAGACAAATCGACGAGCACATGACCGATCGTGGGTTCAACAATCAGATTGGCGTTCACCCTGAAACAGGCTTCGTGTTCGGCGGCAACGACGCCAATTGCGGAACTTGGATGGATAAGATGGGGTCCTCCGAGAAAGCTGGTAACAAAGGGAAACCGGCTACACCCAGGGACGGTTCTGCTGTGGAGATAGTTGGGCTGAGCAAATGCATCCTCAGTTTCCTGGCCGAATTATACAAACAAAATCTCTTCCCATACGGTAGCGTTCAGCGCAAAAATCGTGACGGTAAGATTGTTGAATATGCCGGGTGTAAATGTAATTAAAAGCAACCGATTTCAATTTTGTAATTATGACGTGACAGGAAAAGTGATAACTTGGAGTTATAAGGAGTGGGCCGACAAAATTGCCACGAATTTCGAAAAGTGCTTCTACGTGAACGAAGTTCCGACGAAGGACGAGTTGAAACCTAATCTGATCCACCGCCGAGGCATAATCAAGGATAGTTACGGAGCAACGCAAGAATGGGCGGATTATCAATTGCGGCCTAATTTCACTATCGCTATGGTTGTTGTGAGTAGATGCGTTATTAATATGCGTTGATGTAATTCATTGTTTAATAACATTACAAAGTACTGTGAGTAAAACAATATAAGCATAAACGATGGTTACATGCTGAATTGAATAATAGTAACAGCATTGTAATGATATGAAAAGGCTCCGGATCTGTTTGATCCTCATCATGCGTGGAATGCGTTGAAAAAGGCGGAGGAGATACTACTGGGTCCTTTGGGCATGAAAACATTAGATCCTGCGGATTGGGCTTACAATGGTTATTACGATAATTCCAACGACAGTAATGACCCGAAAGTGGCGCATGGATGGAACTATCATCAAGGACCTGTAAGCACTTCTCGTCGTGTGTTAGATTTACTTTGAACAATGTGTTACGTTAAAAGAATGTTTATAATTTTTAATCAACAAATAAGCTTATCGTTTACGTAGTATATTCTTAAGTACTTAACGTCCTTTGTAGGAATGGATTTGGCCGATGGGATATTTTCTGCGAGCGCGTCTGCACTTTGCACCGTTAGTCGGCGGTGAAGACGAGTTACGTCGCGTGATTGGATCGACCGAAACCATCATTTCTCGGCACTTCATCGAAGCATCCACCAACCACTGGAGAGGCCTCCCCGAGCTTACCAACAAGAACGGCGACTATTGCAAGTATAGTTGTCGCACTCAAGCGTGGAGCTCCTCGTCCATATTCGAGGTTTGTATTCAAAGCTAAAAAGGCTCCTCAACGTGTGCTCTACGAATCGATTACGAAGCAGAATTTCTTGTCTGAAATATTGTAATTTATATCTGTCACAGGTACTGTACGATCTGCAGAAGATCAAACAGGAATTGCGATCGGAATGCGTGAAGCTCACGAATTGATATAATTTTGCGTGTGTTCACCATCGCCAGCTACACCTAGAACAATTAAAACTAGAAGAAGCAGGACGTAGAGCCAGGAGCAATGCGAATGACACGAACGTACGCCTTCTCACCGAAGCGATAGCGACACCGCACACGGAAACACACGCATACCATATACCGCACGTAGATGTAACGGACACACAGACTCAAATCAAATATGTAGCTGCTAATGTCACATCCACGAGGAACGGTACTCTGATTGAGGAGCGATACTTCACCGAGAACGGCTTGATCTCTACGATCAATAGAAAAACCGATGACGTAGGTTTCGGCAGTCCGCGCGATCCTACTTATTTGGTCGACGGAGATTCGACGGAGTATTCATCAGACGCGAAGATTCATGCTCGGTTGTTGACTAAGGCGGGAGAGATCGATCGCGAGGTACGATGCGCCAAGGATCAACGGAAGAGTCGATGCTATTCGAGGATAGCAAACGACGATGCCAGGAACGAAGCTGTGAGCCTCCGTACCTTAACGGACGCTGATCACGTTTATGAAGAAATTCAAACGATTAAAGAGCCACGTAGTTCGTACGATATTCAGGATTATTACGAGGGATATAGCCCTGTCGCAGCGAAGACCTTGATAGACATGCTTTTCCACCCGCGGCACCAAATGTGCAAGGAATGCGCAGAAACGCACCACCACAGTCCAGTATATACCGACCGCTTGATATACGCGAGGAAATCGCTGCTCGCCATAGAAGTGGTTTTGTGTCATCGCGACGACGTCTCGTGTTTTCAGTACCGCGGCCAGCGAGATGAATTCAGCTCGCGGATTCTCTGCTCGCAGTTCGACGCAGGCCAAGATCAAGACTATATGCTGGTCTACAGTTACGCGAAAACCAACGCCGCAGGTATATTTTACTCTCACTGTTGGCCTCGAGACGTCTTTGACCTTGAGTCGATATTGAAGCCGAGCATTTACGTTATTAGTCGCGCTTGCAACGTCGTAGTGAACACCCAATTGTACCATCGCTACGTAAATAACTATCATGTGAGAATATCGAGAGCTGGCTGCGCACCCATGACATTTCGCAACGATCTTGCCACTATAGTGAGCTGCACCGAACGCATTAGTTGTAGCGACGATTTGCGGGATTCGCTGAATTATCGAAGGCGCCAATTGAAGGATGACGAGCGACGACAGGACAGATCGAGCTTACTGTTGCTGGAACCGTTGCTGCTATTGCCGGAGTTGCCGAATTCTGGACACGACCGGAAGGACAAGAACGCCGTTTTACGATCGGAACGCACGAAGATAATCAGAATATTAATCGCTTATGCATTATCATTTTTCGTTCTCGCGAGCATCACGGTTTATGTAGTCTATTTCACTTAGTTGCCGCCGGACGACCGCTTATTGAATTCTGTGAAAATTGTTAAAAAACATGTTTCGGTAATCTATAATCGCATCGCCACTCAATGTTACGTAATACATTTATTGTCATTAATTTCACATTACATTTGTCTCGAGATGTTCACAAGATATTCGCAGAACAGTCAATGTTGCATATACACAGTGTGATTGTGTGTTTCATTAGATACATGCATGCTTTCGACGTGGTTCATTAATGACAAACAAATGTTTTGCAGTATACAAATTACAACTAGTTTAATGATTAGATCTATATCGCACTAAGCGAACCATTCTTGTGTCAAAATTGTCGTCTGTCAATCATTCGTCAAGTCACATGAATCAAAACACGCGCATGATTTTTTATATGTTGTGGTTGTTGAAAAGCTCACATATATAATTCTTATCACTTACAATTCATTATCGTGAATATATTTCGTAGAATGCCTTAATGTCTAGAGAGTGGTGTAGTCGTTTTAAATAATTGTCATCGAGTTTGTGAAATGTTATTCAAGAACCATGTCTAAATGTGTAACTTTACAAAAGTCAAATTTAACATTTATATTATTCTTGTTATCTATTAATGTCTAGTAATTCCTCTTATTAATTACAATCGCAATAATGAATGCAGAATTGGTTTCAATGATATTTTAATGATGTTTTAATTTGTGAGATGTTTGTGTGATATATATTTATACAATTTAATAAAAAATAACCAAAGTGTTCACTTTCGGTGAAATTGAGTTTTATATAAGTTATTCAATGTCAAGTTTTTACATACATCTAGGTTGACTTAACACACGTCTCGATGAAAAAAATGAAATATTGAGATATTTTTCATAATCGTCTCAGATAGAGATAAATCTTGTAGATCAAAAATCGCAGAGATGCATATTATAGAATATCATAAATGTATGAGAGATATATATATATATAATAAAGAAGGGGTAATAAAATTTTTTTTCACTCACAGGAAAAGTTTCATTATCATATGTATCGAAAAGCCCTCGTAATAAATGCCGATGTTTCAGGTCCTAAATTATCCACGTATATTTACAATTATATTAATGTTTACTATACTGTGTAGCTATATTAAGTCGTTTTTATTAAATTTTTCTATCGTTATTTTCAGAGCAGATTCCTTCATATGATTTCTATCAAACTTGCGTTTTTAAAACTCATTAAAATAAACTCTTCGTAGAATTGTAAAAACGAAACCAGAAGGATAAAAAGGATTTCTAGTTTCTAACGTATGAAACGCACAAAATCAAATTATAGATCACTTTATATATCGATGTTGTATAGAATAAATTGAAATTGTTGAGATTGTTACAAGAAATCGATCAAACAAATGTTAAGAAAATATTTGTATTACATATGAGAAAATTCTAAGCTAATCAAGAGCATTAATAAATAATCTTTCAGGTACATATTAAAACAAATTATACATAAATTATTTATTAACCTTAACATGAGCTAAACTATGCAGAACTGAAAATAAAATAAAGTGGTAAAAATATATTTCTCTTAATAAATGTAATATACATATTTATACTAAATTTGACGTTCATAACATTATTATCGATTTTCTTCATTCTAATCATGTATCAATTCTTATTTAGAAAAAAAATAAATAAATAAATGTTTCCCACTACCTGCTTCGATTTGCGCGAACTTTTATTTTTAGTGTTCTCTCTCTCTCTCTCTCTCTCTCTCTCTCTCTCTCTCTCTCTCTCTCTCTCTCTCTCTCTCTCTCTCTCTCTCTCTCTCTCTCCCCCTCCCCCCTCTCCCTCTGTCTCTCACTCGTGTAATATAAGTTATAAATATCTCATAATATAATTTTATATTTTACCTCGCGTGCTCCTAATACTTGAATTTAAAATTATAACAGCCGATATAGTAAATGTAAAAGCCTTAATCCTTACGTTTTATTACGGACAAAAGATTATTGTTCTACTTTTTCTAATTCACAATTTTTATGACTCAGATCATCAACGACCGTCGCATCGCTCGATATAAATGTCGTGCAAATTTCTAAAGTTAATTTTAAAGTCATTCGCATTCGAATAAGTCGCGTTGAAATCACGTTTAAATATCGTCGAACAATCCTCTAGGCGGAGGGCCGACACGACTTGTACTCGTAGAAAACGCTCTCGCATTATTTGCATGCGAATCGTACGAATCGTCACCTTGATTTTCCCCGTCGTAGCGATTGTTCGCAACATAACCATCCCCGTCGAATGTCATACCGATGCAATATTCCGTAGGGTCGAAATCGCGCAACAAACCTGCTCTTGCGGACTCTATCGATTCGTCTCGTTTCAACGGCCGTACTAAAGGAATTATAAGTATCGGCGTTATATATACGAATATAAAATCTATATCACAGTACTATATATTTTTCATTGCACGTACCGGTATCTGTACTTTGACGAGATGTCCTATAACGTGACGTGCCTACTGAGATGTTGAATCTTTCTTGCATTTCGCGTCGCCTGTACATAGAATCCTCTGCTCTTTGACGTTTACGTCTCTCTGTAATAACAAAGAAATATTAATCGAATAAGTTATCGAATTATCACTTGTTTATTCATTTATATAATCTGACCTTTGCTTCATTTGATACATGATATATCAACACTTATAAGTCAAGACTTGTTAAGTCTTCTCATATTACACATATACGTTAAGTAAAACATATATAATGACGTACAAACGCGTAACAATTTATTCGTACCTCTTTTTATAAGTTCTCTTCCTTCTTCCACAAGATCCGTAGTGAACTCATCGTCGTCGAGAAATTGCTGAAAGCCTAGCATGGAGAGCAATCTACTACCTATACTAAAGTAAGTTGCCAGACAGAAGGCCAAAATTGCTATAGGAAAATATACATTGAACCCGTCAGAAATGATGGGAATAACATCCATGTGACCCATCACCTGAAAAAAGGAAGGAAATGATAAAGACGGACGTCAAAGAAGTTACATTTTTTACTCTTAAATAACGTTACCTGCGTGTAATGTGTTTCCAAGATATGAGTCTTGATAATATGTGAGTCCATGTGTATAAGTCCCAGGAAATTGAGACACATCGGCGGAGTTAAACGACACAACATCATACCGCTGAATATCAAACTGTACTCGTTGGTTTGATGATGAGGCGCCAAATAATATAGATTCAATACACGAATTTTCAAGACAGTCGAGTAAGCGCAATAGCAAAGGTACGCAATGATCAACATAGACAGCACCTAAGAACAAAAGATATATGTAGTAAATATTAACACACGTAGCATACAGAATATGAAATGCAAATCCTTTACCTCTATCGTAAAGTAATCGTAGTTTCTTTTCGCTAACTTCAGAAATTGAGCAAATAATGACAATACGGGCGACTTATTGAAAAATGTTACTTCTGACCATACAACAGCTACCGACAAACATCCAGCACAAATGGCAGCCATCTTCAAGACGTAATTTTTCACAACGCATTTCCAATACCATTCTGAAATTTAAAGTATCATGAAATTGAGTGAAATATATACAAGTTTTATTACTGAGAGATTATTGTGTAGGACTCTAAACTAGTGAGGAAAAACAAACAATCGTATATATATATATATATTACTTACCGATAACAGGATTGTAAATAATGCGAAACGGAAGTGAACGGTGTGTGGGAAATGCTTGCTTGAATCTTCTATCGTGACTCACTTGATTTTTTGCTACATCTTCCAAATCAAAAATCTTGTCTACTAAGATACCCCATTGAGTCTCTATGCGTTGTAAAGTTTGCAATGCTTTTATAGTCTAAAACAGAGATAATAGCAATAAGTACAAACATAAATGTACCATAATATGTTTGATATATATTCGTTTTTGACAAACTTGTCTGTGCAATCGAATCAAAGATTTCTCAGTGGGTGTATCCGTTGGAGTATCATCAGGTAATTGTCTCCTGTTCATTCTATCCTTCAACTCTGCTGGTATCTTTTGGAAAATCGTTTCCAAATTGCAATGGAATGGATGACCAGGTCCAATGGATATTGTTGCAATTTGTAGTGACTAAATAGTATAGTATCTATTGAAGAACTTGTGGGATTCTCGCAATATAAAGAACATGCTACAAACAGCATTATTTACTATACCTCGAGTATATCATCTACTGTTTCCTCCGCTTCACACTTATCCAAGCTCAGTTTCGCCACCTTAAAATAACTATAGCTTAAAGTATATCCAGGTTTACTGGCATTCCATAATCCTCGAGGTACTTCGACAAGTGCATATCCAAGCAACAAGACCAGTAAAAATAAGCCCCATGTATTAGATGCAGATGATGCTATAACTTTTAATTTTTGTCTGGAAAGCAATAAACATAGTTTTGAAGCTACTGTCATACATTTATGTTAACAGCATCATATATATAAGTTTTATATCTTTATGCTACAATATAAATCTTCTTACTTTAATATTCTCATTATAGTTTGGCATAACTTACCCATCAAAGTCTAAGCCAGGTTTCAATGCAATGTATATCAAAAGTATGCCACATATAAACAAATAACTGCCATAATATATTGCATTATCTATCAAAGCAGACTTCAATTTCCCACGTACAGTAAAGTCCCCTGCTTTTATGTAAGATTGCATCAGTGGGAGTATCAACCATGTTAGACATTGTGATGTCCAATAGACTATCCTCCACAAATTTGGAAATACACTTTCTGGTACATTTGGCCAGGGTTCTTTACAAGTAGCAAATGGTACAGATGTTGTGTTAGCAGGACTTTTAGTACTATTATGTATATTCTGCTCTACACACTGTCTGAATACAGTCTGTGAAAAAAGGAAATATTATTGTAACCGATATTATGTTTATCTAATCTATGTCTAATCTATGTATATATCTATGTTTATCTAATCTATATCTAATATTTCATAGAAAAACTTTCATGATATAGTCGAAGACAGCTTCAATATATTAACTTATAGAAATGCATAATTACCGAGGAGACATCCAAAGGTAGTATAAAGATTATTAATAAGGAAAAATACCAAGCTATTAACACAGAGACAGTGACTATGATGTGGTGCCGAAACACATTTCCATATTTAAAAAGTAAAGTCCCGGCCAACAGGAATGCCACTATAATCTCTGTCAGGAATATACCAAGAACCATTTTGTTTTTTATCTTGATAACTGTGATATTTAATGCATCTTATGACTTTCAAATTATTATCAGTTAATGCACATAAATATTTATGCATTCATGTCAGAATTAGTTTCTGCCTCTTGTGCTTCTCTGACTTTGATCTCAGCTTCTTTCTGCATTTTTTCCAATTTTTCCAAAGTTACCGATTTCAATGGGATCAATTTTGGCTTGCAGAGTATATAATTTAATGTATCCTTCTGATACAATAGACCTTGTCTTGGAAGGACAATGTCACACTTTTCTACCTGACTATCCTTAGATTCTGACATTTTCGCTCAATCTGCTATGTGCCAGTGAGTTGATAGCAACCCCATTGTGACATCTAAGAAAAAACATTATGCAGTTACAAACTCAATTGTACCAGGTATTTTTTCTAAAGACAATCATAATAAAATTTTGAGTTTTAATTGGAAACACTATTGCGATCCACCAGTGGCAAATTTTCCAGCTGGAGTGAATGATAGAAATGTTAATACAACGAGATTTGCATATTTAACATCGGACTATGCTTGTTCAAACTGCAACAGCAGCCGGGGACAATTCAATTTAAGTTATTTAAGAAATCAGCATCTTTGCAAATTTAATCTGACGCAATTGATAAAATACAGCAATTGTCGCTCGTTGAGGGGAATATCCTGTCCGTTTCAGAGCTCTTATCGTTCAACAGCTCGAAAATTATGTTATTATCACAATCTCGTCACGATAAAACACGACATGCACATTACGAACAGTTACAGCTGGTTACAATATGAGCAAACTCATGGAATCGCAGACAAGACCCTCGTAGAACCGTGGATCGCCATGGACTGCTGTCATGAATGCTTTCACGTCGGACATTGCGACTCGACGATGCGACTTTCAGAACTAACATCTACGGTGCAGATAACGATTGTAGATAAATGACTTCTTAATCTGTACGCCGTGTTTGTGGTGGCAATCGTACATCGCAAATGCTCAGCAAATATTACTGACACTTGTGACACTTTGATTATCGCTCGTGAAGAGATAAGCACTTCACTTGTATTTACATTTTATTCATCACTACCATCGAGATATCATAGGAAGTCACATTCCTGAATAAGCCATTTTTATCGATAAAAAAGAGTTCGGAATACCGGTCTATGTCAGAGAACTCTCATATTTATCAGAGATAATTGGAAAACGTCGATATGACCACTCGTCGGTGTAAGAATATTACGCATAAATTTCCAATTTTTGCATTTCCGAAAGGAATAAAGACATCACAGCTACAGGAGCAAGTTCATACACGGCAATTACCCAATCATAAAAAAAATATTAAAAAAATGTTTTTAAAAATATTAAAAAAACATTTTTAAAACGTTAAAAATAATCTTAAACAAGTTATTAATGTAAAATAAATATTAAATAAACATTAAATATACGTTAAATAAATATATTTTTTAATCATTATTTTCAATGAAGAATTAATATATAAAAATTTTAAATAAACGTTAAATAAATATTTTTTGCACAATGAATAGAAAAAATGTAAAAGAAATATAAAATAAAGATTTGAATAACGTTAAAAAAACATTGTCTGCTGATCGGGTAGCAGCCAAAGCGAAATGATGGAAAATAAATTTCAGGTTATCCGCGGGAACAGAGTCATCTAGCGTCGGCGAGCGAAGCGAAACGAGCTGTAAAACGCGGCTGACAGGCGGCTGGCGCCATCTGGCGTCGGCGGGAGGTGCAGCAGTCGGAACGAAGAGATCTTGAATCCCTCGCCCGCCACCATCACTGCTATCGCAGCCGCATCGTGGTCGCTGCTGCGCCGCCGCGCATCCCTCCGTAAGCCGCGGTCGGCCGCGGTTCAAAACCAGTCGGTCTGCATTCCAGTGTCCCGGTGAACGCCAAGCAAGTTGTTGTTTGGCGTCGTCGTCGTCGTCGTCGTCGCCGTCGCCGCCGCAGCAGCAGCGGCCGTCCCATACATACGTGCATCGCACGAGTCGTTCGTTCGCAACGGATCGGATCGCGTCGCGTCGCACAGTCGCGCGTTGAACGAGAAACGTGAGCGAAAATGAAGCGGCGAGAGGAGAAGTGAAAAAAAGAGAGAAGCGGGGCCCGTAACGCGGGCCACAAAGGACACGGCCCAACGGACCACCGTCGCCACCGCCGCTCTGTCGCTGGCACCTCGCTGTGAGGAGATCCTCTTCGCCGGAACAAGAGCGAGAACGACGTATCGCCTACGAACGAGAGATAATCGGGACGACTTTCTCAGCGTCGTCGACTTGGTCGTGCGGCCAGACTGAAAAAAAGGGTAAGCAAGAGCGAACGAGCGCGCACCTGGCATGTGTATGCGTCGTCGCCGAGGCGATCTCGGCACGGCGGATCGACTGCGCGATCGCGATCGCGATCATACGTGCCAGAGCACGTAGTCGGTTAATTTTGCAATTTATTTGAAATCCTCGCGTGAGCGATTTCGAGCGGGGCGAGAAAAATACAGCCGATCGCGATCGCTCGGCAGTTGATGTGAAAGTGGTTGTTTTGCTCGCGAAAGAAAGTCGGCGGAGCGACGTCTCGGTCTTTTTGGTCGGGTTTTGTTGCATTGTTTGTGGAGTACGTTGATGTTTTCTGTGTCTCAATTGTGTGCTCGTGTTTCACTTAGAACGACGGGAAAGAGAAACGCAGGGGTGCAAAAAGTGCAGATGGGAAGTGCGTGAAATAGGAGATCCTACGAGACAAGTGTATTCGGGCTTCGAAGGGATGAAAGAGAAAAAATCGGTAGCAGAGTGCAGGAAGAATAGCCGGAGGACTTCCCCTCCGTTTTCGCGCTACACCAACATCCGAGATTCCTGTGTCCTTTTCTTTAATCTTACCTGTTTGCGGTAGCGATCCAAATCCTGTTCTCACCAGCACCGATTCCACTGATGCACCGTGAAACGAGTAACAGGTATAAACGCATAACCTTCTTTTAACCTTTTTTTAATCCTTCTTCATTCTTCTCGCTCAATATATCATACTCTATTTCAAGAGGGAGAGAGGAAAAGAGAAAGAGAGAGAGAGAGAGACACACAGAGTTCTACTACATTTTAAATTCTTTTATTTTATTATTGTACACACTTTTCAGTAATGTTTTTATATATTTCCACAAGTATACTTTTTTATAAACTCTCATAAATATTTCTTTTACTTTTCACAAATATCTCGCACATAATTTTCAGATAAAGCTTCTGATTTAATTAAAAAATTAAAAAATATGAAATGGAAAAATTAGAACTAAAGATTCAGGTAATTTATTTAAGTTCACATCCTTGAGAAGCTTCTCTTGTTACATGCTTAATGCTTTTAATCATTATTCACTCATCAGTCTTTGATACTTCAAATGTATTCTATATCTATTTCATTTATTCAAACATTTCTTTTCACGCTTTCAAGCAAACTTAAACATCGCTTAAGTGCACCTCAATTAATTTCAATGTATCTCCGCTAAATGCATTTCCACGCTCCTTGCTCCAGAATTTCCTTCCTTTCAGCATCCTCACGTTACGACGATATGAAATGCTCGTCCTTGCTGCGACACTCACGGTCTCCGGCGATCCCATAAACGCACCGCAAGACGGTCCTTTGCTGGAATACTAATGACACGGATAGTCATTTATGGCGCGGCCGCGCATTCCACGTAGAACAGGAAGAGTCCATTGTAGCTGTCGGCAGATTGGAGTGTTTTCGATGTAAGGTCTTCTCAAGTGCACGTGATTTCCCAAGACCTCCGCTGCGCCGCACGCAAATCAGGTGACGGCACGAATACCTCAGACTTGTGTCACTCCTTTTGCGTGTCCTGCATTACGCCAAGTCGGAACTGAAAGAGTCGAACTCTCTCAGGCCAAGGATCTTTAATCCCGTATTCTCATTCGTCCGTTCGTCGAAAGCTCGTTGAATATTACTCGAGTAAGAAATAGTGCACTAATTATGTAACACCCTCGCCGATGGCCGCCAAAATCGCCGCTAATTCCCGGCGTTACGCGGCAGGATTCACGACGAGTGTTTCGCCTGCGTAATAGCGCGATTGAAATCACCGTAGCCGCGCGACGATTAAGTCGTTAATACGAAAGCGCGCGCACCGAAAGAGCAGATTAAGCCCGTAATTATGGCGCAACGAGAACAACTGCATTGGTTGCAGCGCTCCGGCGCGCTCCGCGCTGCGACCGGCGTTGCCAGCCTTGGCAACCACTGCTTTGGAATTTGGCTTCTTTATTTTTACGAGAGGTAACATCGGAAACCAGCCTCTTTGCGGCCCTTCTCACCTGTTACATACCACCGCCATTTATGCGACCATTTAACCAGAAGTTAAGAGTCCCCTTGTACATAAAACGGCGCGCGGCGGTCCGGCTGTCGCGCCGCGATCTTCTCTCTGCGCTCTCGAATTGTTTCCCCCCTCCCCTCCCTTTTTCCGTCTGTTGCTTGTCGAATTTGCCCGCTCGGAACGGGATAGATGCTCGCTTGAGATTCTCGTCTAGAAATATCCGTGTCATTCCGCTCTGCTCCCGCGTTTTGACTCGTTAATCGTTCACTTAATCGCCTTATGTGGAAAGAAAAGAAACTTTGCTCGTGTAACTGATTTTCCGGAAATGTGACGAAAATCCTCTGTTGTAGGAATATAAAGGTTCCTCCGGGAGACCTTTTTTTTCAACCGATTGTTCCCTATTCAACCGAATATTTTCACAGACAGAAAGTTTTAGTCACAATAACGGAGAGGTCGTTTCTTGTCATTCTGTTTTCATTCTGTTACACAAACAGAGATTTTTTCATCCACCCTCTGTCGCATTTTTCTATATTTCTGTTATTCGTTAAGGTACATATTTGTATATGACAAATTGGATTATAATTAAGTTAATTAAGATACCAGCCGAATTTCGAGCAGTCGATAGGAATTACACCCAAAAAAAAAGTAATTTCAGGTCAAGCGGAATCATCTAAATTTTAGAGGATTTTATTCTTATATATGGCCTCAAAAAGATTCCTCTAAGATTAAGAGGAAAATTTATAAAGAGGGATTATATGTATAATGCAAATCTTATTGATTTTAATATAAATTTCCTCTTCACTGATTATTTAATCTTTTTTTAAGAAAATTATTATTTATTCTTACTGCACTTAAGTCTTACTGGTTATATTAGTTAATTTGAAAAAATTATTATAATGTATAGCGAATAACATATATATACAGATGTACTTCTGGCTCCAATTTTACAATAAATAGGCACGAATGAAATAAGATCATTATAACAAACAAATTTCCAATCAATTTTGTTATGGACTTCATAGCTACAAAAATGTTTATCGTAACCAATTGTATAAAACAGTTAACAGAAAGAACATATTATTCAACTTCTTGCAATAGATTATACTGTATTTGACCAAATATGGGTAAATTATTTTCGTTATATGTCACAGCAACACATATACCTTTTTTAAAAAGCATTCCAAATATTCTGACGCATGAGCATACAGTTATTTTTTCGTTCATGTCTGGAGGTAGAGCATGATCGACCAAAAGAAGCGGACACTCAAATCAACATATTCTTCTTTGTATAAAAGAAAAATTGATTGATATAAGAAAAAATCCTCTTGAAATAAGAGGAAAACAGTTAGAATAATATCTAATAAATTTTAGATGAATGGTTCACTTTAATCGCTTTATCGAAAGAGGAATCTTTTTTCTGTAGCAGGCTTCTCTTAGAATATGAGACTATGGGAAGAATCACTTTGCAAATAGAATACTTTTCTTTGGGTGCACGCGGCGCGACATCTAATGTATTACGTAGCTTATTAATTATTATTTATATTTGTAGAACTGCGGTTTGCGTAGCTCACCGAGGCGCACAACGTCGATCGGCTTGAATGGATATACCTACGCGCGTTAGCTCAACGTAAAAGAATTGCCGTCGCTCTTCGTAATATGCGCGAGTATGGTTTTCTGACGGCCGCGGGTGGCCGTCGTAAGCGGCACGTGGGTGTAAAGCGGTTCGCGCAATAAACGGCAGCTTTCGACGCCGTATATGGATATTTTCTAGATATTCACGCGCGTCACTCATGCCTAGCCGAGTTGCCGACTCGCTTTTCGCGGCGTTACCCGTTTCCTCGGGAAACGTTCGCCCATGCGATTTATCGCAAATCACTTAAGTAGAGTTTGTTCTCTCGCCCACGCGTAGCTTAGCTACACTCTTCCTGCTTCATCATGACATGCGTTGTGCGATGAGAAAATTCCGATATAGTACTGATTATTGTTCTCCTCTTTCCATCTTTTTAATCATCGGATAATAATTTAGACGTGTAAGGCTTAAGGAAAATATAATTGGAAAGGCCCGTGGCAACTCTGTCACGCAGGATATAATTTTGCAACGTATGAGATTTTTGTGATCACACATCTGGTAATAGAGCCGCTGCTACATGATAGACAGTCACTGCCATTCCGTCCCTAATCTTTAGGGCGAAAAATGCGTTCTATTTTCACGTGAACTCGGCGTTCTAAACTTAAACATGCTTGGCCGGTATTAATTTTAGTGGGCCTTCGCCGGCACTCCGAGCCCCGTATTTGCTTACCCGCAATCGCAAACGAGACCGGGAAAAAAGGAAGAATAGCACGCGAAATGCCTGGTTAATGTAATGCATAGCGGTTCTTCATGCTTACAGAATGTGTCAAGATGACATCTATCCCCTCTTTACGTGGCGTTATTGTAATCCTGCTCTATGGTCTGATTACTTGCACGCATGGTAAGTCTGAAGAATTCCAAATTTCAACTGATATCCATATATCAGATATATGTATGTGTGCGCGTGTGTGTGTTTAGATTAAATCTTAATATCGCGAGTATTATAACGTTACTGTATTACTTTATTACTGTATGCGAGTATTATAACGTCGTCTATCAATATCGCGAGTATTGTAACGTTGCTATGATGTTCGCAGGAGAGAAAGACGATGGAATGTCGTTCACCCGGCATCCACAGCCACTGGCCGCTCCGTTACATGACGACGTGAATTTCGAGTGCAGTCTTAATCTGCCAGCGGAGAGTTTCGCGTGGCATCACAGGCCGCTGGGCGCACGCAAATGGGTACCATTGTCGCACCCCAGCGGCGGCGGGAAAACGTCCCGGCACGTTGTCAATTTCAACAATGTGTCGAAAGCCGGCGACTACCGTTGCATCGCGTTTTTCGGTAAGTCTCTCCGCGAGAGAACTCCGTGCTTCATGCACTGATTTATTCGAATGAGTCCTTCAAGCGTCGATGTTCGTCGTCAGACACGCGCTATTGTTGTTTCGATTTCTGCTGTTGTAAAATTCATTACTGGAATTTATCCTTCTCGGTCCTTTCGCAGGTACGAGCGGCTTCGCGTCGGACCCGGCGAGACTGACGCTTGCAACAATACAGAAATTCTCCGACAAGAGTGACGTGTTCATTCAGGTAGCGGAGGGTAACACCGTGCCGATTACGTGTCCCATGCCATATTCCGAGCCAGAGGCTATAGTGATGTTCTTCAAGAACAACGCGCTCATTAAGGACGCGAGTCTGGTCAACAGCAGGACCATGGTCATCAAGAACGTCAGAGTAACGGACAGCGGGTCGTATCATTGCAGCGCGGAGAATTACATAACGCAACAGACGTTCACGAGTATGCACAAGATAATCTTGACGGTGCACACGAACGTCAGCCATCAGGAGCCGTACTTGATAAAGCAGTCGCAGACGGAGTACACGGTCGTGCGCGACAAGAACGTCACGTTGGAGTGCTTCGGCGCCGGTTACCCGGTACCGCGGGTCTCATGGAGCAGACTGGGCAGCTCGTTGCCGTTGAAGTCGGAGAGGTCGTCCACGGGCTTGACGATCGTGCACGTGCAGCCATCCGATCGAGGAGAGTACGATTGCGTGTGGAGCAACAGCGTGGGGCAGATCAAGTCCGTGATTATACTGAGGGTGATGGAGCCGCCCAAGGTGACGAAACAGCCGAAGGCGTCCACGTTCTCCGAAGGTGGGGAATTGGAGCTCTCGTGTGCCGTGACGGGCGAGCCGGAGCCGACCGTGGAGTGGCTCATCAACGGGGAGACTTTGACGCCCAGCAAAAATCAGGAGATCAGAAGTACCACTCTCTTCATAGCCGAAGTCGAGAAGAAGCACGCTGGGATCGTTCAGTGCGTCGCCAGCAACGACTACGGCTCACATTCGTCGGGATACAACCTGCTGAGGGTGAGCCCGAAGCAGCATGTTCTCGGCGGTACCACCGAGTCCAAGCCGGATTACGGCATCTCCGTGTCGAGGCACAAGCATACCAGAGGCGGTGGTAGGCGCAGAAATAAGGAGGGGAAAAGGAAGGGCACCGGAGGTAACTATTTGCTCTGATCGCGTTATCGTCTCGCGCCTATTATCGTTATCAAACGTTTGGTTCAAGATATCGCTTTATTAAGTCTTTCGGGACGGAATATACTTACATACATATATAATTTTATATATACATACATATATATATATATATATTAAAAACGAAGGAGAAAAAGATGAAGCATGGCTTTTTGCGTGGGGGTTCAGGGGGCGGAGCCCCCAGCCAGAGCTCGCAAGCCGCCGAAGGCGGCAGCGCGCGCGCGAGCGAGACGGTTGTTTTTGCCACTTTTCCTTCGAACGACGCCTTCCCTCCACTTACCGCCCACCATAAGTTCAATGGCGTGGCCTTTGGTGGACAATTTTAACGCTTTGCTGTCCGCGAATTAATTAACAGTTCATGTACAAATAAGTACCTGCTCGCGAGAAATTGTGCAAATCAAGAATATGTGAAGAATATTACCATAAAAATTGGCCATTCCTCGGCTTGGTTTCTGCCTCGTTCTTTTCCCTCTCTTTATATCTCTATACCAATAATTAAAATGTTTATTGTATAATTTAAATCTCTCTTACAATAAAACCTTAATACGTATCTGACGTGTTTACTTACATTTGCAGCAGTCCTGGTCCCTCCAGACCAGCCCAATGTGACAAGACTGTCTGACACTTCTGTCATGGTGCGGTGGTCGGTACCGGATAATAAAGGTTTACCGATACAGTTTTTCAAAGTTCAGTACCGTGAACTTGCTCAAAAGGCGAATGGTAAACAGGCGAAGTGGATGACAGCCAACACCGAAATACCGAATCACGTACGGTCCTTCGAAGTGCCTGACCTCCAGCCTGGCTACACTTATCGATTTAGAATCGCTGCGGTGTACTCGAATAATGATAACAAACTGAGTCCAAACTCTGGGCGTTTTCGTCTGAATCGGGTGTCTGAGAATAGCAAGATGCCAGTACCCCTGTTGAACAACACCAAGGCGTTAGGACCGCATCAGGTGTTGCTGATTTGGGAGAATCCCGATAAGTCCGCGAGTATCGACGGATTCTATATATATCATCGGGCCTCCACGTCGGCCGGCGATTACTTGAAGACCACTGTCGAAGGGAAGGATGCTTATAACATGACCATCTCTCACTTGCAACCCGACACTACGTACGAGTTCAAAGTGCAGAGTTTCTCCGTGGACGCGGCGTCGGAATTTTCCAAGATACTGCGGCAGAAAACAAAGAAGATCATCGTCGAGCACCCGGTTCAGCAAGTGTTGGCGGAGAACAAAGTAAAGCCCAGCGAAACTAACATAAGTGTCAGTGTGTACGTTATAATCGCTATAGTATTCGTAGCGTCGGTCTTCATAGGGATCGTAGTCACGATCATATACAAGAAAGTGAAGTACAAGCAGAGTCGAGGATCTTCGCAGAATGAAGGTACGTTGGCTTGTTTCAATGCCGTAATAAGGTGTACAATAATTTATACGATCTTGCGTACACGAATAACCGTACTCTCCTTTCTTTCGTTCACGCAACAGGTAAACCGATAGCAAACGGACGAGTAATAAACGGTGGAGTCACAGACTCCAAAATTAATATTACGTCCAATCCGCTCGCCGGTCTCGACGCATCCGAAGACATAATACAGCCTAAGGTCAGTATTTGTAAGTAACAGCATCTGCACTTTTGTTTCGTCGGAGAAAAGTAATCGAACTGAAATGCCTTCGTCCTTTTTTTCACTCGACAAGCGATAAGGTCGCATTGAATGTTGTTTCTTGTACAATTGTACATATACGTTCGGTCTCTCCTTGAAACATATAATTGCTCATCTCGGTCATAGTCATTTACTTTTCTCCCTGGTGTCAGTACGATTCTAGACGAGCGCAGAAACATGTTAGTCGTAGTGCATTCAAGAACTCTGTCGGTTTGATGTCAACTATGATTTGACGCTCACAACCGCGACGTTTCCACGAGAGAATTTGACAGTCTCGCAGCCGCGTGTAACGCGTTTTGCTGCGCTCGTCTACATGTGAAGATCCGACATTGAAAACTGTCCGATATTAAGGAGACTAGTCTTTTCTAGTTTTAGCATTGGTTGCGCGCTGCTCTTTAATTCTACTCGCTCTCTGCACTCTCTCTCTGGAGCCGCTTTTCTTTTGTTTTTCCGCACACGACACACGTACGTTACTTATACGCTCTAGATCTGAAAGAAGCGAACGAACACGCATGTTTCTAAACAGAGCGGACAACAGTCGTCGATGGAAATGACGTCGTTTCTAAACGGCCAAAACAACAACAGCAACAGCCATAACAACGGCGACACGGCCGGATCGGACGTGGTGAACGCCACGTCGCGTAGCGAGCCGTCGTCTCTACTCCAAGGGCCGCTGCCTATCGAGCAACGTTTGTGAATCGTAGCTATGTCTCTGTTTTAGTAAGACGGTAAGATGGTCGTCGACGACACATGCGGTGTCGCCGAGAACAGACTGAGTGTCGCTACGCAATGATGCTCGCGGACCGACCTCGCGTGAGAAGTTTTCTCTCGTATAGGAGGGACACTACGCAAAGACATGACTTATCGATATGTTATTTTTAATGAGATTCTGAAACTTAACTTATAGACTGTATTTAACGCGTTTCATCTACCGCAATGAAGAGAGAGAGACTGTTGCAAGACACTTATCTACAGGGTGTCTTAAATAGTTATGCTCAAACGTATCGCTGCTGTAAACTGGGATTAGTTTAGCGTGTGCGGGTACATCTCGCCCGCACGTGAAGAAAAAGACGTAGGATGTGTCGCAGATATCGCTAAACCTCTGACTTCCAGTCGCCTGAGAGATTTAATGTTAAACGAAATCACGCTCAGAACGTCTGCCGTTCGTCGGCATTCTGTCAATGTCTCACGACGGCCAAAGCAGACCCATTTTACGGCACATGGTGACTAGAAAGCGGACCCGGATCTGCTTGCATCCCTTTATGACATATTCTTGATCTTTCCTTTTGATAAAAGAATATTATTAAGAATTCACGCCCGTTAAGTAGATAGATACGAAATTTAATTATGTACCTGCGAAGTAACTAACTTAACTGTGTTACGTATCTACTTAATGGGCACAAGCTAGTGAGCACTGAACAACGTGTTATTTAGTAATTTTAATATAACTTTTTATGACGCGCGTACTTTTGTATGCGCTTTTACGACGGGCAACTCTTCAAGTATTCAATTCGTATTAAGAACTATTTGAGGTATGTAGGATACAGCATACGTACAATATTGTTAACTATTAAAATCGTTGAAGCGCGAGTAACGTCATTTTACAATGGTTGCTTTTAAGTATCTTTTTATAGAATAATGAATATAATGTTTGAGTCATATATTGTTAACAATATCTTGTAATATCTGTTATGACAGTGTTTTCCTAGCTGCTGCTGCAATAAAGATTCAATAATTTAATGTCATTCACAATGACATGACACAATATGATTGTAATATTTCTAATGGTAGCTAATTGTACAAATTGTGCTTGGAAATTTTTTTCCTCTGAGAAATGGTGAAATGATTGTTATTTTACGTCAATTGAAAAAGTAGAGACAAAAACTCTGTAAATACGAATGTATAAACCTTCTCTAATAAAATATTTAGTATTTTGGCTTGTTAAAATGTCACAATCGCATCTGTGAATCGATGATGAAGCTAGCGAAAATATACACATTGTATATATATATTTTTGAAAATAGTTTTTAAACGACAGGAATGAATATATGTGCCTTATATCTTGCCTGGAAATAATTATTATTTATATATTTCTATATATGACAGCATTACACATACACGCGTGTGGACGCGTGAACACATACACACACACACACACACATATACATACACACTTTGTGTACTTAATTTTTATAAAATAAATTATATTGAAAAGATAGAAAATTCTGTGCGTTTTGAATCTAACACACTCTGATTGTATTTAACACACTTTGATTATATTTAATAAATGTGATAAAGTTATCAAAGTAACAAAATAGTGTGGTAATCAACGTAACATTATGATTTGTATGCGTCACGAATAATAAAATTTATAACATATATTTATAACATATATATTTATATATGTTATGATTTATATATGATTTATAACATATATATATATATACAGCGAGTCATGTTGAATCATGCTATTTGAAACTAAAATTTGATTTTTTGTTCAGTCATATTGTACACACATTTTTCTGATTTTAATGTTTGGGAATTTAAGCTTTTAAATGAATTTTAAATTTAAACTTTCAAAAGTTTTTTTTATCCAACGGGTGGCGAACTTCATTTAACGCCATCTAGGTATTGCGCTGAGAACATTTTCGACATGTGAAAGCAAAAAAATAATTCTCAGCAACACCGCTCGACGAATCACATGGATGCGATGAATTTGAAAATCTCATAACTGTAACGTAAATTGTTGTATCGCGAGAACGTCACAGCGATCTTATTTTCCGAGTGAAACATAATATTCATGGAATTTAGCACATTTTAAGTTACAAAGGGAACTCAATGTTAATTAACCGTTCTCACGACATGTAAAAACTTACGACACGTGTGATGGTGAAACGCATTATCCGGACAGATTCACGGACGATTCTGCTCCGCTCGAACAAGTGTGCGCGTTGTAAACACCGGGAAGTCCTTAACAATTAACGAAGTATCGAGAAAAAATATCTTGGCAAGATGTGTGATTTAATAGATTTAAATAGCCCCAACGTGAAAGATTTAATGAATTCGAAACTAGCATCACCTCTGATTCCTGTACCCAGACACGTGGAACCTAATCAGCAGGCCAACTCCTTGGTGACGGAGAAACGTGAGAGTCTGGGTAACAATCCGTTTGATAGCGTATTGCACGAGACCACCGAATACATAAAAAAAAAGGGCGATCCCTTCGAAGTGGTGCTGCAGAAAGCCTTAAAGTCTAAAAGCACAAAAGGTACAGAGCTGAAAGCTCACCCTGTGGATTTTATGGATGATTTTACCCCAAAGCGTAGGAGGAAGTATCAGAAGATAATGAATAAGACACTGGATGAATCGTTGGTTAAGAGCAATATGAATCCTATAAATGAAGAGAAAAAGGAAACAGCTATCAGTAATGTTGCTAATAATATCAATGTCACTTGTGATAGCAATATAAGTGGAAGTAACAAGTTCACTCATAAGCAAAATATCAAAATAACAGTCATGGATGCAAATCCTCTTGAATTATCTATTTTAAATCAATCTGCAATGAATGACACATTGTTAGAAGGCCCTAAATATAAAGTGGATAATGAAATATCAATTTTCCTAGAAAAAGAACCATCATTTAAAGAATTTGTTGTTCCTACAAGCTCAAATTTTAAGCCACCTTTGAATCCTCAACGTTCATTGTCACAAGGAAGTAGAAAATCACCAAGAAAATTACAGTGTCAAGACAAAAGGCCGCAGTCTATAACAGATACATTGAGAAAAGCTTCACACAATGATAGTACTATGTTATCTCTTTTAAACAAAGGTTTCTTGGAAAACGGACAGAATCAACAGTCTTTATTTTCTGATCTATCAGATGTTTCTTCCATAGCAAAATTGAATTCTGCCTCATTATTATCAAATCTGTCATCAACATCATCAAATGGCATCATGAACAATGCTTTTATAGATAGCAATTGTTTGAAGATGAGTAATGAGAAGATAAATAAATCTGAGAATTCTATGGAGATAAAATCAGTACAGTATGACTTATCTGACCTAACAGAAAGACTTACTAAATTAAAATGTGCTATTGATAGAACAACCAGTACTCTCAGTGCAAAGGAAGAAGTTAATAAATCCAATTCCATGAAAAATGAGAATAATAAACAAATTGTAGATAATAAATTGGTTGATGTTGATGTGTTTATGCCAGAGCCGAGTTCCAACATAGGACACGATAAAAGCACAAATTCCATTAGCTCTTCAGATTCTGTATTCACTGTAAGATCTATATAATTATGTACTATATTTAATATTTAAAAATATTTTTTAGTTTCTTAATTTATCATTCATTGCATTTGGCATTGCAACAATTAATTAATAAATTAATCAATTAATTAATAGTTATATAAAATAAGGATACTATGCTAATATATTAAATAAAATTCTAGAAAATTCTAGAAAAATTATATAGACGATGTAAAAATATATAGAAAATATATAGATAGATAGAAATAATTAAGCAACATATCTTTAATATTTAGTATGATGGTTTCTTCAATTTAAAAGGATAGAAAATTTGAATTCTATAAATGACCACTATATAATTAAAAATACATGCAAAACTATCTTAGAATCTCAATATCTGCCAATTTATTTATGTTTATTCATGTTTTTTACTTCTGCTTACATTTTAAATATACTTGGATTTATATTATCCAATTATATATTGGTTGTATTTCTCTTAAGGATATTCAATATTTTGTACAATTACTAATTATGGACATAAATAAGATTTTACAGAATTAATTTTTAAATTATTTTATAATAAAACAAAAATATTACGTGTCAAAATTAATTGCAGGATAGTGGCAAAATCGACAAATCAATATTGAATGAAGCTAAGGTACTTGCAAAAACTTTTGAAGAGCTAGCTCTAAAAACAGATTCTGGATGTAAGTATTTTATATTATTTTGAATGTTTTATAAATAAATGTTTTATATTTATTGTGTGTGACTATTGTATAAATGTATATAATTCTGATAATAAATTATTCATGCTTTTATTCTTTTTTCTTCACTAGCTAGTACAGATGATCTAATTTCAAATAATGGTCTATGGATGTCAGAATTACTACCAGCATATGAGGATGAGTCTGTAGATAATCTAATTGAGTTACTTGTTTCGCCGAAGAAAAACTTAGAAATCGATAAAAGTAACAATTTGAAGCAATCTTCTGTAAGTGATAATGTGGAAGAAAATTTTATGAAGGAAATGGAATCACAATTTATTGATAGTATTTCTACTGTAAAGCAGACAACAATAACTACATTATTATTAGATCTTAAAAAATTAGTAAAAGCAGAAGATAATCCAGAAGCGAATAAATTAATTAATCATCTGGAGAGTGCTTTGGGTATAAAATGTAAAAGTAATATGGAACTGTTAGCAAATCTGAATATAATAACTGAATTACGAAATGCTGACATGTGTGAGGATAAATTTAATAATATCGAGCAATCGGATAAAAGCAATGATAAGAACCAGAAAGACAATGACAAAATATCTGAAGAAAAAATATGTGATAATGAAAGCTCATTACCACATACAAGTCATGAAGCGCAAGATTCACCACAAGCCGCAACTGTCAGCAGCGATAATTCAGTAACTAAAACTTTACTGTCTAATAATGATAACGAGGATCGTTTGAATATTTCAAATTCACCTAAAATAGTGTTAAAGAATAGTCGTTCAGATGAAAGGCTGGCTATAGAATTATTGATTAATCTGGGAAAATTGTTGAGCGGTCAGGCTGAGGATGCTACGACTTCACAGTTACTTAAAAGCATAGGAAAGACGTTGAACGTCGCATCAAATAATTGTAAAATTGGAGGCAAGTCACAGGATGATAATTCGCGTAATACTCAACAAGTTTCTCCCGTGAAAACTTCAGAATCTGAACTTAACGTATCTGTGTCCAGTTCAAAACAAACAGCACATGAACGAAGCTTCAATTCCAAGTTCACTGTAAGTAAATTTTTACTACTTTTTATAAACTTCGGTTCTATCTTGTATTTTCTATGTAGCCTGTCGACAAAACTAAAAGAAGGAGCATATCCACGACTCATTCGTCAAAAGCAAACATATCGAACACACCAGTAATCACGAAACGTAGAAGCACATCTGAATTGAAAGATCGAAAACGTTTTTCAAACAATCACGTACTTATCAATACGATGGCAAATAAAAAGACTTCAATTTCAGGAACCTCTAATACGAAAATAGGTATATTATCCTATTTATTAGCAACATGTCATGATTCAAATAATTGTTTCCTTCAAATAAAAATAATTAAGAATGTTATATTGCAGTAGAGACTACGCAACTCGAGAGCAAGACCGAAAAACCATTAGCGATAACTGATGTTAAAAATAAGTTAAAAAAGAAACTAGGTACAGCTAGTAACAAGGGTCCTATGAAAGCTGTACATCCTGTAGGCACTATGCAAAAAAAGGGTGAGTTCAGGTTACTTAGTCACTTAATTGTCAGGTTTACTATAATTAATCTATCATTTATGATTTATAATTTCTAAAAGTGGAAGCAATTTATAATTGTTCGTAATTAATCGATATATTGTTAATTATTAATAAGTTTCCAATTTATTCATTTTTGCTTATTTCAAATAATACAGCATCACTTGGAAAACAAACAATTCCGTCTTGTGAAGCTACCACGCCGCCTAAGCACCACGCTGTTTCTTCTGGCAATAAGATAATCAGCAGCACTCCTAACTCAGTAGCTTCATCAACACCAGATAGTCAGAACAATAAATCGTCGAAAACGTTAATGCCCACTAATAAGAAACGTAACTTCTCTTGCGACATTTCACCGGTGACCGGTATACAGAAAGAAGATAGTCCTAAAAGGTAAACGAGCAAACAAGATTAATACAAAATTTCATGAAGTAATATACTTTAATTCTCATGTTAAAACAAGCAAATGGATTTAGGACGACCACCAAAGAGTTGGGATTTGTGAAAGCGAATAAAAACACGGAAAGGAAATAAAACACGCATACGTAATTATATAATAGATGCATAAAAGTCGTTTGTATTTCAGACTTAACAAACCGCTGCAGACTACAAAGAAATGCACACCTAAACGTCAACAAGCGGATTTATCTGGCATTCCGAAATATTGCACGCCGCCGAGAAAACTCAATTCCTCACTTGACATGAATAGCCATCATCAACAGTCTCCCCAATATTTGAACAAAAGTTTAACAAATTATCAACGATATTCCCCAATTCGCTCGAAGAGCGCCGAAAAAAATGTGCGGAGCCCTCTCAAAGATAGCAACAAAATTTTTACAAAAGTGAGACCATTTAAGCTGGTAGGTATCATTCTTGTATGAATATACGATTCACGCGTCGTCTTGTCAAACTAATTCGCTGTGCATTTATATCATACAGATCTCTAAATTTAAGGGAAACACGGGTGATTTTGCCGAAAAGGAGAATTGCTCAGGATAGAGCGATATAGAGATGAGAGTAATTATGCTCTTTTGTATCGATCAGTCGATTGCCAAATAGAATTAAGGATAGAAAAAAAAACGAAAGAAAAGAATGTATCATAAAAATCGTTGTGAGGGATATACTTGGTTTTATCTTCTTTTTTATATTTATGAGATATTTGTATGTTTTATAATAAAATATGCGATCATGATACGTATTGTCTGATTATTAAGAAGTTCTGTAAATCCTATTACTCAAATTTGTATTTTTCAGGAAAAGGTACTATCAGGTTACAAAAATTTAGAACTGTTGAATTAAACGAGAAAAAAAAACAGGCAAATTTTAATATTAAACGAAACACCAAGAACATTTTTCTGCAATATAAATATGCGATTAAGATAGAGAACCGAACGCGCACACTTTAACAAAATTAGCGCTGCGCTGGAACGAGCCTTTTCTTTTTTTTTATGAAGCCCTCAAAGGCTTTGGGCTCCTGAATAACCTAGGTTAGGTATAGTTTCATTTTTCCTCACGCAACACCTGGCTGGTACGTTCAGTCATCATTGTATAAATAGATATGAAATTCGAATAAAATACTAGCGAGAAAAGATCATGTCATACGTACTCTAGTAACTATATGATATACTAAATTCAAATAGGTCGATTCTTTTTATTTGAACTCAGTTGTACTTTTCGTCTTTAGAGAAAAATAAGTATATAACAAATAATAACAAGTATATAATGTAACATTGAAAAAAGAAGAAATTAAATTCCTGCATTAAGTTAAGCTTAGTTCAGCTAAAAAGAACATAAAATGTGATTGCTAAACGGTTATCTGCTATTTTACTTCGATCATAGATTAAATATTATTGAAGACTAGCGACTTCCTTCAAAGAAGCTGCGTGCACATCAAACGGACTCTGTAGATAATTGATAATCATTGACATTACCGACACTACTTTTGTCTCCTTAACATAAATATTTGGATATAGCGAAATAAATCTAGAGTCAAACAACTTCTTCCTTCGAAATTCTTATGAAATGAAAGCAATTTATTAATTATTAATAAATAACGCAAAAACAGTATCTTTTTAATTAAAAGACCACGGATTTCGCACAATTGCCACTTGGTAACGTAATTATAAAATTGAATAGCAATTATTCTACGTTCAACTTTTGATTGTTGCTACGCGAAAATAGCCTTAATGTTTAATTGGGACAATCAAAACAATTCGTGTGTTTATTTATATTGTAGAAAATTAAACCTTTTGAAATTGTGTAAGTTTCAATCTTTCACATAAACAATTTTTTTTTTTTAGTAATTTATAGCAATCCCATCCAATTTTAAGTAAATTATTATAATCACATACCATGCAGGATGAGAAGAAACTGATAAAAAGTCAATCAGGATAACTATGAATACCGAAACATCAATTATCAAAAAATTGTCAAAAGTCACGACAGATATTATAAAGCAACAACAAGAATTGATAACTGAGTCATGATTTGCACAGCACAATCATTCTACAAATGATTTGTATTCTGAATTACATCAAAATCCTCAATATATATTCCTTTTTTCTGTGCCATCGTTATCTTGATTGACTGGTTCTCTCACTGTATCGTACATGCGACATCAGGAACAGAAACGAAGGATGCTATACATTATTCCGTTTTATTAATAATAAGTAGGTAGACTGCTCCGGCTCTCTCACACACGCCTCAGATGATGAACGTGTCATAAATTGTTTGTTCGCATTTTTTTCTAGTTACATATATCCCCGACGATCGTCCTTGCGCATCGTCGGGCTCCGCAGACGAAACAGGAAATTCCCTCGCAAGGCAGCTTGTGAACAGTTTCTCTCGGAATAATATTCGTGTTCGCTGATCCTTAATGTATTATATTACAATTTCGTCTCCTTGTGCTGGAGGAGATCCTTCGTATGTGGCAAATGTCTAGTCGCGTCGATAGATCAGATTAATTGAGCGAGATAAAATAGTTGAGTGGAAAAGAATCGTTTAAACGAGTAATTCTCTAGAGAAAGAACTAAACCGCAACTTGCTAGATTCGTTCTGCTTCAATGTATCTCTCTCTCCCTCTCTCTCTCTCTCTCTCTCTTTCTCTCTCTCTCTCTCTCTCTCTCCCTCTCTCTTTCTCTCTGCATCCATTTTACCTTTCTTTCTGTCACAACGACCGATTTAGAAAGAAGAGACTTAGAAAATAGTAAAGGAAAGCACGCGTAGGTATCTCTCTCGCTCAGGATTTAAAATCCATTCAATAATCCTGAGCTTTACGACAGTTACGTACAACGTAGTCATCAGGTGTGAACTCAAGTTTGCAGAACGAACAGCTTGCTACCGATCTTTCTCAATTGATCCTTTCCGACTAATATCTTTTGCATGATCAAGTTAACGGTTCATCTTCTTTCTTTCAGATTGAAGAAATCAAGCACAGCCGATGCGACTGATTTTTACACAAAGTAGATCACTCGATCGCCCTCACGATGAGCGAATCACGAAAATATATTGTGTGTGTATGTATAGAGTTTGTCTAAGAATATAGTGTGTCTTTGCACACATACGATAGCAAGAGAGTTCGCGAGTGTCATTTGAGAATGCTGGTACGCCACGAACACGGCTCACAAGTACGGCACATTATCTTACATGCACTGACGGTCCAAGCAGCGAGTCATTCTCACTGTCCGTACATTCGAATCACTGCGGAATCCTCGTGAAAACGTGTACTCCACGTACACGTGCATGACACCTGTACATCAACATGCAAGAACCAAATCATCTACGAGTTTGTTCGTAGTTCCCGAGGATCTCCTTCAGTAATTATCCCTACCCCTCGTACTTCTCGACTGATCATTATCGCGTCCTCTGCCACGATTATTGTAGCCACTCCTACCCGAGTTATCGCCACCACCGCCGCTACCGCTGCTGTTGCCACCGCCACCGCCTCCTCCTCCTCCTCCTCCTCCTCCTCCTCCTCCTCCTCCTCCTCCTCCTCCTCCTCCGCCGCCGCCGCCGCCGCCGCCACTCCGACTCATGCCGCGACTAGGTCCGTTCTTGCCGCCACTCTTGCCGCCGCCATACTTGCCGTAGTTGGAGTTGAAGCTGTTTAATTGATTCGGCGGGTTCTGACCGCGGAAGTTCGGCCCGAAGCCGGGCCGGTCGAAGTTCAATGGACCACCGTTCGGGCCACGGAAATTAGGTGGACCTTGGAAACCGTTGCCGAACGGCGGTGGCGGCGGCGGGCCCTGATTCGGTCCGAATGGCGGTAATGGACTTGGTCGGAAGTGGTTCGGTCCGAAGTTTCCGTTGGGTGGCGGTCGGAAGTTCGGTCCAAAACCAGGATGCAAACTGGGATGATGTGGTATCATATGCGGCGGTATCGGGCCGTCAGACAGGCCGGGCATACCAGGATGCGGTGGCTTACCCTGCATACCAGGATGCTGCGACATGCCAGGATGTGGCACCAAACTCGGTAGTGGTGGGGGCATGTTGGGATTGATGTTCTGCATGTTATGGTGATTTGGCATACCGTGGGGTATACCACCTATCATATGATGTAAGCCAGGTCCTCCCATCGCACCTAAATTGTCGCGCTTGTCGAAGCCATTACCACCAAATACACCACCGTCCACTGATTTACGCTGCGGCCCGTCGCCACTCTTCTCGTCGTCCCATCGATTAAGGCTGTCGCGATCTCGGTCGTCATAGATGTCGTTGTCCAGCGACTTCTTCGGAGGGAAGCGGAAGTCCTTGTCAGCGAAACTGTTGCGCGAATCGTACTCGCTGTGCGAACCACCCGGTCTGCCGAGTCCTACGGCCAAGCTGAACCTTAAGTCCTCGTCGCCACGGCTATTCGCAAGATCATGAGGTCCTCCTCTTCTGTGATGGTCATCGTCTTGATTGTGGAAGGAATTACTCTCCGCAGACAAAGCGTTCAACTTGCCAAACCTCAGGTCGGTATCGCTGGACTGCGAGTCTTCAGTCATTATACCGCCGAACACCGGTTGATGGATCTTGGACGTACGATCGCTCGCTCCACCATCACTCCAGCCAATCAGCTGATCGAACTTGCGTTTACCACCGCGATTCAGCGTCTTCAGCAGTTCAGGGTTCTGTGCGAACTTGGAGCTAGGCAGAGGCGGCGGCAGGTCTATATCTGGTACTTTCGAGTAGTCGATCTCACTGTCGTCCTGCAGATAGTCCTCGGCTTCGTCTACGTTGTCCGGTGAACCCACCACGTCCCGTAACTCCTCTATTTCTCCAGAAAATACTAACTTGTTGATGGCCTCGTTGCCTTTGCTGATCGCCTCCGCTAATTTGGAACCCGCTGGTGAACATAATTCAAGTTAATATTTGACAGTTGATAAAATTATTCAGGTAATAAATGATAGTATCAACTCTTTCGCAAATTATATCGCAACCTTCTTTTTCTTTTGTGAACTCTGTCTCTTATAATTACAATATATTATACAATTCACTCACATTCTACAGGAATCATTTTCCCGTACAAGAAGATAGCGTCAGGTGTAACTTCGTTCAATGGCACAGCACCAGGCGTAGTTTCGAGTAACTGGTTCACAAAGGCGTTCAAGGCCTCGACTTGCTCCATATCCTCGGCCTCCATCTCGTTCCACTGAGCTTGGAAGTTCCGAGGTATTGGCTTGCTGTACGGAACCTTCTTATTCGCGAATTTCTTGCCCTCGTCTACTGCATGATCCAGGTCTAATCCCGGAATTCCTCCACTCTTATCCTCGGATTCACCGTCGGCGTTAATTCTGTCCTCCGGTCCCATGCCAGGTATTACCGCCGCTTCATCAGCTACGAGGGATAAAGTTAGTCTCAAACGGATATTTCTATGTTATTTCTTCATTTGTTATCAGCATGCTTTATCAAAACATTCTTTACGTTTTCTTTGTATGATCGCCTAATTTATTTTAATAATATATATAAACGTATTTCTTATATTATACTGGATATATCGTTAAAATATATCTTATAGAATATCTCAGAATACCAATTTCGTGATCGTCGACGCCGGCCGAGCCCGCCGGCAACGTGTTGAGATTGTATTTGTCTCTCATTAGATCACCCGGCCTGTTGCGTGTCCAGAATTTAGACGTGTGATCGTTGCTACCAGAACACAAGATATGTCCCAGTGGATGCCAAGCTAATGTCCAGACGATGCTATCATGCGCCTGCTCGATAGCTCCTACCTCCTTATCGGCCCTGCGATTTTTAAAGACGTAGAAATTGACACTAGCTAAAGGGAAGTAATCGCCAGAGAAGAGGAACAACAACACGTACCCTACATGCCAAAAGAGTATGGCGCCATCGCTACCGCCACTGCAGAAAAGACCTTCATGACTTGGATGCCAAGCAACACTAGAAGCCTCCTTCTTGTGACCACGAAAAGTCTGTACTTCTTGGCTCAGATTCCTGATATCGAACAATTTCAGAAGATGATCTCTCGACGCTGTCACCAGCCAGTTACCGTTTTCATTCCACTTGACATCCATCACGGTTGACTTGTGCGCATGCAAAGTGGCCAACGACTGGCCGGTCTTCGGATCCCATAGCTTGACCGGCTGCTGATTGTCTTTACTGCCGGAAATGACTAGACTCTTTTGAGGGTGCCAATGCACGCATTTGACATCTGCACCGTGACCTACAAGGAGAGAACAATAAAATATTACATCAAATGCGACCTTCCAATTGTTAAAGTCTTCTTATCGCTAATGAGGTACCTGAGATATTATTATTATCTCATAATATCAGTGAAACTTCATTGTCTTCAACGGGCATTCAATAGGCATATTGAAATCAAAAGATACCCAAACAACGGAATAAATGATGGTAAAGAGATAAATTTCATAGGCAACATTACGGAGATTAAATAAAAAGAAATTGTATGTACCTCTAAGGATGCGTTCTTCATGACAGCGAAGAAAATCCCAAATCCTGACGGTCCCGTCGTCGCTGCAGGTCGCCAATTTGTGATCCGTTGGGCTGAAACTACCCGCCCAAAAAACAAGTTACATTTGAACATTACGCTGTCGTATGTAATAAGTGCGTTAATCTTTTATTTATCCGATATCCATAACGACAAAGCAAACGTTACGATCAATCAAATGATATGTGGGACATTAAAGAAATGACGAACTTTCTTTTACGATGCATTCTTTTTTTTTTTAACATACCGATCAACTGATTCAACTGAAGTAGTAAGAGCTCAAATAATAATTTAATGTAATACTCTAAAATGGCTAAGAAAATGGTATACAGTTGTTGTCTTTTCATCCATTTTTATTGAAATTCCCATTTTACAAAATTAAATCGTTTAGTATAACGAAGCGAGGAAGAAAGATCTGTATCGAATAATTATTTTATACGGCAGAGAAACGAAACACCACATGATACATCTTGCGGACATTGTTGCGACACAAGTCAAGAGTATTGGTCGTTAAAGAGTGAAACATATAACTGCCTACATTTATTACTGGCTCGTCTTTGTATTCATTAATTACTATCGCATGCAATGTCGATGTATAAAAGCAAAATAGAGAGCGTTAACAAACGACTGACACAACTCTTCGAGGACCACGTAAAAAGTTACTAAGATCACAGCATACACATGCGAGAATTTTTATCGGATGCGTTTTAGTTGCGACACAACTCCAATTACAATACGAATTTTGCAAGAGATTGAAATTTCATCAGAAAATATTGCATGTAAGTTACAATGAAATGATATGTGAACTTTCAATCCAACACAAGCTGTTACTCCGCGATGGGGGGATTGTAGCTTCTTTTTAATAAATCCTTCGGTTTATCGATATCGAAAGCGATATATATGTGTGATAATAAAGCAAGAAAGGCCAAATACGCAAAAAATAGTGCACACACTTGTAAGTGAACCATGTCCTCGAAATTGAATTAGAATACAACAACAAATACGGAACACATATCTGACTCTTACGTACGTGCCACCGAAAAAATAGACAGAGATCAGTAATAAAAGGAATGTTCACACGGAAATCATTGATATGCAATTTGTACGTATACATAAATAAACAAAAAACCATCCGCGACAGTCATATCTGGCACTCAAATCAAATTCCATTGTTCATCAAGCACAATGAACGGATAGTTCCGTTTTCATCATACCAGAATTTCTCTTTGATGCCACATGACCACCGAGTGATGTACCAAGAGCAACATTCGTTTTCAAAATTTAACGTTTATTACACAAAAAAAGAAAAGAAATGTCCGAAGTGTACATGAATTGTCTTATAATTGGTTTGTCACGCTCTTTCCTTCACTCTCTCCTTCACTCTCTCTCTCTCTCTCGTCAGCAAAAGGGCACAAGTGACACAAAACCAAAGACAAAATATTTTATTCTCATATAGTCATGCAATAATGTGTGTGATGTCTTTATTTAACTTTATTATGAAACTTAGAAGATATAAAGAAGGACACAGGATATTTCATCTTTTATTATCATTATATAGGAATCTCGACTAGGTGTGTCGCTATATATATTTTTGTTTATTTGTTATTCTAAAACATACATCTCTTTGCCGAATAAATAATCTAGCCACATAAACTCCTTAAAACGAGAGCCGTAAGGACCTAAGAGCATTATGATAACTCAATCGAGATTTGTGCCACTTTAATTTGATGAGCGCATTATAGATACCGTACGGATAGAGTAGCAAATCGAGTTAGGTCCCTAAGACTCTACAAATACAAATTATAAATTATGTCGATGCGCGCATACGTATATAACATACGCAAAGAATTTACACTACCTTGATGTAACCAGCTTCTACTTCACGGAAGTGTACGCGACAACAAACGCACATGGGAGGAATACTGTATATTATTTTTGCAAGTTCTACTCGAAAATGTATTCTCTTTTTCTCTCGCGATGATTTATCGCGAATTTATTCTAAAACTATTGCTTTAAGGGCATGATTATATCCGAGATATTCTCCACAAGCGCGTGAGGAAGATTGAAATTTCAATCCTTCGGATTTTAGTCATATTACTCCAAGAAAATCCTCTCCTAATTCGGCAAAAGATAAGTATTTGTAACGGAAATTCTTTTACACGAATACGATCGAGACATTTAGCGATTTTCCACGAACATAGTTCATTCCATGAGTCAGGACGAATGTCCTGCATTGCATTTCTTTTGTATATTATTCAATACTTTGCATTCAAACTCGTCAAAATCACCTGTGTACCCATACAAATATTACTATTGCTCTGCCAGAAACGGCACAAAACCAGAAAAAGAAGAGAATAAGAATCACGTCCAGTGCCCTAACTATTGCAAGGATGGACGGATCATCGACAACAGTAGCGCAAGAGACGTAAGGACTAGTGTGGTGGATGATATACCTGAGTCCTCTAATCGCTTCTTTGTGCGCCTGAAACATCTTGACGTTGTTCATGTTGCTCTGCCAATACTTCACGTAGCCTGCGTGGTCCCCCGTTACCATCCAGCTCTCATTGTGCGACCACACCATTGTTCTTACTGGGCTGTCGTGTGCCTGAACAGAAGAATTAATTTTTCTTAATAAAAACCAAATGAAAATGCATGAGATTGATTGGACTGACTGATCTACCTTCTTTCTTCTTAAAGCAATATAAATACCATGGAGAAAGAAAGTAAACACTGATAATTTACATAAAAAGTCTATACAAATGTCTGCTATGGATGCAAATGAAATAATGTTTATATCTAGTGAAATGTGAAAACAAAGCTAAAATCACAAAAATCTGTCCCAAAACTTTAATATAGTAAATAAATAATTTATATTTAAAACCTTGATGTTATTACATATACACATTCAAAGAGATGTAATATTTTTAACATATTTTTATACTACATAATATACATACCTGTAGAATAGTTTCAAAATTGAAGGTAAGACCATTCCACAAGGTAAACTCCCCACTTGAGGCGCCAGTGACAAGACGTCTACCTTCTGGTGTCCAAGCCATACAAAAAATTGGACAGCGCATTTTATTTGTAGCTGTCTTGACGAACCTTGTAGTGACTGCATTTATTGGGTTGTCAATGTAACTTGGTGGAGGAAGTAAGTCAGGATAGTATATTACATCTGGTTGAAGCGCTCGTCGATCTCTGTAGTCCCGTTGCCACACCCGATTCTGAAAAACATAAGAACATATAGATATAATTATAAAGAAATTATATAGTGCATCTTTTTGCACAATTTGTACAATAACATTGATACTTACTTCTAGGCTCTTGATGATGGCAGAATTGTAATCAACAGTCTTTCGCATAACAGATTTCCGAAGGCGTTTTCCATCAAACTCATCTTGCAAAGTATCCTGTCCTCCAACAGGAGCCTTTGGTGGATGATATGGCCTAAACTGCTTGTAATAACCACGACTGCCTTCTCTATGGTTTGTATACCGGTGCTGATAGCTTCCCGATGTGTTTATAGTAGTTAAATTTGGCGGTGGCGCTGATAAATTCGGTGTTGTAGGTGGTGGTACCGACATGTTGGGTAAGCTTATAGCTGGCGGTGGATTCGCAAATTGAGCATTGGCAGACATTACGAAATGATGTACATACGAATAAAGTTACAGTTTGTCCGACTTAAATAGACAATAAGGGTCAGACAAGCTTCATCATATCCACAATGGTATTACATTGGGGGACATTATAAAATCTGCAAAACAATACATATTTTATCAGTATTCAGAATGAAAAATAATTTTATTTATTATAATGAAAATAATTTTGATATTATAACATGTTATATTTTATCATAATATGATTCGTCTCTTCAAGTGTAATTATTAATCATTATTTATAGTATAGAGAATAGTTAACATAAAAGAAAGTTCTTCAAATGGCATTTAACATCTCTAGAAAGTGCTTTACTGAACTCAATTATAAAAATTTAAGTTGCTATTTCCAAGACGTTTATGTTGCTATTTCCTATGCGATCCTTTATTCTGGCCGCAATCATTAATCATAATTATATAAATACCTACAAACTAACAAATTGAATGAGTAATTAAAAGAGGTTGGAACATACGTACACGTCACAATGTTCCATGGGACACACGGATATAACAGTTCAGTTTCCCTTAAGATTATAGAGACAGATAATCGCCAGATGTGCGATTGTAATATTAGTTCATCGTCAATTCGTTAGGATCGATAATTGGAAACACCGCGACGATTCGATTCACGTTTCAAAGTTTTCAGTTCGCGAAGCACTCAATGAAAGCATGTACACAACCACCAGTTCAAACACCACGCTTTCCCTACAAACTCGTTACTGTTATCGCCCTCCTGTGAAATTTTACGATTCTGAATCCTCTAACGCAAGCATTCCAGACCGTACAAAGATATTAGTGAATGAGTGAGGATAAAAAATTCTATCGACCATATACACACATCACGCTTATAACGTAACAGACGAACCGCGAGAACGTCGTGCACTTGCCGCGGATGCCATTACTCTTTCTCGAGCGATGACACGCATCCGCTTCGACCATCTCCATTTCCGCTGGTATGTCTTCCTTTCAGTTGCAACTTGTTACGCTTTCTGCACCTACTAGAAACTGAAAATATCCCTGAACGAAAAGTTTTGCTGTTGAGTATCTATTGGTCTGTTCTTTTTAGCTGCACTGCTGGGGCTCGATTCCTGATGGCGTGCGAATGAGATCACAGACTTCTATAGAATACACTAGACCGCTAACTGATCTTATCGGACGTCCATATATACATAATACATATTAAGCCAGCGGCACACAGTGCTTGTTTTCGTGCTGGATTGCTTGCTGGATGAAAATACTGCGTTCTGATTGGTACATTTCCGAAGATGGATGGAAATGCACCAATCAGAACGCAGTATTTTCATCCAGCAAGCAATCCAGCACGAAAACAAGCATCGTGTGCCGCTGGCTTTACATACCCAGCGGTGGTCCCCTCAAGAATGTAGCCATCAGTAATGTCGCCTAGGGAGAGAGCAGGAGAAGAAAGAAGAAGACACACAGAGAAAGAAAAGCATACTTTGATATGATATATTAATTAAATATTATTACAGATTTGTAAAAATAAGTTCATTTTGTGAATAATAATATAGTAATAAAAATATTATAAGGCAACAACGAAATGCGTAATAAAAATATAGTAAGAATATATTTTTAAGTTTCTTATATTTTATTTATTAAATAATATAATCATTATATAATAATATACACGTTTATTATAATATAATTATTCTCTCGCGAATAAAATTTGTTTTAACAAGCGTAATTGTGTAAGTTGATTTATATACTAACCTATAAAAACTGATTTCTTTATTTTTACCCAAAATATTGGAGCACTCTGCAATTGCGCACTTTACGGATATTTTTTTTTATATGATGGCAATTTCATTATAAGGTATATTATAATAAACATTGAACATCAATACTGGGGCTCGATTTCTGACAGCGTGCGAATGAGATGCGCATACGAAAATCTATATTATATGTAACGTGAACTATACATTTTTGCATACGCGTCTCATTATATTACTATATCGATATCGATTATATCGATAATTGCATTCCTGAGGGGACTACCGTAGTACATACCTTTCTACGGACAGAGTATATAAGAAGTATATAAGGGAGTTAGCAGTCTAATGTATTCTATAGAAGCTGTGAATGAGATGCGCATGCAAAAAGCAATATTATATGTAACTGTATATTTGAACTGTACATATGAACTGTACATTTTCGTATACGCATCTCGTTCGCACGCCGTCAGGAATCGAGCCCCTGAACTGGTGCAATAAGTTAAAGTGAGATAACGATGTTTCTTCTCATTCTAACTTGTTGCATAGTTCATCAAAGTAGTTAAAAAGACTATAGGTATGTTCTTTTTTAAAGAACTTGTGAACTTATGCATACTAGTACAATAAATTAGAATGAGAGAAGATATAACCGCTTCACTTTAACTTATTGCACTATTGCACTATTGCAGTTTAAAAGTTCTTCTAAAAAGAACAGACCATATTGCAAATTTTATTAGAACAATCTTACTATTTACACGTTCCTTTAAAACCTAAGTTGAACTTTTTTTTCAACAGATATAAAATTATAACAACTGGTGTGTTATAATATTAAAGTAGTGTTTATACAACATTTAACAGTTGTAGTTATAAGATTAGGAATAATTAAACCGAGTTTAGGCTTTTTCTGTGTAAATTTAAACTATATTACATGCATCGTACGACAATCTGTCGGATATTTTGATGGAATTTCTAAGACGCTTAACTTTTCTCTAGACATCATAGAATTCTCTATCTGACAGCCAATCGAAACGTCACAATAATATTATATACCAACGACAACAGAGGATTCAACTCTTCATCGGAAAGCTATTCTCTTATTGGATAACGTATGTTGTATGTTGGATACCTTGTTTGGTATGAATCCTGCATTAGTTACACAAAATTCATGGAGGATTCACATGCATTTGACAAACGATGTCCAATATTTAATAAAATTTTTTCCCGGATATAGAAAAGTATTAACTACAAGAGTACTAAAAAATAAAATCCTATTGGATATTGAATTTTCGTATGTCGAATGTGGATGCAATTGGTCTGTTCTTTGTAGCTGCACTGTTGAACTGGTGCAATAAGTTTAAGTGAGATAAATATAGGTTTTCTCAGTCTAGTTTATTGCACCAGCTCAGCAATGCTACAAAGAACAGACCAAATATGAATCTTGCACTATTTTATTATTGAAATTGGTGTATCGATATGACACACGGATCGATCTTTAGTAACAATATGGCGCGCATTTATTTTTTCTTGTTACTGACTTCATGTGGCGTAAAGCGTCACATTTCTCTTCAATTATTGCTAACCTTCATGGTTACGCCGGTAAAAATGATGTAGTTTATAATTGTGTATGATACTTAAAGTATCTATCTTAAATTTTTATTATTAGATTTTGTACTGGTTGCATATGCCACTATATAAGAATATAATTAGTGAGTGTTATTTCTTCGCATATCCATCAACATAGTCAGCAAATCTGGATGAAACCAGGGAGAAAATGATCGCCGCGTCAGAACCGGTGGTAAGTAAAAACAAAACTGGGGTTTATTTGTTTTCTAAGCAAATTTAATAAAATATAATTTGTGTGGATGGATTGAGAAATGTTAATAGGTAGTTATATTTAAAATAAAAATATAAAATTTATAATTTTTACAACATCTATTATAACCTTATCAAATCCTTCAAAATAATTTTTTAGTAGACACTTTCGAAAGATTTTATAAAAAAGAATAAATTGTTTTATTTGTATATTTATTGTCTTAAATATATCAATTTATATAAATTACAAGAGACTTAGTAATTGTATTAAAACAAGCGGGTCTAATATAGAATACTAGATATATACTAGTAATGAGATATATAAAAAATATCTTAATTCTGTTTTTCTAGGAATATACTCCAGGTGGCCGACAGATAATCTCAAGGCATCCTGGATCCTTAATTAATCAACAATTGTCTAGTAATCGAACTGGCGAAAATATCCTATTAAAGAGATTCAGTGAAGTGAATATATCAGAAAAATCCCCTGTAAGTTCTTGAAAAAAAAAAAGAAAAGAAACAAATTTTTTTTAAAGAAAAAGAAAAAGGATACAAGAGATTTCTACAAGCTCTTTTTATTTGCATCACTTTTAAGAATCTATGCTTTCTGTTATCTTTTGTGGCCCTTTCTTTATGTAGTTTATATACTTAATTGGTTGATATATTTAATAAAAAAGTTATGTCTATACAGAAAGAGAAATGGTTGGTACGTGATAGTAAGACATGTGGAGAGGAAGAATTGTATTATTCTGGTAAAGTAGCAGTTCATTGCAAAGGCAATCAGACTACTCGAATACTTAAAGCAACCTATACATGTGAAACTGATATTAAGCATGCCCTTTGGTGTAAGTTTCATACAAGTATTCCAGATCATTTGACTAAGGGTAAAGAATATGAGGATGAAAGATCCATTGGTAAATCCATAGAATGTGTTTGCTTACTTGATACATATACTCTGAAGGTCTTCACAGAAAGTGGTGAAGATTATGTTTCTACTCTACAATTTCAGGTAAGATTTGCATAAATTGATCTTATAAAAAAAGTTCATAATATTAAATTGGACCTTATTTTTATTACAAGCATCATTAATAATCAATGCTTATTAATTAAAGGAACAACCATTATTAATATCTATTAAAGGGAATAATCTATAATGAAACTATTGAGAATATTATTTTATCATAGTTCTATAAGCAAATTAATTATCAACAGGTTTCTGCTGTATGGCCAACAAAATATGGAATCATACTGGAAAAATCTCAAGTACCAATTACAGAATCAAGGTATAGAATTTATTTTCAATTTATACGATACAGGAAAGTAAAAAATTTGTTTATATTCTTATCTTTCCATCTTTGCTTTTAGATATGTATCATTTGAAAACAGCAGATTACCGTCGCAAACCGATAGTAATTTACCAATAGCCTTTTCATTAATGCATCCACTGGATGAGATTTATCCTCTACTTATTAAGCATGGTAGGAGATTTATTTGTAATTAATTGTAAAAAATAATTATAATTAAAATAAAACGAAAGAATAACACATGCATTGTGTATGAAAAACAACAATAAGAGATATCTGTATAGCTTGTAACTGCTCAAAAAAGTTATTTATACACTTGTATCAATATTGTTTTAGGATCTGTGTCATATATGAGTGATTCGAATCAGCAAATTATATTTACCAGTTCGGAACCATCCTTGGCAGTCGTATATGACACTAAGTCTGGCTTGCATTCTGTTTACAAGATCCGTAAAGCATTAGCGGAAGAACGTCAAATGGTTTGCGGGACTAACGAGACGACGCTTAGTTTACTTAATCATTCGACTAATGCATCACCGTTAAATGTCGGCAGTAATTTATCCGGGAATAAAAGTTTGGTCAACAAAGGTCATTTGAGCATTTTTGGTAAGAAAATATTCGCTGTTACGACCGTTATAATTAACAGTGACCAATTGATAAACAAAATGAAGCATCTTTCGTAGGAGCTACGAATTTACAGATCAGCAACATAGGCCTGGGATTATCCAATACTCCGTTCGGATCGCGTACTGCTTCTTATAACACCAATTGTTCTGGCGGACCATCACCCTCGCAGCAGCAGCAACAATCGCGCTCGCAAAGCTCGATGGCTACTATCTCTCGCTGTCAATCGCCTACACATTCGGCCCTGTCTCCTTTATTAGGAGCACCATCCAACCCGATCTACAATAATAGATTACATCAGACCGTTATGGTGACTGCTTTGAATCAAACGCAGAATAGTCCAATCGGCAGTTACAACAGTATCCAACTGAAGAATGTTGCCACAGTGGGCAAACCTTTGTGTCCCGAGATCTGTCTCGATCACGTATGGACAGAAAGCGCTGGCATATCAAAGTAAGTGAACGATTTCCTTGCATATTTCACTCCACATGTGTCGCGTACAGTCTTAAAGAGAAACTCGCTAGCATTCAGATAGCATAGATAATTAATTCGAGAATCTTACCGTCGTTTTACGTAAAGTCTTTGTCCTTTTGGCTGTTGTTATTACGTCCCAGAATCCAGCCGTGCGCATGTACCTTCAACTTCCTCTTCCAGATATCCTCTATGTCTCCAATTCCTTTGGGTTTTAGGTAGGAAGTAAGTTTAAAATATACCGCATAAAACGGGGCGTTGAAAAACTAATGGCAATAAATATGGAAGATTAAGAATTACTTCTACGAAACTAACGGCACGATCAACAAGGATATTTTTCATTTGCATACCGAGACATATGAGGTTTTTCAACGTCCTATATGTTACGATACATTCTAATCTCTCTCGTTGATCCTTTAGAGATATCGTTTACGGTCGTGCATCAAAGGTTCTCCTAACGTCGGATCTTGTTGGACAGAGTTATTTAGGCTATTTGGTTCCGAATCGTTCGCAATTCTTTTTAGTGAGATTGGAGAAGACTAATAAACAACAACGAATCATCTTCGGAATGGTAACGAGCGTCACGGCTAAAGATGCCGTTAGCTTGCCGGTTAGTAGATGTATACGTAACTAGTTTGGAGTTGAGCCCGTGTCGATATTCACATAAAGAATATATTCCTTCCAGAATCTGAACATGATAGCGACTGTAGATTTGTCAAATAATATAGTATTATACACGGGAGTCACATGCGTGGGCAAATTGCATATTTCCGGCATGCTGTCGAATCTTACGGGGAACAATTATTTTCTATCGAACAGCAATCCGAAGCCTGAATCTCCATTTCCGAGAAGAAGCTCCTTAATCTCTCAGAGCTGTGCCGCTTCTCATGAGATCAAATTTGAGGAGGTTTTGCATTTACTGAGCCCTGTAGGCGGTAATTGTGCTCGCCCGCCGATACTCTTGGAGAACTCGTTGCTGGATGCGAACTTGGTTACGCTGAAAGAAGCAGTGGGCAATCAGATAACCGTGGAATGCGGAAATAAACAATATTTCCGCATAACATTACCCATATCCAGCACATCTCCTTTGGGTGAGTAACTCATCATGATTTATTAGTTCGTTATTTATTAATATTAATTTCATGCTCGCTCTACGAATGTTATCGAAATATTGCTAATTTAATATTACGGTGTCACTTCAAATACCAAGAAACTCGTCAATAATTTACACCATACATACCTTTTGTAGTTACTAAATGCTTACACACTTTGCGAAGTGTACTTCAAAGAGACTTAGCTATGGAATTGCTGGTTAAATGGTATGGCGCTAGAAATGCTCCAGGCCCACAAGATTTTTCACCGGTACGTGAATGGGATCTCTTTCTCGTGGTTTTGTTTACATTATTAGGATACGACGTCGAAAAGTTGCACATAATTCAAAACAACGAAAAGGACCAATTTGCGGATCGTAATAGTCCTATGGTGCTACCGAAAAAGCAAAAGACCAGCAACTGCGGGTCCACGGACGATTGGCTGCACTTGCTGAATTCCAGCGAGTACAAGAACTCTCAAGTTTCTATTTCGAACGTGTTGAGAAGCCAGAAAGTATCCAGCTTCCTTCGCGCAATGTCTCAAGATGCCACAGAATCGAGCAATATCGGCAAGATAAATGCGCAGGCCGTTCTATTTCCGCATCTTCCGCTTATTCTGTTTTCTCTTCACCTTCTTTACGAGGAGTTAAAGTTAAACAGCGTCATATCGGAGAGTCTGCCGTTGCTCGGGCAGCTCCTGTATCAATTAAGTGTAGACATGAAGTTCGAGATGTACGCTCATCACTACTTCCTTGACTCGCCGTCTTTGTGCCATTTGAAGACCGCGACATCTCAAATCAGTGACGCAGACCTGCAGAAAATCACGATACCAAATTACATACCGCGGAAGCCACCGGACGTGTTCGAAACGTTGGACAACATGCTGAATGGAATAGACGTCGTCACGTATCCGTACTTGGGTCACGTCAATCCGAAAACGAGGAATCTAATATATATAACGGCACTGATAGCGAATGAGAATTGCACGAACGTGGTGGAAATGGAGAAGTACATCAAGTTAATCGTCCCCGCTGGTAGTCGCGTTGATCCTCAGGAAAGTAGCAAGTCCGACAAAGAGATGCTAAAGAGGTCGGAGAAACCCGCGACGGATCAAATAGTATTGTTGTATCATGAGATGGGTAAGATCACACGTTACGAGGAATACGAATCGTTTCTTTCTCCCGGGGAAACTCCAAACGAAATTATTTAATTCTAGATATGACGAAACAGGATCTCGAGATACTGCCACCTGCGGTGTCCTTGATGATCAGAGATGTTATACACAGATGCAGGGAATGCCCGCCGTCGAATTGGCCTATGCGCGTGTACGAGCTTGTAGATCGTCAAGATTTAGCAGCGTTAGACAGGCATTTAAAACCACCGAAATCACGTCAGTATGTTGACGGCGAGACGAAGAATTACACAGTGAAGGATCCCGAGCAAGACGACGGCATGGGATTTGACGATACGGTATGCGTGTTCGATTTATTGATTTTAGTATTACTGTATTATTATATTTTAGTACTATTTGTTATTTATCATTGTAGGATTATTAATTAGACACTTCAGTCGGCTATATTACCTAATTCATTTGGTACATAAAGGATATAACTTGCATTTCGATTTTACAGATACTGAAATTGCGATTCAGTAAGGATCATAGAGTCGCTGAAGTGCGTAGATTGCTAAATTCTTCAAAACCGGTGAGGATAGCGATAGTCCAGAGGTCAAATGTAAGCGATCACGAGTTTATAGAAGAGCAAGAGAGACACTTGCACACACTGTGCACGAGAACAATGGCATTGCCTGTAGCTAGAGGCATGTTTACGCTGAGGACTTCCACCCCGATGATAACGGAGCAATTGCCTATTCCACGACTATGCTTGACCGGTATAATTATTACGCTATAGTTTCAATTTCGTATTTTGATGAATATCGACAGACATAGTATCAGATAGAATTTCGTTGTCCTGCATTTCACAGCCTTCAATAAGTGATCATCCTGATCCAACTGACCAACTGACTGTTTCATCCACTCTTATCAGGAAAGGCACCACCACGTGGAACTACCGTCGAGTTAGCACACATAGACGTTCCCCCCAACATGAATCTCTGGCCGTTATTTCACAATGGCGTAGCTGCTGGCCTGTGCATACATCCGGATGCTGCTAACATCGATTCGACGTGGATAGTGTACAATAAGCAGCAACAGGGCGAATACGGAGTAGAACATTCGGGGTTCCTGATGGGTCTTGGTTTAAACGGACACTTGAAAAACTTGGCTCCATTAAGTACATACGAGTATCTGGTCGATTGTCACGAGGCTACTAGTGTTGGGCTTCTTCTGGGCTTGTCGGCGACGCATCGTGGCACGATGAACGTGTCTATGACTAAGCTATTGTCGTTACACGTGGAAACTCTCCTGCCACCTACCAGTATCGAATTAAACGTGCAACAAAATGTTCAAGTAGCAGCATTGATGGGCGTTGGCCTCGTCTACCAAGGAACTGCGCACAGACACATCTCACACGCTTTGTTATCTGAAATCGGTAGTTATTGCGACGCGCAACGTCATTAGAACGCCGCGAACTTATTTACTGTTGATTTGCTCTTACAGGTAGACCACCAGGACCTGAAATGAAGAACTGTGTGGACCGCGAATCGTATTCCTTGGCAGCAGGATTAGCGTTAGGTTTAGTCATACTTGGTTCCGGCGGCGGAGCGGACTTACCGGCGAGTATACCTGACACTCTGCACTACTACATGGTCGGTGGACACGTAAGGCCGTTCTCTGGAGCGCAGAAAGATAAATACAAGTCGCCCAGGTATTACGACAAACGTTTATCACACGTTTCCTGTTTGAAAAATTTATGGATGTTTGCGAGAGAGAGAGAGAGAGAGAGAGAGAGAGAGAGAGAGAGGAGTAATTTTGTAAACTAAAGAATAAGGACGTTGATTGTTAAAATTGAAAGTTTTGAGAAATTACATCTTGGGAAAAATTCATAGCAAATGTCTAATGAAATACAATCGATAAAGCTTCTTTCACAAATTTTCATTAATTTTGACAATTCAAATTTTCGAGAAATTATTATTGGAGAATAATTATAAGCTCCGTCTCTTTGTAGCTATCAAATACGCGAGGGCGATTCGATAAATATCGACGTAACGAGTCCCGGAGCAACGATAGCTTTAGGATTAATGTATTTCAATACTGGAAATCGTGCGGTAGCCGAGTGGATGCAAGCCCCCGATACGGAATATTTGTTAGAGTTTGTAAGGCCGGACTTTCTGCTACTAAGGGTGCTCGCCAAGTCGTTGATTTTGTGGGAAGATATCCAGCCGACCAAATCATGGGTCTCCAGTCATGTACCTCATATAGTTTATAAATACCGATTGCAGAAACCTGCGCCAGAAGCTACGCAAGATGTGGATTTAGAAACTATCAAGTTGGTGAAAGCATCTGATTACTATTTGTTCTGATTACTATAGATATTTGTATACTCGCATCTCTTTATATGATATAAATTATGTGATTCGTCGTTTTATTACAATTTACAGCCAGGCCTATTGTAACATTATAGCTGGTGCCTGTATGGCTTTAGGATTGCGATACGCAGGCACTGCTAATAAAAATGCCTTCAAGACTTTATACAATTACGCTCAGATGTTTACGGCGCTCTCACATAAAACTATAGCCGAACTGGCTGGTAAGTCGACCGTTGAAACGTGCCTAAACGTTGTTCTGCTTTCAACCGCAGTGGTAATGGCGGGTACTGGCAACTTGGACGTAAGTATCAATACTCAGTGATTACGGGAAGAGAGAGGACAAGGAAGCATTTATTTTAATATCGTCTATATTAAATTGCAGGTGTTGAGAATATGCAGGCATGTACGCACTCGTGTGGGGCCTACTAGCAGTGTTGTCACGTACGGCTCCCATTTGGCAACGCACATGGCTCTCGGACTTCTTTTCCTAGGTGGAGGTAGATACAATCTTTCCAATAGTCCGAATGCAGTGGCGGCTCTTATAATTTCGCTTTTCCCGAAATTCCCGACTCACAGTAACGACAATAGGTTTGTAACCCTACAGATACGGCGAGAAATTGTTCCTTTAATATTCAAATACAGCAAGAGCTCTCTTAAAGGATCAATTATTATATATATTAATATTTTGATCGATAGGTATCATTTACAAGCATTGCGTCACTTGTACGTATTAGCAGCTGAGCCACGCGTTATTTTACCGAAAGATATAGACACTGGTCAGTATTGTTATGCGACAATACATCTGACATTCGAGACCGAGAAAGAAGCCGAAGGACAAGAGATCAGCCTGCAAGCGCCATGTCTGTTACCGCAGTTACGTAGCTTGAAAAAAGTCGAGTTAAAAGACTCGAGATACTGGAAGATTATATTTGAGAAACATCATAACTGGCAAAAATTGGAAAATATGTTGGAGAGACGTGATTTTTTGAATATTAAGCAAAGAGCTGGTTGCTTGTCGTATCTGGAAGATCCTCATGTGCGTATTTTACAATTTGAAGAAATTTTGTTAAAATTGCTTTTATATTTATACTAGCAATGTAGCAATAAATTAATATCAGCGCGTATAATAAGTAAAATTTCGTTTTGTCACAGGGATTCAGAACTTTAATGGCTCAAACATTAACGACAGAAAATGCAATCGCGTGGGCTGCACGACCAGAATATGTCACAGCGTTCACAAATGACAAAACTGTATTGAACATAATAACGTACTTTCTACAATGGCTTAAAAAAGAAATTCGCCCCGAAAATATCAAGCATTCGTCGCAAAATGGTATGATACAATTATATTTTTGATATAATACTCAAGAGTTGCGCATTTTAAATTGTGCATGTATAATTAACAAATGATATTATGTCGAATAATGCTTCCGCGAAACTTACAGATATACAATGCAAAATGCAAGAATTTGAACGATATTTTCTTCATATATTCGCAATAATTCTATACGAGTGCATCACCAAAGATAAAGTGAGCCTCATACCATTATGGCTACATATAATGAAGAACTTGAAGATAATCGAGGAGCAACCAAACAGTTTTTCAATGTGGCAAATCAAGCTTGTTTCGTCACAAATCTCCAAAATATTGAATTCCGTGGATAAGGCAAATCCATTACTCAGCGTGGAAAGTATGCTCGCAATCAAACAAAAAACTGCGATTATTCTGGACAAATGGGAACATGGTACTTGTTATTTATTAATGTAATACGTATTAAATTACGATTAGCAGTTTTATTATGTTAGAGATATCATATTTGAAAACTTTACCGATAGAATACCGACTTCTCTATAAATTTTATGTCGTATTAATTGTAAAAAATTACAAGTGCTTTTATGCAATAAAAATAAAATTAATTGGAAAATAAATTGGAATATTGCTCAATATATGATAAAGTTTCAAATTTGATGTTTCAAGTTGTCAGTTAATGTAAGTATTTATCTGACACCGAAATTCTGTATACTCATCTTTATTTTTCAGATTTGAAACCTTTGCTTAAGCAATACCTCGTTAATGGAACGGTACAAGCTGATGTTGAATCTCTAGCTAAAATGTGTGCTTATTTTGTATTCTATCGTATTCCGTATCCAATCAATGATAAGATCTGTAAGTTTCCATATCTATTGAAATTCAATCATATTACTATTTTAATGTTCACTAATTCATATTTCTTACGTTTCTTTTTAGCGAGTTCGATTTTACTGACGCAACCCTCTAGTATACCAAGTATTACATTGTACAAATTACGTAATATTCTACAATCTACTTGAAAATGTTGTATTGTATAAATTTATATGTGTATATATTAAAGAATATATAGAAGCGAACAAAAGAAAAAGAGAAAAGGGAAATAAATTATTAAAATAATTAATGTATTTCTCCGTTTTCGTTCGTTCCCGCATTTATATTCGAAAAAAAAGATGAACTCTTGCAAGCCTGTCGCACTACTGCTTAATTGCCCGAAAGCCATGAAAGCTTTTTGTTCTCAAATTTTAAACAACAAAATATATGACAACATAAGAGTATAAGAGCTTGGACATATAGAAAAACTTAAGCAGTATGACATAAGGAGTAAGGAAATTGACTAATCAATTATTCTTTTTACGACTCAAAAATATTCAACTGTAATTGGGTCGTCTGCTTATTGCTTAAGTTTTTCTGTACCTCGGCTTTAGATTTGCATTTGCATGAATATACATCTATGCATAGAAGTGCTATTTCTTATTCTTACCATATGATGCTGTCAAAATCAACTCGGGATTTGCTTTTATTATATTTCCTATAGACTCTTAATATTTAATATAAAATTATTAGTATTTTCTAAATATGCGAATTTCTTTTTAGACCTTAAGATGAATATATCACTGTGACAAATATGTTCCTTTGTGGCAGGATTATTTCCTCTACTTTCAACAATTAATAATAAATAATAAATTAAATAATAACAAATCAATGTCATAATTAAAAATTCTTAATCCAGTCGCACAAATATTAAGACTATTGTAACAATTACTGTATAATATAATTATATTAATACTAATGTATTATTTACATATTTTAATAGCATATACACTATTGTACAATCTGTCTGTATTGTATTGTACAATTCACATCATTTTCTGCAGTAAGGAAAGCAAAGTTTGGCATCTCTCTTTCACCTGTATTTATAATATAACTTGGTCACATACATATATATTAAACACGAAACGTGTCTGGAAAGTATAAAATAAAAGATTACCTGTTCAACAGTACGATTTTCTAATTTTTCACTGATCAATTGAAAGGAATTTTCAGAATATTCTTTTTTAATACTTTGCAGCAGGATCATATCTTCCTGGCGTGTCCAAGGTTTAATGTTTGTTGAATCAGACTTCGATTGCGTATTATCCTCGATTACAGTTATTGGAATTGCTGTTTCTACACCTGTATCTTGATTACCTATAATAAAACAATATGTTGGTATTGTTACATTATATTTCTGCTGTTATTATTAATTGAAAGAATTGAATAATAATATGATTTATGACTTATTTGAAGCACTTCCAGTATTTGTACTTGGAGTACCTTGTGTTATTATTTTGGTGCTCAACAAATTATTTTGTATTGATAACTGCTTTATATTGGCCTCTATTTTTGTACGTTCATTGGATTTTTCAGACTCTGTAACATCATGTTCATTGCGTTCTAATAAAATGTCGCTTTCTTCAGTCTTCTTATCTTCCTTGTTTTTGCACTGAAACATACGCATCTTTTTACTCGCAATTGTATGATCTGCAGTGCTTATTCTTTTCAAAACTTTCTTCTGATTTGTAGTTTTTAGCGTAAATTTAACACCCCTCTTGGGCTTCGTTTCGGTTTTTTCGTTATCTTCATTATCTTTTAGTGGTAAATATTTTGTGGCACATTGTTTTTGACAAACGTCATCATGACTAGAATCATTTTTTGGCGTTTTCCGTCTCCTTTTAGACGAAATTGGAGGAATGACTTTATCAGCAGCTTTTAACGACACGCGTGCAATGTTTTCTAACTTCTCCTGATTTTCTCCAGGGAATGTAATTTTTGCAGGTCGTAAACCCTCAGGAGTTTGAAGATAAATTCTTCCATTAAGGAACTATATTTAAAGGAATAAATTAGTCCATCATAATAAAAACGTTATGAAGCAGAAAAAGTACATAATTAAATTTTATTGTGGGATACATACCCGTGTACCACAGGAAACACAATGTTCTGAATTATTTTTGAGATTCGGATCATCCGTGTTGTGACAATCGCACTTACAATGTTCTCCACCATATGGGTCTTCCTGACATGCTGCCACAGGTAATTCTATATTCTCATATAGCTCTGGTATGTTTTCGATGGAAGGTATATTTTTATCACAAGGTCCTAATGGACACGTCAAGTTCTCAAACATATGGGGTGCGAATAAGCTAGTGAAAGTATATAAATTTTGTGATAATTCCATAATTTCATAAACGTCCCAAATAATATAAATAGACGATAATTATTACCTTTCAGGAGGCCTTGCAGTAGGTAGAATTTGCAAGAATAAATCCATAACGAATGGATGGCCTTTAAAAACAGAACTCATAACGGTTTGAACGTTCTCTAAAGTTGTATGTGGATCGGACGAAAGCTGCGTGATAGCCTGCATCATCTTTGCTATTCGTGATGGTTGCTTAATAAAATAAATTTGTGCAACGCGCACGAAATCGTTCATTTTTTGTAGCATCATGTATTCCACGGATTTGTCAATCATTGCAGCTTGATGTGGTTTGAGGAACAACAGAAAATCTGTATACATTTCCGGATAGTCTTGCAACTTTTTACAAATATCTTCGTACAATCTAACTGTTAATATGTCCTTTTGGATTGCACTATTTTGTAACATCTCCTTATTTGATAGTGTATGCAATTCTCCGAGAAATGATGAGTCAGTAACTGTTTGATTGATACTATCTAATTTGTCACTATAATCTAAATACAATTTTATCACAGCTCTAAATGTTTCTGGATTATTAGATTCCAATCTCAAAAGCAGTTTTTGAAGAAACGACGCTGCAAATTCTACAAAAATCCAGATTAAAAGAGATTATATTTTCATTTTATCACGTGGCCATTATTATAATTACTTGATGAACTTACTAGTTTCACGTTCTTCTTCGGTCAATGGATTTTCGGCTTTTATTAACCTTTTTATAATTTCTAATTCTCTGGTTTGTCTAGCCTTTTTTCTACTCACGGAATCTTTTATTATTGTAGAACTGGCTAACATTAATTCTGCTATTTCTTCTTCATTATCCTGCAAGATACATCATAATTTGAAAACATTAGCTAATGATTTCTTCAATGTAACAGAATAGAACTTACAACTTTTGACGTGGTACAATCGTCACTAACGGCTTTATCTACATTGTCCTTTTCCTTAGGTTTTAAAGTACTGCAATTAGACGAACTTTTCGAACCCAAAACTTGTGCCATTAATTTCATATTTTGGGCACTTCTTGTTTTTGCTAATCGGGGTGTAGTCTTGCGTAATCCTGGTGATATATGTGACAAATTATCGGGTACTTTTGAGCTTCTTGTTGATATAGTATTTAATTTGGTGTTATTTTTATCTTGTATTTTATCAGTCTGTATTGATTCTTTAGTAATTTTTAAGGAATCACGAAAGTTTCTACATGCTTTGTTTGTTTCTGTTTGTTCTCTATTAGTTTGTTGATTATTGTCGGATATTTCTCTGTCATTGTTATCCTCATTAAATGCAGTTTTTTTGTTAGAAGCATCATTCTTGTTAATATTTGAATTTGAAGCTTTCGGATTTAAAGTTGCGGGTAAGATTTTGGGTAGCATATTCACAATTGGATTTCGCAAAGGATGATTGCTAGAGACAATAGGATATGACTTTATAGTTTCATTCATATAAATCCCTTGTTTTCTTAGACCCAGATTGCTACATGAGTCATGCTCATTTTTCATCAAATCATTTTTGTGTCTCTTCTAGAATAATAAATAGATAATTAATATTAAATTGGATAGAATGTGTTATAAAGTTATAGAATTATTACATGTATAATATAACATACAAGCAAAATACTATATATCAAATATTGTAATATAGCATTTTTTGGTTAGATATAAAAATTAAGTTATAATTGCTTAGTTTATAATTATTGTATTTACTTTACTCAGATATATTCGCCACCTTAAAGGTAAAAATTCTAATGGTTGATCTTTTGGTGCTTTAGGCTTTTCTGTAATCGACACATAGTGTATTATTCTGGGAGCACAACCTTTTTCAAAATAATGCTGTAACAAAATTTAAGTACACATATACAACTGATTGTTTAATACAAGTATCTTAGATATTTAGATATGTAGATACCTTGATTGGATTTTCATCGTGAGAAATGCGGCGTTTGGATATATGATACAATAGCCCTTGTGCATTTCTACATGGTAACAGATAGTGATGAGTAAGTTGAAGTGCATCGAATAATTGCATTTTCTTATTTTTAAACTTGCTCGGCTTAGATGCAACATATGGCAGATACTGCTCGATACCAAATGCAATTAAACTAGAGAAATATCATAATTAAATAAAATTCCATTCCTCTTCATTTCAACTGCTTAACTGTATACACTTACTTTTCTTCCGATTTTAGATATGGCATAGTGTTTTTCGTTTGTTTTAACCCACTTTTGAAAGGCATATGTGGTAGAAGTTGTGGATACATAAGTGCTTTACTTTCAACAAATGTCTTCTCCAACTCGGGGAAAAATTGTTGATGCAATTGTTGAGACTTATGCACCCATCTATTTGTACAATACATTCCTGTCCTAACAGTTTTGTCTGTTAAACTTTTCTTGAAATTTGCATAAAATTTGGTGTTAGAAAATTTATTTTCCCACGTTGATATCAACTTAAGGGCTTCTTCCAAGTTCTCTGCATTAAATGCAGAATTAGTTCCATTGTTCAAATATCTAATAAATATCAATAACATTTTTTATACATCTATTTTTTAGTACAAACTATGAAATAGTAAAATATAAAAAATATCCTTACATAAACAAATTGCCAAACAAGAAAAAATATTGCACTTCTCAAGTTCATTCAGTATTTAATTTAAAGTGTCATTTAGTGTAACTCAAATCAAGTAAGAAAATATATAAAAATAGTTATGGCAACTTGTTCATTTAGAATTCCTGATAACGGATTCACTATTTCTTGGTATACTGTGTTTTTCATCGTCATCGTACCTTAAACTATTTAAGTTCTGCTTACATATTTTTGCCAGTGAATGATATTCTGGATGCATGTATGTCATAACAAAATGCTGTGCCATTAACTGTACATGTTGCCGAAATTGTGCGGCCAACAAAAAACGTTGTGTAGGATTGACTAATTTTGGTAATTCAGGTTCCGCAACAACAGGTAAAAGATTCGTAGAACAATTCTGAAACACACGGAATCATTATATTGCCATTGTAACTGTTATTGATGTAATAGTTATCAGAAATTTAAATTATATATCAGAAAATTAAATTAAATTTTAAATGTCAAAATAATTTAGTAAATTTGTTGCGTTTAAAATTCTATATAAGGTTTTTGTAAGCAAGTATTTTAACATCATAATTTGTTGCAAATAATGATATAGTTGTGCTACAAAATGCAAAGTCTCTAGTGTTTCTCCAAGATTGTAAATTTCAAGATTCTGTAAAGACAATTTAAAAACCATTGCTATAAAGTGATAAAAATAATCTTTTCTTACCATAGTATTATTTTCAATTGCTGGCATGATATTGTCTAATGTTTCCTGTTTGGCTGATATTTCTTGCTCTTGTGTTGAAAATGTATCACTTAGTTCTTCAAGCAATTCTGCAATTAAATCATACGATTCCTTACGAGAAACTTCTACTGCTTTATCTGTCCTGAGTTCTTCTTTGTCCACTATTAATATTAAAAATTGATATTGAAAATTAATATAAAATTAATTTATGTTAATTTACTTGGTATTTTATAAGTTACATAGATCTGTTTCATCTTCCAAAATATTATATTCTGGATCTGCTTCTGGATCATCTTCTGTGGCTAGTTCTTGTGCCAATGGCTGTGTAAATTCTTTCTTAAAATTATCCCAATCTTCATCAGGCTCAAAACCCCAATCATCCATATCAGCAGTTATATCAGGTGGTATAAATGCTTGCTCTATTTGTTCCAAAGAAGTTTCACTTAGAGATAATTTAGATCGTGTCCTTTGACCAATACTTTCTTCCTGTGTTGAAACTTGTGGAATACTTAAAAATAATATTTATCAATTCTTATTAAAGTAATATTACAAAGTACAAAAATTTTTAATATTTAATTGTAGCAAATAAACTTTTCTCATCAAATAATAGTAGATATGGATGAATTTTCCTCACATACACTGGTATTTTAAAAATTCCTTCAGGATCATATTGTACATCCAATGATTCATGTTGTTCAGTAGAAGCTATATTTGTAGCATCAGCTGGAGTCGATGGTTGTGATTCTATGTCACTGTTTGTTGTGCTTTCTACTTCTCTATCATCGTCACTGTATTTATCATGTTCAGGATTGTATTCTTCATCAGATGAGTCTTCAGGCAATTCTTCCTGAATCAAAGCCTGTACTTCTGAAGAAGCTTTGTTCGCTATAGCAATAGGCCATGGTATAACTTTTGCATCTGCTAATTTCCTACAAGAACAAATTATAGGTATTACACACAACATAAGAAATGGTTTCTATAAATATGAAGTAGATTAATATATATATAATCTACATAACAATACATACTTAGCTTTTGCTCTTGTTAGTTTAGGACCAAAATTAGCATCGTTTTGAAGCCATTTTTGCACCATTGTCATTAAATGTTGATAGGTGATTACATGTTTTAATATATGTTTAACATTAGTAGCGGTTAAAGTTGTTTTTGCAGCTTTAGCATCAAGCTGTCTTTCAATTTCTTCTTCCATTTCATTAAGTACTGATATTTCTTCAACAGTTTCTCTTTTATGTTTACTAGATGGTTCGTTATTGTCTACTTCTGATATATCTATTTGCAAGTCAGCATTTTCAGAGTCAGTAGAATTGTCGCTATTAATATCATTAAAATCAAAATTAATTGAAAAAGACAAATTGCACTTCTTTGGCAATTTATTATGCGAAATGATGGATGCCAATTTATTAGCTTCGTTTTGAACAAGTTTTTTTGTAGATTTCTCCATTTTAATAAAACTAATTCTTATTGAGTTCACATAAATTATTATAAACTTCACCGCGCGCGAATAAGATTATCGGGTTTATTTTGTCTCAAAGAATTTTACTACATACAAATTTTACTTCAACAAGTGTTGTGGAATAAGAAAACATTCTTGGCTGCGGTCCGATATTCACTAACAGTACTGAAAATACATAGTTTATGTTACGTATACTATAGATTTTCAGTGCTGACAGTGAATATCGGAACGCAGTCCTCATAAAGTCTCATAAACTAAAAAGAAGCGTAAGAACGACCATCTCGTAAGAATTTTAAAATATTTTTCGACGCGCCACCTGGAAAAGAGTGTCTGAACTACCTCTGTTGACCACCGACGAGGTAAAGACTATCAATTTTGAATAAATTTTTGTACTGGCGAAGGAGTCCCGAATCCTTATATAAACATGTATAAAAGTATTAGAGTATAACGATTATATAAGTATAAGTATTGCGACAACCAATCATTCATCTCAGCTATGATTTGCGTATAACAGCTGAGACAATTGATTGGTTGACGCAAGTTACGCGTACGCATTTTACGCTCCATGTGAAAGCAGCCTGAGAAAAAATCAGTAGAACAAAGTGATTAGAGAGCGCTTAATGATTTTTGTCTGTGATTGGAGCATTCTTTTAGATTCTTCATAGACCCAGAAGTATTTACCAATCAGAAGCGAGATTCAGTGGAAAATCTGGTAATGTTGTCCAACTGTTGAGTCTGCTGAATACAGCCATTTTAACTTATTGCACTAGTTCAGCAGTGTAGCTATAAAGAACAGATTCAAAGAAAACTGCTTTACACTATGTAAAATTCGTGAATCTGATTCGTGTATGCTCTTGGATTCAGCTAAATTTAAGAGCATATGCCAATTAGATTTACGAATTTTATAACAGCTATAAAGCAGCTTTTCTGCTGAGCGCAACTATTGTTTAGATCACCATGCTTCAGTCTATTCGGTGTTTATTTTGGCTCTATATAGCAAGTCTCAGATTTCTTTTCGATATAGATTTCATAAATTAACTATATCTGTGAACTATAAATAGTGAATAGTAAATTAACCATATCTGTGAGAAAATAAAATAATCCTTGAGCATTATCATGTCAGATGATTTAAAGTCAGTTCGAAAAATTAAGAGGGAAAATGTGGTATGTTATTTATTATAACAATTATAATATATATATTGTTTAAAAGTATATTAAAATATTGTAATTTTTATATTTCAGAAAAAGGCTATAGACCTTATCATTAAAACAAATGCAGAGAAAAGAAATAATAGAGTTACAAATCAAATTTCAAGCAACAACAAAGTTGCTTTTTACTGCAACAAGTATAAGAATATCAAGAAAAGAAAACGGATATCAGTCGTAGGATTTTCAAAAAGTTTAGCATTATCAGAAATGCAACTATACATTGCACGACAGGACTGGAAGCATGCAATACACTTACTTCCTACACTTCTTGAATATTCTAATGAAATTGAACCTTTAGTGTGGAAGTACATGTTTATAATTGTATTGCACATGAATGATTCATCACATCTTCGTGAATTTTTTGAGCAATGTGCTGGTATTCATGGTTCGAGTATTAGTATATTTTTAGAAAGGTTGCTATCATTACCACTTCAGGAAAATAATTAATCTTGAAATAAAATATATTATGTTGAGACATATTTATGGTAAGTCTGTATATATAGTATCTGTTACGTACAAATCTTTGTACAATAATTGTATTACATCTGATTAGAATATAATTGCTATTACATACATACTTCTTCCTTTAATAGTGCATCGATTATTTATATTTATACATAAACAGATTGAGTACGAAAGCAATAAAATTATATATTGTAAAAAGATATTTCCATGGCAAATTTTACTTTTACTTGCTTTCGTACCATGTTTGAAACATCATGTTTCATTCCATATCTTTTATTTTTGCATTACCAACTATTTTTATTTATAATCCGCTGATAGCGATCGTATGAGAAAAATGACATGATGTTGATAATATGACGATGATGATGATGATATAGCAATAACATAACATTATATAACATTGTATTGTGTATATAATATTACATAATTGCTATTAACATATACAAGATCATATATAACATTTAGAATAATACATAATATGAAATATGTATTATTATATATGTATATATACAATAATAGCTATTAATACATACTATTTACAAATATATTTTGATTATTTGTTCGAACTGTTGATACTATCGCATTATACATTAGTCACTTAAAAATCTATAAAAAAAATAATTGTTATTTCAGAATTAAAAATTTTATATTTTTGAAGATTCATGAGAAGAGTGCTTTTATTTTAGTTTCATTTGCAATCTCGAATGATTTCATTTACAAGGCATATGTTTCCATATGTGAAAACCAGCCAGTCAAATTAGGATTACTTAAAAACACTCTGTAATAATTATGTGTCACAAAATACTCCTACAATTATCTCTAATTTGCACGCATTCCAATTGTAAAATTAAACCTCCTAGTTGCTCACCATGATCATCTTAGTTAATAACATCAGAAGCAAGAAAAAGTATGCTTAAAATTTTTGCAAAATATGTTGAAACACAAAGAAGTGAAATACATTGAAAATTCGAAAGACATCTGTAATTAATTTGGTACATCTGTAAAATAATCAAAAAATTTACCTTTTGCTCTAATAATAATCGTTAAATTAACATATATGATAAAGTTTTTAATTATAATTATAATTTTGTGACTAATTTAATTATTAAATAATTTTAGTTATTTGATTATTGAAGCAAAAGTAAAATTTTCCGACCATTTTATATATCAGTTTATTGATTATTATATCTTTTTATGTCAACGTATTTTGCAAGAATTTTAAAGATATATTTCCTCGTATCCGATGTCATTTATCGAAATGTTCACAGTAAGGAGACGGGATTCTTAACAGTTATGTACATGTAATGTACTTCCAATCAAATTTCGATCACTAAAAGAAAGCAAAAATGTAAAAAGTATGTCGATTATGTAACTGTGCTTTTAACAAGAAATTACAAATTGCAGAAATTGCAAAAAGAAAAATTGTCATCGTACTTAGATAACAAAACGTTTCTATACATAGTTTCTTCACATCTAATAACTCTGAACAATCGACTGCTTCTGTAGAATTAACAATATTTCTATCTGACGATTTGGTTTGATCAATGCAAAACTGTATACTAAAACTATCATCGTTCCAGGATTATAACAATGGCAGAACGTAATGCAACAAAATCCATACGCCAAACATTAACAAACTTATTAATATCGTTGCTTCGATATGTCAATATACGATATTTTTTCATATTTCTCTTGATATAACAGTTTGATAACGTATGGATATCAATGATGATGATCGAACTTATAATGTGCATGATAAGTTGCTGAAGCAGCAGTAATAAATACACGGATGAAAGAGAATTCAGTAGAGTGAAGAACGCTGGTCAGTCGAGAGGTAAGTGAACACGAGAGTCACTAGCTGCTAATTTAACAAGTGTCTTCTTTACCCTGAGGATGGGTAGTCTGGCTGCTGGTTTCCCATGCCAACATTCCCGCATTAGTTTTCCCATCCCAGCCAATGTCTGTAACAGAAGCAATTATTGTTAATATTCAGACATTAACGACAATAACAGTATTCGAATTTAATTTATTTATGCTCTTAATCTTGCTAGATGGAAAAAATGTTTTTTTACCGGATCAGAATGCCATCTATTAGGCAGAGGTGGCCTTCGCTGGTCGTACACGACTAATTTACGCATTTCTTCTATGGAGGGTTCTTGATTACTGCTTGATAGCCATTCACTGTATGGCATCGCATATTCTAACACTACACCATTACTTATACATCTGAGGCAAACTTCCCACAATATCAGTCCTAAACTGTAGACGTCTGCTCGTCTGAAGCTCTCTAAACATTCAACGTTCATCCTGAAAACACGCAGAAAATATTGTGAACATATGTAGATAACTTGTACAATAGGTATAAAATAAAGACTTCAGACTTTATAACTTTCACTTACGTTTGTTCGAGAATCTCAGGACTCATATAGCGCCTCGTTCCTTGCCGTAAGTCAACTCTTTCTGCCGAGAGGCGATCCTGTGTAGTCGCTAACGCGAAATCGGCGATTACGCAGCCACCATTGGTCTTGACTAAGATATTTTTCGATCTGAGGTTACGATGAGCCATAGCTGGTTTGCCTCTAGTACCATGAATCTCCGTATGCAGATAAAGCAAACCGTTAGCGATACCAACACAGATATTAAGTGTTTGATGATGTGTTAACGGATGCGGCGATCGATTGAGATGGTCGAAAAGCGAGCCGAGCGGATGATAGTGAGTCACTAGCCAAAGTTGGGTGCAACTGCCTCTGCTAGTCATATCACTACCGACATATCCCAAAATGTTGTCGTGCCTGGACGGCAGGAGTTCCGAATAAACCTCCGTTTCTCGTGCCCAGGCGGCTTCATCCCGTGAAAAATAAATCTTTACAGCTACACTTTCGCCATGCCACACTCCTCGCCATACTTCGCCGCCAAACCCACTACTACCATTACTGAGACATTCTACTAGGGCTACTTGTTTGGCTAAGGTCCTTTGTACTAACAAAGGCAATCCAGAGCCGGAGCCACTGGTTAAGCTTCGACCGTCTAAGTACTCCTGGAAAATATAAGTATTTTATTGGCTCAAGAAGATTAATTAATTAGTGCATATCTATATCATGTAAATGTTGCATTACAATAGATACAAAGAGATATCACCACATACTTTAAGTGTACTATCACCAGCAGCTGTTGCTCTAAGCTCGTGAGGGTGATAAGAGGCGGATGGTGTTGAAGAAGGAAATGAGAAATGTAACATGGAAGGCTCGATGTCTGGATCTATCATTAGTTCGTTTTGATGTGGCGCCATTGAATCTTTTTTCCGTGTCGTTAACAAATATAAGAGGACACCTCCAGCGATAAATAATCCAGCCACTGACCCAAGAATTGCGAACGTTAATTTCAATACATAATATCCTCTATTGGAATCTAAAAACAATACACAAATATAAGTTATTTTTAACAAACTCTATTATTTTCTCACCACTGTCCACAATTCAATTCCACAATTTAATTTCACCTACAGTTCTATAAGAATTTCATTATCAAAACAACATAAGCACTTTATTGAAAATTTTTTATAAAATCTATGCACTCAACATTAGTTTATATTTAGTAATTATTTTAATATTAAATTTATACTATATTTTATATATTACATATATATAAGAATTTTTATAAGTTGTAATTAAGATATGAAATAAAGAAATAAAATTCAGAACCAAGAGATTAAAATATTAATAAAACAAAATACAAGTATTAAATTGTCTTACTGTTTGAATAATCATGCAATACAGGATATGGTCCAATATTACAAAAATCTGTTTGACAACATTCTATAGAGTATTGAGCACCACCTCGTAGATTTTTAATATGCCCTGTATGTTCATCATTTTGATTTTCTTCTCTATTACACAAAAATTTCTTATGATCCTTTGATGTATAACAACCACGGCTACCATATTCTTTGCCATCTATTTCTCTTACTCTAGATTTCCAGCACTGTCAGGAAAAGTGAAATAAGTTGATTATAAGTAATAATCAAAGATTCATATTATAAAAAGAAAATTGAATACAAGAAATTAAACAGGGTATGAAAATATTTACAGTGATTGCATTTTCGCAGATGTCAGGTAGCGAACATTCGACATCTTCGCATATATGGCACTTGATAAGCTTTTGGCCAACTGTACTGCTACCAAATTTATGATCTAATGGTTCAGACAGATTTGGTTCTTCATTGTCAAATGAAGTATCATGTTCCTGTAACGCAATAATATCTTCTTCGCCTGGAAATTAAATTAAATTATGCTTAGATACACACTAAGCAAAACATAGTAGAAATAAATGTTTAACACATTGACTGATAGTACTAATTTATGGCAACAATGAGTAAGAAGAAACACAATATATATATTGCATTCTGAGAAACATTTTCTACATATTATAAATTTTAAATGTTAAAGGTAGACTCCAACAATATTTGCCAGAGCTAAGTCACACAACATTCAAAACTATAAATTCAAATGTGATAAAACTATGGACACTTAAATTCTATTTGGAGTTACGTCATACGATGAGTATCGTTTATAATTTACGGAATTTTATTCTCATACCTGTACATAATTTGAATGTCAACAAGAGTACGAAATGCGTGATAAATATAACATCCGCCATTTCTATGCGCGTCAAAACACTAGACTACTCGACTCAAAGTAAAATTACATTAATGCTGTTTCTCGTGATCTCTCTGTCACATTCAACATCCCTCATAGTTATCCTTTACAAATAATAAATATTTTCGTGCGATATGCGTAAATCCATTATTCGTGTAAGGAAGATGTAGCCTTCTCTTTCTTTCAGCTATAGTCCTCGCAGGCATTGGTATACTATATCATATCATGTATTATAATATCGTGTATATTATATCATTCTATGGTAAGACTATCGTCACCGACGAAATATTATTAAAGACCGACTGCCTTACGAAAGTTACGTGACTGTCAAGAAAGTCCGGCGATAATCGGAGAACACCGACGTTACCAACCGTTTTCTGGCACGAGTATTCAAAACGTCATCCTATAATTTGACCACTTATAATTACTCAGATATCTCGCGGATATGTATACATCTATAGCGGTAACAATATCCATCTTCGTAAGACGGTATTTTTCCGTAATTATCGTCTATGCGGAATTGCCCATGCGATAACTAAAGACTAGCTCACATGAGAATTGGTCTTAATCGCGCTCGCTCAAGATTGTGCGAATCGGAAACGCTATTAGTGGCCTTGATAAAACATCTGATTCGGGATCGCAGTGTACTTAATTTGACTCGTTTAACACAGCAATCAAATATTCTCATGTATCCCGGATATTAAGTTGGGACCTGCCTTTATGGAGCTAATAATATTAACGCGTGACATAGTTATGAAGTTGTTTCACTCATAATCGGTCACGCTTGTTATGTGCTCGTCGAGATATATTGTCAGCCCGGGTTCGATAATTGTAACCTTGAATATATTTACGATTGCGAATCAGCATCGAAAGTGAGAGGAGGGCCAAGAGAGTTGGGAGTTTTCGGCAGCGACTCCGCTGATTCCGCGGATCTGTTGGGCCGCGCGAGAGAGGCGCGAGGCGTTAGTAAGAAACTGGAGCTAACCTAAGATGCGAACATCCGTGAACGTTGACGCGCTTGTACTACTGGGAATTCATCTATTTTGGTTCTTTGACACGGTAGCGGCTAGTGGCGGAGCTCTCGATTCTACCCCAACCTTTCAAACCACCGGTGCTTCGAGCACTTCACATTCCAAGATAACAGCATTCTCCGCTACCCTTACCGATGGACTGGCCCAGGCGGTGGCTCACGAATCCAGTAAGTTGTCAGTATATTAAGCTGTCTTTTTTTTTAAGTACTATAAACAAACAGTATCGTACGTTGCTCGATACATTGGTCGCACGAATGTGAAATGCTGCGTTAAATACAATATGTATTTACTAAACTTACTTCAGCTACAGACACCTGTAACGATGACCTAGCATGCATCACGATGGCTTCTCACGATCGACTAGGTTTAGAGGCTATAAGATCTCTTCACAGTCAGTTAGATGATGATGCCAATGGAAATGTTGATCTGTCCGAATCTGATGATGTAAGATTATTTATATAGCTATATCTACTATACATTCATATATGAAAAACTGCAAAATAAATGTACTTTCAATTTTGACAGTTCCTAAGAGAAGAGTTGCAATATGAGGCTGGTTATGAACGAAGACAGAGAGCTTTTCACCATAATGATGATATGCACATCAGTGTGCGAGAACTTTGGGAAGCTTGGTTACGATCAGAAGTAATACAATACGATTTTTTATATTGGGAGAGTATTATAAGTACTGAAATAGATATTTCTACATAATGTTTTAAAATGCAAACTAGGTTCACAATTGGACTATAGAACAAACATCAGAATGGTTAACTTCCAATGTTGAGCTTCCACAATATGTTCCTACTTTCATACAGCATCGTGTAACAGGTGCTACGCTTCCTCGGTGAGTTTATTGTTCAAAAGTGGTATTCTTTAATAAAAAAACATATATATATAATTTGTATTATATATAAATTGTGCATATAATTGTTGAGCAATTTACTTTAGATTGGCTGTGAACAATATGCAATATCTTAGTAATGTTTTGGGTATCAAAGATCCCATTCATAAACAAAAAATTGCCTTAAAAGCGATGGATGTTGTTCTTTTTGGACCTCCCAAAGGTATCTATAGTATTTATTTAATATTATATTTAAATGTAAATATGTTTGTGTGTGTATCTTGAGATTAACTACTAGTTAATTATTGACAGATGCTGGACATAGTATTAAGGATTTAGTCTTGGTTACATTGTTATTTGGAGCACTTATTGGTTGCTGGTATGCATATCAACAAAAGAAAAACTCACAGAAGCATCTTCTTAGAATGATGAAAGATATGGAAAGCTTGCATAAAGCAGAGCTTGCACTGGAAGATTTACAGGTATTTTTTTGTTTTAATTACTGTGTGAGAGATAGTTTGATTGATACATTGATCCTAAGAAGAAGATTAGAAATAAATAAGAGTTTTATTAACATTATATTATAATTAATTGTGCAGAAAGAACTGGAGAGAGCAAGAATGGAGCAAGAGAGCGCAGCTACTGAAAAACAGAATCTAGAGAAACGTTTACAAGACGAAAGTTTGGGATTACATACTTCATATTCGGATCTTGAAGTATCGCAATTAAAAGCAGAAATTGAAGTAAGTATTCTCAACTTACGTATAATAAAATTATATATGTATATTTTGTTTTATTCTAATCAATTTATGTATATTTTGTAGATGTTGAAGCTAGAATTACAACGAGCAGAAGGTGAACTTGAAGATAGATGTTGGTCACCACCGGCTGGACTACAACATTGGCTACAGTTAACTCATGAAATTGAAAATAAAGCATATACGAAAAAGAAAATAGCAGCTGAAAAGCAACTTCAACAAGCACGCGAAGCGGTAAAAATATTAATTATTTAAAACTTCTCAATGCAAAACAATTAGAAATTTGTATTACGTGTATGTCTCATTTCGTTTTATTTATTAACTTTATCAAGTGTAGTCAAACATATAAATACTTCACTATGAGAAACAAATTTTACGCATTATTTTATAGTGCGAGAAATTGCGGAAAAAACGTTCCAGCCTGGTGGGTGCCTTTGTATCCACTCATGGGAAGTCCATTGATGAAGTTGACAAGAGCATTGTTGAAGCAAGAACTGCTCTGAACGAAGTAACAGCCGAGTTACAGGAAAGGGTACATCGTTGGAAACAAATTGAACTTCTTTGCGGTTTTAATATTATCAACAATAACGGATTGAACTATTTAGAAACTGTTCTATATAGAGGGACACCCAATGGTAGAGGTTTTGGACTCAGAGGTATTTAATATTATAATGAAACAATACATTTTTTTATAATCGATAAATGACGGTTTGCAAATATTTGTATATGTATGCCGATATATCTAGATTCTAATGCTATATTACTGTATTTTTCATTGCATCCCTCTTTATTAAAATCATATTTTTCTAAATAAAAAAAAATATAGAATATTTACAGAGTTGAGTAATAATTAATTTTTTTTTTATTTAATGCAAATGTATAAAACATTTAACATGTATATTTTACATTGACTCAAAGCAATCGTTTGTAATTGTTTTCTGTCAGAAAATTTTAATTGCAAAAAGTCGGGTGAAAAGTACTTGTAAGTTATTTTATAATTTCCAAAAATTCTAAATGGTTTATATATATTGTACATTATAGGACGACTCAGTAGCCAAGATGATTTAGATGATGAGGCATGTTCTTTGTACGCTCCATCTTCGATCGGTGCTGCAGGTAAGCTGGATATGGATTCACATGAGTACTTAGATTGACATATCAATGATCGTATTGTTCTTAAATACCATTGTGGCCTGTTCACTTGTTGCATATATTCATATGTAATATGAATATACATACATAACATGGGTGTCCTGTTATAATCTGTAAATTCGTATATTTTGGAAATTAGTGATTAGTGATTATAAACATAAAATTCATTTTTTACTTGAATACTTTCAAACGAGAAAAAAGAAATACAAAAGACTGTCCAAAAAATAATATAATTTTGCTAAAAATAGAGGAAGGAAATTGAAAGCAGCTGTAAAATTATCTCAGTGTTCCTATTTTTACAATAACTTTCTTCCAACATATCGTAATATTAGCAGAGAATATATATTTATAGTTTAAAATAGGACATTCCGTACATCACATGGCATTGAACTTGATCTGATAATAGTTTACTAACGATAAAGTTTTTGTGTTTAATAGTATTATAGAGGAGATATACTTTTTTTCTGGCATTAATATACTCTTATGCCAATAACAGATATACAACGTTATAGTTTCCATAATTTGTTAACATTAAAATATCATGTGCCTTAAGTATACATTGTCAGTAAATTCGGTGACATATACATAAGATGGATATAGAGTATATTTTATTATATATGTATATGTTAATCTATAAACAACAGATTATGAAGAAATAGTAATATAATATGCTATTGCAGTGCCAATATATACCATATTAGTACAAAATTTCATATCTTATAAAGGAGAATATAGGAAGATCATATTCAGTTATGATGATTATAGAAGTTACTTATGAGTAGAGAATATATAAAACAGATCAAATATACGTTCCATTACTTGTACCAGTTAGAATAAGTCAACCAAAAAAGGGATCAAAATAATGCTGTGACAAATAATATTAAATTAATAAGTGATATCAATGCATAGAATATATAAAAATTGCAAAAAATACATACATATATATATATACCTATTTTATGTGCAATTTACTATTTATACGTAAAAGATATACTCTAAAAATGGCTGAACAGCATACTTGCCTCTTTTTAGAAATAGTATGCTCTCTTAAGAACATATTTTTTCTGCATAACTTTGTGATTTCATATAATCACTTCAAATATATGTATGTGATAAGATAGATTTTATCATAAAATATACCATATAAAATAAAGCATTAATATATTATATATTATATAAATACGAGAAATTTTTAAATGTAGAAGGTGTCTCGATATGTATTTGTGACTTAGTTCTTCATTTTAATTGTACAATTACATTCCCATTATTTACTCATGGCATTATGACAATTATTTTAGTTTCGACTGCTTTAGTTTGAATGAATACATGACAATAGTGGAGAATTACTCAATTATTATCTGAAATATTGATTACATTGACATTACACAAAGTACAAAATTATAAATAATAATGACATCTCATTTTATAAATGTACATAGATTTTACGGATTTTACAAACGTCAGGAAAGATATCGTGAAATATACGATTGAACATATATTTCGATATAGTACAACAAATAATATATAACGCGTTGTAAAATTTGTAAAAAGATGTACAATAATTTTTTATTGTAACGTATACTCGCTTGCGGATTTTATTTTGAATTCTTGCAAATCTCAATGTAGAATTATAATTCTATCGAAAACCGCTGTATTATGGACGTTATATACATATATATATATACAGAATTTATTTTTATTAGTAATAATAGAATTGAATATTCGAAAGATACTTTGTATTTTTTTTTACTCACATATCTCGTTATAAGTTGATTTGCACGCTTCTACGTTTGAAGACACGTGATATGTTAGAAAATGTAACAATGAGTACTGCTGTGTTAACTAAGATGATGAATATCGAGTTGTAAAGAGCATATTGCTCACTACTCTTAACTACGACTCATACATTGCCCTCAGATGATTTTGTAAATTATATATCTTTCTGCAGTTAAATATTTGTTGTTAAAGAAATATCGATGTCTTGAAACGTATCGCATATATGTGTATCACAGTGAGTCCACTTTTTTATTTTACGAAGATTACGTTACATGACGGCGTTATTTTTCTGTACAAAATATTTATTAATCGCTATTAATAAACTCTTACACAAGCTTGTGAAAAACACAAGAATATGTGGGCTTGTTAATATGACCTATACCGAACTCGAGTATTCTGATTTGTTGCATGCTTCTCGTCCCAAGGCCTAGCGTGTGCTATTAAACAAACAAGAGTGCTTAAATAAATAAGAGTGAATCGAATATGAATTTCATGCGTTTTAGCGCTTTAGAAACCGTAATTCATCAATGGTCACGCTGTACGTTATCATTGTACGATAGCAGCTCTCTGTAATTGCGATGAACACGTTGCACGAAACTCACAGTTCAGATAAGGAAATTTTTGCAAGACGGACGACTGCCGACGGAGCTAGAACTCTGTAAAGCGATTAAACAATTAATCGATCAACAAACAATTGATTGCTGGAGTTTGACCTCGCGGAACGAAACGAAGCCGAGTCGAGACACCCTAGATACCATACACGCGCGATATTGACGGGGTAAATGTCATGGAGATAATTCTGAGCATAGTCAAGCGATGAATCACGCCTGTCGTTTCGTCCGTTGCGAGTTTCTGCGTCACGCAATACACGTGCATTTTAATATAGCCACGGGACTAATAGCGTGGAGAGAAGAGGGCTTTCGACGCTGTGAGAGCGATATCGCCTGCCGCAGTCTTCCTCGTGATGCGTCAAAGCGATGCACGAGAGAGTTCGAATCAACTTCCCCCGCTTATGCACCAAGGCGATGCACGTCATGCCAAAGCGGTTTTCGCTTCACGTTTTTCACAGAGCTTTCACCATCCTATACTATCCCCATTAGTAATACGCTAAGGAGATGAACGAAACTTGTACATTTGAACATTACTTGACGTGATCCGTAGGTGCTTTGGACAACTCGGTGTGGAAGGAGTCGTCATTACCGCCAGACTCGTCCAGCAGCGAGGCGGATAGGGAAATGCAGCCGGAGACGGTCCACTTCGTGCTGGGCGACGGCCCGGACGAGTCGCCGACTCCTGGAGCCTTCGGGAAAATCGTGGTGTGCAAGGAGAAAACCGGCGGCATCGTACGCTCTTATAGCCAGGACACGAACATGCTGCTAAACGAGGACAAGGCTACCTCACCGTTCCTGCCGAAGACATCGTACTCGGAGAATTCGCTCGACATTACGGACAGGCCCGGCGGCTATCGTCTTGCGGTAACGTCGATTAGCACGACGGCGACGACAACGACGAGCGGGAAGAAGCCACTGCGGGAATTACCTACGGTAATGTCAGTCGACGACGAGACGCTCTCGACCGATTCCAATTCTACCGCCGACAACGACGAGCTTAAACGAAGGCGCCGGAAGCTGCACTTTCCAGCCTTTAGGAAGAACAAAACTAAAGTTACGTGATGAACCGCTAGTCACATAATGTCGTTTGTTACTTAATTGCTATCCGTTATAGTTAGTTTGTAATCGCGACGTGCACTTAAAAGTTATATTGTTCTACCGAAATGAAATACCATTACAATCTGTCACGCATCTAAGCGCAAGATAGATGTTGTTATGTCGCGGGGAGACGCGAACGGGAGGAGCGCATTCCGCGTGTTATTACGCATTTGCCCGATATATAAATTGCCTAATCTCCATTGTCGCAGTTAATTCGGCAGCGATCCAAAATCCATCGGACTCACGAAAATAGTGTACATATTTTAGATCGGCCTTCGCGATCACCTCGTGCAATTCCGATCGAGAGTGTGTGTGTGTGTGTGTGCGTGTGCGTGCGTGCGTGCGTGCGTGCGTGTGTGTGTGTGTGTGTGTGTGTGTGTGTGTGTGTGTGTGTGTGTGTGTGTGTGTGTGTGTGTGTGTGTGTGTGTGTGTGTGTGTGTGTGTGTGATTAATCGTGAAGTACTACTAGGAATTCTAGAAAAAGGTGCGGTTTTTGCAGTGAAGTAGCTAACTCCGTCAGAGTCGAATACTGAATTTATTACAACGGAGATACCCGCAAAAGTACACCTGTAGATTCCAACAGATCATTTTTTTGATAACAATGGAGAATGCACGGTTTATATTAGGCACGAATGCGTAGTAGCATTTAAAATGTACTTCAATTATTTTTGCGTTTCCTCTCGTTGTGCTTTGACGAAATAATAAGTCTGTTCTTCGAAGAACTTCCGAACTAGTGCAACAAGTTGGAGTGAAACAGATGTATTTTCTGTCATTCCAATTTATTGCACTAGTTCAAAAGTTCTTCGAAAAAGAACAGACCCGATAATTCTCGTCTCGGGTATGTAGGCGACGGTTTTGTGTGATAAATTGTAATTATTAGCAGATTATTAGCGTGATGTGCAACATACGCTAGACACTCTCTCACGCACTTTTTTCCTTCCTCTTTATCTCTTTTTATCTCTCTTTCTCTCTCTCTCTCTCACATATTTTCTTTTTCTCTTTTTCTCGCGCGTATAAACGCAAGGAAGCGTAATGATCGGTTTTGAAGGTTTGATGCTCAGGTGTTCCTTCCACACTTTGCCAAATTTGCATACGCGTAAAGTAGTAATTACTAGCGAATACATTACGAATAAACGACATTCGACCTAGATCAATTTTTTTAGAATCAAGCAATATATTTGGGAGTTCTCTAATATTGCGACAATATATACATATACATATACACATATATATATTTTCGGTATGTACTTTAGGAGAGACTGAACGTTCTCCAAACGGCAAATTTTTGCGAGATAAGATTTTTTCTCACGGCGAGAGCCGTTAGTAATAATGATAATTATTGTTAGCGTAATCTTCTTGGTCGCGATGTAATTCCGTAGTTTAAGTCGTCGTCCGGCTAAAACTGGACCAGACACAAATTCATAGATTCAACTTTGGAATTGTTCTCGTCCAATACGTCACGCGATTTTTTACGTATCGAGTTACAAACAACGATGTTGCGTGATGTTGCATCTTCGCGACGTCGCGCTGCGCTCTGCGTAAAATCCACAACAACGCTTATTGTTCGACTTATCGTTAAACGTCCGTATCTACCGGCAATACGTGTAATTAAAACTTCAGCAGCAAAAACGAAAGAGAAAGAAAACACGTTACGGTATGAATTTTATACATTTGTACAATGTGTACTGATAAGTAGATCGTAAAATACCGTGCGAGATCTTATCGCGAGCATTCGAGATTTGCTCTCTCCCGCATCCGAAGACAAGACATATCCCCCCCATGAGGAAGCGTTGGGTCTCTCGATGGAATCCCTTTGGTCTTCCTTCTTCTTCGGTCACTCAAATTGCAGTTCGCAATAGTAATTTTTGGACTCGCAAGAAATAAATATAAAAGGTCAAATAAAAGCCTTTTATATCGAAGGAATTGTATTGGCTCTTTGTCTAATTGATCTTTTATGTTTATTCTTTGCGATTGTACACTGATAGAGTCTTCTTCAATTATCAGACCAAATCTTCAGACCGTTAGCAAGAATACAACATGTGAAAACAGGAAACGCTTTTCTTCCCTCATCTTGTAAATTTCGACCAATTTTCCACACACAAGCAACCACAGGCACACGGGATTTTAGCCAGTGATTGTTTCAGGGTCACGTGTCTTTCGGAAGTCCAGTTTCATTTAGCACACACATTTCTTTCCTCTTCTTCTTCTTCTTCGAATACTGATGACGTTGCAGCAGTAGTATGTTTGGACATATCTTAACGATGTATTTTTCTTCTCCTTTGACGTAGATTGTCGGTCGACAATTTCTCTCATTTGTATGTATATTAGCTCAGTGAATTAAATTGCTTTTAAGATGGCTTATATATTACATACAGCGAGGCTGGGACTCCGCAATTTCATCGACACGCTGATTCGCAGTCGATCGTCACCGTTATTCCACTCGCGAATACGTACACACGTATGAGACACAATGACGATAATTGTTTCCCATTCATGTTCGTTTGCAATTAGTGTTGGCGCGTTACTATATTTTATCTTACTCGTGTTATACATCCGGTTATATTCCTTTGTGATACGCTCAAGTATGTTAGTCCCACGATTTCCATTATTATTATTATTACTTACATCTACCTTTAGGAACGGTTTTATGCAATTGCTGTTTCCATTGATTTCGACAACGGAAGATCTGTTGTAATTGTGCGGGCAGACTGACACATTTGAATCTCAGCAGGAAGATTCGGAATGTCTCGAATGTGAACACTCGTATTTTTCGATTTCCTCTTCTCTGTTCTTTTTTCTTTCTGCTATTCGCGTCTTTTATCGCCTTACGGAATCACACAAGAGGCAGGAATTCACAATATTTCTTGCGCATTCCACAGGCACACACACACACACACACACACACACACACGGTGATAATCTATGATAGTTAGTGATTGTGTAACACGTCGTCCGAGACATACAATAACGACGATCAATACTTTTCGATATACTGTATCCTCAAGAATTTCTCAATGCCAGGCTAGCGTTTTCTCCTACGAAAAATCAAAAGATACGCACAACTATCGATTAATATTAATAAGAAGCGCCTTCTAAGTTAAATAATATATCTCAGGTAGCACAAGAGACATCCTGATCATCATCTTAAACGCGTTCGAAATACCTGAAGAGACGTGCCAAGCACATCCAGCTTGACCTCGATGCACCTTGTGTTATATGGGGCACTTTTTGTACATTGCGACGTGTTAGTTACAATGATGATTCCGATCGCAAAATGAAGAAGGAGCCATCGGACTAACGTTGATATACACTGTTGATTATTACGTGGTTCGTCCAATGTTAAATCGATCTTTCAGCAATAGTATATATTTATACACATTATAAAACAGTAATAGTGTGTATCCATACATACTAGAAAACAGTTAGTATTAATGTATATACATATATAACGGCTAGCGATACGTCAATAAAGTATTATGATGATTTTAACGAGTATACAATGTAACAGATCTTAAAATGTAACGGCGACACAAAGAGCAATCGACGCGAAATGTCCGAGAATGGCGAACGACGTTGAGAATCGATACGCGTGTATCAATTCTCATGCGTTTGCAGCGCGTGGTCTTTGACTAATAGACGGGCGAACGGAGATATGAGACTAAAATGTGTCAGCTTCGCCGCAGTATCTGATTTTATGATTAAAAATAGAAAAGAAAAAAAAAAGGAGAAATTGAATTGCACTCTCTCTCCATGAAACAATGTTTTTCCTTAGAGGATTTCGAGAAACGATGATTTTATATTTACAAAGGACAGTTTCTAAGGCTATGTATCTCGCTATGTGTTACTTTGTTGAAATGAACGATAGATCTGAAAGTGTGAAAACACAGAAACCTTATTACCTATTTTAGTTGAACAGTATGCGATTAAGTTACTTTGAGGATTTCTGCATCGCGCCGTTACACCGTATATGGAGTCTTCATCAGAGTTGAATATATTTTAGATAAGAAATAGACACATTTTTAATTAATGTCCGTATTTAAATTATTATATTCTTATTGCGATGTCGCTCGCGAATGCGGCGCGTCTTCCCTGTAATGCAAAAGTGACATTTTATAAAAATAAATGCAGCAAGTTTTAAAAGAATTGAAGTTCTTCTGCACGTACGTGCGGACCTGATGGAAAAATTACGATCAAATGCCCCAATTCGGTGTAAATTTGACGTGTTGAAGTGAATGTTCCAATTAGTGACTAAATAACTTTATTGTAAAAACAAATTAATAAATTAATGATACACGTGTTAAATTAAAGTACAAAATTAATTTTATTGGAAAGCTTAAACAGTTGAGGCTTTTTAATTGAGTTATATATTTTTCTAAATAAATTGAAGAGATTTCAATTTATTTATACTTTCTCATAAATGACTGAAGCACCAGTTAATAATATGATAGTTTAGTTTTTTATTAGCAATTTAGATGTAAAAAAGTTAAAAAAGTAGTTATTCTATCAAATAAACATTTGACATTTAATTGTTAATTTCTAAGATGCTGGCAAGTAACTGTCACTGTCAGCAGTATATTTGTAATTATGACGTTTCAATATATTTATTATGATTTTTAACTTTATTCGAAACTTGTTAAAATCAATAGTATATAAAATTTAGGATAAAGATACATATTTAGGATAAATATGGACCTGCATTAGCTGATTTACTAAGGAAAACGAATGCAATTGTCAAATTGAGACGTTACCACTAATTGGAACATTCATCTTATACGCACTGAAAGAATGTTACACTGTTGACTTATCCATTAACACTTTGTATGGCAGCAGTATGAGATGACAATAAGAAATTATCGATCACAATTTATATGTTGTCGGGAATCTCGATTGTCTCATAGATTAAAAAGCCATACGCTTATTCTATAATTTTCAATGACAATGTCGTTATCTCAACGTTATCGTTTGGCGAGTATAATATTTGACAAAAAATCTGCGCCACGACAACATAACAATAACGACATTGTCATTAAAAATGTCAGAATAGGCCCGATGACCGTTCGCCGACTAACAAAAGGCTGATCATCAACCAATCAAACATATTTGTCACGAAGGTTTTATTTGATTTTCTTCAACATCACATGCTATTATCAACTACTTTTAACAAACCACTCGATAAAATTTACAATGTATATCGATGTGACTAATCCTTTCGGCGTTGCTAATTGATTTTGCTTACGCGAACGACTAACTTATACGCTTGCGAAATGTAAATCAAACTGTCACTGACACGATCTTCTGATACGTCTGATAGCGGCAAACGCGCGATTCTCCGTCCGTACAGTAGAAATATAAACCTGCCACATAATAGGCACATATACCTCCATTAATATGAAGATTATTTGAACATCGCGTGAAGAGAGAGGGAAAGAAAGATAGAGGAGAGAGCGAAAAAGGAGAGAGAGGGAGAGAGAGAGAGGGGGGGAGAGAAAGAGAGAGAGAGAGAGAGACAGAGAGAAAAAGAGAGTATTTAAAAGTATAAACTATGCGTTTGGCTCGTAATCTTACGCTTAGTCCGTGAAATCGCTGCGAGACAGTTTGCGTGTTTCGGTGTTTTATTTGCTATATAAATTATAATATCATTAAGTACACAGCGCTCGATGTGTAACACTATCAAACGACTACTGGCTACCGGGACTAGTAGCTAGAGGTCTTTGACCTGCGATCTCGATGTAGATGGTATAGAGTTGAAAAACTCATACTCAGTCTTATATAACGTAAAAATATAAATATACAACATATACATATATACGGACGGACGGACGGACTACTTTGAACGTCTATACAATTAATAGAGGTGGATACCCTTTTCGGCGTCGACTTCGACCGGTCGTTACGACGAATTCGCGTCACAGTGGCAGAACGATCGCGCGTAGACGAACTCATCGACCATGAAGACGCTTAGACCACATTTAATTTTCGTTGGCGTTATATCCGTTAGAAAAAAGAACGTGTCGTTAAAATCCAATAGAACACGCGGTCACTGACGAGCGACAACGTTGAGCGGGGCGAGAAACGAGAAGGCATCCGCGAGTCGTACGTAAAATCTCTACCAGATTATCGCTCCCTAATCCGCTCAAGCGACAATTCTACGAGTGTATAAAACGCCATAAATATAAATATATACGTACATATAACTATAAACTACAAACAGGTAATACCAGCGAAGAGATAGTTAATACTGAATGTTCGAAGGACTTTGCGACGAGAATATACTCGGTAAATGCGCGCGGGCGCGTGTAATTGTATACGCAGACTGGCATTGAAGTTTTTACACGTGAAAATATATTAGTTTAGAGCTTTCCATGAGAAATGCATTATAAACCCTAAAAGATTAATTATATGTCAACACTTCAACGTTAATCTGCGTATTTTACACTCGTTTGCGAAACGGTTTGAACTTCCAACTGTTTGGACTTCCAAGTATTCAAATATCCGAAGTTGGTCTTGATTTGAAAATTCAAAACCGCACATTATTCAGATTCAAGAATTTAGATTATAATAAAAGATCCGAATTCAAAACCGAATTTAGATCTAAATTACGTAAAAAAAGAATAAAAATATATTATAATAAAAGTAATTAATAAATAATAAAAACATAATCAATTTAATAACAAAATTATCTGAAATCATTATTATTCTAATAACTAACGTAACATAATTAAATATAATTATATGCCAAATTAAGCTCCGTTGTCAAATTGCGGTTGAAAGTATTGATTTATTGATTGTCAAATTTTCGAGAGGGATTTAGATTACTGCGAGCATGTTTGTTCGATACCGATACGAACCTAAATCCGGTTTCGACTGCGATATACTCCGACTGTTTCCTAAGTTTGAAGCATCGCATTTATCTATTATCCAAATAATCGGATAGTATCAGATCTAAAGGAATATTGAAATCTTAGCTTATTTTTCCGATGCAGTTAAAAGCTCATTAAATGGTCACAATTGTAATCCATTGATTACAGATTACTGGTAATCGATTGCAGGCGTGGTAATCGATTGTAACATGAGCCGAAGTAATGGATACAATGTAAATATCAGCTCTTTATTACACACTCTTCTTTAATAGATAAGAATATAATAAATATATTCCTATTTATTAGAGAAGAGTTTTTCCTGAATTCTCTGCAATAGTTGTAACGTCAGATGTTTCATATATTGTCACTTCAGCTCTTGTGATAACCGTTGATTACCGTTCAGATTCATGAATAATATTTCACAATCGTGACCATTAAATATATTCCTGACCTCATCGGAAAAAATGTATTCAGGACGTTTCGCAAATGAGTATGCACTAGGTTTCCAAGTGCCTTAAAAACTGTTTCTTCGGTGCAATTTGGAATGTGGCAGATGTCAAATGAGAGGACTTAATTTCTAGGAACTTAATTTTCAATCGATAAATCATTTTTCAGAAATGAGTTCTTTCATCGAACCATCGACTGCATTCGCAACTGCACCAAAGAAAGCTATTTAAACCGCTTGGAAAGCCAATGTACACACGTATGCTATACATATATATAATACACATAAAAATAGATAGAGAGATATTAGAAAAGGACATATTCAATTGCTCGGTATATTCTCGTCGTCCTGCTGATCGCTGGTCTCAGCCGCGGAAGGTATCGTGGCGAGCAATCTGACGGCCAGTCTTCCCGGCGATCCTGGGGATTCCGGCTCTTGTATGGCGAGCTGGCGAGTCAATCGCGGCTTCGGCCTGACCGGCCTCGGCGTGTTGCGCGCGCTAATCTCTAGAGAGGCACTGGATCTCGAGATGCGCCAGGTACTGGTGCTGGCAGTGGTCGCTCCGGAACCGGAGGAGTCATTGCGCGAGGAGCTCAGGTTCGAGTCCTGCGACGGTTTCCTGGTGATGAGCCAAGAGGCAGCTCTCCGTTTCGGATCGAGTAACCTGAGCGGGATACCGCAGTGGTGCGTCTGCCGCCACGAATCCGACCTGGACGAGGAAAAGTTCTCGCTGGACGACACCGATGACGCCCGCTTGTGTTGCTTTTCCTGGATCTGGGCGATCTGGTACGCGTATTGATCATTACGCGTGTGGCGCGGCCGAGAGTCGCGCGCGCACGGCCAGAAGATCCCGGCACTCCACCAACGATAAGACGGGCAGCGACTGCTCTCCAGCAGCCTCGAGTTGCAGGCGCACGGCGCCTGAAGACCTTGGTTCTCCCGCGACGACCTGTCGACCAGGCTGTTCGTGTTGGCCGGTGTCTGACGGTTGCTGAAGTTCGAGCTGTGTCGGCATCTGCCGATACCGCGAGTCACGCGTGACTCTTCGATCGCCTTGCATATCAGCACGCAGTCCTTCTTAAACTGTTTCGTGAGGATTGCGTATAAGAATGGGTTGCAACACGAATTGAGCGGCAACACGAATACCGCAAACACCTTCGCCTGTTCGAGGGACACCAGCTGCATTCCGAAAGTCGCCGTGAGGGAGAAGAAGGCTATTGGCGACCAACAGAGGAAATCGGTGAAGACGAGCAAAGCCATTCTCTTCGCTATGCGAGAGTCATTCGAGTTCCACGCCTGCGAGCCTCTTATCGCGCAGTACATCTTCAAGTAGCAGCCCATTAATATCAGGAAGGCTACTCCGTTGATGAGCATAAGGAACACCACATACGCGAGTGCCGCGCTGCCGTTCGTCTCAAACGGCAGGCAAATGGCAAATTTCCTGTAATCCGAAACTCCCAGCAACGGCAGGCTCGCCATCGACAACGCGAAGCACCAACCTATCGTCATGATGTAGCCCGCATGCTTTAACGACAGCCGCTTGTTCAGATGCATCGCGTGCGTTATCGCATAGTTCCTCTCCAAGGTGATGACGGCGAGTGTGTAGACGCTCAACTCAGAGCTGAGGACACCCAAGAAGCCAGCCAGTTGACATCCAGCCGACATCTGCCACGGTATCGCGTACATTCGAAATTCTCCCAGTGTTGACGCATCTACGACCGCTAAAACGCCTAAAACGATGGTACATATGTCACTTTCCGATAAAAAAATATTCAAATATGATGAATTTCGTTTTTATATTACCAGATATAATCACACATAATTATACAAGTCTACACGCGAAAAATGCTGTTGTGCGAATTAAAATAACTTTATGCTTACAACAGCCCGTGATGTGGATATTTAATCGAACGAAATTATTTTTTCTTTTTTTTATTTAACAGTGTTTCTGTCAATATATGGATATGTACAATTTCATATGATTACATGACCATATAGGAACAAAATTTATGTGTGTGCAGATTATATATAATTGTATATAATTTACATATAATCATATATGATTATATATAATTATACATATATTTTACTTTAATGTTATTTTTTTCATCAAGTTTGAAAAGCTTCATCAGTTTTGAAAACCTTTATTGTATGCTTTGCTGTCACATGTTTTATAAATATATTTACTCTATGTACGCAAAGTAACGATTATACTTGTTACCATTATTTAAAAAACATAATGGTATCATTGTTACAGACATAAAAAAAACAATAACGTCATTGCACATGAAGTCGTTACCGAACAAAATAATTTATGGTAGCAACGACGTTATGAGTAACTCGTTATTTATTAACCCTGGTTAAATCAATATAAAGAGAGAGAGAGAGAGAGAGAGAGAGAGAAGATGCAAATTTATTACCTAGATAAACGCCCATGAAGAAGTCGGCAGCGGCTAGGTTGCAAACTAGAAATCGCGGCACATCCATTTTGCTTCTTGAAAATATCAAGACAAACACTACTGTGCCGTTCCCAAGCATGGCAAGGAGGAAGACTATCCATACACCGCACCGCAAAGTCCACCAATCAAATAAGTCTTGGCACGGTAGGAAAGGACCTGCAAATTTTTTACATATATGTATCCGAGTCAGGATGGAATGTGGCTGAACAATCTCGAATCTCCGTCGGCATTTTGGCCGGGTTAACAAGAATGCATCACGACGTACCAGGTTGCGGCAGGCATTGGATATGGGAGGATATCGTCCGAATGGTCGGTGTCGTTCGACTTTCTAGCTCCTCGAAATAATCCTCTAAGTAGGCAGGCATGTTTCCTGGATACGTAAAATCCGAACCAAAGTTAGCCCAAAGTTCATTTATTTGCGATCCGAATTTGTCGGTCAAGTTATCTAAAAAATTTTTATCACTTCAGTGCCGCAAAGATCAATGATGAAACATGATAACGATAAATGCGAGAGAAGGTGACATATGGACGAAGTAGTGAGAGAGTTTGCTTTTGTCTTTTATATCGGATAATATCGCGCGACATAATATTATCCAATATTTCGCACGACGAAACTTTGCAGCAGTTAAGTGTTAAATAAAGCATGTTGTGCGGCGTGGAGGTGTCGAGAGATGCAAAATGCAAGATGCGTACACATATAAATAGTGCGAGGATAGTAAAAATTACTTACCCATCTGTGGCCAGATATCGCTCAAAGACGAATTCCACAAGCTCGCGTCAAATTCATTGTCAGTGGGGAATAAAATCGATTCCTTTACCGCTGACTTCGTGACAGGTTCCTCCACTTCGAGCGACAGGAACGAACAGCAGTGATAAGCGTATGACAGCAACATCGTTTGCACTCGTGGAAATCTTTCGGGAGATGGAAATTCTCGCAGCGCAGGATTATTGAACGTCTTAAGGTGTAGCAACCCTGCAAGACCTCTTATCGGCAGTGTGGGGAAAATATTGTTTCCCAGATTTCTAGGAATACAAACATCTACGTCTTAATTAAACCCGGCCGATTTTATGAAATTTAATATAACACGTTCGCTAGAAATAACATTATTTGATATATATTTAAAGTCTCAGTATTACTTGATGTTTGAAGTCCGAATTTCGAAGCTTCGATTCTTATTCCAAGATTTGAAATGTTGAAGCTATTAATAAAACTAATTTTGGAAAGTGTAAGAAGGTAGTGTTTCCGAATTCTTGAAATCTTGAATATTTATTATTATTGTGGTTGTGGTTAAATAAACGGGAGAATAAAATTTTCTTTTGAAAACATAATGTACAAATGATTACACTTATTTGACTACAATTAAAAGAGAAGTTAATAATTAAACAGAATAAAATATATTAAATTAGAAGGCTACATAATCTAATTTTAAAAGTTCCAAATAATAGAAATGTCTAAAATACATTTTAGAGATATCTAAGAAATGTTTAAAACAAGTAAAATATCTTTCAGATATTTTTAAGATACATTCATATTTATGTTGTCTAAAATGTTATGGGATATATTTAAAAAATTTATATTGAATTTTTCATTGGCCAAAATAAAAGATTTATTCAACCTTAAACTTGCCATAAAACGATAAAACTAGATGATACAATTTGCAGACATTTGTATATTTGAATATTTGCATCTTGAAATTTCATTGTTCAAATATAGCGTCTCAAAGCCTCAGAAATTCGAAACTTTGAAGAAGCTTCAAATATAATTTATAGTCTTATTTGTGCCTTATCGCTTTATTTTAACACGTTCCCATAAATCATCTTGTATATCCTTCCCATGTAATAGTGTAAAAAAGATTTCATTTGTTTGATGCACATATAATGAAAGATTATCGCTGTCACAAATAATGACGTCAATCTCTCATGGGAGGTCGGTGCGTTATACTAGTAGCGAACGTGCCAAGTTGCGAACGTGTGGACACTTACAAGTCTTCCAATTGTTTTGTTCCCCTAAATGCATCAGGGTGTATATATTCGATGTCATTGTTCTCCAGGTCTCTAGAATATGATTAACTCGAATGTACGCATGTATGCTGGTATAATAGAAAAAATAATATCAAAAAATGTATACCGAGACTTACAAAACTTGAAGTCTAGATAGACCGGTAAATGCATCACTGGAAATGCTTTGCAACTTATTGTTGGACAGGAGGAGATCATGCAACATACTTAGACCTTTAAAAGCATCGTCTGGTAACGTAGAAATCATATTGCTAGCTAAATCCCTAAAAAGCGATGTTTGAATTATTCACGATGTCCTCAAGACGCTCAACTCTCTCTTTCGCTCTTTTTCGCATATATTATTACATATGTGTATTCGCATATTATATTACATACTTACAAAACGCGTAGTTCATGGCAGTTTCGTAAATTTGGTATCTCGGTTAAATAATTGGACTTGACATCGCTAAAAGTAAAAACAAAATGTACAAGAGATTCACGCGAGAAATAAAACAAAAGTATCAAAACCAGGATACGTATCCAACTCTGAACATTGTTGTTATTTAGGTCTTTAAATACGAGTACTTAAACTTTCGATATAGAATGTGTATGTGTGTATGTGTGTACTATGTTGAAAATTTTAATATTATAATTTAAAGGCTAAAATAAATAAAAATTAGATACATGTCTCGGCATTGATACTTTCATCTTAATTATGATCCCCTGATAGAAATTTAATATAGTTTTTCAGCAATTATTGGACAGTTATATTAATTTCCCAGTAAACATACATGTCTAAAAGATGTCTAAAAGATTTCTTTAAGACGTCTTTTAGACATACAAGTCCAAAAGATATCTTAAAGAAATCTTTTAGACATCTTTTAGACATGTATGTTTACTGGGTTATATTTAGTAACTGAATGGAGTAAAATATTTTTACTTTTTCTAATCAAGATGTAATATTTTTCTTGTAGTTATTGTGCATGAAAGATGCGTCAAATCTAAACGCATTTACTAAACAAAAACAACAATAAATGGATAAAAACCTATTCAATTGATTATTTGCCTATTAATATTTTTATATTGTGGCTACATGAAAAAGCATTTAAAATCTTCTTAAATCTTAATATTAAAAATTTTATTTTATATCTTCATACAATTAAAAAAGAAATTGATTTTCTGTTAAGAAATATAATACATTAACATTTAATATTTAATATTTAATATTTTAAATAATAACATTTAATATTTTAAAACATTCATATTCAACATTTTAAAGTCCAAAGCATCAATTTCTGATCTGTTATCAGCTACTGATATGTCAATAATATTATCACATGCTTTATTTTCTTCAATTTCCTTTTCCTTGTTCTATTTTTTTATATGTTTCCTCATTATTTTCCGTTTGCGCGACATTTCATGCTCTTTTTAACTACATAAATAAACGTACAATGTATAATGTATAATATGTAAATAAATATATTTTAAATTTTGTTTATAATAGACATTATAATACTTGCATATTATAAAACTAAATTAATATTACTGATATCATATCTTAGAGAGAATCAGACCACATATTATACAGTGAACTGCTTCAACCATTGAATAAAACTCTATCAAGTTCTTATCCAGTTCTTACGCAATATTTTTACAAATAATGAAAATACATGAATATTAGACAATAACTGAGTGATTGTATAGTAACCATGTATTCTCATTATTGTGTAAACTATATATATTTCCATCAGAGTTGTCGTTCAAACGATTTCAATTGATTGCGATTTAACGAGTTTCGCACTTACAGACTTTTGAGTTTCGGACATTGTCGGCAAAGATTAGAAGGAACTTCCTTCAACTGAGAGCGATCTAATCTTAATACTTCCAAAGACGTTGCTCTATTTAGATTAGGAAAAAGTTGCAGTTCTTTCACGTTCGATAGTATCCTATAATTAATGAAATAACATGATGTTATCGTATAACGCACGTTACAATTGTATTTATCCAGTGAACCATCAAAGTTACATTCTTTTCGTAAATATTAACACTTTGTAGACGGGCAATTTTACCATCTGTTCCCTTAAAATTTATATAAGCGGATGCAAGTGTAACCACGAGTTAACACCTGACTGGTCAACAACGTTCAGGCATGAAAACACGAGTTTACTCGTGGCCGGTCAACAAAGTGTTAACGAAAAATACAACGTGGCTGAAAGTCAATTACTTACAACTTACGAAGTTTCCTAAGATTTCGGAAGGTTCTATCGTGTATCTCTTTAATAGGATTTCCACGTAAATCGAGAGACACCAGATTATGAGCGTTACGCAACGCATTTTCCGTGAGTTGTTCTATTCTATTGTTCGATATAGACCTGCGGAGATACACGGAGATTCCATGAAGACATCACACATTCAGGTAGCGTTGGGACGCGAAAAAGAATGCGCACAGTTGGAAAAATGTCCCAACGAAGATAAATTAGTAGCAGAGTACAAAAATTGATGAAAATTTACGGTGAAACTTTCTGTTATAAGCTCGACATAATTCTCGTTACTCCTATAATGTCTCTAACAACAGTAAACTATAATTTACTAAATCATTGTATTTCTGCAGGATAACTGAAAATTGCGTACTCAAATTCTTTAAATTCTTTTATTTATATAGAATAAACAATTGCTTTTTCATGAGATGCTATGGTGAAAATATATATTTAAGAAAATATATATTTTCTCATTAAAACAAGATTTCTTCTCAGTGTGTGAAAATACATATATTAGTATAATATATAATATGTATTAAGCCCCCCTCTTCGAATAAATTTTCTATTAATATATTTTTATATTTATTATTATATTTCTATTATATATTTCTATTATTATTATTATATATTATTCTTATTATATATTATTATATATTTCTATTATTATTAATATATTTTCTATAATAAATTTTTCTATTTTTCAGATATATTTTTCTCAAGATCAACACAGACAGTTAACTGTAAAATTTAATTTAAATATCCTACTGCTAAGCGAAGTTTCCGTGCAAGAAAAGTAGTCACTTACAATTCCTCGAGACCAGGTAGATTTACAGCGGCAGTCGGTATATTTGTTAAATAATTTTCATCGAGTTCCCTGCAGGGGCAAAACGAACGGGAGATATCACATTACGAATAGGTGACGCGACTTATTTTCAGATACTTACAATATACGAAGAGTCGCTAAGTTTACGAACGCATCATCATGAATGGTTTGTAGATGATTACGTCGAAGAAATCTAAAAGTAACGATATAGTTCTGATTTGTATTTCGATATTTTCGATCGACGTCAAAAAATCACAGCACATGTGTATACTTACAAAATTTCGAGATTGGAAAATCGATGGAAAGCACGTATTGGAATGTCCGTTATATTATTGTTGGTCAGATCGCTGAAACAATTATGAACTTTATAAAAAAAAAGAAATCTGGCAAATAAAAATTATGCAAACGCGATACATAAATAACGCGAACAAAATACGTATCGATAAACAAACGATATCAAACAACAACGCGTTCATCAAATTATGACAAATAATTTAGCTATAGCCGAAAACACGTACACGGAAAAGAGATGTTAGTTGCGTAACTAGATAGGGACGAGACGAGAACTGAGTGGGGAAAAATGATATTTCTGTTATTGCAACCGGAAAAATTCATCTAAACATTCAGCTGTATCAAAACCCGGTTGAGACAACTGAAAACAATTGATTGAGGAAATATTTTCTATAAGAAATCTTCATGTTCGTACAACAAACAATAATATATATTGCATTCAAGTAAATGTTACTTGCTTTAAGTATTTCACAAATTCATATATCCGCAAATCTATCATAAGTTTATAAGTTCATTTTGATTTCTATATAACAGGGGATTCAGTACTTCAGTCAAAAATATTAAATTAAAACAAGAAAATTAAATTAAAGCAAAAGTTCGGTTTGATTTCTCTTTCTCTCTTTTTTCTTATATATAGTATAAGTTTTACAATATATATTCTTGAAAACAGAGTGAATCCTTTTTTTAAATACATGATAATGAGCTTCTTTAAATTTTTAAGTATATCTTAAAACTATTATGAAAAAAATATTCTTTGCTAAAAATAACGTAATTATTTAAAAGGAGGAAAGTAAACTGAATAATCGCTTTTCTTTATACTGATTAGAATGATATTTTTCTCTTTGTATAACCGAGTTTGCTATTTGATCCCTATTCTTCTCAGACAATGAAAAATTCAGTTATACCAACGAAATTGTTTTTTGTGTGTATATGTGATTTTTCTCCGGATAAATGTGCAAGTGTCGTATAATTGTAGTCACGTTTCAACGATTAATATCTATGTATCATTGTTTCGATAGTTTCTTAAAGATCTAAGCCAGCATCACAGAGAACTTCGCTCCGGAGTGAAGAAAGACACGTTCCACGGATTTGTGGAGGGCGAAAGCAGGGAAAATGATGTCGAGACGGGCAAAGGATCATCGAGCGATACCTTCTAAAAATAATTCTTTTACGAGAGATGACTGCAACAGATCGCACTCCACTTGTGGCGAGTTCTGTTCGTGCGAGTGCAAGTGAAAATCAAACTCTGGCAGACTCAAGCAGAAATTTTAGCAATTTTATCTTGCCACTCAGAGGAAACTAATTAGTAATTAAAGTAAATCGAATTTGCACAAAAGCTTCCTCCAAACGACTTCCTCGGTAAATGAAAATATAACATTTTTGGCTCATCGTTCTATTTAAAAAAATTGCTACGAAGTGCTGGATTAAAATATCAACTTATTTTCAATAATATTATGTTGAAATTAAATTTAGTTTATTCGTATAAAGCGTAAACTGTTGTGTAAAAACTGTCACAGTTTTTACAACATAATTCAACGTCATGCATTATATAAAAAATTGCGATCCTGCGGGACAACGCGGAAGATAAAAAGAAGTAGGACAATGTAGGAGACTAGAAAACTAGCGAATCAACACTTTTACGTCCATGTCACCGCACGAGCGCAAACCGAGAGAGGAATGGACCGAGAAGGAGAGCTGCATGGATTGTGGCCCATTTTTATGAGTTCTTCGACCTCCTTTGCTTAGGATGGATCGATGTTTACTTTAATACGCTTAGCAAACAGGACGAACAAGCAGGGCGGTAATCCTCCCTCTATATAATAATAGAGGACGAGGAGTCTGCTACAACATAACGTGTGAAATGTGTATTTAGTCGCAATCGGCTCACTGATTAATTAACCAATAAAAGCGACGGTAAACAGAAACGTGTGCGCGCAATTATCGGGATGCAGGAGCGAGGTAACCATTTCTCTCATAGTGATTTTCGAAATAGCTGACAAAAAGCACATAGTGAAATTAAATTCGCATCAGCAGATGCGGATTAGCGTTGAGAAAAAAATTAATCCATCCATCGTTGGAATCGGATTTTTAATACCATTAAGAATGAGACCAGGTGTAGAAGAAGCGCAACTTCCCTTCGAACCAGAACGTTTAACGATCTATGTAACGATTAAAAAAGGAAAAAATAAAAGATAATATAGTATTTTCTAACCAAAGAACATATCGACATTCTCTCTCAATTTATTCTCCTCTTGTTTTATATGCTAAGAACTTATATTCCAAGAACTAGTCTGCTATGCTAAAAAAATATCCTTTGACAGGATAAATTCTACTGACAATTTATTTCTACTTTACTAGAAAACATGATAAAATTTAAAAAAATTTACATGAGAAGAAATTATTTTTTCTGTATGTGACGTCTTTTTATGGGATAACAAAATAATGAAACATAGTAAAAGTTAAAGAAATTTATATGAAAAAAAATTATAATATTCTCTTTGAGTATACGTCGTTTTTTACAGGATAATAACATAATAAAACATGGTAAAATTTTGAAGGATGAGAGGAAACTAATTTTCTTCTTGTATATACGTCGCCTTTCTACGCAATAATAAGGTAATAAAACATGGTAAAGGTCAAAGAAATTTATATAAAAGAAGAACTATAATTTTCTCTCTGTATTTATACATCGTCTTTTTACGCAATAATGAAACGATATGACGAACGTTTGCAGCACAAAAATCCACGGATGTGTGAGGATCTCAGTCTCGAGTTGGGTCGAGAAATAATCGGATAGCAAGCACGAAAGCTCCTCATGTATGTCCGGACACGGGTATGTCCGGATAACCGAAATCTAGGGTACTTGGAACGTAGCATCTGACCTAACTGGGTGTACGAATTTTCGATACTTGAACTATTTCCCGCATTACTTAATTATAAAAGTTGAGACAAGCAAGAAGAGAAAAGTTGAGAAAAGCAAGACGAGAAGAGTGTACTCAATGATTTATCAGTCGGACACAAACGTACGCGAAAGTTTTATCTCCCCTAGAACGAATTTATTAAATTTGTTAAAATTAAAAGAAAATCATTTAATTCTAAGAAGATATAAATATGAGACTTGTCAATTATATAAAGAGGTTTTCTTTTATCCTGTAGAATTATTCACAGTATTATCCATGATATCTTTGCCGACGATGTTCAAATTAGAAAAAAATTTAATATATATATATATGTTGTTGTATCATTGGAATTGGTCAATAAGGTCATAATTAGAGCAAGTCTCATTGATTCAATAGCAATATTATGAAACTGATACGTCATATATAGTTTCAATAATTGGTTTCAATAATATTGCTATTAAATCGGGAAAATTTACTCCAATTATGGCTTTATTGACCAATTCTATTGATATAGCAATATTTTTGGTAAACATGCATAATTCCGAAAAATTAAAATTTCAAAATTCGGAAATAATTTTTCGAAAAGTCATAGTATTGAAATGCGAATATCGAGATAATATTCTTAAATATAATTTTCTCCAAGTTACAAGAAGAGACTATTATTCCGAAAATAGTATACAGATGTAAATTAATATACTTTCTCTTCTCTATTCAAATGAGTAGATATTAACGCACCTAACTATACAACAAAACAATCCAATTCCAACATTTCGATAAAATTGTATGAAGATACCTGCGGATTTTGATATTACAACCTTTTAAAAATCTTTTTCCATTTTTTAAATATCAATATATTCAATATACATTTAAATATCAATACATTTTTGTTTGGGATATTACATGTCCACTCATTTTTTTTGCACATACGTAGGATATTATTCTATAATGTGTATGTGAAAATTATGCTTTATTTTGACGAAATTTGACCGACGTTTCAATTAGTAGAATTGAATATCGAATAATTAACACATTGAATTTAAGTGCGAATTTAAGTATCTTGATTGAAGTTTCTTACGTATCTTTTAAATCATGTCTTAATGCGTTTAAACACATTAACTTATAATTTAATACGTTTAAACGTATTAAACGGCTTAAACCGGCAGGAAACAAACAAGAAGAGCTTCAATCAAATATGTTATCTTTGGATATTTATTTGTATAAAAATAGCTACTCCTATTTGCGGTACACACGAACAAATTATAAAAAAAAAAACGTATGAAAAGCTACGCTGTTAAGAACCTTAAAAATAGAAGCAATATCAAAACTTTCTATCGAGAATATGCGTCAACTAATCGACGATATCCTTGCGCATGGATTTGGAAATGTCGATCCCGCTCAACAATTAACATAATTCGCTGACTCAGGATCATCAGGCGCGATCCTCTCACACGACACGCTCATTGGTGAACATGCACAGTATTTTTCCTCCTTCTCGTTCACTCCTCTTAAAATAGCAAAAGCACACGGTATGTCTTTCGGCGATGTCTTACGATATACTTTCGTACTTGCTTTTTCCAACAGGACTTTCTCGACGCATACGAACAGTGGATTCTAATTACGCTTTCGGGACATGACGTCGTTATAGGCGGGTCTCTGAAAACTTTCAATGCTTCATACTCAAGGACAGGCCGAAATCACCAGTCTTTGTACCTGCGATGCGGTATTCATCATGCTGCATTTCTACAATACGTATCGCCCGCCAATGTCTCTAAAGCGACATCAGAATTAGATGCGACGCGCGAATAGAATTTCGCAAGAGTGCAAAACGTTCAATTTTAAAAATATCTTCCGAATTGTGCCGTTCGCGCGGTATTTCCTACGAAACTCACGCGTACGTGACGCGATACGAACGCGACAGACGTTGCGTTTGTGCAGCGTGTCGTCATCGAGAATAGAGTAGGCGGACAAATTTCAGTTGCTCGATCGTTCCGTGCCGGTGAATCAAGTTCACGAATGGGGAATTACTTTCACAATAGACGTCACACGTAGCAACACCGTCGACGTGAGAGGAATGAAGAACGTATTCACGAATACACAGAACAAAATATCAATTCTGTTGCTAAGAAAAGTCATTACTGCTTTTAGCTCCCTTCTATCAAGTAACGGTTATTTTCAACAAAGAATATTTTTTTAATAATAGTTGAATAGTTGAATAATAGTTAAAATATAATAGTTAAAATAGTTAGGTAATAGTTAAAATATACTCATCGCAAATTTAGGAAAGCTTGTTAACACGTATCCGAAAGGAGAATTTATATTCTCCTTTCAAGAATATTATAAAACTTACATTACATGCGGAAAAGGAATTACATGCGAAAGACGAATTTATTTAATTAAATTTTAATTTAGTTTAATTAAATTTTAATTTTAATTCAGTTTAAATAAATGTAATTTAGTTTTAATTTAATATTTTTATTTTAATTAAATATTTTTAATGAGATATATTAAACCTACTAGAAGTCAAAATATACTTCGACTAAATTTCATGCTTGTGATGAATTTATGATTCGATATGAACTTATAAAATATTTGAAATCAGTAACATTCAACTTGAATGTGTACTTTTCTCTATGTAAACACCCTTAATAGCACAGTAGATTCTGAAAATATTTGGAGGATAGATTGCGTACATATTTGAGATATACATTGTATTGTACAAAAAATATACTACGTTCAATTTTTCCGTTTTCGCAGTACGTATTGAAAATGTCTCTTAGTATATAATAAATAATATATAATATCTGAGAAGTAGTTATAAATCTATATATATCTATATATATTCTTCAGTTGCACTATGTATAGATATACTAAATGTTTCTCAAATGTAAGAGGAAGTTTGAATTTACGAACGATTTACGATATATTTATCGCATATAATATAGTGTATATCTCAAATATGTGGGGATTATATGCAATCTACTTTTTTTTTACAATATCTTCCAAATATTCTCAGAAATTACATGTGTTGTTAAGGACGGAGGCGCACGCACGCACGTACACAGTGACGTACTTTCCGTGCAATATTGATGAAGGAACGTTACTCTTTTCGGCAGAAAAGATGTTACGGCATCACACGCAATATCGCCGTACAAAAGAATCTATTAATAAATTATCATCGATATAACGCGAGACAACGTAGGCGAATTGCGAAAACACGCTTCTGAAGAAATTCCGTTTTCTCGTTCCCAAATGACTTTTCTTTCTTTCTCCGTCTTTTTCTCTCCCTCTTTCTTCCTCGACCGTTTCATTCGCTCTGCAATCAACAGCCGCTCCGAATTCAACGGATCTCTCGCGGTGATTTCACGTCGCGCTACTCTTTAACGACCGGCGCTCCTCTCGATGTTCGTGACAAGGATTAATTAAATCTCAGGAAAAGAATAAGTCACGTCGCTTTAAACCGGCCACATCGCGGGATACACGGAGAGACGAGAAATTGAGCTGAGATTGAGATTGCCCGTGTAATATGCGTTCGTTCGTGTCTTTCCTCGCTTTTGAAAAACGGGCCAAAGGCGGCCCGTGACTCGAAATATCACAATGACAAGAGCCCAAGAGGTGGCTGCCTCTCAAGGAGAAGAGACGCGTATTAGAGATCGATTCACGATATCGCGCCGCGCGGCGAAGTTTCAGCGAGAATAAAAGAGCGAAGAGCAGCGAAGAGCGAGTCTCTCTCCTCTCGCGTTTCTCTCCCTTGTCTTTTTTTAACAGTGGCTTTCTTTAACAGTGGTTGTAAAATAAAACGAGCGCAAACCGCGCGACCAACCGAGCAACCGCGGCAAACGGATCGAATGGCTACATAAATCCCGCTCGTTCTCTCCCTCGATCCTAAATCACGCTCTACAGTGTATATCGGCTGTCGTTTAGTTTGGTATGTAGGTCGCGTTATGGTGTACGTACGTACGTACGTCGCTTTGATTTTATTTATCGCTCAATTGAGAAAGTTTCTTCCCGCCGCGGATCACTTTTAGCTCGCAGGACGTCGTCGCGCGCGCTCCGACGACAACGGAGGAAAATGATCAATCGCGAGAGAGATTTAGCCGACGTGAGAAGGACGCGCGTCCGAGGAAAGTTAGTTATATACACATGCATACACACACACACACACACACAGACACACATATGCACACACGCACACACTCGCGGACTTTCGCTTAGGTGCGTGTTCGCTCATTGCGAAACAACACACTGTGCAAGTCCTCGTGGATAATTCAGTGCAGAAGCGGATATTGACTTTTTTCATCATAGGCACGGCGGGGGTCCGCGATAGAGCCGCGGGGCCCGCAAGGCCCACGAGGCTAGAGCCGTATGTAGGACGCGCGACGACAAGTGTTCATTGCCAAGTTTACCTCATTGGATTCTCTTATAAACTCGACTCGCGCGGCCGGTTAACGTCGTAAAATCGCGATACTTCCACCCGTGCAGCGCAAGTGTCCAGGTGTCCAGGAAACGTCACAGAGACGTCTGAAAGATGATCCGCTAGTTCCGACGTCTCTGCGGGATATCTCCGAGACGCGCTCAAAGTAACGTGGCGCGATGACGGAAGACGGTTGTTCCGGCGGAGCGCGAAAATTCGCAGCGCGCGCGCGCGCGCGCGCGTGACAGCCACCGCCGCTTCAGCTTTGCGAAACACGAGCAATCAGATAGACAAAGTTTCTCATGAGAGAAGAGACCGCGCGCTGGGCCCGCGGCCCACTTTCGCGATTCGACAACGCGCCGATCACGTGCAACGACGCGCGAGCCGTTGACGTGAGAACGGCGACATCCTCACAACAGCTTTACTCACATTTTCGTGATGTTGCCGGGCACAGCGACGGTCCGCAGCACGTCGACGTCGTAAATCGGCTGCACGGAGAACAGGCTCGCGCCGCGGCACAGCAGCTCTCGCCCGTCGGCGACGACGTAGCACGCGTCCGGAGCGGCGGCCCGGCAGCAGCGGACCCGCCAGAGAAAGATGATCGCCAAGATGATCGCTGCTCTCCCGTGGACACGAGACCGCGTGCACATACCGGCCGCTCATGTACGTATATTATTCACTTTCGCAGCTCTCCTTTTTTTCCCCCCGCCGGGCCCCGGGTTCGCCGCGCCCAGGACGAAGTCACTTCACTGTCATCATTCTTCACGCCGCGGCGGCGCCCGTGCGTGCACGGGCGGACACGACGCGTGCACGCGTGCGACCACCAACGCGAGCATCCCCATAAGGAGCCGCGGCCGCTGCCGCCGCCGCCGCCGCCGCCACCGCCGCCGCCGCCGCGGCTGCCGTCGCCATTCAAGGGGTGAACGGAGATGATGATGAGTGGACGAGATGCGAGCGTGATGCGCCGAAGAGAGCTACGGACGAAGAGAGCTGGCGGTCTCTTCTCCTGCTCCTGCAGGGATATCCTCCGAGTGCAGCGCGGTACATTCACCGACTGATCCGCGATGCTACGCGGCCACGGTGCCTATGCTTACTTTCGTCTTTCATATCCCTACCCCTGTGGACTCTCTCGCGCGCACCCACCCTGGACCGCTCGACGACCACTTTCTCGTTGCGCGGCCGCTCGGAATCCTGTCCGCCGCGCGCGAAGCGCCAGCTTCCTCGCGCCCGGAACTCGCTACCTGTTCGGCAAACAAGACGATTTCAGCACTTGAGACCGGACTCCCTATCGTGCGGCAATATGCTCATGTCGAAAATGTAATTATTTGTATGTGCCTATATACCTCTTCTCTGTGCTCGCTCTCGCTCTCTCTCGCTCTCGCTCTCGCTCTCGCTCTCTCTCTCTCTCTCCCCCCCCCCTCTCTCTCTCTCTCTCTTTCTCGCGCCGCCGGTCGATAATCCTTTTCGCGCTTCGTCGGCTGACGCATTATGCCGTGCTGCAACCTCCTGAGCATCTCCGCTCCGTGATCTCGGACGTTCCCTTTGAGATCTGCCGACGTTTCGATGCAGCTTCCGCCTTCGACGAGCTTGAAAATACGCGAAGAGTCACTTGGCGTTTGCATGTGTCAGTTGGATATTTTGACAAAATGTTCGATACCACTGGCCCGCGACGCGTATATTCAAAGTGGAGACGAAACCGAAACGATTGTCGATTGTTCGTGCGCGATTTAACGTTTCGAATGCGCAGATCGATGTATCGATGGCTTGTTTATACTGATTATTTAGCACTCATATAAAGACCGTATCACACTGGCGACTCGCGATTGCGGCTGCGATTACGATTACGATTCTTCCTCGACCAATCAGAAAGCAGCGACTCGCGGCTGCGACTCACGACTGTCCTTTGGGCGGCTTTCTGATTGGTTGAGGAAGAATCGCAATTGCAATCGCAGTCGCAGACGCAGTCGCGAGTCGCTAGTGTGATACAGTCTTAACGCGATTAGTCTACTGAATCTCTTGAGCTCTGTGATGCGTGCAAACGATGGAGAGTATTCAGTTAAAATTAAATTGTATCAAATATGACGGGATCATATTAAGTAATTATATTAAATCATGTTGACACTTATTGTTGTTTGCTACGCGTGTTGAACTAGTGGTGTGAGCAAACACGCATTGACGTGCCCAGGCAGAACAGAAAATTATATGATGACATCAACATGACATTAAAATGACGAGAAAATTTACTAATTATGATGTAAAAATGAGTTTTCCTTATCATTTGATGTCATCATGATTTTCTGTTTCGCCTAGGTGTCTACCTCATTTTATCGTTTATCGTCGTAATTAGATTTAATCGATCTTTTTCAACATCATAACGATTTTATAGATTCTAATTTAACCTAAATTAAATAATTAAATCTTGATATACGTTTCGTAAAGATCTTTTTTAAATTTATACAAACCGTGAATATCGTGCAAAAGCAGCAATAGATACACACGTGATGTATCTTCCCAATATTATTTATACCGAGATCGATACATGAAACAATAAATAACGATAAATAAGTCAAACCTTTCGCAATGCGATCACATCTAGGCGTCGGGAAAGCAAGCTATTAAAAATGGCGCATCTCATTATTTCGAAAATAAGGGAAAAAACGATGCATGAAAGAAGACTAATTGCTTTCGAGTTTCCTGTCTTTCCCGTGCCTCTTGATGAATTAATACTGAATTAATTATTTCTTACCGAATTATGTCGCATATATGTAAACAAATGGGCTAATTGTGCACTTAATTGAGTTGAAACAAAAATTCAATAAATATAAGCGGATGTCGTCATTGTAAAATGGAGGGAAACAGATCCAATGATGTACAATTAACTAGACGTGACGTCTAGTTAATTAACGTGACGTACGTCCGACCAGGAAATGTCTAGTTACAGGAAGTGATGCAAATGCGCGACGTTTGCGATCCAAATCGGTAATTATGAAGCATTTCTATTGCGTGCGACATACCGAACGTCCGATAGGGAAATTCTAGAGAACCATATAGAGATATTTTTGTCTCTAGATAACAGAATTTGCTATTGGATAACAGACGTTTTGTTAATCTCGCATATCTCTATGCTTTTATTCGTTGGCGATTTGGATCAACGACGCCAAGTTTGGCAAGTGACTTCACTTTGGTTCGCTTCGCTGGTTTGGTTATAATCATCAATAACGTTAATGAGAAAGTTTTTCATTCAAACGATACATATGAGAAAAATTTTGCGCAAAAATGAAGACCGCTTTGATGGTAGCAGAAAAACCCTCTTTAGCAGCATCACTTGCCAATATTTTGAGCAATGGGCGATGTGTGACTAGAAAGGGTATGTTAAACTGTCAAATTTTCCTTCTCCTTATGCTCCTAAATTACATATTTTTTTAGGATTAAATGGAACCTGTCCCGTCCACGAGTGGGTAGACCAATTTAAATATGAGACAGTAACTTTTAAAATGACATCTGTATGTGGACATGTCATGACATTGGATTTCATTGGAAAATACAACAATTGGGACAAAGTGGATCCAGTATGATTAAATATATGATATTTTCTTTCTCATTTTTGTCATGTGTTTGAGAGTATTTAGACTTTTCTTTTTATGTTAGGCAGAATTATTCTCATGTCCAACAGAGAAAAAGGAAGCTCTACCCAAGTTAAAAATACCATATATTTTGGCCAAGGAAGGATCACATTGTGATTATTTAATATTATGGTTAGATTGCGATAAAGAAGGTGAAAATATTTGCTTTGAAGTTATAAATGCTGTACAGCAAGGAATGCATAGAAAGTTACATCCAAATGTAAGTGTTGTTATATTATTAACAACTGTTAGAATTTGTAAATATGTTAGATACATTCATTCTGATGTAACTCATATATATTATTTATGTATTTAATTATTACACAATCTTTAATAGGATATTTGGAGAGCACGATTTTCTGCCATTACAGAAAAGGATATAAAATCTGCTTTAGAAAATTTAATAAAACCCAATGAAAATGAAGCAAAAAGTGTTGATGCACGTCAAGAGTTAGATTTACGAATAGGCTGTGCATTTACACGTTATCAAACTAAATTTTTCCAAGTAGGTTATAATTATTCTCACAGTTATATTGGACTACAAAATATTGTAATGTAAATATCCTGATATACATTCACGCAATATAAATTGTGCTTTTAGGGTAAATATGGAGATCTAGATGTATCTCTGATTTCTTATGGTCCATGCCAAACTCCAACATTAGGATTCTGTGTACAGAGACACGATGAGATCCAGACTTTCAAACCAGATCCATATTGGGTGTTACAGGTGTGTACAATTATTTCTTCCTCCAGTTGTCTATATGTAAAAAAGAAATAAATATGTAATAGAAATGTAAAATAATATGTAAATATTTTTTTAATTATATTTAGGTAACCATCAAATGTGCTGATGGACAAGACATTATATTAAATTGGAGCCGTGTACGTTCTTTCGACAAGGAAGTTGCAAACATGTTCTTAAGTCATGTTAAAGAATACGAACGCGCAACGTAAGTGGTAACCTTGTGCACATTTTTGAACTGTTAATAGTTTATATGAAATTAAAGATATGGAAATTATTTAAAATCAAATGGTGTATAGCGTAGTGAGCATACAGAGTACAGAAAAATCAAAATCGCGACCTATAGCTTTAAATACCGTGGAACTGATGCGAGTCGCGAGTTCTGGACTGGGAATGGGCCCGCAACATGCCATGCAAATTGCAGAGAGACTTTATACTCAAGGATATATAAGTTATCCTCGAACCGAAACAACATCGTATCCTGAAAATTTCGATCTGCTGTAAGATAATCGCAAATCGATTATATATAACTGATGCATAGACTTATTTTACCGAAGATACTTTGTATCATTTCAGTTCCACACTGAAGCAACAACAGAATAATCCCGAATGGGGTGAGGATGTTCGTAAAATACTAGCGGCTGGTATCAATAGGCCAAAGAAAGGTCACGACGCAGGTGACCATCCTCCTATAACACCTATGAAACACGCGACCAGAAACGAACTCGATGGCGACTCGTGGAGATTATACGATTATATAACACGCCATTTCATCGCTACGGTATGTCCAATATTCTGCAAATCTGTTACAATGAAAGATCGTAGTCTTCACTTGCGTTACGTTTTCTTTCTCTGTCTCTCTCTCTCCTTTTCGGACGTGTCTCGAATGTTATAGTTAGCGCGGGATTGTAAATACTTGAGTACTACGGTAAAATTCGAGATAGGAATGGAAATATTTACAGCCACCGGTCACAGCTTGCTAGATGCCGGATACACGAGTATTCTTACATGGCAAGCACTTGGCAGCAGCGATACTCTGCCGAAATTTACAGCCGAAGAGAAAGTGAACATACAAGAGGTAAACAATGATCATTACCTTCGTGTTGTGCGCAACGTTAACGTCAACCTTTTGTCATTTTATTTCATTGCTCACACAGGCGAAGTTACTTGAATGTTACACGCAACCGCCGGATTACTTAACAGAGGCGGAATTGATATCTCTCATGGAGAAACACGGTATCGGCACAGACGCTTCAATTCCTGTGCATATAAATAATATCTGCATCAGAAATTATGTTAACGTTACAGTAGGTAGAAGATTGGTACCCACTTCCCTCGGCATCGTCCTGGTCCATGGGTATCAGAAGGTACTTTTAATTTCGATTTCAATGAGAATACTGACAAATATGTTTTATAAAAAATATATTCTTATATATTTTTGTTTATAAATTTTACAAGATCTATATTGATTTATAAATTTTATGATATAATTTTTTTATAAAATATATTTTTCTCTCCCCAGATAGATCCTGAATTGGTTTTACCCACTATGAGGTCTGCAGTAGAAGAGCAACTGAACCTAATAGCGCTGGGTCGTGCTGATTTTCACGCTGTCTTGCAGCACACCGTGGAGATTTTCAAACAAAAGTTCCACTATTTTGTGCAAAGTATCGAAGCTATGGATCAATTATTCGAAGTTTCGTTCTCTCCGCTGTCGGCGTCCGGTAAAGCACATTCTAGGTACGAGTTGTACTATCTGACAACATTTTGCCTCGAAAAAGTGAATATAACCAGAAAATAACACATAAAAGAATAATAACTTGAAGGACTAAAATTCAAAATTTGTCAGGGACAGTGTTCTGTGTACAGACAAAGTTCTGTTTATTTTGGCTTTCGTGTTGGAATTTAGTTTCTTGCCAAATCGTTTTCTGTTCTTGTGCAAGTCAAAATTAATTCGACAAGAAATACGATGTTACTCGGAAGCCAAATCGAACACACACATATATACAATATATATTGCAGATGCGGTAAATGTCGTCGATATATGAAATACATACAAACCAAGCCATCCAGAATGCACTGTGCGCATTGTAATGAAACTTACAATCTACCGCAAAATGGAAATATACGAATATATAAGGAATTGAAATGCCCACTGGATGATTTCGAGTTGCTTTCATGGTCGACAGGAGCGCGAGGAAAAAGTTACACATTTTGCCCATATTGTTACAACAATCCACCGTTCAGGTACACCACAATTAGGGAAATTAAATTACATAGTATTGAATCACAATAGTGTGTAGAAGAGAGCCGAATCTCCTCTTTATGAATTTCAGAGATATGAAGAAAGGAATGAGCGGTTGTAATTCGTGCACGCATCCGACTTGCCCACACGGTATGAATTCGACTGGATTATCCAGTTGTTTGGAGTGCGACCTGGGTATTCTTGTGCTCGATCCTTCAGCCGCGCCCAAATGGAAATTAGGATGTAATCGTTGCGATGTTATTATCCACTTATTTGAGAATGCACACAAAGTAACCGTCGACACGGACGTGTGTGACTGTGGCGCGCAATTAGTAACTGTTGAGTATAAACAGGTAATAAGAGAATCGTCACGAATTCTTCGTCTTCGAGTAGTCACGGCCTTTGTACTGACGTGTCTGATTTCAGGATAAAAGTAAACTCCCTAACGAGGCGACCGAAATGTCTGGCTGTGTGTTTTGTACTTCGGCTTTTGCCCCGTTGGTGGAGAAGCATCGCGCGGTAGCTTCAAAACCGGTAGTTACACGTGGCCGGGGCCATACTAAGAGCCGCAATCGAGGCAAACCGAAACCACCCAAAGACAAAATGGCACAATTAGCGGCGTACTTTGTATAATAAATACAGGTGGCCCGTGTGGATACATCGTGTGTATCTTATACTTAGATAACTACATTTTACAAAACACACCGCGTCTTAGATACTAAACAGTGGTGATAAACGTCGAACATTAAAATCTTCGTCTTCGTTTTCTGATGAAAATCTTAATTTCTGGCACAGTATATCTTCCAAACGTGGATGAGACGTGACGCAAAATAAGTTCTTACGTGTATTGTTACGTGTCCTTATAATAAATTAATTTTTTATATTTACAATAATTACATATTGTATCAATGTAAAATGAATCTAAAATTAATTTTAAATTAATTTCACTTAATAATTAATATTTAATTTGAAATTAATTTTAAATTAATATAAAATTAATTTTAGATTAATTTCTGCTCAATCTACCATGTTCATTGTGACGTTGAGGAAACTCTGTTCCTCGGTATGTCAATAGAACATACGATACCCTTGCCCAGAGTATAAAAATCTTCGATCATTGCCGATATATTTAAAACGAGATTATCATCGTCATCCAGTTTTCGACAATTGACTTCTGATACTTTAAATTGTTTACGTTCTAGAGCAGAAGGTTTCAGTAACACTCCTATTATAGAACCGCCGTAAGTGTCGTGGAAGAATAATGCGTATTCGCCGTAGCCGTCCTGAAAATAAAATGAAAATGAACATAAAATACAAATCTCGTTTAAATCATAATGCCATAAATTACTTTTTTCTTTTTAAAGCGCGCATATATGCAGCGAATTAATGAAATTAACAATCACTTTTTTTATAGAACTGATTAGTAATTTCAAGATACAAACCCTTAAATCTCTCAGGAAACATTGTACGGGATCAAAGTCCACAATTGGAATTTTTTGAAGCGAATGCGACTTATACGGATGTAGATCCACAACATCCACATCGTCTGGTATATCGATTGCCTGAAGTCTTCGTGGATTCATAGTCGACTTTAGATATATCAGGCAGTCGTATTCTAACAATGAAGGACGGAACATTCGTTTCGCATCTAGTACCATATCTTTGAGAAACAGATCGTCGAATATTTTCAACGATTCCTTCGCGAGTACATTTATACGTCGTAAAATCAACTGTGAAGGCGCTTTTTTGGTCCACAAGGACTTCTGTTGATGATAAGGAGTCGATATAAATAATGGTGGTAGAGAACTGCGAGCGGTAATAAATAAAGTCTCAACAGCGTAAATTTCCTCGTCTGAAATTGAATGCAGTGCGTTATATTATATGACATAATTATTAGCATATTGTGACAATTCATGACTGGTAATAAAGGAACAGGAGTTGCTAATATTCAAAGGATACTTACTAGTCATTTCGTCATTAAAATTAACGATGATCGGGTCAGTGTCCCACGGTGCTTTTGCAATGAATTCCAGAAAACGTAAAAATGCTACTTGCGGTGTTTGAGACGGTTTATACGGTGCTGGGGTCAAATATATGGATGCTATAAGCAATTCAACTACCGTGTTTGGTATATGGGCATCATCCATTAGATTCGCCGATAGCCATCGTTTTGCTAAACAACAAGCGGGACCAAATGATGGCTGTTGAGAATACAACCTGTTTAATGAAAGAGTATGGTGTTAAAAAATCACAACAGATCACGATTCCACCATTGATATTCTTCAGATATAAACGAAGAGTACTTAATATTCTAGATTCATATTCTACGAATATAAATAAATCATAGAATGCTTATAAATTCATATTCTGCGATATGAATAAATGTCATATGTTATATGCGTTGATCATAATTACATTCGTTGATTCTTACCCATGCAAGGCGCTACTTAGTTGCGGCAAATGAAACAGTTTGTTTTCCAGTTCAATAGATTCTTCATTGTCCCTATATTTGATAACTCCATCTGCTTTGATCTGTTTTACTAAAGCAATTTCCTTTTGAATTGCCACTCTTAACCGGAAAATGAACCCATCCTATTGAAAACAGAATCTCGTGTTAGTAAGAAAGAACATAGCAATTATGTACAATACTTCAGTATATTCCTCAAATATCTCAAAAAATATTAGATAAATAAAAAAATGTTTTAGACAAAAATAGTTCAAATTAACTAGTAGAAAAAAAACAATGTAGTAAAAAATAAAGGTTCCCATTTAAAAAACGCAAGTTGATCTTCAAATGACCTTGAAAATAGAGGTCAAGGTCAAAGTCAAGTTCATCATAAGGTAGCTCACTTAAATCCCTACAACTTTTATTCAGATCATTTTCCTTGAAGCTTCAATACTGAAGAGTTATTTGGGGTGTGACATTAAAATGGGACACCCTGTATACAATATTTATAATATGTATAATGATATAGTAGTACATACATCGATAAAGAGGATGTCTCAGTTCTCGCGATTTTAATCTTACCAAAAGGTTCTCTTAGCAACTTAGGATTTCCCCCACGAAAACATCAATAGAAACATCAGTAGTTTTTCAGATATAAACGATAGAAAAAGCTGGGGTTTTCACTAACTACACTTCAAACGAAGTGGATTATAAAATTTATTTTCTGCGACCAATTTTAAACGGATTTTAATAGAATTCTGTTTCTACTTTGGAACTTAGTTACAAAAATATGTTGATAATCGAAAAGTTACCGTAAATATCAAATAATGAGAACAAATTATCTCTAAATTGTTTTATATAGAATCTGTCGTAAATTACCGTAAAATTAAAATTTGGGATCAACTCGAGAACTAGGGCATACTTTTTTGTATATTAATGTATTTTGTTAATGTAAATTCTACTAACCTGCATTACATCCACATAAGAGGGATTAGCTTGTACTTTCAGTTGATGCTGTTTTCTGAGACATTCAGCAATCTGTAGATGAAAGGCTGCTTTCGTTCTTCTAATGGCTTCCAACTCTATGGGCCATTTTCCACTGACCGATAATTGTAACACCACTTCGTTCGCGTGAACATACGCAGGGCATCTTTTAATATTTTTCGCAAGTACGAAGCAATTCTTGTCCTCCTCGGTGACACCATTGCTACTTCGATGAATGGTAGCAAGCGGTGGAAAGACCTCTGTGTATCGGAAAACTGGACTCGATCCTTGCACGCCGTTTATTGTCAATGGCATGTCACTCAAAGACATTAAACTCTGTTCCAAGTTGTTGAAAGCTTTCAGAACTTTTAATGTAGCTTCTTCACCAGTGCCATATGCGAAATGCGTTATTTTGTACTAGACAGAAATACCAATCATGAATTATAGGAAATATAATAATAACTGAAGACTATAAAGAAAAGTGCAATCGAATCAGTATAATTAACTGAAGATATATTTGCAAGTAACATTGTGTGACATTACCTTATGCAACTTCAGGAAATCATCCAGTTGATCCACAAAGAACAAATACTGATTTTTGGAAATTTTCAATTTTGTCTTTAGTAAATATATTATTATTTTCTTGCATATTGCTCTCTTATCCGAAAGAGTTTTACCTTTTGACCAAATTACAGCCTCACGAATCGATGCGTCTTGAAACCTTCGCAATTCCGATTTACCTCTCCAGAATTTTTTGAAATTAATTGCCTGTAAAATATATAAATACCGAAATATATAAATAACGATTATGACATATATTACTTTACTATCTTATTAGGGCTATGTCCAGATATTTATTGCCAATATGGAGAGTCTATAATTCATGTTACATATGATACAAATTTTCAATATTGACTATCAGATAATTTAATATGAATAGCGGAACACAGTCTATGTGTATGTTTTAATTAAACTTATTTCAATTGTTTGTTTACTTCAGCTAGATTGCCTTCGGGCCCTTTATCTAGAATGTTAAAGGCAGTATCAGGATTGAATTCAAATCCAATTATGAGTTTTCCAGCATCACTGGGTATGTCCTCAGTACATTCCCATTCCTTAAATGGATTAGGCAATACACATAATCGGTTAATCCTGTTTCCTAGACCTTTTTGTAAAATTTCAACGAGCAATTTGATCATTTGACTTCGCTTATTTGGTCCATAATTGATTTTATCATTCATACTGGATTTATTGTTCACTAATTTTTCCAAAATTGTGCTATCCTGGAAACTAAATACAAAAAACTGGTAAAATATTTAAAATAAATTTGATACTTATAGAAAGGTAAGTATAATCTGTTTACAATATAAATTACCATAAAACTTGATCAAATGCTCTATAAAATGGCACATTTTGCATAAAGAGAGCTTGGAAGATGTCCATATGTTTATTATTCAAATGCTTTAGAGAAAGTTCTGCTTCTCTCTGCACCCATGAGAAAGTGCATTTAGATAATTGTACTGTATAATTATGATATCCTGTGATATCAAGGAAAACACAATCATAGTAGCTATGATAATGGGAAATTTGTTCTTGGTTCTTTTTGTCCTTACACATAGTGATACCCTCTTCACACCAATTACGGCGCACTATACAAAATGATTTTTATTATTATTCCGCACAGAATCATGTAAAAACAATCATGTAAAAAAAAAACAATCAACAGAATTTATTGAACAATTTCCTAACACACCTAAACAGGACCAAGTAATCCGTACTATTTGGCAACTGGTCATAGATTGATCAAGTTTCTTCGTACGCAGTAAATAGATCACAAACATAGTCATAATGTGACCAGTGAAACCGTCACAGTTGTTGCTTAATTCACGTTGTTTCAGCCATATTTTCAGTAAAATTATAGCATCCCTTAAATTTTCATGTTGTCTTATTATTTGTGCAACATTGTCATTTGTGTTCCTCATTACTAGGTCGTGCAGTATTAAAGAGTTATAATACGGAGTTGATGGTAGAGTTTCTATGAATGTAATACAACATATGAGAAATTTCACTTTATACAAACAAAATACAATTTTATCATGTTTATATAATAGGTCTGTTTATTTTAACTAAATTGGTGTTGCATTTCCTCCCTTGCTAAGTTACACACTTGCTTCATTCTAAAGGCAAAAAATGCAACCTAATTCAGCTTAAAAAAATTAATTTGATATAATAATTTTCTATGAAAATATAGACTCACCATCACTTGAAGATTTATCAAAATACCATTTTGGCCTGACACTATTTTTCTCTGGTAAAAACCTATCCAAGTGAAAACTGGTCTCCTGTGCAGATATGTGTATTATTATATCAATCTTTTTGTTCAATTTTCCATTAGGTCGGAGCTTCAAATAAGATCTTAGATCGTCGCCGATAAACTTCTTACTCTCTGCAATATCACTTCCTATATTCGATGTTATAAACGCCAAATACATTGCTTTTTTTCTAAAATATATATAGTTTTGGAAATCCTGTTTTCCAAATGAAGCAGCTGGCATTTCCACCATTACATCAACAATGACATTAGGACCGAGCGTACACCCCGAGTTGTAAGATCCAATAACATCAATGTGTGATGGTGTCAAAAATTTAAAAACACTCTTGGTTTCTTCTGGTACATGTGGTACAGGAATATGAATGCCTAACTTATCTTCCAAATTATTATCCACAAGCTAAAATAAACCAGTTAAATGAATTATTTAATTCTATTGTATTTGTATTACATTGTAAATGGATGCATATGTGAGTTATATACTAACTGGTATTTCTTCAGTTTCATCAATGGATTTAATGGTTTTTTTTAATTTTTCAAACCAAGTATCAAAAAGTATTTTATATTTATCTTCAAGCTTCACTGTACTAAGAATTTCTTCAATTTGAAGTTTGAATAGATTTGAATGATATGAATCTTCTGTCTCCTTATGCTGTTGAAGTTCCTCAACTGTTGGTTGTTTATAAAGATGGTTTTCAAACTTCTTCTTCTTAGGAGCCACATCACTTATCTCATTTGTAACTTTCTTTCTCTTCTTCTGATTTAATGCAAATGATTCAATCTCATAATTATCTAGATCTTCTTCATAGTCTAAATCTTCTCTTTCTTCTTCATTGTCTAGATTTTCTTCTTCTCCATAGTCTAAGTCTTCTTCTTTTTCTTCTTTATTATCTGGATCTTCTTCTTCTTCATAGTCAACATTGTATTCATCATGTTTTTTCTTGTTTAACTATAATTGTTTAAATGTTATTAAATTTATTATTCTTTTATATTTGTTCAAAACATATAAAATTTAATATATATAAAAACTGACTGCAGTTTTATAAAAGTCCATCCTTCAATATTCATGAAATTTTTATAAATAAGGACAGATCTTTGAGATCAATTTACTTTTTAATTAGTGGTTAGGTTGTCTTTAATTGTGATAATTTTGTTTAAAACTTTGGGGAGATCTACACAAAACTACAATTAAAACTCTTGAAACTCCTAAAAAAATATTCTATTGGGATATTTATATTTTGTATGCAAAAAGCACATTCTTGAAATATAATTTTAACATTTGCTTTGATGAAACTTTGCATAGAAATGAAACTATAAAAACTAAATAGAATTATTATAGTCAAGTATGATCCAAAAACTAATAAGTTCAAATCTAAAAAGTTATTCAACTTCTAGAGTGAATAGACCAAGTAACCAGATCCTGAATGAAACTTATGATTCGCTGGTATTTTGATAGAGGAATCATTAACAGAGGCAAGATTATAACAAAGCAACATTATAATTGTTGTAAACGATCTGACCATTAATTAACATTAAAGTATTTAAAACATTATTCGAAAAGATATGTTGTTTGTATTATTCGTATAACATTCAATGATAATTTATAAGCAATTTTATGGATTTGATATTACTTTTATTTATTAGAAACTTTAGAAGTTGTCGAAAAAGTGAAAAACGGACAAATCAAATTCTAGAGCTACTCGGCTTTAATACTGAGAATGAAATAAGCACTTTATTTTTTACATGTTTTAATGTTCCGTGCTGAGCCGTTTTGTGCGACTTTTCATTCAGACCATTTGATATTTTGAGTAAAGATAGATATTATCATAAAATATTTCATTATGTTCATTGATATATTCATTGATCAATAATAATCATTGATCGAAGTAATTAGCTTATAATAAAATAGTTATCATATCGTGTACCAGCGGTGATACATGCGACACGGAATGCGTTAACTTAAATTTTAGCAACTATCAAAACTTTTTTATGAATATAAGTACTTCTATATATGAAAAATACTGGTATTCTAATTAGAACTAACAAATTGTAAGATCAAAATATTAATAAAGAATAACCAAATTTATGTAAGTAAAAGTTACGAACATCAATTTACAAATAAAGTAACTAACTTAGATCTCTGAATGATTTTAAAGTTCAACATACCTTTAAATGAGAACTCATCATTTTAATTTTGTTATGTATAAACTTATATTTTTAATTCCTTTTCAATTAACACATGTATAAACCCACATATAAAACATTACATGTGCACTAGCGTACACGTGCTAACTGTTGCTAAACGGATAATTTCTGAAGCACAAGTGAGCCAAGAGAGCCAAACAATTTATCTCCCAATTCTGAAGATTTAAAGCGCCACCTTACACCAATTTTAAAAATATGTGCTCCTAATGGGGTGCGTACTGATTGGCTGCGTCCAGTAGAACAAAATGATCAGTGAGCGCTTAGTGATTATTGTCTGTGATTGGAGCATTCCTTTAGATTCTTCATAGACCCAGAAGTATTTACCAATCAGGAGCGAGAATCACTAAGCGCTCACTGATCACTTTGTTCTGCTGAACGCAGCCAATGGCCGTGTCCAGCAGACTCAACAGTTGGACAACATTACTAGATTTTCCACTGAATCTCGCTCCTGATTGGTAAATATTTCTGGGTCTATGAAGAATCTAAAAGAATGCTCCAATCATAGACAATAATCACTAAGCGCTCTCTGATCATTTTGTTCTATTGAACGCGGCCAATGGCTGCATTCAGCAGACTCAACAGTTGGACAACATTACTAGATTTTCCACTGAATCTCGCTCCTGATTGGTAAATACTTCTGGGTCTATGAAAAATCTAAAAGAATGCTCCATTCACAGACAATAATCATTAAACGCTCTCTGATCACTTTGTTCTACTGAACACGGCCATTGTCTACAGTACGATTGGATATAACCAGTAAAGCTAGCGGCACACGGTGCCTGTTTTTGTGCTGGATTGCTCGCTGGATGAAAATACTACGTTCTGATTGATGCATTTCCGAAGATGAATGGAACAACAAAAACAAGCATCGTGTGCCGCTGGTTTAAGCTGGTTTAAGCTTAGACGGGCGAATTCCTTATTTGTTGATCTGTAACCAATGGAATCTTCAGCCAATCAAAGAAGTGAATATAGTGTATATATACTAGTGGGGCATCACACAAGTAACATCCTCTCTAATAGTATTTCTAACTTCTATGGCAGAAAGAGGAAAGGTTATGTTTAAACGTTACCCAACATTATTTTTATAAAAACCGTCGAAATTTTAATAATATTAAACGTAACTTTATGCGATAGTATTGCAGTTTTTTATTTTACTTCTAGTGTAAATATCGATACAACTATATATTATTTGCCAACTTTCATTATGGTTTTATGTAATATCGAATGTTTAGAAAAAGTAGCGCAATATTTAGATGTTCCTTCAGGAAAATTACAGTTCTCTGACAAGAACGTAAGTGTTCATTTATTATATTAATTACGACAAAGTGTATCACCAAATGTATCACCAAGTGTATCACCAAATTAAAAAAATGGATTTGTACGAAATACCACACTTGTTCTTTTATATTGCTTCAGATACTGCTTGACTTAGAAAATAAGGAAAATACATCATCTATCCAAGGATTTAACACCATTGTACAAGCGCTTGCAAGAAATTCAAAATATGCTGATATACTCGGCAAAGAAAAAGAAACAAAAGCTCGATCGCAACAATGGTTAGAATATGTCACAGTCTGTGTCAATCATGCAGATTTCCCTCTTAATGCCAAGAGAGTATTGAATGTAATATCACAATAAGCACCTATATACAAAGCATGCTATATAGTCAGTAAAATGTCAATATGTTCTTTGATTTCAGGAATTAAATGCAGCATTAATAGATGTCACATATTTAGCTGGCACTGAGAAGACCATTGCAGATATTACACTTTATTATATTCTTCATTCAATAATGGTAATGATTATCATAAATTTATAAGTCTTACAACTTGTTTTAATTTTTTCATTAAAGAAAATTCAATTTCATTTTGAAAAATTATATATTATATATTATAATTACAAATTATAAGACAATAATATATAAATATATATATTTATATAGTTAGTAGCAAATCATAGCAATTCATCAACAATATATACTGTAATTTTGTATACTTTTTCTTACAGAAAGAATTAAGTTATCAAGAAAAGGCACAATATGTTCACGTGTCCAGATGGTTCGACAATGTTCAGCAAGAAGAAAGGCTGAGACAAAAATTGGATTTAATCTCCTTTGATTTAATGCACATATTCCTATAATTAACTCAGAATGCTTTGCATTCGAAACTTGCGATATTTTCTCCCTATCATACAAGGTATAACGATTAAATTAATTTAACAATTTCAGTCACATATGTTCCTCTATCGCAATAAGATACATCACATTGAATAACCAATCAAAAAATAATTTCTAGACACAAAGATGTCGCTAGCTAGAGACCCTAGGGGGTAAATTTATTGGACATCAGATCGAACGTCCTGTGAATCTCCCATTATGTATGAATGCAAGAGATTCGTTGCAATAGTTTCAGACAAATAGCAGATGTAGGCTTATCACAATATCATTTCAAATTGTCGCGATGCATGCCCAAATTTCTGCCATATCGCGTTTCTTAATCACTCTTATCTCGTTTAACATATTGGTACGTGATACAGTCTGCCTCGATAAGATCTACCGCATCACGAGTGTCACTTAGTAGAAATTATGATGACGCCGTTGGAAAGGCAGGCTTGAGGCGCGTTTCAAGGTTTCCCCCTGCTAATATTTTATAATTGCTTAGTGACTGCTACCGACGTCGCGTAACGCACAGGTAGATCGCTCTCGCGATCGCTCTCCATTACGAGAGATGCGCGGTCTCCCCCGCATTGCCGCATGAGGAATGCCAGGTTTTCACGGTCGTTGCATTCAAGTAACGCGTGCGCAGGCGAATGCGACATTGTGGACTTCGCCTTCGATTCAATCGTTGCGGTCGTGTCGACCGTTTGCCTTCGAGTCGTTCGTTTCGGCCTAAATTTTAGCCTAACACGCGAAAAAGCGGCCTGTTTCACTCGGCATCTCGCTAATTGACACGTAGCCGAACGCAACGAGATGGCGGATGATTCGAGCGTACGCGTTGCCGTACGGTAAGTACGAAAACGCGAAGTCGCGTTCAACTTTTGCTCCGTGTCTCTCTTTTGGTCCATGTCAGCGTTTCAACTGACAGCTAAGAAACACTGCAGCGTCCGCATTAGCGGCGAGCAAGCGGTACGCTGCGGATGTTTTCACATACAGTCGACCGCGCGGACTCCCTTTTCGTCGCGATGCGAGGAAAAATCCCCGAGAGACAGAAGTCGTTTCTCTCCGCAGACCGGGTTGCTTTTTACACGATTTCTCGCCATTCCATTTGATTACTTCTTGCAATACCGCATAATGAGACACCCACGACATGAACGAAATAGCAAACATCGTTATGGAAGTAAGATATTTTTCTTGCGCGTTGTTTGCACTTCTAGTAACTAACGAGTTTTTTTATTTATCATAATATACCGCTAAGATATGAAAGATACGAAGAGAAGAGAGACGATTGAGCAAGGGGAAATTTTTTCCATTACATCACGACGTAAAGAGAAACTCTACGAAACGCTAGTAGTTCTACGCAACGTAGAAATACCGATCGCGAATACCGATCCTCGGGTATCTCCTTTTATGACAAATGCGTGGGCTTAATTACACGTTTAATACACGTCTGTCTAAGAAAGCTGCATCATCAACTTCCGATTCCGAGATACACGATTGATTGCATTGCATTATCCGGATATAGCAATTTAAATAAAAATAGATATGAAAAATTTATTTTTTATTTGTGACATTTTGTTTTGTATACGAATATATTTATTTTACAGTATAATTTTATCTTAATATATTTATATATAGAATGATGAATTAAAAATTAATTTGTATAAAAAAAATCCAATTCCATTCTAGAATGATATATAAAAAAGAAAGCAGTTTTGTTATAAAATCATTGATACTAGAATGTTCTGTTTGCTGATTTAAAAATTAATTGTTTCTGTTATATGTTTTATCATATTTTATTGACAATTTAGTATAAGAATTTATTGTTCTTTTTTGCAGAATAAGACCTCAAGTAGCTCGTGAGGTGATTGATATGTGTAGGATTTGTACTCAAGTACCTCAAGGGGAACCGCAGGTTTTTCTTGGACCTGACAAGGCCTTTACATATGATTACGTTTTCGACACACAGTCAGATCAAAATTCAATTTATGAAACATGTGTGAACCATTTAGTAGAAGGTGCATTAGACGGATACAATGCAACAGTTCTTGCCTATGGACAGACTGGCTCAGGCAAGACTTATACTATGGGCACTGGTTTCGATGTAGAAGTAGATGAAAATATAGTTGGAATCATACCTAGAGCTATCAAGCATCTTTTCAATGGAATAGCGGATAAACAGGAACGTGCGAGAGAACGTGCACAGATGCCTCCAGAATTTAAGGTTTGTATTTCTAGTATTAAACAATAGTATATAGTTTTTTAAAACAATTCAGATATACTTTTAATAACAGATTCTTCAGCCAAGTTAGGAGATTGTAATTTTACATAACTTTTAATATGAAACTTTTAGTATTTTATATCTTCAAGAATAAAATTAAAATTATTTAAAATCATGTAATAAGGAATTTTAGATTTCTTTCTATTTTGACTATAATAAAACGATTATATTTTTATATTGTTATAATTTTGTGAAACAATAAAGATTTCAAAATAGCACATATTTCATAAAATTAAAACAATGTAAAAATATAATTATTTCACTTACAAAATACAAAATTACTTATTACACATCTCAACAATTGATTTTAGATTAAAATGATATTGCAGTGCATTTCTGAATTTTATCTGATCAAATAACTCTAGTTTGAGTTAGCTCTAACAAGGAATCTCTCAACGTATATAGCACAATTTGTCATGGTCGATGTAATAATAATAATGTATCTCTTTTTGTCGTAGGTTACAGCGCAGTTTTTAGAATTGTATAATGAAGATTTAAAAGATTTATTAGAACCAGGAGGACCGAGAGGAGGTGCCCGTATTCATGAAGATACGACGGGCAATATACACTTAGCCGGTGTAGAACCGCGAATCGTAACTAGCCTCGAACAAGCACTGGAGTATCTTCGTTTGGGTGCATTATCGCGTACAACAGGATCCACACAAATGAATACCCAGTCTTCAAGGTCGCACGCTATATTTACATTATATATTAAACAGCAAAGATGCATCAAAATCGAAGATCCGGATGCGGATGTTGACACGAGCGGTGCCGAATTGGCGAACGAGTTCGAAATGTTAACCGCAAAGTTTCATTTCGTCGATTTGGCGGGTTCCGAAAGATTGAAAAGAACTGGCGCTACCGGAGATCGAGCGAAAGAAGGCATTTCTATAAATTGCGGATTGGTAAGGATGAACTCGGGAAAAAGAAGGACAAGGAGTGTCAATCATCTGATGACATATATCTTTTTCGCAGTTGGCGCTAGGCAATGTCATTTCTGCCCTGGGTGACAAGACGAAGAAAGCTTTGCATATACCATATAGAGATTCAAAGTTGACCAGATTACTTCAAGATTCTCTTGGAGGTAAAATTATTAATGAAGTTGCAATAGAAGACAAAAATACATGTAACGTACGGTCATCTTATCATTTTTTATAATTTTTCCTTGAACGTTAGAAGATTATTTTGTTACTAGATAAATTTCATAACCACCCACAACAATTTGTTTAAATATGATAATATAAAGAATATTTTCATTAACACTGAATAAAAATTAGTGCGTTGAATGAAAGTCGTCACATATAGACTAATGTGGGAAATAGATTTATACTTGAAGAACGCCTTTGCGTATGATATTTCTATCTAGGATAATCATTTTGTAAATTTCTCATTTTATATCTTAGAGATTTCAAGATACTAAATGTTAGATATATGCAGTGAATTATATATTGCGACGAATTGTCTTTCGTAGGAAATAGTCAAACTGTCATGATAGCATGCGTATCGCCAAGTGATAGAGATTTTATGGAAACGCTAAGCACCTTAAAATATGCGAATCGAGCGAGAAATATAAAGAACAAAGTTACCATTAATCAAGATAAGAGTTCGAGGACGATCGCTTCGCTTCGTCGTGAAATTCAGCAACTTCAATTAGAATTGTTGGAGTATAGACAAGGTACGTTTAATCGGATTACATTGGAATATACTTGAGTACTATACATAATAATAAATACCACACATAATAACATTTTCTTATTATTTTTTATTTTATTTTATTCAATTTTTTATCAAGCTAAATGTTCCACTTAATGACAGTGCTCCAATGTGACAATTGCTTTTTTTTTTTTCTTTTTAATAATCAACTAATACAACCATGATCTGTGAAATTATTTTTTAATTTCTTCAAAATTAAATTATCATGTCATTAAATGGTTAATTAGTTCAATGGTTAAATGGTTAATTTGGAGAAAACAAATAATCAGTTAATTTGAAGAAAACATATATAAATTAAAATTTTTTTATAAATTAGAAGAGTATAACAATTAAAGTTCCAACTGTTAAAGTTTTTTAATAAATTTAACTTTGTATATTTAAGATGTATATAATTAATTTGTCAATTTATTTTCATAATGAGATTACTTAGTCACTAATTTGGACATTCATTTTATTATCTTTGCTTCTTTTAGGCAAAAGAGTCGTTGGTGAAGACGGAGTTAATGACGCTTGGCATGAAAATCAAATGTTAAACAGCGAACTGCAGAGTCTTCGGACCAGGGTGAAGGCACTTTCGGAAACGGTTGAGGCATTAACCGCCAAGAATGCTCTTTTATTAGCTGAGAAAGTGGCAGGTCAATGGGTGACTGCGTTGGGTGGAGGTGACGAGCAGGTTACCAGTTTGGTGCAAGGCTATGTTCAAGAAATCGAAGAGTTAAGAGCTCGTCTGCTAGAAGCGGAGGCCATGTATCAACAATTAAAAAAGAGACAGATGCAGGTAACATGCCATAATTTTAACGTTACAAACGTTAAAAATGAACATAGTGGCTTCGTGATGTCATAATGAAATATTATTCAGGTTAATGCGGCGAATCCATACGGAGATAGCTCGTTTCATCCTGACTCCTCGACCTTATTGGTCGACGCTAAGAAAGATCTCGAGAAGGAGATCGAAACGTGGAAAGCCTTGAAGGAACAGTACAGCCATGGTAACACCAGCGTTAAGACAATGGACGAAGGGGAAATCGACGATGCAGAGAATGCGCAGGATTCTGTAAGCGAAGACGATTCCGACGATGATTCCGATCGTAAAGGTACGTTCAAGTACATACCATATAGCTATACACAAAGCGAATTATTTCATTCTTTTTGCAAAAAATTCACATGAGAAAAGATTTCTGCAAAATGTTTCTATTAGGACATGTTCTCATTTTTGTATCGAAGTATTGCATAATGAGTATACATCGTAGCAACTTCTTTCTTTCAGATTCCAAAACACGAGGTATTCTGCTACTTGTTCACACATGCGTGCATACGTGCGTTTCAAACTGTATATTTTTGTTTTGTTACATTGTACATTATTTTACAGAGGAAGACGAGGAAGAAGCGGCCATGGGTCGCGAATTGGAAGCATTAACATCGGACATTGATGTAAAGCAACGCTTGATACAAGAGCTCGAGCTCTCTCAAAGACGCTTGCAAACTATGAAGCAGCATTATGAAGATAAGCTGGCACAACTACAAGCTCGTATCAGAGATACGCAAGAGGAGAGAGACAAAGTGTTGATGTCCTTGCAACAGCAACCTGCGCCTCCCACCGAGAAGGTGAAGAAATTACGTGACGAATACGAGAAGAAACTCTCCAACATGCAGAAGGAGATGCGACTTTTGCAATCCGCCAAGAAGGAGCACGCGAGATTACTGAAGAATCAATCGCAGAGCGAGAATAGATTAAGGGGCCTACGAAACGAACTTTCGGAGATGAAGAGGGCGAAAGTGAAACTTCTGAACAAAATGCGTGAAGAAGCGCAACGGCATAAGGAGAATGAGCTGAGACGCAACCGAGAAATCGCGCAGTTACGTAAGGAAAGTCGCAGGAATGCGAATGTGATCAGAACTCTGGAAGCCGACAAAAGAATGAAAGAAGTTGTGCTCAGACGTAAACAAGAGGAGGTAACGGCACTACGAAGAAGAGACAGAGGCTTGAGTCAAAAAGCCGCTGGCCGTACACCAGCTAAACCGATTAATCCCAAGGCACTAAAACAAAGGTGGCAGACGTTCGAGAGGACGATCGCCAAGCAAGCGCTGGCGAAGCAGGCCGCCGCAGAAACGGAGAGAGAAATGGAAAGATTGCTTCAAGAAAGGGAAGAGTTGGGGAGAGATCTAGAGAAGCTCCAGAAGCACAGAAACGTTATCGCAAACTCAAGAGGCGACACTGCGGACGTTGACGAAGAGATCGATAATGTGAAGAGTAAAATCAGCTATTTGCAGGTTATAATTAGTAACAATTTTGTATGGCTCAGTAAGATCCATATTAACAGTCGTTATTTGAAACTTGTTTCATATAAAATACTTGAATCAGAGATTAGTTAACACGTTGAATGCCGCGGGGGTCACCGATGACCGGCGCTCAATTTGCAAACGGTGCCGTGAGGGTCATCAGTGGCCGGCGATTCTGAGCTTAATAAAAACGCATGATTGAAGTAGATGACAATACTTAAAAAATATTCAATATTACCATCGCATAAATATTCAATATCACAACAACATAAAGACTCCCGGTAAGATAAATGCATACTGCATGACAATATAGTTCACATTATCTGCCGTAAATAATATTTTGCACTAGTACGTATCGTATAACGAAAAACTCATTCTGGCGTCTTAGGCCGGTCATGTAAAATTTGTCCGGCATTCAACGTGTTAAATGTTTTTTGTTGAATCACAAAATGGATGACTCTATTAGTAACAAAGTAACTTTATTATAAAAATAACTCAATATATTAATGATATATGTGTTAAATGGACGATTTCTTTTTATTTTATTGGAAATCTTGTGAACATTTGTGATTTCAATTGTATTATGTAATTGTATTTTTCTAATTTATGGAAAGATTTTAATTTATTTATATTTCTCAGAAATAATTGAACTACCGTTTTGTGACGTGATAATTTAATTTTGTTTTTCCCTTGGCAGTTTGGTTTTGGAAAAGTTAAAGGATGACACTGTATAGATCTATAAAATTCGTAGACATTTGATACTGACTATCATTCAGTTGTTAAGATGTCAGCAAGTAACAGTTCAAACTATCATTTTCAGAAGTATGCTTGTAATTATGATATTTCAGCATTTACTATGACTTAATTTTATTCAAAACTTATTATAACGAATGATATATCATATTTATATTAATATTTCTTGAATAAATACGGACTTATATTAGCTGTTAAGGCTTGTTAAGTAAAACAGGTGCAGTTATCACAAATTGGAACATTTGCTTTATGATGTACGTGATGTATTTATAATTGTGATTCAACTGAAAAAATATTGAACAATTCATATCAAACTAAATAATTAACATTTAATTCTAAATTCAAATCTGAGTATCTTATTCAAACTAAAATTTCAAGTAATGACTATTAGTACGGATTTAAGACTCTTTTATAGTTCAACGATTATTCTTATCTTCTTTACTGACTCACAAAAATATTGCAGGACAGTATCTCAGAGTGCCAACGAGACATGGTTGAAATGGGCGACGGTGAAGCGGAAGGTGAACCCGGAGTCGAAGCCCTTATCTCCACCATCCGAACGGTGGACGAGGCGCAGTACTTACTGCAACGAATGCTCGCATTTACCGTGGAGCAAAGCTGCGTAGCCGCACAAAAGCAACTGGAAGTACGAGACATGGAGTCACGACTCAATCAAGTTGCACAAGAGAGCGACGTACAGCATCAGTTACTGGAGCACGTATTACGCGACAGAGACCTTTTATCACTCACGAACAATCATGATAATGCATTAGCTTACAGCCCGGCCAGTTCAAGAAGCTCCTCTCCTGATAAGTAAGTCGAACAGTGATATTATGTTCTTTTATATGCATTGCTTTTCTTTTTCAAAGTATAAAATGTTACACTTCGAAGTATAAGCAAAAATATAGATTTTAACATTTTCATATGAACAAAATGTATTTCTCTTCACCCTTTCTGCCTGTGCAAAGACCAAATTTTCATTTGTATTTTATGTAATAGCGAAAATTATGGCCAAATTATACTCGGTGAGGAGAAACAGCGCAACAGTAAGGTCAGAAGAAGAACGACGCAGCCGCAAGAACTTCTTTATGGTATACATGCTAGTCCGGAGAATTTAAAAACAGACGATCAGAATCAAAATCATAACCACCCTCTTACAAGGGTTCCTAGTGCACCAGGTAGCCTGAAGTAAGCATACAGTATTTAAATCTCTTGCTACTGTTAGCATTTAGAGATGTGACATGAGAGGAATATGCGGGGAGAAACTTTCACTTTGTTAATTGTATTATTTGTAATTTGCTTAATAATATTATCTAGTAACTTGAATCAATTACTTATTATAAATATTTATTTATTAATTTAATTTACATAATAATATTATCTATTGAGATGTTTATAAACGAACACTAGAGAAATGGATATTCATCTATTGCATAGTTATTATTTTGCATATATATAATATATTTTTGTACGTACAATAGCTGAAAAGAAGTAAGTGAATATTCACTTTTCCAGTTTTCACTCATGAAAATCTTAGAACTTGTAAATACTTTGAAATAATGTATATTATCTATATTGGTGCAACATAATATTTTAAATAATATATATTCAATATTATAAATTATGTATATTCACAGAGGACTGGTGTTAACGAGGAGTCAATACGGCAGCGCTGTGACTGGTGGATCGCCAACTTTGACTCGTCGCGACAGCACGTCGCCCAGAGCTCTGCGACGGCCGATTCATCCAGGTGGAGGCTCCATGTGAGTGATTATCCTGCAGCACATCCTTGTTCTTATATTCTTTGCATACATCTGTCTTGATTTCCTACTCCATGCACTGTTGACTACTTTGTTTCCCTGAGATGAGATTTAATTTTGTTGATTTTGTCTGAGAAATTGGAATCAAGTGCAAGTATTTCGTGCCTATAAATATAATGTTTAATATTTAATAGTTTATATCATTTAGTGTGGTACATATACACACGTCCAAGCAAATGTAAGCACGAAATGACGTTAAATGGAGCAGGTCTCACGAAAGAGTCTCATGAACAAAAATTCGATGTAGAAATTATTGTTATAAAATACGCGTACGCAAACATACACATATACACAAATACGTTATATTACAAGAAATATTTATTATGTTATTCTATGTGTACAAAATATCTCTAAGTTTTGTATGTTTATATACCAGATAAGAGACGTCCTTCGCGATAAATTTCTAAGTGTTACATATTGTAAAATAGATAGGACTTTTATACGTGAATACATATGTATATTGCGTGTTCCACAAGAACCGCATCTTGTTTTCGTACGATACGTTGCTTTTACAAACGATACCTTTGAATAAAAACCTGGGTTTATGTGTGTTTAAAGATAAGTACTTTAATTTATGTAGTGTGCAATACACACGCGCATTATATACGGCGAATGAGTATCTGATGATACGTAAAATATTTATTGTTTTATTCACTTATACAGCTCACACGTGTTGTTAACAATTGCAATAAGGAGAGACGTTAATTTATACACAAGACAATTTTCTGATAAATCTCGTTAATATGTATAGATCTAAGAAATCGTTTTCTCTGTAATATAGGCTAATTAAAGAAATAATAAACGGCAAAATTTTGAGAAGTAACAGGCGAAAGTACAGATAGCTAAGTAAAAGAATTTCCTTGACGCGCGACACGTACCGTTTCTTACTTTGTATAGATTTTTAAAATACGAGATTTGCATTTGATAACGGCTGGAACTGATTGCGCTTGATTATGCACTCTCTCTCTCTCTCTCTCTCTCTCTCTCTCTCTCTCTCTCTCTCTCTCTCTCTCTCTCTCTCTCTCTCTCTCTCTCTCTCTCTCTCTCTCTCTCTCTCTCTCTCTCTCTTTCTCTCTCTCTCTCTCTCTCTCTCTCTCTCTCTCTCTCTCTCTCTCTCTCTCTCTCTCTCTTTCTCTTTATTTATTTTCCATTATACGCGTGACACATGCGGACACAACTGGATTAATATAACGTCTCACTCTTCTCTCTGCACATGCATGTTTAATATGATTTTCAAGTCGGCATGATAGTCTGGATTAGCGAAATGCGCCAAATGCCGGCTGACTAACACGCTAACATATAACAAACACACCTACCAGGGAGCAGGTAGCGCACACGGATATATCGTCGCCTCCTGGATCCCCAACTACCTACAGGCGGTTCAATAGCCGCGAAGAAAACGTTTTTTCGAGACTAACCGCGAGTAGGCAGCCAATCGCGTCCGAACCACAGCCGATGAAAGGAATTATTTCGCAATACCAAGGCAAGGTAGGCAAGCGCAAACAGATAACGAGAACTTGCTAGCTGTCTTTCTTTCTTTATCTCTTTCCTGGAATGAATAAATCATTAAATGTGTTTTCTCCATCAGGCGCAACCACGAGCCATTTTACAATGTTCCCACGTAGCCGAAGGACACAGCAAAGCAGTCCTTACCGTGTGCGTAACGTCGGATTCACTCTTCAGCGGTTCAAAAGGTAACACGAAGAAACGAGCGATGAAGAATGCTATGTAATCTGGCTATAAATTATATTTGGGCTTTCTTATATATTGTGAGTAATGACAGTAATGATATTATTTTGGGAACTTGCCACACAGTTCACCAATTAAAGTTAATGATTTGTTGTTTATTTTTTTGTGCTTTCTTAACTCGCTTTGTTTTAAGTGAACAATTCAGCTTGTCAAGCAGTCAAGAGCTTGATAAATTTTAAATCAATTTTTTCATAATATATGTTCAACAAAAAAACGCATGATTATGAACACGCACAAAATGAGTGTATTATTGACAGGATTAAACTGATACTGATTGCGCAGAATTTTAATGCACTCTCCAAAATTGATTCTATCAAAAGCTTCGATATTTCAAATCTCTGAACGAAGTGGAGAATTTAAAGCCTTGAAGACGAATTATTCGAGAAGTTTTTCGAATATATAAAACATATTACTATCCCTACTATATAGAGAAAGAATAATTGCGATAACAATTCGCATTGTTCAAAGATTCAAAGTTTCGAAGCCGAATTATCTGAAGCTCTTTGAATACATAAAAAAATATCTCTACTATGTGGAATAATTGCAATTATTCGTATTTTATGTACTTTCAGATCGTACCGTAAAAGTGTGGGACTTGGAAACGGGGATCGAGAGTCTAACTCTAAGCGGACATCCTAATAACGTCGTCGCCGTGAGATATTCCGCCGTGAATCAGCTCCTGTTCAGCGTATCCGCGGCGTACGTCAAAGTCTGGGATCTGAGGGCCGGCAACAACTGCATAAAGACATTGTTCTCTTCTGGTCAGACTCAAAGTGGCCCCATCGCGCTGTCGACTCCGTCTAGGACGCTCCAACTGCCCATGGGCGAGACGACGATCAACGACCTGGCGCTCAGCCTGGACGAGCAGGAACTGTACACAGCGTCCAGCGACAAAGTGCGAATATGGGATCTGCGTAAACTGACGTACACCGGTAGATTGAGCACGTCGCACACCGCGGCAGTCATGTGCCTGACCGTTGCTGAAGACGGTCGAGTGATAGCCGGCAGCAAGGATCATCTGATATCGCTCGCCGAGGCGAACGCGTCCGGGCCATCCGTCAATTTGGCGCCGCCGCATTATGACGGCGTAGAATGCCTCGCCACGATCGGTTCTACGCTATTTTCCGGTAAGCTTACGCGTATATTGCTGACATACGTTCGCTGCCAGCATCATACGTATATGACGCGACGATCTCTCATGAGGAATTACGTGTGCGTTATGTATGCGTGACGATGTAATTTTCTCTCTATGTCCTTCACATTATCAAATTAAATCTGTATCATATAATTACGTAAGAAGGAAATACGTACTGTTCTATCACGAGTCATTTCACAAATAAATCCTGGTAGCGGTTTAATGTTAATGTTAATAATGTAGGTATCTCTCGTGTAATACGGTAGATAACTTGTCTAAAAATCTCGTCTGGTATGTGGCATTAAGAATCCTTTGGCATTAAGAATCAGAAAAGGAGGTTGCGTTTAAAAAACCAACAAAAATAAAATTTTTATAACTATTAGAAACACATTATTCATTCGTATTAACAATAACGAGCGTTAAACCTCTTATCGAATAATGCACATTAATTTTCTTTTTCATCATTATTGAGCAGGACTAGGCGAGAGCGTTTTCTTGATTGCTTATTTTCTGGTTTTCTCCTGCGGTATATAGAGTTTTCTGTTCAGATTCCTTTTAAGAATATAGTTCGTTTGTTTTTGCTTTCATTAGATAAATCTTTGTAAATCCATAATACGAAGCTAGACATTTCAAAAGCTTTTTTTTTGACTTTGTTTCTTTCAGTTGAAGGATCTATTAGGATATATTAAAAAAATATATATATTAATCACTCGGTTAAGTTTATGCCCTATGATTTTTAATTTAATGAAAAATTTCGAACTTCGGATTTTTCATCTGCACTATTATCCAACAAATCGATTAGGTTTATTTAAAATTTTCAACAAATCTGCTTCAGCAGCTTCTTCCATCAGCAATTTTTAAATGTCTTCAGCGATCAAATTCTCGATGTTCCAATCATATTAAAGCGAAATTATGTGTAGAAGTAGCGTGTTACATAAGGAATACTTGTATATTGTGTAGTGTGTCGCGTATGAATCGCTCGTTCATCGCCGATGGTTTGCTTCTTTCAGGCTCCAGAGACATGTGTATCAAGCGTTGGGACTTGAATAAGATGGAATTAGTTCAATCCCTGAACAACGCGCACAAGGACTGGATTTTAGGATTGTGCACAATAAATAACGGTTCGGTGATGGTCTCGGGATGTCGCGGTGGTGTGTTGAAAGCATGGTCCGTCCCTAAGGATCATTTGGGGGAATGCACGCCCATCGGAGAAGTTCGAGCGCACGCTTCGGCCATCAACGCCGTGGCGACCAACCAGCAGCACATATTTACAGCAAGCAAGTGAGTAACAGAATTCAAATACCTCAACAGTTCTAAATTGGTTATTAGACGATGCGCAGCGACGGTTGTGTTCAGAGACGAAAGAGGGAAGGGGAGGGGGAGAGAGAGAGAGAGAGAGCGCGCCATTAAACATGACTTATCTAGCGTGAATCGTGTTAAATATTATGCATATTCGGGTCCAACAGCCCGCTGCGATATTCTGGGTAAAATATAACGGTCACGGATGTGTTGATTTCAGCTCTGGGGAGGTGAAGCTGTGGCGTATTCCCGATTCCTCATTATCTATGTCTATCTCCACAGTTTCCCTTTAACTTTATTTGCTTCTTGCTTGTGCGTCTCACTGCTATGCGTCTATCTTATATTTTTGTGGTGATGCGCATGTTTACTTCTACAAGTTAAACTGTGTCTTTTTACACATAACAACGGCAGATGAGTCTGCATCATTTGTTACGTCTATGACATACGTCGAGTGTTATCTGGTATATCTGGTTTTCTTTTCCTTTTTTTTACACAGTATTATGTATTTCCTAACGCTTAGAGTGTGCCGGATGAAAGTGAGCGCGAGTGAATTTCGTGTCCACATATATATATATATATATATATATTATACTATATATTTACATTTGCATTTGTGTCTAGGAGTTCATGTGATCTAACTGCCAGTATAAGGTCCTTAGACATTTTAAAGATTGAACTCATATGTTGAGAGAGTCGACTTACAAAGTACACCGAGTCAACTTCATTGCCTAACTTCGTATGCGTATTTGTTGCGATTATAAAGTATAAAACTGCTTTTTTTCTCCAGCTAATGGATCAAAATTACACATAAGAAAATAATCACTTACATGACTGTATGTTTCTTATTAGTTTAATGTGTAAAAACGTTTAATTTATATATGTTATTATTTGCTTCTATGTTGTTTACTCCAATTTGGTGCTTTGCATGGTCATCGTGTCGATACGAAGTGACGGAACTGTGAGATTGTGGAACTACTGTAAACGAGAGACAAGGACCTTCCAGAGGAGCAACTCACTGAAAAGCTAATATTTATGCATCGTATACTCCGTGATAAATTTATGTATTCAACTTGCAATTATATACGGTTTTAATTTAATCTAAATGATAATGCACCTGATCCATCCATTATTAGTTCATATTGTACATTATTAAATTTTAGTATTACATATATAAACATATATATATATATATATATATATATTGGGGATATTTATATATATTATACATACTTGCTAAAGCGATTTTATATCTGTTGACTCTATGTCGTAAATTTAATAGATATATTAGGAAGATGTGGTAGAGCGGTAAAAAAATGCAGAGAAATGTGTCTGTTGTTTATCAAGATGTAATTGAATTGCAATGTTAAGAAAGCTTGACTGGAGTAGGAATTATGTGCATTATCATAAGATGCCTAAATGCAAAGAAATTGGATAAAATGTTATCCAAAGAAGGGAAAAAGCTACGTTATCTAATATTTATTTTATTATGAACATAAAGATAATTATAATATTTATTTTTAGTACAAATAATAATTGTGTAAGATTGATTAATACTGTACAGTCTGAGGTCTCTGTAGGTTCCAAGTACTGGATATTGTCAGGGTTGGCTGTTATTCAATTTTCTTCTGAAAATTTTAACAGTATTATACGCCTTAATTATGTTCATAATTGCTACGACAAATAAATCGGTTGTATACGAACAAAAAACAAAAAAAAAGGAAGAAAAAAGAAAGGAAATGTACATCACGATTACAGGAGTTTGAATGTGTAGATATATTTTCGTACATACCTCTTTTTCTTTTTATGCGTGGTAAGTGACTCTTGACCGCTGTCGTCCTCGCTGTCCTCGGATTGACTACTACTGCTACTACTTGAAGAACTACTAGAAGAGCCGCTCGAAGAATCGCTAGCAACACCGGTATCTTCTTTTACGTTTATGTTGTCCGTTAACGCCGCTAGTGCAGCCTCTTTATCCCTGAGTACTTTTAACCATTTCCGCGATAGTTTTGGTCTCCCTCGTACCTGTTTGCAATGAGATAAATGTGTTACGATTTGCACATCTTGCTTCTTTTCACTATGTGACCGAATCTAGCGTACACTCTCTCGCGTATTCTAGTCACACTTCACGCTGAGACTTATTGCACGTATCACATAATTATTATCAGACACAATTGTAATGTAGTTTCGCGCCTGATTCTCACCGTTTTGTGCCAAACTACCGGGAAGTTAGTGCGCGAACAGAAGTTCTGTGTAACTGCTATAGTTTCGTCAAGATTCAAAACAATATGCCACCAGCCGCCGGGAATAAAGACGGTTTCGCCGGGAGCCTGCAGAATCTCTATCGGTCGACAATTTTGCGGCCACGTAGGTAACTTGGTGCGAGGGTAGACAACGGAAAACCAGGTGATAGCTTCGTCTCTTTGTTTGCCACCCTCAGCTGCGGATACCTTGAGAAGCTCACGAGGTGTATGCGTCGGAAACAGGCACCAACGTTTATGACCGGAAATCAATGCATTCCATGCACTGGTACCCAACGGATCTATGTGTATTCCTGTACCTGTAAACGCGACATATATGAGTCGTTACTTGATATACTGATCTCGGTTTTCTGCAGTATTCTATTGCAAATTATTAAGACCTTGATTGCCTTGATGATTAGCACATGCCATGGAAGTATATCAATCTCTTTAAAACATCCTGATTTCATGATCTGTTATTGCATTATCTAACAATTTACAAAGATATTACAGCTATCTTTGATATCTAAGGTTCGTTATAAATGTAGAATGTTTACCTGATCTAGCAGGTCCCATAACAAACCATCGATATGGCGGCCTTCTGTGTTCTCCAGCATAATGAAAGAGATCATCCCGAAAGTACTTGGGAATGATATAATCGTCTAGTAATTTTTTTCGTCTTGGATGCTCACCAAACGAACTATCAAAAATGTACAAGGGGGAGTCGTCGTCGTTATGAAGCATATAACGCACATAATATTTCATCTTCATTTTTACACTATATCCCTCATTGTCCTCCCCACATTTAAACTTTTGATTCCGATATTTCTTGGCTAATTTCTACAATAGAAAAATGCGATTATAGAATTTTATCATCAAATGGGATGTTTTTATATACATGTTAAGATCAGAGTTGGAACTACTAACTAACATAATACTTGTAACGCCACTACCGTTACTATTTTTTTCCAATAAGAATTTGGTAATGAGATTATTTTCTTTTTTATTAATAACAGTCATGAATCTAATTACTTTCATCATCAATCTGCAATCTGTATAAAACAGAATTCATTAGACATTTTAAAGCATTTTATCCTATATAATGATGTTATCTAATGAAATTTTTATATAATAAGTGTATAATGACATTATCAAACCTATATATAAAAAAAATATTTAAAAGCACTTGCACTGTTAAATGGACTATAGTCTAAGTATATAAGAGTATGTAGAATACATATACACGCACAATAACAAATAGTAAAAAGTCTTCAAAATCTGGTAAAGAAGATAAAGAACATTATGACAACTCATTACTACTTAAATAGGAATAACACAGTAATTGGTCATTTTTTAAAATCGGTAACAGTAATGGTAATTTCTTAATGGATAATGAGTTATTCGCAAAAGCGACCTTTCCAACCCTGATTAAAATAATAATGTAGAAAATGACCTCTATAGTCCACTTATACTGGGCTTTCCAGCCATTCTGAACACCTCGAATTATCACAGGCTTGTATGGTTTTTCAAATTTTTCTACAAAATCGTCCATAGTCATGTCGGATTCATCGATTCGTTCAGCATTGTCTTCAAATTGCCAAAATAGTTGGAAATTTTTATTATAACCATGCTGACTCCATGCTGCCTTATCTGCCAGTTCTAAAAATACATCACGCATTACCGATTTAGATAACGCTCATAATTATGATTTAAATTAGCTGAAGGTCTCTGATGTGAATAATATTATAATAATGCCGATACGACGATACATATTTGTATATACAGATGTATATACATGTTCCCCATTGGGATCATAGTCGAGGCATATACGTTGCATTAAATTGGCGAACGGCTGGGAACGATAAGTGAATTAAAATTATCGTAAAATCGAATTACATCATCGTCGTCCAAGATCAAGAGGTGAGATAGCTTCTTCTCGCTCTTCCTCGAAACGGATCATATGGAGTCCGGTGAATGACACGATTCTTACGATATGCTAAGCACGAGCTTGTTTTCGGCTGCGTGTAACGGATAAATGAGACTCTACGGAAGCCGAAGGAAGGCGATATCGATGTGTGACCTTGTGTCTTTATAACATAGGTTATAAATTATAAATTCCATCTTTACTACCTGGCCGGGCCTTCTTTTTCACTTCCTTGATCCTCTTCCTCGCGCGATGATCCAATTTCAATTCATCCGTCATGACTACACGTTGTATTGTCTTATTTAATCTACTTCCGGGACATGTATTTACAGCTTACAATAGAGACACTCGCACTAGACATCGCTCAATGTTAATGAATGCTAAGAAACTGGGATCACTAGAGAATATGCTATTTATATCTCTGACAATCATCGAGGCAAGGTGCCATTAGAGATTCGCAACTTTTACGAAATTTTCGTGTATATGGAAACGCGAGCGCCAGTGGTTCAGATTGGCTGCGTTCAGCAGAACAAAGTGATCAGTGAGCGCTTAGTGATTCTCGCTCGCTGATCGGTAAATACTTCTGGGTCTATGAAGAATCTAAAAGAATGCTCCAATCACAGACAATAATCGCTAAGCACTCACTGATCATTTTGTTCTACTGAACGCAATCATTGGCTGCAGTCAGCAGACTCAACAGTTGGACAACATTACTAGATTTTCCACTGAATCTCGCTCCTGATTGGTAAATACTTCTGGGTCTATGAATAATCTAAAAGAATGCTCCAATCACAGACAATAATCACTAAGCGCTCTCTGATCACTTTGTTCTACGCGGTTCTGAACGCGGTCATTGGTTGCGTTCAGAAAACAAAGCGCTCACTGAGCGCTTAGTAACTATTGGTTCTTACTGTTAGATCTTTACATTCAGACCAATACCGTTGACGAATTACTCAACCGTTGTGTAATCGTTGTGTTTTCTGAACGCAGCCATTGTTCAAATAATTTCGGCACGAATGTATCGAACTTTAGGGCTGTGTTCCAAAATCCCAGTACTGCCAGTACTGAAAATATATAGTTTGTGTCACGTATATTATAGATATTCAGTGCTGGCAGTGAATATTGGAACGCAGCCTAGGTCCGTTCTTTTTAGCTAAACTGAAGCATTGTGCCGAAACTTTGTTTCTTTTCTCTTCGATACAAATTTATATATTTGTTTCGCTCTAACGATAAAAAGCGCGATAAAAAGCGATTCAGTTCAGCTGAAAAGAAGAAGCTGTAAGTCCCTAGAAAGTCCGGAGAAAGAGGACTCTCCTGTTGAATTACTGAACACGACGCATGAGAGAATCCATTCAAATTCAGAACTTGCAGTTCACCCCGATCCCAACAAGAGAATTCATCTTTTAGGATTTTCAGCTAGCAACATTTCTATCTTCAGAAAAGGAACTCTCCCGCACATTGAGTGCAATGTGAATCTCGCATTACGCGCGCAATAAAGGTGCTTTCAAGCGAGAGAAGCAGGATTAGAGGTTTATTTCCTGTTGCTAAACGTGATCGTGCCAATTCTCTTTTCCTCTTCGCTCCAACAAGTAGCTTGCTTTCTTCCTCGCTGCACCCCCTGCACTAGCTTCCTTTTCTTCTTTTTCCCAGCGAGTCTCGATTACATACCTGTTTCTTTTTAATTTTCGAAAGTACACACTCGTGTGTCCAGTGGGAAAGAGCGGACTTGTCGTTTCTTTGGCTGGATATCATCTGCAGATTACCAGCGGATGAGACCTGACCAATGAAACGATCGTGTCCCTCGCGAGCGAAAGCCCCGGGTCGTTCGTGCGAGTATGCACGTCAGAGGGAAGAGACATGACGTACATACGCCATATTCGCCATGTTTTGATGTCGTCATCCCCCCCGAACGCCGTTCGCCAAGTGCAGCACAATAGTCTGTGTTTTGTAGTGAGTGTTTTCCCGTAACAGTGCGCTCGGCGCGTTCCTGGTGATTCGGCCCGTTGAGTCATTCGGCGCCCTCCCCGTAGCACGTAGATCGCACGCACGCCGCTGGAAGCTGGATAACCCGACAGATCGCGACCACCTCGTAGAAGCTTCGCTAAACGTGAGCGCTCGAGCCTTTTTATGTTCGAGGAAGTGGTGCGACCGCGGTGCGGGGGGGGGTTCGTGAGCGTCGTCTACGTGGTGATCGTGCCCTAGTGCGGGACGAGCTAACGTCATAACGCCGTGGTATAATATCATCCTTGTTTCAACTTATAAGTTAGCACTGCCTCTTCCTCGCTATTGGCCGCCGCTTGCGTGGGCTCCTTCAACGGACGGCCAGTCACTCGATACCGTCAGCGGTTCCGCGGTTACATCACGTCACCCTGAGCGGGCGGATCCAGCGGGTCCCTCGGATCCGTGCGGAGAGAGAGAGAGAAAGAGCGTCTGGCTCTTGGCGTGCGTACGTGCGTGCGTGCGTACGTGAGTGCGTGCGTGCGTACGTGCGTGCGTGCGCGCGTATGTCTGCTCCTTTTTTCGCCTGCCGAACACGAGGAGGAAAATGGAGCTACGTTTGCACTCGCCAGCGGGAGCGGAACCGATCGTGTATCAGTGGCCGCTCACTTCCGGCTCGGGATCTGTGAGTAGACGTTTTTTCCGCTTTTCTCTCCTTTTAACGAGAGGAGGGGGGCGGGCGGCGGGGGAGGGGGGAGTGACGGTGTAGCCACAAGTGAGACCGCGACAGCTGATCGAGCGCGAGTGATGTAGCCTCACGTGACGATCAGATAATCAAGTTATGAACAATTTCAACAATGCGATGCTTATTTGTTTATTTCGCTCGATGATCCGCGTCGCGTCCGCTTTACTTGTCTCTATTAGAGCGCTGTCTAAATAAATTAGCTGTCGGTGTCCTATAACAAAAATAGCGTTTACCGCCGCTGCTGAAGATATATCTGATAACGTTGAACCGTTATCGTCTCATGTGCTACTATGTAGTATGTGTATGTTTCACAGGACCGTCATGATGGAGCACTGGACGTTGTCGAAACCATGCGATGGGTTTGCGAAGATTTGCCAGACCTGAAATTACCTTTAGAAAATAATATTCTTTGTAATTACGATACCAGAGACTATGAAAGTATGAAAAATTTATGCGACAGATTCAACAGAGCAATTGATAGTTTAGTACAATTGGTATGTTAATACGATTTATGTAACTAAATGTGATAAACATAGTATTTGGCCATCTCTGGTACAATCATGATGCGAAAATGGGGTTTGTTGAATATTCACAGGAGAAAGGCACTAGTCTACCATCCCAGAGACTAAATAAGAGACCTAGTAGGGGTTTACTTCGTCATATATTGCAGCAAACATATAATCAAGCTGTGGTTGAGCCAGATAAGTTAAATCAGTACGAGCCTTTTTCACCTGAGGTATATGGCGAAACGAGCTATGAGCTTGTATGTCAGATGATCGATCAGATTGACGTGACAGAGAATGATGTCTTTGTTGATCTGGGTTCCGGAGTTGGTCAAGTGGTTCTTCAAATGGCAGCTGCTACCTTGTGCAAAATTTGCATAGGTGTAGAGAGGGCCGATGTACCATCGAAATACGCACAGGTACATAACAAGAATAATCAGGTGGTTCACATTGATTGATAATGATGTAAGCATGTAAACAAATCGTTGTGTCATTTTATAGAGTATGGAAGTGAATTTTCGCAAATGGTTAAATTGGTACGGAAAACGGTGTGGGGAGTACCGTTTGGTGAAAGGGGACTTTTTAGCAGATGAACACCGCGAAAGCATTACCGGAGCTACGATAGTGTTTGTTAATAACTTTGCGTTCGGCCCAACGGTGGATCATCAATTAAAATTACGCTTCGCCGATTTACGGGACGGCGCGCGTATAGTATCGTCAAAATCGTTCTGTCCGTTGAACTTTCGAATAACAGATAGAAATCTCAGCGGTAATATACTTGTGATTAATTTCGTTTTTCTTTTTTTCCTGTTTTTTTTCATGAAGATTCTCAGTCCGCATCGTAATCCTGATATCGAACTTTTTAACACTCCACAGATATCGGCACGATAATGCACGTATCTGAGATGTCACCGTTAAAAGGCTCCGTCTCTTGGACTGGTAAGCCGGTGTCTTATTATTTGCACGTTATTGATCGAACTAAATTAGAACGTTACTTCCACCGCTTGAAGAACAATAAACAAGGTGGCTTAGATGAAAACTCTGATTCTGTGATAAGCAACACTGCCAGCAATAGTAGTAAGGTTTCTAATAGGAACGATAGAAGTGACAGAGCCAAGAGAGATCTTTCGAGGCAATTAGATAGCCCGAATCATTCGGAACAACTTGGAACAAATAGCGATTCCGATCTGGACGACAGTACTATGAAAAGTCGTCGGCAGCCGAATAAGATACGGAGGAAGCTTAACAGGAAGAGCAATGGCATTACGAAAGCTCCAGCTAGAGGCAGACAGAGAGGACGGGGTGTCAAAAGAGCTAAGCCTAAGAAGGCGATTAATATTTCTGGGTTAGACCTGTTACACAGTCAAACTTTACTCAGTACATCACCCCAGGCTCTCGGCAAGAAGCCGCCGCCTGCGCCTGGTTGTGTAGATCAACAACTTTCTTCGTTATCGCTTTCTTTGCAGTCGCATTCCACCTCCGTACATGAGGAACTTAGTATACCACCTGCTCCGTCCGCGACTCCGTATGCTTTACAGATACTTCTGGACATGTACAGGTATGCATTTAATACCAGCTACATACTTGCCCATGCTGCTCTGGAAGTTTATTCACAAAGAGGCCAGTCCATGTAAGATTTAATAATTTAATATCCTGAAATATGCGCGATCAATTTTAATTGTTGTCTCCAAATTTCATAGATCTTGAGGATTTTTAAATGTGTTAAAATTTACTTTTACCCATCTTGCATGAAACATAAAGAGGAAGTAATCTTAAGGTTTCAATCGGCAAAATTTAACATACAATAAGATATTGCTACATCAACTTGATGTTTTTGGGTCATTTTTTGCGATAAAATATATACATAAGACAAATGTTCTAATTAGTGATCAAATCAAACTTATTATGAAAATAAATTAATAGCGTGTATTAAGCCAAATATGCAACACTGATTTTGTTGGGAAGCTTGAATTTTGGGATTTTGTGCTACATTTTCCTAATCTGTGGAAAAATTTTAATTTACTTATAATTTATAAATAAGAATAACATGTATATAACATTTATAAGACGAATGGATTTGTATTAATTGATTTATTATAGAAAACAGGTGTAATTGTTACAAATTGAGACATGTATTATTTACTCCACAATTCAAGGTATCCAAAAATGTGTAAGAAATATCGTTATATAAATGATGTGATCGAATAAAATTCTTAGAATTCTCTGGTAATCTAATTGTTAATTCTTACGTGGGCTTGCCCCGTATATTTTCTTTTTAATGCTATTTGCTCTTTTGTACCTGTTCGCATCGTAATGAAGATTGTCACTTTCGTAGGGACCAATTCATGATTTTGTTAGAATCGATGAGGACTCCCAGTTACCGAGTATCCGTCAATACGGATATCTCCAAGGAAAGAGAAAGAAATTCCAAGCTTCAGTCGAGAGCAGCGCAGTTGGAAAAACAGATCAAGGTTCTGATCGACGACAGCGTGGCTCTTTTAAAGGCGAGAATGACTGAATTGGGTATCAATGCTACATCACCTGGAGATCTACTGGCGAAGGCCAAGGAGATAGTTTTGCGACACAAGCAGCTGCAAGCTAAAGCGAGCAAATTGCAAGCGCAAGTTGCGTCCATGGAAACTGAACAGAGCAGGCTAGTGGCGCTCAGACATCAAGAATTACAAGAAAAGTACAACAATCACGCTAGTGCAAACGGCATATCGAATCTATCCCAATCGCTCACGCAGGATTATATATTGAAAGAAATTTCCGCTACTCTGTCCCAGCGCAAGCGATTACATTCTCAAGTATGTATTTCTTTATTACTTGACTCAGCTTGTATCATTCATCGTGTCATTTTGTATCTCGTAGGTACAGTGGAGAAAGTGTGAGAACTATTATCTTTGGATTTAATTAAACTTTCAACTAGAAAATTAATGGGAGGACCTGTAAGAACTGTGCAAAAATTGGCAATAAACATTTTCTTGAACATCGCATGCGCTGAGACATTTTTTTAGTCTTAAACGTACATGAAATATTAGCCACCTTTCCATTGTTGAACCGACTCTATATTTTCTATCTGCTCATATTGCATTTCCATATTTTATATTTTAATTCAATTATATATGTTTTTAAATTCGATTATTTTATTCAATACAATACAATTGTATTTTGAATTTGAAGGTTTCTAATCCCCCTTGTACGTTCGAAGCTAAAAGAATGTTTCCGCGCGTGCGATATACATCGTTAGCATTGTTACGCAAGAAATTATTCGCTACCAATGCCCTTGCGCAGCTCTTATGGACCTTTTAATTAATTTGTAGTTGATTGTACATCATGAGAGCCTGATATAACTTTGTTTAGTTAATTAAACTTATTTTGTGTAACAGGTTTCGAAACTTGAGCACGAGTTGAATGTATTAGAGAGGACAAGTAACGAGAAGCAAGCAGCTGCCATGGCTCAGCAGCAGAGGAGCGATGTAATGGGAACTAAACTCGCGCAGAATTTACATCTTCAGTCGCAGGTCGGCAAGAGCGGAACAACGCGGAAAAATCGAGAAGGCCGTACCAGGTCGCACGAATGGCCCGACGTGCCGGACATCGGGAAAATACAGGAAAACAATCCGGAGATACTGGCGCAAAAGATCTTGGAAACGGGAAGACAAATCGAGGCAGGTCGAATACAGAACAGACAGAATACGAATATCAACAATAATTCCAGGACTAGATTGCCGCAGGCGTCGCTCAGTTTCTCGACCACGTCATCGTCTATCTCATCCACGCAATCACAGATAGTCAATAAAGACGCGCTGAGTAGGACTCAAGAACCACCCAGAGTGGCTAATTTCGAAGATAGATTGAAGAGCATAATCACAAGTGTGTTGAACGAAGACCAACAGAACAGAAACAAGCAGCAGCTGCAATTGCAAGTGCAAATGCAAAATCAGTCCGAGCCTGAGAAGAAACGCCTCTCGTTGCCGCAGAATGTCTCTACTCCGGATTACACGCAGGTAAGTGCGTTGAACCGACCAGTCAATCTTACACTCTTGAATAAACACACTTTTCGCATTCCCGATATCCAGTTTGCCAATTTTAATAATTGCGATGTCTCATCGGTGCTCGTGTTGCAGGTTTCACCCGCGAAACTAGCTCTTCGCCGTCATCTATCGCAAGAACGTCTCTCGTCATCTCATTTGACATCATCCGACAGACCGACGGTTGATTCTAGACAATCATCGAGTCATGACAATCGCCTTGTGGCAGGTGGAAATGGATTGCTCGGTGCTAGAACAATCGGCGAGCTCGTCAACGGGGAAATTGAGAGGACCTTAGAGATATCCAATCAGTCAATAATAAACGCCACTGTCGATATGAGCGCAATGATAAGACCGGAAACTGTGTATTCGCCCATTAGCAGGCCTGCGAGTGCTGAGGGTGACGCTGGTCTATCGACTTTGGCGCATGTAGCCAGTTACGCACCTATCTCCTCCGGAATTTCCACATCCACTCCAACGACCAGTTCGAGATCGTCTGTGCTCTTTACTCCGGTAACGCAACCTCAAAGGTACGTACCTCGTGTTGATTTCTTGCGCGACAATGCAATAAATAGGCTAGCTTACGTAAGGCTTGACGATCTAATACCCTGAAAATTACGCGATCAATTTTAATTCTTCTGATCTCTGATCTCGAATTTCACAAAGCTCAGAGACCTTTAAATTTGTGTCAAGACTCACCTTCATTCATCCCCTTTGAAAGAAGTTTAAAATTTTTTAATTTTCAGGTTACTACTAAACTTTAATAGATATGATGGCATTGGTTATTAGTTTTATTCCCTTTATGTTTTATATTTTGGGGTGAAAAAATATACATACTCAGAGTAAATGACCTAATTTGAGTTCCTACTTAATAATAACCAATTAACTTGATAAATTAACTCATAACTTTATTCATTCATTTATCGAGTCCATATTTTAAATATGTGTTTTTACTCTAAAGACATTATATACTATTGGTTACATTCCGAATAAAAAATTAAAAGTCATAGTAAATGCTGGAATGTTATAATTACAAACATATTGCTGACAGTTGACAGCTGACAGTAGTTTAAACAGTTCTCGTCGACATCTTGAAGATTGACAGTTAGTATTAGACATTTATTTGCTATGTCCGTGTAATTATTCTCCAACTTCTTCAAAACTAAACTGTCATGCTTAACTTGATACATATATTATTTATTTATTAATTTATTTTCACGATAAGATTTGGCTTGATTAGGGCATTCAACTTATCTTATGGTTCTAGGGATTTATTTGTACAAAAAGATATCGTTGTGTCAAGCAATACTCTTGGAATTCTCTTGTGTGGTCTATTTGTTAAGCTTCACGTGAGCCAGCAAGTATGCGTTTCTGAAACATGTTATTCAGAATGACTGTTTTCGTTCAGATACACGCCGGTTCAGTTGCCGCGAGCGGATATCAAGCCTTACCACGAATCGTACTTTGCGGATAATCTCTCGCAGTCACAAACACAATCCCATCCCACAACACCGTCGCTACATTCGTCTCAGAGCGCATCGAACGGAGAATTGTTACCTGTGGAAGGCCTCGCGGCCTCGTTGCACGCTCGAATATTGAACAACTCCAATAGTAACAGCAAAGTCGACCTGACACTTTCCAACGGCAACAGAAGGTAATGACGACCGAGTGATCAAGCGTGACTCCGCATACGAAAGCTCATAACGCAACACTTGCCTTGCAGTTCTAGATTTCAACCGTACTCGCGATACACATGCACCAGTAATAATAATGCCAATGCGACAACAAGCGGCACAGTGACGGCGCTTTGTCAGTCGCAACCTGCAGTGTCAATAAAAACGGAAACAGTTGTATCGTCGGTAAGCGGAGCATCCTTGAGTCCTCTCGTGGAACCGCATTCTAATATGTCGACACCGCTAGTCGACGAGCCCCAGATGACGACGCGAAGGCAACGAAATGCCATGGCTGACGACGGTAAGCGGAACGTCACATAAGCGCTTCCAAGATTCTACATGTCCCGTTAGAATATGTTAGTTGAAAACGTACGCTTTGGAATGAATCTATCACTCCCAGTCGAGTACGCTTTAGTACAGTAGCTGTACAAAGTTCGTCGTAATACCTTGAGATAGCTACTATGCCTCGAGCTCTCTGTAATATACTCTGGAGCGTGCTTTTAAGGAGACAGATATTAGGTTGTATCGTTACCTTTAATAATCTCGTCTTATTTCAAGTGCTGAAATATTATCGATGAAGATAGCAATTCAAGTAGCATTTACATCTGTTTCTCCTGGAGGGCTCGCTCCAATATATTACAGAGCTTATCGGCCTCGAGTCGTGTTTATAGTATGTATACTTTTAGGTTTGCCCAGATATGCCCCTGTCATTCGCGTTTTAGATTGAAACCAAGTTAAATAAGCAAGACATCTCGACATGTCTCTTGTTCGATGGATTCTCCACGAGAATATCTTTCCTTGTGCAATTCACGGAATGTTACCTTTGCATAGTTGCATATTTATTTTATTACTCTCTTATCGGTTATGCATAATGAGAGAGGAATGTATGAGTACAGCGCGACAATACTGTCGACAGACTACACTACAGACGAAAATACATATGATGAAAAATCTTTTCTGGATACACAATGCTAAACACACCACTTTGCTTGGACCCTCTTAGATACCGTTCACTATCACTATCCACTATGCATCTCACCATATATACTATTTACATATGCACACTAATAGCTTATCTTACGGAGATGGTATACCTGACTCTTATTTATTTATATTTATTTTCGTTGTTGTTTGCTGTATTTGTTAGATGCACTGTAGCTGTTTGTTGGTTAGCTCTGTCTGTCACATACTCGATCTCGCTCAGACAACTCCCTGAAGCTTGTTTTATTAGAGATTGAGACACACAGATCAGAGGGAGAAATGAAAAAGTACAGCTGCCTGTGGTTGGTTCGTCAGTACAATTAGTCGCCGGTGAGTTGTCTCACGGGAGTTGACCAAAATTCAATAATAATTCGCTATTCGATTCTATTTGCAAAAGACCGATATCGTATATTTATATATCTATGTATGTACATATCAGAATTTAATGTATTTAATCTGCCGCATATATATAGACGTGCGCGTAGGCAGCATACGTCCCCTTCCACGTTGAAAAGACACGTGAAAAGGCTAATTAGAAATAACTAATTAGAAGTCAGTTTCCATGAAAATAAGCCAGACTCGCACAAGGATACAAGATTCTATTTCGTGGACGAATTATATATATTTATATATATAATACAGCCGCATGTTGTGAATAAAAATATTCCAGGATATGTATTCTAATCGCTGGGTTTTACTTTTAGTGCATGTTGCATGACGAATTTCTATTTTTTTTTTTTTTCTAATGTAGTATCGTGTTCATTTTTCGATACAGTTGTTTCAGGTTGCTCGGCTGCTAAGTACACAAAAGACTATTCGTGTTAGTACATTTTAATTTTGGCCTATTCGTTTCAGCATGATGAAAGATGCACAATTTGTATTTGATTTATCACTGTAGCGGTGACCGACGTAACTTTTTTCTTCTTTTAGATTAAGAAATATATTATTCCCGTTATGTGTGATACATGGTGCGATATAAAAAGGAAATCAATTTTCTCCTTCTCTTTATACGCACATTCTTTTCTAAAGTTTTCTTCTTTACATTCGGTAGTAATGTAATGTGGTCTTATATTTAACATTTCTAACGTGAAATATTACCGAAATTTCTGTGAACAGTAGTATTATTTACGTTGTACAAGGTCAGTCGCGTGACTTCTACTTCTTAGCGATAGGTGTATACACTGAGTTTTAAAACGGTTTGCCTTTGGAATGTATTTCAAAACGCAGCCGATGATCCAATGGGAGAATGTTTCTGAAAAATTGTCAGAAGTTAAGTTTTCTCACTAAACATCTGCTACGCTCTGAATCACACATCCAAGAAAGAAACAATATCCAAATCGATTTGAGATTCTGCATAGACTTTTGATTTTTAAATTTAAGCGACCCGTAACAACTCGTAGAGCACACACATGATGAAGAATTATTAGGAGAACGAGGATACGTAACAATAAAGTGTAACGACAGCAAATTGTATCGTATTAGTATGGGTTGATGGCTTATTTTTATGAAAATTTGCCGTGACATATCGCTTGCCTGATACATGAGTGCATTGTACTTCACAACAACCAAAACTGAAACTTATTTTACAGACGGAGAAGCCGATTGGCAAGATCGCATCAGCTCGGGATTCGATCGCTTGGTCGCGTTTGCTTCTACAGAGTTGGACAAACGCAGGCGATCTACCGAAGGAGTGAACACAAGTCCCGACAGCGGATTAGGCTCGGACAGCGCGGTAACGGGGCCGCCGCCGGTAGTACCGTCGCCCGACGAAGCATTAGGGCCGCCAAGGACACCCTCACCGACCAGCCCCCGTCCTCCGAATCCATCCAACGGTAATCCCCCGAACGGCGCGTCCACCTCCTCGGTACCTCTGAAATACCAACGGCAACCGGACCCCGAGCGGCATCACTATAAGAAAAAATTTTTTCATCGCGATTGGAATAATTCTGCGAGCACTAGCAAGTTTCGTCCTAAAGGCAAGGATTGGGATTGGAATCACTGTGGACAATGGCCTTCGAACGACGAACAATCCTAACTCTATCTTTACTGTGCGTAAGCATAGCTCTTCTTGTCCTTGTTGTAAAACTTGGGAAATCTGTTCTCCCTCCCCTGTAATCGATCGTGTAAGGGACGGGGAGGGAGGCGTTGTTTTTGCTTTTACATTTTTTTATTTATTTGCGTTTCGTTATCGATAACGATATTTCTCTTGTATCGTGTAATTACGAGCACGTATCTAATTGTGCGTCACAATAATACACACGTTTACGATACACATATACAGGAGAACTATTTCGTACAATGTACTCGATTAAAGGTTAATGAGAGGAGGAACTATATCTATACGCGAGCGCTTGACTCTAGTTATATCTATAAAATTGACGAACCAAGACGCTTGTTTTTCACATCTGTCGTAAGATATATTTGTATCACAATGAGAGAGAAAAAATATGGTTACGAGGCTAACTAGAGCCCACTTCGGACGACCAATAATTCCCGAACGAATGCGGAACAGAATTAAATACGTGTGATTTTGTAACGTTTGCAAAATTTTGTAAATTTTGTAAACTTGTAATACGGAGGACATTTGTAGATTTATAGATGTACGTGTGTGTCTATAAGTCTTAGACTTTAAATGCTTTCCCACGAGTAAAAATTCCGTTCCGAATTCCCGTTATGACGTATCGTTCGGAATGGGCTTGGACACGATAATTAGCGGAATTGCGGAGTGAGATCGTAAACTTATTAGCAATATACGCAAGTGTATTAAGAGAGGATTTTAAAGACCTTGACAAAGATTTATCTGACATTACTCTCCGGGTCGTAGCACTTTAACTTAATATTATTATTATTAGTGATCAGAGTCCTTTTTGGTAAGGCTTTGCAAATAATTATTATCAATTTGGTCTCTTTTTAACACGATTACACGATACCACCGAGATTGACATGCCAATATATTTGTGTACAATGTGTGAAAGAGTCTCGTAATCTGCGCCTGTATACACACACACACACACACACACATATACATACACGCACACACATCACATGCAAGTAGCATACACATAACACATGATTACCGCATGTTAGATACGTTAGAAAAGTATGTGCTCGAGAAACAATGTATCATGCGTGTTACAGGCGCTCGTTACGATGGACCGACCGGAATAATTGGCATCAGAAAAGAAAAAGAGGGAAAAGAGAAAGAGCAAGCCAGCAAAACCTCTGTGTGTTCGTAGCAAATATTTGCTGCAAATTTTATATGCGGCTAAATATCTTCCACCGTTTCTCTGGAAGATGTATACCTAAGTGTTCACTGTGGCTCATAGAATTATTGTAACAACGGACAGCGAAGGGAAATAGTCACTTGTGGCGGGAAGTTGAAAAATGCGGAAAATTTGTTCTTTTTTGCACGCGCATCTACATAACGTCGTTGTACGATTATATACATGGAATATCCAAAGAGAGTGGTACTTGCGAGTGAGTTTACATAGTTTCGAGTGGTGCACCGGTATTGGGCATCACATGTGTGGGTGCAGTGAGCGAGCGAGCGAGCGAGCGAGAGAGAGAGAGAGAGAGAGAGAGAGAGAGAGAGAGAGAGAGAGAGAGAGAGAGAGAGACGAATAAGAGTAATCATCAAGTAATAGTATTTCGAGTCGACGATTTATCCGAGGCATACGTCGACGCGACAATTAATTGTATAAAGGTCCTTTCTTTTTTATGTTGTCTCGCATTGTCTTACTTATATATATATATACACGAAGAAAAAGAAAGGTCACCTCGTGATTCGGAGATTTCGAAAGAATTAGTTAACGATCATTATTTAACAATCCCCTGTATGGGTCTTTATACATTTATAGTTGTAACGATATAGCCCTCTGCCAAGCATGTCGGACACACTGCCGAAACTTCTATTAATTATTAATTTTATTGAACGTAACTATTATTTATTGTTTTTATTGAAATATTTTAATACTATTACCATTTGTAACAAGTAAAGTTTTTCTCTATTATTTCCACCTTCCCGCATCTAGCAGTTTTTTCTATAGCGGTATTTTCCCGATAAGGAAAAAAAGGAATGTAAATGAAACGAGCGCGAGCCGTTCTGTGGCTCCCCATGCATAATCGTCGCTACCTCTTTTTACCGAGGCAAAACATTGTGCGAGGTACGCGAGTCGCATCAACGTACAATAAAACGACAGATTTGATACCGATCTTAATCTTAGGACCTAAGAATTCGAGAATTGTTGTCAATTAAAGTCAACTACGTATTGTTATCGCTACATATTACACATATCAGCGATGATATTACCGTCGGTCTTTTCCGAAGTTATTACACCGCCGTCGCGTGGTTGCGATATGTAGACGAAACTGAGATCACGGCTCAAAATCGAAAAAGAAAAAGAGAAAAAGAAGAAATAAGACAAAAATACGTAGCGCGGAGAGGAAGTATGTACGAGAGAACGTAGATGTTGATAACACCGTAATCCGGGTGTCTTGAAACATACAGGTGCCAGCATGCATTTTGTACACAAATTTCCGAAACGATTACGAACATGCGGGTTTTATAAACGTATGTGTATATGTATTTAAATATATAAAGAGAGACGTTAATATTATAACTCTTTCAAGTACTTGAACTTGAAACATACACACACACACACACGCACGCACACATACGTGCGCACACACGCTGTGCAGTGAGCATGTCCTCCATCGTACTGAGACTGCTGTTGACAGTTTTACTGAACGAGGCGTACGCACGTAATACACGAGACACGCAGGTGATCCTGCTGCCGGTATGGGATTTGAGAGGCGCACTGGAGGTATGAGTTATTTATTTTTATTGTCCAGATCCAAATATTACACGTGACTAATCGTATGCCATTTGATCCACCAGATTCCGTTCACCTTCAAAGTCTTCGGCCAGTTGATCCAGCTGACCCTACGCAGGAACGACAAAATCGTGGCGCCCGATTTCCAGGTTTGGAAGCACAACGTAAAAGGCGTGATGGAGGAGTTGTCGTTGTTGAACATGCCGGATCCCTGCTATTATCTTCACAGCGATCACGTCGGCTCCGCGGCTGTGAGTCTCTGTCAAGAACGCGGACTGGTCAGTAATAGTATCACTCGCTAAGTTTGGTTTCTTCAGCCTGGAGCAACGTTCCTTGTGGAGTTCGTTTGCCGATCGGAATTATCCCGTTTTTCCTATAAAACGCGGTAGAAGTAATTCGAAATAATCGGACGATTCCGACTGGAAGTTCTTCCAAATAGTTTCCTTGTACCTGTGCAGAATAATAGTGTGAGGGCAGATTGTTTCAACTTCTTGGTAAGTTAACTGATAGTTAAATCATATGTCCGTCTTCGTTTAAATTGAAGGAAAAACCAAGATAAACGTATGATTTAAGTATCAGTTAACTTACCAAGAAGTTGGAACAACCGGCCCTCAGAGATTGCTCTTTTTCTTGGAGCCGGTTGTTCCAACTTCTTGGCACCGGTTGTTCCTTCAACTTCTCGGTAAGTTAACTGATAGTTAAATCCTATGTCTGTCTTTGTCTAAGTTGAAGGCAAAACAAAGACAAACATATGATTTAACTCTCATTATGACTTAACTATCAGTTAGCTTACCAAGAAGTTGGAACAACCGGCTCTTTATAAGTTAACTTGTAAGTTAAGTAACACCTTTGTAAGTTGGCAGTTAAATCTTATGTTTATCTTTGTTTTTCCTTCAATTTAGACAAAGACAGACACATATGATTTAGTTATCAATTAATTTACTAAGGAGTTGGAACAACCTGCCCTTGATTAAGTGAACCTGCCATTTTGTCGCCAATCTGCCGGCATATTGCTGACATTTGATTGTCGTCGTTATCTTATCTATGCTTTTAGGAATATATTCCCTGTGATGCGGTAGAATATATCGTACTCTTACTGGATTCCTCTCCGTAAATAAGATAATTTACAACACTGCAACTTCAAGAAAATATCTTGCGATTCGCTGTGAATCACTCTTATTGTGTATTGTTTCCCGCAATCTTGATTTGTATAACAAGTAACTTCAGGTTTTCAGATAAAATAGAACGATTGTATTTTTATACCGTTGTAATTTTATGAAACTGTGGCGTACGTCATTTCCATTTCCAAGATCGTCTGCCATTCTTCGCACATAAATTTTATTTCATAAGATTACAATCTTGAAATTACTTACTTTGAAGTGACCTGTGTGATACAACACATATATGTAAAGAAGGATGTAAGAAAGGGACGAAGGTTTTTGTTGGAGGTAGCACGGGCTCGTCTTCCTGGAGAACGCAACGTTGGAGATCACACCGTTGCGGAGCGACTTCGTCTCGTCACCGTCACTCGTCGACGACCCCCGCATAAAAGGAGAAGAGCTCGACTTCCTCGGTGAGCCCCACTTGGTCAAGCGATCGCCGAGATATCCCATCGAGCGTAGCCTCCTGCCAGATTTGGAGCAACGTCACCGCTTCTCACGAGAAGCTTCGAAGGACAAATTAACGTTGGAGCTCGCCGTCTTCTTCGACGAGGCCGCGTATCGTCTGTTCTCGCCATTCCTCAACGAAGACGATGAGAAGATCCGTGACATGCTACTGGCATACGTGAACGGTATCCAAGCGTTGTACCATCACTCGAGCCTCGGTGTGGCCGTCGACGTCTCCCTGGTACGTCTAGACATCATCGAGAAGCAGCCGTTCGACCTTCCGCACTTCGGCGGTGAGCGGGGCAGTCTGTTGGACTCGTTTTGCAATTACGCGATGGCTCGCAATCCCCCGGAGGATGCTGATCCGCGCCACTGGGACCTGGGCCTCTACGTGACCGGGTTGGATCTCTACGCGATCGAGAACGGCAGACGGAACGGCGCCACCATGGGATTGGCCACGGTTGGTGGAGTCTGCATACCGCGTTACTCCTGCGTCATCGCGGAATTGGGGGTCACGGATCAGCTCGGCAAGCCATATCCGTCCGCGGGCTTCACGTCCGTCTACATCGCCGCGCACGAGATCGGTCATAAGTAAGTTGCGCAACGTGTCGAAAGATCGCTACGCACGCAGACCAGTATAATGATCGTCTGAACGCGCGATATACTAACTAACTACTCAGGTAGAGCAGGAAATCACGGTGACGTCACAATAACGAGGAAAAACCTACTTTTCGATCGTGACTCGGTGATTTTTCCATCGCCTCGATGTCATTTTAGGCGAGTTGTTCAGATTTTTTTTTGTCGTATGCGCATTATTGATTCGTCGTGCATTGATTATCCGAAGAAAAGCAGAGACAATAGCTATGCTCCGATATTCACTGCCAGTACCGACGATCTATAGTTCGTGTCACGTATACTATAGACTCTCGGTACTGAATATCGCGACAATGAATATCGGAACGCGGCCAATGTCAAAGTCAAAGCGGTAATTTGTCACTGTGGTAGTTTTCGGTTAATGCTCAGATAAAACTAACGATAATGAAAAAACGGTATCCGATAAAAAATAATTATATATGATTATGTATGAATTTTTTTCTTACATGATTATAAATAAACATACGTAATTATATATATCCACACTAAACAAAATGCTATTATATAAATATAATCAAAGTAATCGTTTATGTTTATGACAGTCTGTGATGTAAACATATAATTGAACGGAACAGTCTTCTTTTCTTCTCTAACGATCAATTTTTTTTCAGTACATACATCATGGACATGTATAATTTTATGTGGTCATATACCACATATAGAAACAAAATTTACATATAGGTTATACATGTAATAATACATATAATTTATATGTATAAAAAATAATATTAATATTAAATAATAATATTTAAAAATATATACATATTTTTTTAAATATTATTATATATGATTTTATATGATCATATATAATCTTTTTCATTCGGCAAAAGTGTGGACGATTAAAAAATATCAATCTGTATACAAAGAGTGAACGACGAATTCTAAAAATATTAGTAACATAGGGACGACCTTTTGAACGTTAAATAAGTATTAAGTATAAGCACTATCGCGATCGTGCGAAGTATTTCGTATTTCCTGTACGTATAGATTTCGTACAAAGGTGAGCTGTTCTGTTTTTGCCACGGCTGCGTTCCGATATTCTCTGCCAATACTGAAATTGTATATTTCTATTGTATAAATAACATGAACTATAGGTTTTCAGTACTGGCGATGAATACCGGAACGCAGCCCGATGTTTCGCGAGAAAGGATATAGAAATCTTTCTGCAAACTTTTCGCATATTTTAAGCTAGAAGAAGCTAGAAGTAAATTTAGAAAAATTTACTTGTAAAAGTACAGCAATCTTCTTTGAAATTGTCCTCAGCGGAGCACATACACGTTCGGTATATTCGGTATATCATTGTTATAGTTTTATATTGGTGTTCAGAGATAATTGTGTTTGATGTTGGATGAAGCTAAAAAAAGATAAATAGAACGATAAAGGAATAAGAATTCAAGATGAGAAGAGTAAATAAATATCTCTCTTGCGCTAGCATATTTGTTCAAATATTTGTCACTCTTTGCCGTTTTGGTGGAAAAAAGTCTTCAGTTCCAGCGTTAAAGCTATCGATTTGTGCGCACACACACACACACGCGTGCGTCTTCGCAGTTTTCTCGGGTGACCTCTACGTAAAAAATAAGGAGAAAAAGAGAATACTTTACGAGATATTCCAGCGCGAAATGTCTCTCGCAAAAGTGTGTCAATTTTCGATATGACCTCGCCTCTGGATACTTTTACGCGCAGTACAAGCTCGATTTGCGCGAAGAGAAGAGAGGAACGACTTACACGCAAGTCGCGTTCCTGCGGAGTAATTTTCGTCTCGAATATTACGTACCTGCCGACCTGCTCATACCTGCACACACACACACACACACACACACACACACACACTCTTATCATCAGATACAATGATTTGTTCGTTCGAAAGCTTAGGAATGCATCACGATTCGACCGGCAACGCATGTCCCAAGGACGGCTACATCATGTCTCCTAGTAGGGGCACTCGAGGTGAGACCATCTGGTCAGACTGTAGTCGCGAGATAGCCGAGGCTCTGCCACGCACGAAAGCCTGTCTCCTGGACGCGTCTCGAAAGGACACCTCGGAGCACTCGCCGTCCCTCGACCACGCGCGCTACCGCGACCTACCCGGAAGAGAGTGGACCGCCAAGAGACAATGCGAGTTACTCCTACGCGACAAGGACGCGAGCGTGGTGACGTTGTACCAGGCGTGTCAGTCGCTGCAATGCGAGACTCCCCGCAGGAGCGGCTACTACTTCGCAGGGCCGGCGTTGGAAGGTACATGCTTTTCTCCACTGATCGATCTGCCCGTCGGCCAGCCTTCCAATTCCTTTCTCTTCTTGTCAGGAACTTACTGCGCGCCCGACAGGGAGTGTCGCGGTGGAGAATGCTCGGTCGTCTTCGAGCCACCGTCGGACACCTCGGATGGCCAAAGAGGCAGCTGGAGCGACTGGAAGGAGCAGCCGTGCGTCAGCGGCTGCTTGCAGAGGTCCAAGGGTGCTCGTGTCAGACGGCGATCCTGCGAGGACAGGAGTCGTAGGACCATGGCCACCTGTAAAGGATTGCATTACGACGTGCTGCTGTGCAAAGACGAATGGCTCTGCAAGAAGAAACGCCGCACGATCGGTGAGTTCGCTACGCTCAAGTGCGGCCTCTTCAGCGACAGACTGGCTGAGCTGGACAGCACGGCGAAGGGACTGCAGGTCGGCCACGAGCCGGACAGGCCGTGGATGGCCTGCGCCATATTCTGCCGGCGGAAGGACATCGCCGCTTACTACGCGCCACGCGTGGAATTGAATGACTTCGGCCTCGACCCGTACTTCCCGGACGGCACGTGGTGCCACGCCGAGGAAGGCCGGGATTATTTCTGCCGTCAGCATCACTGCTTGCCGGAGGACTTCCTATTTGGGAAGAAGTCGCGGGGAGACCGCCAGCGCGAGGGCGACGCGGAGGTCGAGGAACTGGGGCCGCAAAACGCCTGGAATCGCCTCGGCATCGCCGACCGCTTCATCAAGTACCTGGCCTCAGGCCCAGACGGCTTGCCGTTGTTGACCTCGATCTCGCGCGGCATCGCCTCCCCGCCCGGCGAGGACGAGTGGATCGACAAGGATTACATCGAGCTGCCTGCAGCCGCGTGATGACGGACGTTGCTTCAGGCTGCGCCGCCATGTTGGGATGTTGATCGACGAAGATCTTAGTTAACTAAAATAATCGGTACAGTCATACATGTAAACGAGCAATTCAATCGATGAATGAAATCAATTACTGATCGGCGTATAATCGGCCGAGTCGAAGCAATCAATCGAGGCGATCGTTATACGTGTAATTACGATTTCACTCGTTAATTCTTGTTATCTTACAAGGAAATATAAGGAACTCGGAAATTCCAGAAATTATGAAACTTTATGTGGAAGTAAAGTAGTTCATCCGCGATGCAAAATTATTTTTTGTTCGCGCGGAATTTCAGTCTGAGGGGATGAAACCACCCTTCGAAGAAAAAAATCATTTTCATTTTTATATAGCGTATATCTTTTAAAATACGAGGCATATGCAAAAAATGGTTTATATGAAAGTCGTAGTGTATTTACTCTTTGCAACTATGTATTCGGAATTTGCCAAATTGAAAAATTTTTGGAAACTCCTCCGCCCCCCCCCCTCCAGTTTTGCAAAATTTAAATACACAGTTGCAAAGAATATTAAGTACATTACAACTTTCGTATAAACCATTTTTGCATATGCCTCGTACTTTAAAAGATATACGCTAAAAATGGAAATAGGTTTTTTTCGAAGGGTGGTCTCACCCCTTCAGACTCGAATTCTGCACGAACAAAAAATAGTTTTGCGTTACGGATAAACTATTTTACTTTCACACAAAGTTCCATAATTTTTGGAATTTCCGAGTTCCCCATGTTTCCTTGTTAGTCAACTGAAATTTTCCGATCGATCAATGCCCGTCGTTCTTACGTCGCGTGTCACGCCAACGCGAATTATTAACGACACAGCGAAGAAGATAAGGCCGAGTGCGACTCTGGCCATTGTCCAATTATTACCATGATAGAAAAAACGATAGAGTTGAGTCACTAGTTGACAGATTTTTACTAGACTACACCTACACTGAGGTGGTAGGGTATAACACAGCTTCTCGGTAGGCTCGGACGCGCGTGCTCTCCTCTTCGACTCCCCCATGTGAGAAAGTGTCTCGGGAGATAGGATGAGAGAGCGATGACGTCAACCCACTTCGCCATCTATTTTAAGAGTGTGTCTCGATATTATATTCGTATTCGTACACACGGGAGAACGGGTTGCGGCGGAGAATCGAGGGCGACAAAGAGTGGAAGAAAGAAAGAAGTAGGCTGCGTGATTGTGTCATGTAACTTAATAATCCTCGTATTATTTAGCGTACAAATAATTAATCAACCATTAAACTTAGGAGCACGTTACATAACAGAACGTGTGCGGCTCGACGTTGCACGAGAATGTTTACGATCGCGCGCCTATGCGTGTGCTAGTATTTCTGTCTTAACATTTAACATAAACAAGAATTCCTTCGTTAGACATTTTTACGTATACGTACGAAAAGAACGACCTGCAAGACTCGACTGTCCAAGCAATATTCGGAGTTTCTCCGTTCCCGTTCCGGTTCTTGTTCACTCAGCTCTACGGCATGACTACTCTCTTTTATATATTTATTTAATGCGCCGGGTTACATCTATTCCGACTGAGTGAAACGTCTTCAGGTTTCCGATATTGCACTTACATGTATCTTACAGCCTTCGTACACACAGCGCATACGCAGCACACATTCGCTCGCTCGCACACATACAAATGCACCTAGAAGCACACGCGCGCACCTTCATTCGCAACAACACATACACACGCAACATACACATACGCATGCATATAATAATAAAGGAAAAAAATAAACTTCGACAATCACACGAATTAGCAATGCAACAGAAATTCTCTCGTTCGCTCACATACACATTCTCTCTCTCTCTCTTTTTCTCTCTATAATATAATCGCATAATTTAATATACATATTCGCCCTCGGAGTCTATATCGATTCGGCGTTAACGTTACGTCTCGAGCAGAGGCAAGGTGTGTGTTTCAGGATCGAATGTCAAATGAGAAAGAATAGTAATACGTTGATACGAAACGTCGAAAGTAAAATAAAAATAATTGCTGCGTTTGATTTTGCCTCTCCAAACGTGTCGCGCGGAGAATGTTGAGATGTGTCGCTTCCGTTCCATTCCACTCCCATGATCATCTCCTCGTCGTCGTCATCATCATGGTAGTAGCCATTGTTGCGCGTCGCTCCGCTTCACCGCCGCGTCTTCGTGTGCTAGAACGTACACGAGAGACTTCTCGCCGATCGGTATGATTTAGAGGTGTCCGAATGTGTCGATATACAATGTCATACCCCTCGTCCGCGATACTTGCTGGCTTAAGCGAGGTCTCAATTGGGTAGCGTGTCGTACAGTATATCCTTGGCGCTTTGCGACAGAGTGTCGGGGAATTTGATGTCGAACGACACGAGCAGATCGCCCTTCCGCGACGGTTCCTTGGGGAAGGGTAGACCGTGTCCTTGGAACCTCTTGACTGTGTTCGGCTTGACGATGTCTCTCGTCAGATTCAGGGGTATCTTATCGCCGGTTAAGGTAGGAACTTCGACGATAGCACCGCACAGAGCTTCCTTCAAGCTCAGTTTACACGTGTATCTAATGTCACTGCCTTCTCTCCTGAACTGCGGATGCGGCTTGTCACGAATGATGAAGACGATATCAGCTGGCTCCCTCCTCGGAGACTGATCGCCTTCCTTCTGGAAGGTGATCTTCGTGCCAGCCTTCCAGCCTGGTTTCACGTTGATCGTGAGAAGTTTGTCCTCCTTCTTGCTGCTGCCGTCCGGCTGCATCGCCCGTCTGCATATCTTCATCTTCTTCGTGCAGCCCCGCAGGATCTCCTCCAGGGTGATATACAGGTCGTGCTCGATCGCCGGATCTTGAGCGCGATCCTTGCCGGCTGCTTTACCGGTGTTTGGACTCGCAAAGTTGAACGAGTGCGACCTGAAAGCACCACCTTGACCAGGCGGCCTAGGCGGCCCCATGCCCAATCCGAAGGGGTCCATGTCGATGTCCATCTCATCATCGTGGAAGCCGAATCCCCGGCCGCCAGTGAACTCGAACAAATTATGGAACGGGGTTGCTGAGCCGAAGAATTGCGCGAAAGTCGCCCTGGGATCGCCGTGGAACGTATATGTGGCGCCTCCACCACCCCCACCGGCCGTGGCACCCCCCTTGAGGCCTTCCTCGCCGAATTTGTCGTAGACCTCTCTCTTCTTCGCGTCCGACAGTACCTCGTACGCCTCTGCTATCTCCTTGAACTTCTCCTCGGCGCCGGCGCTCCTATTCTTGTCGGGATGATAACGCAAGGCTAATTTCCTATAAGCCTTCTTGATTTCCTCGTCACTTGCTCCCTTGGCGATGCCAAGTATCTTATAGTAATCTTTCCCCATTCCCGTTTACCTTCCTTCCTGAAAAGCAACAGAAAACAAGACAACATCAGACGGAATATCCGGCGTGCTTTTCCTCAGAGTGACGCCACAGCCTCGTCCGCGATTTCGTGTTCCCTCGAGACCACGCTCTAAATTCACCTCGACTCACGTCGACAGCACCAAACGAACAGAAAAGGAGGGAGGAGGGAGAGGGAGAGGGAGAGGGAGAGACAGAGAAAGAGAGAGAGAAAGAGAATTGACCGCCTAATAAATCACGTGCACTCGTACATAGTGTACGCGCTGCACACTTTCGTCCCTCATCATGATATTCCCTTACACGCCATGAAATCGCGTGCGTGTGCTCGCGATCGCACGCAGGCGGAAAGACGAGAGTAGAAGCGCGATAAGTTTTCTCGGATGCTCCCGTCCGTCAGTCCGCTCGCTCGCTCGCGTACGCTTTTTACGGTCGTGCGAAGTCGCGCGCGCCGCACGTCACGACGGTGCCAGAGACGCGTCGCGGGTATCCATCGCGTCGTCGCCGTGCGAATTTCTGCCATTTTTTTTTCTGCCACTCAACGAGAGCGAGAGAGATAGAGCGAGCGAGCGAGGAAGAGAGAGAGAGAGAGAGAAGCGGAGAGAAGCATCGAGAAGCCAGCAGCTCGCTCGCTCGCTCCCACACACCCACGTACGTATCACTGATATCTATTTCTGGCAATGATGACCGCGAATACGCGACGAATGTTTCGCTCGTTCGTACGATTCCTAAGCTGCAATGCAAAAATAAATACCCCACTCTTCGGCGACCGAGCCCTGTGTCGTTGTCGTCGTCGTGTCGTCGCCGTTGTCGTCATCAACGTCGTTATATTGTTCGCGGGTCGCGGCCGAAACGAGCGCGTCGCGCGATAATGGGCGACCAACGGGGCAAAAACATACGGAGAGAGCGGCGCGCGGCCACTTCGCTTTTCGCGAAGCGATCGCTGCTCGCCTCGACTGCCGAGCGTAACGGTCGGGTCGCGAGGTTAAAAGGCGCACGTCAACTCGACTTATATCTCTCTTTCTCTCTCTCTCTCTGGCTTCCCCGACGTCTTCCTCGGTTCTAATGACCATTGCTGTCGCTGACGATATCATTTTACTCACTGTCGTTATTCCGTAATCACTCCTCGGGCACTACGTTTCACGCAGACACTCTCTCGGTGCACAGTAGCCGAGAATCGAGCTCGCGTAGATTCGTCCGCGAAGTATCGTGGAGAACAATTGCGAAGAAATCCAAGCGACACGCAACAATCCCACTTACTTTTCGTTGCGTACTGAAGTGTCGCGGAGCTGCGCAGGCCATATATATGAACTTGCCCCATCTAGCAACTTCCGGAACTTTCGAGAATGGATTGACGCCAATTCCGCAGCGCTCTCTGTCGCGACGTCACCGGGCGAAGCGCTTGGCGCGAAATTTCAACTTGCGACGGTGCGCAATGCACTGCTGTCGTGCGGCTCGGGGTAATACTAATTGTTGCAAAGTTATTGAACATGACGAATTGAGGCTGATCTCCCACTGCGGTTATCTTGATCGGTGACTTTAGAAGCGAGAAAACATGTACAAAGTATTCGCGAAATATATTTGAAGGAAAAGATATCTATAAGTGACACTTGTGACTGATGTCGCACATTTTATAACATTTTCTGAAAATTTTGACCGGTATTCTGGACTTTTCTATGAATAAAAAAAGCTTTAGAAGTAGCTTACAAGTGTTCTGGTTGGCTACAAGTAATTTTTGTAGTCATTTTTATCAATAAAAGAGCATTTTCAGGATATCAGTGTTCGTTCTTGTTTCAGTAATCAATGAACATCCCTGAGATTAATGCGACGTGAGTCTATTTTTTAACTGTGTAATTTTGTCATGTTAATTCTGTGGCTATTTATTGATTATTGGAGCAAGAAAAATTTTTCGTATTTTACAAATATACTCCATAAATCACAAGTATCATCTTGCGAATTCTCAAGAATTTTTAATACTATAGTTATCACCAGCGATTATGTATATATATATATATATACATAATGTATACATACATATATATATATACATACATACATATATATATATATATATATATATACACACATACACATAATGTATACATACATATATATATATATACATATTAGTATATATATACTAATATATAGTATATATACATATATATATATATGTTTACTATGTTCTAATTATATCTCGGATATTTGAAATATTATACAGACAGAACCATCCTTATACAGACAATATCATCCTTATTATTATTGTTTGCACAGTACCCAGTGAACAAAATATTATTGACAGCACGTTCTTGCAATGATATTAAACTGCGTATTAAATAACGTTTTTCTAACATTATATCAACATTGTTACAAAATAGTTTCAACTCTGTTATTTCTGAAACATGCTTGATACAATCAATATCATGTTATTTCGTAACACTTTCGAAAAATTTTAGGAATACTGAGCGAAAATGCTTGAAAGGTACACTTAAAATTAACATTTCAAGATGTTGATCTAATGATTTTGTTCACTAGGTTTTGCTTTATCAACATTATTGTCGCTGTTAATATTTCACTAAAGGTTTGCCACAACAATTACAATTATTAATGTTAAATATATTTCCTTTAAATTGTACACATAGTTTTTAAGTAACAACTGCAGATCATTTTTGAAACAGTAAATTTCAGAGGAACAAATAATACATAATTATGTCGTTTACTTTATTTTTCTCTTGGATAGACTATCTAGACTATCTAGAATATTATCATGAAATTAAAATTATAAATTGTAAATTTAAAAACTGCTCGCGAGAAATCTACAGTCCAAAGAGAATGTTTCATAAGAAATGTTTTGTACATTGAATAAACAGAGTTATTTATAGGCATCAGTGATTTATAAATCACTTACGAGCTATATTTTATCTGTTTAAACGTAAGAACAAGGCGTGTCTGCATTCTCGTGAACTTGGTGGCATGTACTTGTCGTAAAAGTCTTGAATGAATTCCTCCACTTTGAAACTGAACTTTTGGTACAATATTAAGGCGGGATTTGTGGCCGACACATGTAATGTAACGTCTCGTCCCATGCACGTCTGTATTAAGTGATACAGCATGAACGTGCCGATGCCGGCCTTTCGCCATTCTGGGCGTGTCAAGATGAATGAGATGTAGGCTTCGTTGTACCCAACTTCTGGCACTAATACTGCAAAACCTATGACTAATTTTTTGTACAATACGACGCAGGTGAAGTCTGGATACTGCAAACATTCGGTCACTGAAACAAGAGGAGAAAACATTGCGAATGAGGTCGACGATCAGACTGTTCGATCAGGCAATTCGTGTCAAGAAAAGATCTCTGAATGCACTTACAATCTATGCCAGGCCAAAAAAATTGGCTACAGAGACTGTTGATTGCCGGGATGTGTTGCGGTTTGATATAGGAATAATCGATAGGTGCTCTAGATGACGGTTTCCACTCTGGATTATTTTTGTTCGCTTTTGCGCATACTTCTTCCATGATTCTTAACCATAAAGGCTGCGAGTAAGCATCTCGCCTTATGAACGGCTTCAAGAGTCTATTCGTGTACGGACTATGCACGGTCGTAGGTTCGCTGTAACCTTGTAACCTTTGCTCAAAAATGCATCCTAGGTCGTTGACGAAGAACCTGTCTAATACTCGGTCGTTACTTTTCGACGGTTTCGTGGACACTCCCGATTTCGATCCGAAACAATCAACGTCTAACAGAGGTAAGCCGTACTCTCTCTTCGTTTTACGCACTGCTAATTTTCTATACAGTCTTCTAATATGAGGCGGTGCTTTGTCGAGATCAGCCTTATTAATTTTTTGTAATAAATATGCTTCTTCCTGGCGCGTCATGTGTGGTATCTTCGTATCTATATATGGACACATATACAATGTTTATACATATTTCATACCGTGTATACGCGATTCAATAAAAAATAATTACCAATAACGGAGAATCTCTTGGACCAAGGCCACTTGCGGTGTTGCGTTTCTTTGAACAATGAAGCTGGAGGTTGTTCTTGTATGGAGACGGGACTATCATTGCTATCTTCATCGTATTCTTCTTCCTGTATGGTTTTACTTTCATTGCCAGTATCGTTTGGCGATGGAGGATTCGTGTTACACAACCAATCGCAATTGTCCGTTGATTGTGTCAATTGGAAACTGGCATCTTCATATTGACAATCACGTATTAAGTCGGAGATCGAGGGTATACAGTTTTCATTGCGTAACATTATGTTATCCTCGGTATTCAAATCTACAATATTACAAAACTCCCTTAACATGAGTGTATTTCTTATATTTTGCCTTCCGCTATCTACTAGCTTCTACACACCATTTGGTTCATCATCTTCAAATAGAAAATCAGACAATAATTCAGTAGGTTGAACATAGGCATGGGAATACACAGATGAATTTTGATGTTTGAACAGTTCTCCACCACAGTTGCTATCCTCTCCAACAGAGATACTAGAGTCTGACTGAACAGAACTACTAGATGACTTACAAAATATTTTTGTACTTGAGTTCTTTTTTCTATCTTGTATCACTTTGTTGTCTGCAAACAAAGATCATACATAATCAGACATATATATATACATTAAAATTTTGTAAAATATATATTGTATAATATATTAGAATTGTATTACTTCTGGCAATAAGAATTTCAGGAGGATCATTGTCCAACAATTTCCACCATCCAGCTTCATCTAATTCGACAGTACCAGATTTGAAAAATATTCCACCATAATGAGATAATGTGCCAGAAATGGTGCCGGTCCAATTTTTTCTTTTTTTTCTAGATGAAATTAAATGTAGATTTTAAAAACTATATGTACAATATATAGATATAGGTGACATAAATTAGAATAAAAGAATAAAACACTTACACAGACTTTTTAAACAGAGTATCCCAATTTTTGTCCACAAAAGTACTAATGTCAGACTTCCAATGGAAGTATCCCCGGTTACTGATACCACTTGATTTCTCACGCAAATTATAGAGAGTCAAAACAATGACATTGAGCCATGGCATTCTATTGCGTACTACTGTTTCTTCACCTAGAGGATTGCAAGAAGTACAAGTAAGGTCAAAGAAAACATCTCCCACAAAAGGCGTAGGAACATTGCCTCTTTTTAAACATTCTATATGTATTTTCCTATTGCATCCACCGCTGCAATGCAATCCTGGTTTATCATAAGGGTTGCATATTTTCTCACATATTTTGCAATTATCAATATTTGCAGTCTCTTTCGACTTTCTTGAGTCGGCAATTTTGTTTTCTTTCTCAACTTCCGACATTGTCCTTTTCTGAAATATATAATTCATTAGAGAACTAACCTAACTTCCAACATAACTTTCGATATAACATATGATAATTCTTAGTTTTAATATATAAATGACATTTATGCTATTGAAAGAAATGCGTGAGTACAATATCTACCAATATTCTTTGCAAATTTTGAACTTACAATGTTCAGTATAAAAAATTGTAGCACTTATCGAGACGATAGACTTCTATATACTTCTATATTCGTAGTTCGTTCTCTTTTTCTGCACTCGCTGCACTTCATACAAAAAGTCTGATACATGTGTTAGGTCATTTATTCCGTGAAAAATCGTGCCGTGAAAAATGTATAAATCTAATTTATATAAAAAGTATTAATATATTAACATTAAATTTTTCGAAGACTACAATTTGATTAATAAAAAGATATGTATACGTGGGGGTGTATACAATGAAATATAGGAAGTCGATATACGCGCCTAAAATTCCGTGCAGAAAGAGCTATATTGGGTTGCGTTTCGATATTCACTGCCAGCACTGAAAATCTATAGTATACGTGACATAAACTATGTATTTTCAGTACTGACAGTGAATATCGGAACGCAGCCCTCCAATTTTTGTAAAATTCGTAAATCTAATTGGCGTACGCTTTTAAACTTGGCGGAATGCAAAAGTATGCACCAATCAGATTCACGAATTTTAATAGCTGCAAAGAAGCTTTCTCTGTGCTGAACGTGATTAATGACCCTAATAGTATTGTGGCAACCTGTTTTGCGAATCTGCTGTTGAAGTGCTTTTCACTTGCGATTCTAAATCTAAATTTTTAAATGGCAGTAGGCAAGAATAAAGGCCTTTCGAAAGGAGGTAAAAAGGGAGTAAAAAAGAAGATGTAAGTGAAATAGATTGTGTTTAAAGCTAGCTTATATTGTTATGTTAGGTACGTTGCACGTTGATACCAATGTATATCCTGTTTAATTAATTTTGCATTTTATATATTTTAAAATATTGCCATTAAAAACTATAAAACAATATAATTATTGAGTATCTTTTAAATATTTCCTTCCAACATATTCTAACATTCTTTGAGTCAATATGAAAGATGTATTATCTGACTTAACAGCTTAGATTACACATGGTAAAGCATGATAACGTAAATGTTTCTTAAATACAAAATATATATTGTAAGTTCGTGAGTTTGATTTTCTCATGATGCTTTCAATGATTACTTTATTATAAATATACTTCATTTTACACGTTTTATCTCATGTAGAGCTATGTTATTTCAGTGTAGATCCTTTTACACGAAAAGACTGGTACGATGTAAAGGCACCTTCTATGTTTGCTAACCGGCAGGTTGGCAAAACTTTGGTCAATAGGACTCAGGGCACCAGTAAGAAATTTTTCCTTTTGTATAAATAATAAAAATCTCGATCTTTTTTCTACATTAAACTTTTATATTAGTATTCCTTTATTATATATCTTGTATCTGCACGCTTTTCATTTATATAATAATGTATATATAATGTAAATATAAATTTTATCTTGACAGAGATTGCTTCAGAAGGTCTGAAGTTCAGAGTATTTGAAGTATCTCTGGCTGATCTGCAAAGTGACCAAGATGCAGAAAGATCATTCCGCAAATTTAGACTGATTGCTGAAGATGTTCAAGGTCGCAATGTATTGACTAATTTCCATGGAATGGATTTAACTACAGATAAGCTTCGATCAATGGTGAAGAAGTGGCAAACATTAATTGAAGCTAATGTTGATGTAAAAACAACAGATGGTTATTTACTAAGAGTCTTCTGCATTGGTTTTACAAATAAGGATCAACTTAGCACAAGAAAAACCTGTTATGCTCAACATGCACAGGTTTACACTCTGCTTAACTATACATCATGTACATCGCATGCACTTTTGTATTTGTTACAATTTTTATGTAATGACAAGAGAATTATGTATATCAGTACAGTTATTTATCATACTATTTGTATGCTGGTAAATAGTGATAAAGAAACTTTCTATGCAATCAATATTTATAAGAACTTTTATTTCCAGATTTTTTATATTTTCTTAAATATTTTAAATTTATTTGCACATTGTTTTAAGATGTAAAATTTCATGCTACACTGATTCATATCCATGAAAACATTAGAATTATTGTTAGGTGATATATATTTATTTGTTACTACTTCTCTACGTATTTGATTGTTTTGTAAATATTATTTGTATATCATTTCACCTTAATTTTTTTTATTATACTCGTGTTATAATATATAACTGAATTTAGGTGAAAAAAATTAGACAGAAGATGGTTGAAACCATCACTGAGGATGTTACAAAGACCGATTTAAAGGGTGTAGTGAGTAAGTTGCTCCCTGATGCCACAGCCAAGGACATTGAAAAAGCATCACAAGGAATTTATCCTCTGCATGATGTTTACATTCGTAAGGTGAGTATTTTATATTTCTCAGTGATTCAATGTAAATACATGGTTGTATGATCTGATATTTTCACATGAGAATAGTGAATAATTTTTTTTTCCTTTTTGAACGTTAATAAGCTGCAAGAAATTGTAATTTTATTAGGTGAAGGTATTGAAGAAACCTCGTTTTGAACTTAGCAAATTGTTGGAGTTACATGGAGAAGGAGGTGGCAACAAAAGTGAGGAGATTGGCGAAAGTGGTTCCAAAGTCGACAGACCAGAAGGTTACGAGCCACCGGTACAAGAATCTGTTTAAGAATGTACAATTTTTCAATTTTTCATAAAAATAAAGTTGGATTTTTATCGTATAAATAACATCTTTGTTCACATTTTATTTATGTATACATTTATTAAAATGTTTTTTAAAGAAACATATTTATATATAAAAACGAATATTTCTCCGAAAACATTCTAAAAATAAATTATGAACATTTAATATTCTGCTGTGTTCCACTGACGTAGGTATGATAGATACAGAATACTTTTGTAATATTTTGTTCTTTCTATTATAGTATTGTCTCATTGTAGTTGATATATAAGATATATATACGCACATATACGCATTTTAATGTTTAAAATATATATTAAACATAGATAAATATATATTAAATATTAAATAAATTTGTTGGGCTAAGCATTATTAGGTCATTTTTTTCTAATAGATTAATTTTTTTTAAGAGAGCTGGTATGTTTTTTGATGCATTCATCCTGTTTTAATATAAATATCGCCAACAAAAGATACAACAAACATTACTATGAATAAGTATTCACTGCATAATTCCACAATAAGACCAAGGAAATTTTGACATACGTAATGCAGCGAGTGATACATGTCATATTCGTTATTTAAATATTAAAAATCGATTTTTCGTTCTGATTAATTCATCTCTGAAATAGTCAGAGATATCACTGATTACATGTATGTACTCATAATTTCTTTCCACCAACTATACAAAATACATAAATTCTGATATAACTTGCAATTGGGTTATTTATGTTCAGTTATACCTTTTTTAAATATCTTCAGTGCATACCACTGAATAGGTCTTTAGGTTCTGTGACGTTTAACAAACGCGATCAAACCATTTGTTGATGAATCGTGAGTTGTTATAGTTTCTGTGCTATCCAACTCTGGTTCTATAGCTTTGGCTAACTGTTTCCCTAATTCCACACTGCATAAAAAGATTATGTGTTAAAAGATTCTTATAAATAATTCCTTTACATAAATTAACAAATTTATAAGTTCTACATAAATAAAAAATCATCTTACCCCCATTGATCATACGAATTAATATCCCAAATCATACCCTGTACAAAGATTTTATGTTCATACATTGCTAGAAAAAAAAAAATTATATTGAACATGTATATTTATGGATGTATAATTATTTTTAAATACGCTGGATGTTTAATAAATTAAAATATAACCAGCGAGATCATTCATAGAAAAAGTAAAATATATGGAATAAATTATTTGAAGTATAAAAAGCACAAAAGATGCACGTGCGCGCATCTTTATGTGTCTTTACAAATTATTACTTGTCTGCAAGTTACATTACAATTTATTATCTAATTTACGTACATAAATACATCGATAAGTTACTTACCGATCAATGCACCGAGAATAAAAGGAGTTAATTTCTTCACTACGATACTGTTCGTTGGTCTGTTTCCCTCGAACATCTTATGCGGTAATAGTAAATCCACCTGTTCAGTACCCAATCCCGATTTCTGCAATTCAGTCCGAGCCTCGTTCTCGTTTTTGCCTTTCATTAAAGCTTCAGTTTGCGCAAAGAAATTCGCGAGTAAAATTTTGTGGTGCAAAGTACCTTGAACCTGCAACGAAAAAAATTCTCTCAATAGTAACTAAATAATAACTAAAATCCAGAGTACATCTTCCTATATTTAATAATAATGATTTATAAAAATAATTTAATAAAAATAATTTATAATTTTCGCCTTCTTTCCAACTTTCTATCCTCGTGCCCTTGGTAATGCTGAAACGGATCACTTACTTGATTTTGAGACTGAACAGGAATTATAAAATCCGCTGGTACAAGTCTTGTACCTTGATGCAACAACTGATAGAACGCGTGTTGACCGTTAGTGCCTGGTTCGCCCCATACGATCGGACCTGGAAGTATTACATATTTTAATTAAAATGTTTTTTTGTGAAGAACGCAATATGCAGGTTGTACATACACACGCGCGCGCGCATATAATACACATACATATAGAACATACCAGTGGAATAATTTACAGTCTTCCCAGCGCGAGTAACATATTTGCCGTTACTCTCCATATCGCCTTGTTGAAAGTAAGCAGCAAATCTATGTAGATATTGGTCATATGGTAAGAGCGCGTGCGTCTCAGCCTTGTAAAAGTTGTGATACCATATACCGAGTAAAGCTAATATGACAGGTGCCTGAAAAAGATGTACAACAGATCATTAGTAAACTAAGTTTAATTAAGTCGTAATAATCTAATTTTTATAAATTGCAAAATTTATATGCAATACAAAATTGAAATACAGACAAAATTTTACGAGTTAATAGAAATTAAGAGAATACGAAATAAATTTTCAATTTTCAATAAGTTTCTACTAAATGAAAAAGAAAAACAATGTTGAATATTAGTATAATTCCACAGGTATTCAGTTTGTCGACTTATAACTTGATAATTGCTACAATTACAATTATGAAATAAATGAGTAATATCTTTAACTTTCAATATTAAAGTGTCACATGTTAACAGGTGACATTTTAAATACTTACATTTTTTTCCAGTGGTGCTGTGCAGAAATGTTGATCCATAAAATGAGCTCCACTTAAAAGTTTTTCAAAATTATCAAAACCAATTGATAAGCAGATTGATAAACCAATAGCTGACCATAAAGAGTAACGTCCACCAACCCAATCCCAGAAACCAAACATGTTTTTCTCATCAATGCCAAATTCTTTTACTTTTTGCGAATTAGTAGATAATGCGACAAAATGACGCGCCACTGCAGTTTCCTAAATAATACCATACTATAAAAATTAATGCCAAAGAAAATGATAATGTCAACTTGAAATTTGTAAATATACATTTTTCAATGCTTCCAGAAGCCACAGCTTGGCAGAAGTTGCGTTGGTTATAGTTTCTTGTGTAGTGAATGTCTTAGAAGCTATTATGAATAAAGTTGTCTCTGGATTTAATTTCTTGAGGGTCTCTGCTATATGCGTACCATCTATGTTGCTGACAAAGTGAACCCTGGGTCCAATGCTATATACTTTTAAAGCTTCCGTTACCATGAGCGGTCCCTATTGGTGGTATATGCATAAATATTCAATACTGTATTGATAATTAACTGTATTATAAAAAGAGGTATTATAAAAATTACCAAATCAGAGCCGCCAATTCCAATATTAACTACATCTTCAATAGGTTTACCAGTAAAACCTTTCCACTGTTTTGTCAATACCTGTGAATAAATATATTTTATATAGTGAGATACATTGCGTAGATAAAATCTCAAATGATAAAATTTTACCTCATTTGTGAAACTCTTCATATGCTCCAATACCGCATTAACATCAGGCACCACATCCTTTCCATCTGTCAATATCGGTGTATTACTTCTATTGCGCAAAGCAATATGTAAAACTGCTCTATTTTCTGTAAAATTGATTTTTTCACCACTAAACATAGCATTTCTTGCAGCTTCTATCTCCCGTGCACGAGCCTACAAGATGATGTAATTTAATAAGATAAAGAATTTAAGAATGATATTAAAATTATTTTGTATACAGTTTCATACCAAATTCAATAATAAACCAAATACTTCTTCATTAATTCTATTTTTGGAGTAGTCTAATAAAATAGGACCATCTTGTGGAGTAGCAAGTTCCAAGCTACATCAACAAAAATATATGATAATTATTTAATGTGCTTTTTAAATTTTTTGCAGAAATATAGACAATATAAAATCATTCTTTTAGTTTACACTTATCTTTTATATAATAGAATGTTCAATAAAAATCAACACAATCTTCTATTTATGCTATATTATTTATATTACAAAAGAAAAACCTCAATCATATATTAAATAATTTTATGAAACATATGATCTAAAATACTCTCCCTTTTTTCAAAACGAATAACCTTGAGAGGTCACTTCAAGGTCGTGTTTAAAAAGTAAGAGTAAAACTTACCTAAACTTTTCGAAGCGTTTATTATCTTGCTGGAACATATTATATATGTTAATCTTCGGGCCATTACTGTCGAAATATTGTTGCAATTGATTCCATGCAGTTTCAGTCGACAAATCTGCCTTGGATTTCATCTTGTTATTTAAGAAAGGCGCGCGTAAATCACGATAGTAAAACGAAGCCTGCCTCCACCTGTCTCTGGGTCTATCTGTCACCAGTCACGTCTTGATATGCATGTGAATGACGTAAGAAAGAATGGTTAGTTTCGAACACAATGGCGACGCGACCAATCAAAAACCCAGAACATAGGTTAGGCGCGTATTTTAACTTCTTTATATCACTTGGTCCTATTGTTTTAATATTGTTAAATTAGTATAGTTTCGAAATATCACTTTCGGAAGTTAAAAGAGACAGATATATAACTGGCCGTGCCAGTTGAGTCTTGTTGAAATAAAGAAACTGATGAAAAAACTAGTGTAAGGTAGTATAGTTAGTATAGTTAGTTCACCAATAGGAAACAAACCTATTCAAAAAACATTTTTAAACAACAAAATATCTAGTAATGTTACGTAGACCTTGACAATAGTTTCAAGAACACATTTCCTAATATTCTTTTTAATCGATTTTTATTTATATCATTACAATCATCACCTATTGTTTGTGCATTGCACACAATACACGTGCGCATGCATATAATCATACATTAATATTTATTAGTTTCTGAATTTTAATTAAAATTTTTCGCAATCTAGGATGTTAAATTCCTTTATATTCGATGATCTGGCATAAAAAGTTATCAACTTTAATTATTTTTATTTCAATCAGCTTCAACAATTTTTTCATAGTCACAATACATGCCAAAATTATATATTCGCGAATGCGACTCACGCAACGACATGCACTCATATTATCAAAGAACAATATTCATAGTATCTAATAACAAAATCTTTACTTTTGTGTAAAATGTATAAGAATACAGAAACTATAATAAACGTCACTCAACATTATATTTATAATTATTTAAAACATAACATATTATCTATCTTTATACATTTATATTCTCTCTCTCTCTCTCTCCCCCCCCTCTTTCTATACACACACACACACACACACACACACACACACACACATATACGTGCATGTAGTTCTGATAAAATTCCAGTCTTTGGTGAATGTCAACTTTCCAATTCTACATTAGTTAATAATGAAATATTAAATTAACGGAAGAGTATCAGTGCCAATCTCTGTAATCTTAGACGAGTTTGTGTAAAAATGTATTCGATATTATATCTATCTTTTCGTCTCTCTGTCTATTCTCCAGTTTCTATTCGTCTGTTCGTCTATTCTCCAGTTTCTATTCGGCTGTTCGTCTGTTCTCCAGTTTCTATTCGTCTGTTCGTCTGTTTGTCTGTTCGTCTCAACCCTTTGTGTTGCCCATTTATACAAGCTTCCCGCCTGAGCTTGCCGCCTCTGGTACTGGAGCTCGACCGCGCGTGAGAGCAGGCGGTGCTGCCCACTGCCGGCCAATCTTACATTTGTAGCTTCTTTCGGTAAATCATCTTGTTCTGTTACGTTTACGTTATTGTTATTCAAGAGCGCCCTTAGTTTCTTACTCATTTCTAGAAGCTTTGGACTCCTTTGATATGATTCAATTTCGTAAAGGAAGTGATTGCTTAAAAAATCGTATATACTCGGAGCACTGAAGTCAAGGAATTTATAAAACATCTAGGATAAAAAAAAGTTAATACGAGTTAAATTGTTTTACATGATAATTATTTAGAAGGTAATTATTTAGAAGACGGGCCTCACCTTGGATTTCGCTCAAACTCACCTATCTTGTGTATTTTTACGTGTAGAAGCCGAATCTGCAAGTAAAAATCGTCGCTCGGCTCTAGTTTGCGAGAAATAAATTGTTAAATAATGACATATGCGAGGTTAGAAAATCTGTCATCCCTCCGCCCTCGCTGTCAGCAGCCTCCCACACCTACCCCGTCCTCGTTGCGCATGGAGTTGCGAACCCACCCGGAATCTTGACAGGTTTCCTAATCTATTATACCAGTCAACTTTAACTATTTTTATTTCGTTTCGCAGTGAAGAGCGACAATTTTCGCAGAGGAAAAAGTTGCTCCTTATTAAAAAACGCGTTGATTGAGTCTATTTTTATCGAATTCTAAGGCGAAGCCCCTAAACTGGATAATTACCGATTTATTTTTATGTATATCATGTATATCTCATATCGAGTCGACACATTGAAAATATAATATTTAAATAAAAACCTTAAACTTCTTGTTGAGTGGATCCAGTGTAAACGCTTTCACAAAATAGTCTGCGGCATTTTCTTTATCCTTGTGAAGAGAATAATAAGCAATAGCGATTGCTAAAAACATAGATATTTGCCGTTCTTTGACAACAGAATTGTATTTTTTTAGCATTCGTAGTAAATGCGGCAAAGGTTGCAATTCTCCTGTTTCCCAACCATATCTTATGTATGAAAATTCCGCCACAAAATTATTATAATCCACAGCCTTTTTATAATACCATAAAGCATCCTAAATAGATTCATTTTGCATAATTATTATTAATTTTTTTGTTACCATTAATAATACAATAAAAATGATATATTAATTTGTATCATATTTTATACTGACCCTGAACTCTCCACATTCCTCATATAACATTCCAGTATAATGCAGAAATGTAGAATTGTTTGGTACTATTTTTTCTACAGCATCTAGACATTCTTTTGCTGCTAATGTTTCGTCCGAATATGATCGTAAAAACATACGACTTAGTTTTAATAATACTTTATAACTAGTAGGTTTCATTTTTAATATATTTTTTGCCATTTGCAATACTGTTTTCTCATTGGTTGCTTTTTTTGTCATATAATCCTTATTTTTGTTGTATTTGTAAAATTTTTCGATACGCATTTGCAAGTAATATACTCCAAATATAGGATTATTAACAGATATAGCATATGCTAATTCAAAATGCTTTTCTTCTTCATCTGACACATCAGATGTAAGATGTACAATACGTCTTTGACGTCTAAGATTCTTTGCAAGAATAAAATGCCATAATGCGTACTCTTCATTCATTTCTACTGCTTTCTTAGCATTATCCATTGCTTTATTTATACCAAATTCATGTAAGCAAGACCATACAATACTTTGACAACCATGCAAAGCACCACTTTCTGCTTTACTGAAATTATCAGTATCAATAATATTGTTCAATATTTCATCTAACTCATCTAACTTCTCTGTTTCATACAAAATGAAGCATTTTGTAGCATAAAACACATGCTCTATAGCCCTTATCGTTTGAGATAAATCTTTCCTATAACAATTTCAATAAAACAGTTGTAAATAAAAAAATTTTTGAAAAATGTTGAGAAATTTATGTACTAGTATCATATGTCTTACTCTTGTTGGAGCTGCATCAAAAAATCTTCAGCTTTTTGAATATTCTGAGCTGTATCGTCATCTGCACTTAATACAGTTTTATAACATTGAAGTATAGTTCTCATAAAGAGTTCTATCCTACATGTTTCTTCATCATCTAGTTCATCATCATGTTCATTGTTATTAGAATACATCTTACAATGTATTGTTACACTATCCAATAGATCCCAAGTAAATGGGCATTGTAATTTTGAAAGCTTTGTTTTTGTACTGATTTCTTCTGGTTTGCAAGATGCCATATCAGAAGATAAATCTTTATCTTATTTTTATTTTTCTTATCATAAAATTCTTTATCACTATCAATGAAACAAAGTCCTAAGTTGAACAAAACTATTCTAAACTAATATTGACATTGAAATTAAATCTTAAAATGTGCTACTACTATTAAGGCTGATGAGATGAATCAGTATAGCTATATTGAATTCTGATGTCTCTAATAATATAGAAATATATTTTTTTATAATGGCTATACTCATAACAGAAAGTAGCTTTGTAGCTTTTGAAAGATTTTCTGAGGAAGATTTCCTTTCTCTTAAGTAATTTATATTTTCTGCAATGTTAATATTTAATTATTATTATTTAAATATTACTTTTTTAAATATATCAAGAATATATTTAATAAATGCAATTAGATAATATAATTGTCTGCTCATAATTATTAATAGAACTGGATAGAATTATATTTTTATATTTTTACATATCTGAAATAAACCAACATTTTAACATGCCAATTTTGAAGTCTGATGATATAGACAGCTAAATTTTATAGTGAAAACTTTATCTTTTACTAAAAAAATAAACGTACAGTTTAATCAACAAAAATCTATTAGTTAAAAGTTAAAAGAGTTAAAAAGGGCACATTTTATAATTTTTTTTATTAAAAACAGAAAGTATTGCAATATATATGGCAATATATGGAAAACTTTCTCGTATTCGAAAGTAAAATATACAAATATAACTCTTGTATCTACCTGCGAATAAATAATCCATAATTACCGATATAATTTTCTTGTTATATATATTCTTGTATATATATATATATACCATATATATACAAGATATATAAAAGTGTTTCTTCTTGTATATTTACAATATTAAAATATATTTTACCTTTATACGAATTTCACTGCTTTCTTTCTTTCTACCCACACAGAACTTTAATCTTCAAATCTACTAGGCTACGTTGGAAACGTTACTCCCAGAAACGATACTTCGGGTACTCCCTCTCTTTCTTTGGGTCTGTTATTGGCTGCGTTTAGAAGAACCAAATGATCAGTGAGCGCTTAGTGATTCTCGCTCCTGATTGGTAAATACTTCTGGGTCTATGAAGAATCTAAATGAATGCTCCAATCACAGACAATAATCACTAAGCGCTCTCTGATCACTTTGTTCTACTGAACGCGGCTATTGGCGATGCGTCTAATTAAAAACCCAGAATACAGGCGCGTATTTTAACTTCTTTATATTATTTATTACTATTGTCTTAGGGCTGTATTCATAGTCGGATCTTATATTTATGACCGTCTTGAGTTCACGTTCAGATATTCTGTAGCCAATGAAATGATCTATACAGCATCTAAAGATGAACTTAAAACGATCTTAAATATAAGACCGGACTATGAATACGGCCCTTAGTATTATTAAGCTAGTATACATTTTCGGAACTTAAAAGAGACAGGTATATAGGCTTGAGTAATTCTTTTTATTTAAATCAACTTCAACAATTTTTTCATAGTCATAATACATGCCAAAATTATATATTCACGAATGCAACTCATGCAACGACATGCACTCATATTATCAAAGAACAATATTCATAGTATTTAATAACAAAATCTTTACTTTTGTATAAAATTTATAAGAATATAGAAACTATAATAAACGTTATTCAATAATATATTTATAATTATTTAGAACTTAATATATTACCTATCTCTATATATCTATCATATTACCTCTCTCTCTCTCTCTCTTTCTTTACACACACATACGTGTGCGTGTGGTTCTAATAAAATTCCCGTCTTTGGTAAATATCAATTTTCCAATTCTATATTAGTTAATAATAAAATATCAACTTAATGTTAAAGTATCAGTGCCAATCTCTGTAATCTTATACTATTAGTTATTTATTTAAATTACTGCAATGTTCAACAAAATCTATCAGAGAATTAATATGTATTAAACCGTAGACGAGTTTGCAGCTTCTTCTGTTAAATCATTTTCTTTTGTTAAATCATTTTCCTTTGTTAAATCATCTTTTGTTAAATTACCTTCTTTTGTTAAATCATCTGTGTTTTTGGTATTCAAGAGCACCCTTATTTTCTTACTCATTTCTACAAGTTTTGGACTTCTCTGATGTAATTTAATTTCGTAAAGGAAGTAATTGTTTAAAAAATTGTATATACTCGGAGCACTGAAGTCAAGAAATCTATAAAATACCTAGGATAAAAAAAGTTAATACAGATTAAATAGCTTTACACACAACACACAATCTATTATTTTATGCTTAAAATAAATTTATATTATTAACATATATTATATTAACACATTGAAACAGTTGGGAGAGAAGAATCACGTTTCCTGCAAATTAGTCTTGTTCAGTCAATAGAGTAAAATTACATTTCTGAAATAAAATTTTGTACTATAAAATTTGTACTATTAAAATTTTGTACTATAATATTACATACTTTGTCCAATATAATTTTTGTAAGTAAATAATATTCCTTAATATTAATAAAATTTTACTAGTTACGATATCCTGTGCAAAGCAAAGCTAATTGTGAATATATTAAATTTGTTTTTATATGTATCATACATCCAATGATATACATAAAATATCTTATGTAGAATCGATGCATATATCATATTGAAAATATAATATTTAAATAAAAACCTTAAACTTCTTGTTGAGTGGGTCCAACGTAAGTGCTTTCACAAAATACTCTGCTGCATTTTCTTTATCCTTGTAAAGAGAATAATAAGTAGTAGCGATTGCTAAAAACATAGATATTTGCCGTTCTTTGATGGGACAGTCATATTTCTTTAGCATTCGTAGTAAATGCGGCAAAGGTTGCAATTCTCCTGTTTCCCAACCATATCTTATGTATGAAAATTCTGCTACAAAATTATTATAATCTGCAGCCTTTTTATAATACCATAAAGCATCCTAAATAGATTCGTTTTGCATAGTTATTATTAATTTTTTTGTTACCATTAATAATACAATAAAAATGATATTATATTAATTTGTATCATATTTTATACTGACCCTGAACTCTCCACATTCTTCATATAACATTCCAGTATAATGCAGAAATGTAGAATTGTTTGGTACTATTTTTTCTATAGCATCTAGACATTCTTTTGCTGTTAATGTTTCATCCGAATGTGATCGTAAAAACATACGACTTAGTTTTAATAATACTTTATAACTAGTAGGTTTCATTTTTAATATATTTTTTGCCATTTGCAATACTGTTTTCTCATTGGCTGCTTTTTTTGTTATATAATCCTTATTTTTGTTGTATTTGTAAAATTTTTCAATACGCATTTGCAAGTAATATATTCCAAATACAGGATTGTTATTAGATATACCATTTGCTATGTCAAAATGCTTTTCTTCTTCATTTGACACTTCAGATGAAAGATCTATAATACGTCTTTGACGTCTGAGATTTTTTGCAAGAATAAAATGCCATAAGGCACAGTCTTCATTCATTTCTACTGCTTTCTTAGCATTATCCACTGCTTTATTCATACCAAAATCATTTAAGCAAGACCATACAACACTTTGACAACCATGCAAAGCACCAATTTCTGCTTTACTGAAATTATCAGTACCAATATTGCTCAATATTTCATCTAACTCATCTAACTTGTCTGTTTCATATAAAATAAAACATTTCGTAGCATAAAACACATGTTCTATAACCCTTATCGTTTGAGATAAATCTTTCCTGCAACCATTTCAACAAAATAATTGCAAATAAAACAATTTTTTTTAAAATGTTGAGGAATGTATGTACTAGTATTATATGTCTTACTCTTGTTGGAGCTGCATCAAAAAATCTTCAGCTTTTTGAATATTCTGAGCTGTATCATCTGCACTTAATATAGTTTTATAACATTTAAATATAGTTTTCATGAAGAGTTCTAAATTACAAGTTTCTTCATCATCTAGTTCATCATCATGTTCATTGTTATTAGAATGCATCTTACGATGCTTTGTTATACTATCCAATAGATCCCAAGTAAATGGACATTGTAATTTTGAAAGTTTTGTTTTTGTACTGATTTCTTCTGATTCACAGGATGCCATATCAGGAGCACAATTTATCTTATTTTTATTTTTCTTATCATAAAACTCTTTATCACTATCAATGAAATAAAGTTCTAAAGTTAATAAAACTATTCTAAACTAACATTGACATTGAAATTAAATATTAAAATATTCTACTTTACTATTAAGGCTACTGAAATGAATCATTGTAGCTATATTGAATTCTGATGTCTATTATGATATATAAATATGTTTTATAATGACTATACTTACAACAGAAAAGTATCTTCGTAACTTTTGGAAGATTTCCTGAGGTACACTTAAGTAATTTATATTTTCCGCAATATGTTAATAATATAGTTATTATTTAATACATTTAATAAATGCAATTGGATAATATAATTGTCTGCTTATAATTATTAGAAAGAATATTTAATGAAACTTTCTAATCATGGCAAATAATTAACAAAAAATTTTTAACAAAAATGTAAGTACAAACTAAATAGATCTATCATATTTTGATATAACTGAAATAAATTAACATTTTAACATTTTACAATTTTGAAGTCTGATAATACAGATAACTAAATTTTATAGTGAAAATTTTATAAATACAATTTCTGTTGAAAGTAAATACAATTAATAAGAAAAAAGAGCATATTTTATAAGTTCATTTTACTAAAAACAGAAAGTATACGGAAAACTTTTTCGGAAAATTATTCAGAAGTAAAACATACAAATATAACTCTTGCATTTACCTAGGAATAAATAATCCACAATTACCGATATAATTTTCTTGTTGTATGTATACAAGATATACAAGAATATCTCTTTTTGTATATTTGCAACATTAAAATATATTTGATCTTTGTACGAATTTCGCTGTTTTCTTTCTTTTCGCACAAATAAAACTTCAATCTTCAAACCTACTAATGCCTACCACATTACGTTTGTAATGTTATCCGAATGTTCCCCTCTTTTTTTATTTCATTCTTTTGTTTCTTTCATACCAACATAGCGGATGCACTCGAATGATATTTCTGAACGGTCGCAGTTCAATTCAATTCAATTCAATAGATGGCTCTGGGTGTGTAAGCCACTGCTCCGACGCCACTCTCTGACGGTCGCAGTTCTACCAGAGAGAAGCCTATAGGCTCGTCTACAATAGCTGTAAGAGTAAGGCTGTAAGGCTGTAACGTAAGCTGTCAGCGAATGAAAATATTTCATTTCGTGCCTTGCAACCTTACAGCCTTACTCTTACAGCTAATGTAGATGAGCCTTGAGAGCGGGCATGGCTGCATTTACAGCGTTATGGAAAAGTTGGCTGATTCGAAGCGCCAACTAGGTCCATTTTTCATGGGCATGAACTACTAAGCCAAGTCCACGATTTGTTGGTACTATTCCGTGCTATGTCCATAATTATTTGGTTTTGTTCTGTGCTATGTTCACGAGCGAGCTAGATTAGTTAGATAAAAACGAAGAATCGGTCTTTGTCTCACCACCAGCGAATCACTTCGACAATCGCGACGAAGCGAGCCAGCAGCGATGTTATCGTAAGGCAGACGTCGCCGTCCCCCCTTTCATCCCCTTGTTTTCCTTTCCCACATTGTTTTATATTCATAATTCGGGAAGAAAATAATTTCGAGAGTTCGGATGATTTCTAGCAATGACGCGACAGAGATAACGCGCGGCCACATTAATTTGTCATGACTTTTATAATTACATAAACGCCCATATATGCAAATTATAGATAATTATTGCGCGTATGTTTTAATATTGTACAATATGGTATATAATAACAACAACTTCATTTCTTGCAGCAATTTTTTTAAGATCTTCGTTGAGGTCGTGAATTAATTTTTTTCTTCATCAATCAGTTTTCTGCAAAAATTACGATTTTTTAAATAAAATATAAAATGTTTCTCTTCTCTTCTCTCCGAAGAGTTAATTAAAAAATATGTACTCCATAGAGTCAACTAAAAAATGTGTAGTTAAAAGAGTCAATTTAAAGTCAATTTAACATATTAAATTTAATATATTAAATTGACTTTAATATATTAAATATATTAAATATATTAAATAATTTAATATATTAATTTAATATATTAAATTGACTTTAAATTGACTCTTTTAACTGCACATTTTTTAGTTGACTCTGTGGAGTACATATTTTTTAATTAACTCTTCGGAGAGAAGAGAAGAGAAACATTTTATATTTCATTTAAAAAATCGTAATTTTTGCAGAAAACTGATTGATGAAGAAAAAAATTAATTCACGACCTCAACGAAGATCTTAAAAAAATTGCTGCAAGAAATGAAGTTGTTGTTATTATATACCATATTGTACAATATTAAAACATACGCGCAATAATTATCTATAATTTGCATATATGGGCGTTTATGTAATTATAAAAGTCATGACAAATTAATGTGGCCGCGCGTTATCTCTGTCGCGTCATTGCTAGAAATCATCCGAACTCTCGAAATTATTTTCTTCCCGAATTATGAATATAAAACAATGTGGGAAAGGAAAACAAGGGGATGAAAGGGGGGGACGGCGACGTCTGCCTTACGATAACATCGCTGCTGGCTCGCTTCGTCGCGATTGTCGAAGTGATTCGCTGGTGGTGAGACAAAGACCGATTCTTCGTTTTTATCTAACTAATCTAGCTCGCTCGTGAACATAGCACAGAACAAAACCAAATAATTATGGACATAGCACGGAATAGTACCAACAAATCGTGGACTTGGCTTAGTAGTTCATGCCCATGAAAAATGGACCTAGTTGGCGCTTCGAATCAGCCAACTTTTCCATAACGCTGTAAATGCAGCCATGCCCGCTCTCAGGCTTCTCTCTGGTTCTACACGTCGTCAGGGCTGCGTTCCGAAATTCACTGCCAATATTGAAAATACGTAGTTTATGTCACGTATACTATAGAATTTCAGTGCTGATAGTGAATATCGGAACGCAGCCCAGGGCCTCAATTCTGTACACGCTTACCGACAACTATCGATGTCGTTAACTGTATTGCGCAGCTTTTGTATATCGTAGAAAACCTGCGCAACCCGTTAACGATATCGATAGTTGTCGATAAGCGTGTACAGAATTGAGGCCCAGTGGTGCGATTCTGTAACTCGTTATTGGAGTTAACGACAGTTTCGTTATTGTTGCGCAGCTTTTCTACGGTATACAAAAGCTGCGCAACGATAACGAAAGTGTCGTTAACTCCAATAACGAGTTACAGAATCGCGGTACAGGGGGATTCACACTCTGGCAGGAAAACAGAAAGCAGGAAGATAGCATCCAATCAGAACTCGCACTCAAAAGAGAGACAAAACTATCAGCGCAACTCCTGATTGGATGTTGCATTTCTACTTTCTGCTTTTATATTTGATTGGCATATTTTTTAGATTTTTAAATATACACAAATATCAGTTACAAGATATCACTGAATATTTGGAATAAATGCAATAAGTTAAAATGAAAGTATATTCGTTTCATTCTAAATGTCTTTCTTTTCAACTAAATTATGTTCGTTTCCTACCAACCTTGGTTAACTTAACCGGCTGATTATTCCAACGGAATTGACTAATCGCATCTGTCGTTAGTCAGAATTGGCAAATGTGATTAACCGATGTTAATTTAACTGGACAATCATGGTTAAATTAACCACAGTTGGTAAAAACGTTATTAATGTTGCACTGAATTTTGTTCATTTTTCTTCAAGTTTATATACTTATATTATATATAAGTTATATATATTTATATATATTTATTATATATATTTATATACTTATCTTACTCTAAACGGCAATTTTTTTATATTGCATCTATAACAGTCGGGATTATAGGATTGTTTCATCGATAAGATAACAATATCAATGAAATGTTTCGTATAGTCGCTTGTAATTATCAATCAATTTACAATGTCCAAGAAAATGCAATTTACATTTTATACAAGCAATAAATTATATTAAAGTAATCATTACAACTATTATTAGTTCTGCTGATTATGCTACATATAAGTTTATAAGCTAAAAAAGATTTCAGGATTTATGTATAAAAGAATTTTACACATATACAGGATACTTCATTTTATCCAATATACTTGAATATTTCTTGAATTGAGTGGAATGTCTCCTCGAAAACATACAACTTCGAAAAAGTGGAAATTCAGTATTTTATTGATTAAGATCGGATATACCCTATGTATTCATAATATATATTATATTATGAATACATATTTTATAATAAAATAAAATATATAAAGAGTACCTCATACATATTCACCTTTTAATGATCTTATTTGAATATTTTTATACGTAACACATGACTAGAATATATTTAAAAAGAAAAAAAAATAATCGTATAGTTTTATATAAAGATGCAAGTTGTATCACTAAAACCGAAAATTGTTTCCATATATAAAAACAAAATTAGTTTCTCAAGTCACATTGTTTATATAGTTTTCACTCAGTCATATACATATTAAATAGTAAATATACTTTAATATCAATAAATAGTAAATAAATGTAAAGCATATAACAAATGGTATGTACAATTTTTATTCGGTTCAGTAAGTACTACGTGCTCTTTAGATCCTGAAATCTTTCTCTTAAACATTTTTTTATATATCAGCAAACACTTGAACGAGTAGTGTTTTATCCAGCGTGTACTAAAAGAAGGGTTGACAGTATTAAGCTTGAAATTTGCGACGTATTATAATTTTAACATATTTACAGTCTTTAGAATTGTCAAATCACGAAGCAATTTATACCAGGCCTATCCAAATTCGTTGAGATCCTTCGTAATCGCTTTCTTTTTGGCAATTACTTATGCCGATGCAACTTCTACTTATTCACGTTGTGCTATCTCATCCAAATATACATTCCTGCATACAGCAATAATGATCTGTGAGTTTAACACTTATGAGTCTCGTTTATCTTTCTTCTTTTTCTAAGAAGGAACATTTATTTCATAAATTAAAATTTAATGAAGAGCGGACCTGGCACTAAGCGAAATTTTGACTACCTCACGTGTGAATAAAGAAGGCTTCACATTCAACATGATGGATATAATGCATATAGTAAATAAAAAAAGTACTTGCACGTCTCATAAATTTTTTAAAAATAATACATAAAAAGAGAAATATATTGCTGCAAAGTTTCTATCAGAAGATGTAACGATCTTGTATGAATATATTAAACAAGAGGACATTGTAGCAACATTTTTTCTATTTTATGTGCAAATACATTTCTTATTCACTATACGTATAGCTGTACACAATCTAGTCTTAGATCAAAACTTTGTAAGAGTGTACAGCTTAATTATTATTTTCGGTTTGACATAAAGACGACAAAACGTCTTCATAATGTTGCATATTCGTTTCGAACGTTTCCAATTGCTTAGTAAGGTCTCCCACTTGTTCCGCCAATGTTCTTTCTTCCATGAAGGCTTGCAATTGCGGGGCACTTTGACATTCCCGATAGAATGCTCCTAAGTCGCTATTAGTATTTGTGACAGCGAACGGAGTTTTCTGCAACAACAACATTCAAAATTTGTTCCTTGCACAGACTCAGTGTTAAATTTGCCCAATCGAAAAAGACCGAAGTCTGTGTGATCGTATGCATAACAATTATTGTATAGTTTTAAGTTGCGCAAAAAGATGCAAAATTTAAATATCGATCAATAAATCAACTATATATTTTTGAACTGCAAACTTTTTAACTGAGATTGGTGAAACATTGTTTTACAATTATTTTAATGTTCAATGTATTTGTGACCGAACAGATATTGGTAATTGTATAGAACAATGTTGCACACACATTCCGCGGATTTCTTTAATTTTAATATACGTTATAAAGAATAGAAAATTCTGAGTAATCTTTATAACTATATTAGAAAAGAAATATTAAGATATATAACCTTTTTTCATATAATTATCCAGTTTCTAGATTAAGAGCTCGTTAAGAAAAAGAAATTTTCTGTTACTAAAGCCAAAACTTAGAAAAAAATATATATATACATAATTTTACTCTCATTTTTAATCTTATTATATTTAATTGCAAAACACATTATAGGCTTTAATTATTTTGTTAAGAAAGATCGAGCAAATTTCACACTACAGCGCATGACAGATCGTCGTGATAATTGTCGTGTTCGGATTAGGAGCATCAATTACCAAATCTACCATAATAAAATCATCGTTGGCACTAGTCATTGAGCAACTACTTCTTCTAGATCCATTTTGAGAGGCGCATTTCGAAGTCGTATTATCGTTAATGAGTTTTTCATTATTTCCGTTATTGCTATCAGTTGCGGCAGCTGCCGTTGCAGTCTTTGTATTTGCTGGATCTACTAATGATACTGGAGGAGGCGACGTTTGCCTGGGTGTCAATAGGGAACTGAACGGTACGTCCGGTATCACAAGATCCTCTTCGTTAACAATGACAGGCTTGTTTACTACAAAGGCGCCAACTTTGATGGTATCACTGAGAGATTTCGATATCTCCTCGCTAGAAAGCATGATATTTAAAGCACATTATTAAACTGCATATACTGAATAAATATTGAATAAATATTGAATAAATCATCTAATTAATCTGATAATTTAGAGTTACTTCTATGCTTTGTTCTTACCTTTGCTGATACCTCGCGTGACGTGGACTTAAATCTGAATGAAAATGATCGCTCTTAAGCATGATAGAATCTCGTCCTGTGTGAGTGGGTGATATGGTCATCTTAGTTCTATAAGAAACTGACAAATGTATTGTACCCACTGGGGTACACAATTGACCCACTCTTACATGTTTATAGTTATCGCCTGTTAAAAAATTAATTATAAGCAAAGTTTTTCCTATGTATATGTGAGGAAACAAAATTTCAGTTTCAATAAATTATATGGAATGAGAATGTACTTTTGACTTCCTTATTGATTTAAATAACAAACAATACCCAAGACGTGTAGCTGAGGTTCTCCCATGTATATTTTATAACACATAGTGTAAGAATCTGGACCTTGCCGCCTGCTCAGTTTATAAGCAGGAGTAACTCTCGAAACAGAAAGTAAGGATTTCAATAAAATTCCCATTCTATTGTATACGGTATACGTAACTCGTACAGTCGGATCACTTTGTTCTGGCAAAACACCGAGACTCCATGTTTCTAGAACCATTGTGTCACCTTCCACCGTTTTTAGAGAGATTTCTATACATAGTGGTACAGTGGAGCTCACTATTTCTCCACAAAGCGCTCTCTTAGCATCAGCCAAGACTTCTGGTAGCTCTTTTATCGCCAGATTAAACTACAAAATCAGATATAAAGATTTAAATATTTTAAAAACCAAAAAGATAGAAATATGACTATCGATTATGAACTATTTTATTTTGTTGAATTTCAATATTTTGATGAACAGAGTTCCTTCAAGAAATTATTTTTGCAAATTGCAATAGAAGAATACAATATTCATGTAAGATTAATATTATAAAAGCAATTTTATTATATAATTGTTATATTTATCCTGGTCTTTAAAAATATTTACTGATGAATGAGTCGGAGATGTTTTTAACATAAGAATATTAAATATAACAGACAGAAAAGAAATAGTTTTCCAATTATATTAGTAATTATTATAGACATTTTTTTAAACATAATTTCATCATTGATATTTTGTCAGAATATATTTAAACAAATTCAGATTCTAATAAAATTACTTTCTATCTAGATTTATTTTGCAACTACTGAGATTCTATTCATAACTCAAGATATTGAATTAACTCTACTATGCATTACTTACTTTCTATACATATCTAAATTTATTATATTAAATGTACAAGATTTGAAGAAATACTTAATAATAGATCATAAATATATTCAAAAACATTGATATTAAATGTTTGATGTTTACGAAAGTAATGCTAAGAAAGAAGTTTAAGAAAGTAGTATTATGCTTTGATCTTCGAGATACTTTTGTAAGGATAACTTTTGTAACATTTTTAAGATTTATTTTTGTAAAGGAGACAATATGTTAGTATTATACTAAATGAAACGCCTATTGAAACAGCATAATCTACAATGCATCGTTGTGAAATAACACAAAACAAAGTCTCTTTAAGCAAGTAACAGAGTTAAACTAAATAAATCATCAAAATCTGAATAAAATTTATTTTTACCCAATCACCGGCCGAGGAGTCCGGTTTGCACATAGTGTTGACCTTCTGACCCGACCTCGACTGCACTATGATCTGGGCAGCCCTCAGCGCCAAGTATTTCGTGAACTTGTCCAGATCCTTTCTGTCCTGCATGCTTAATTGCAATGTCGACATTGTACATAATTGTAATACAACGAACTTCATAGGCGCTCTCGGGAGCGTACACGTGGACGAAGAACATGTTGTAACATCATAACGGAGAAGCAACGCGTTTTCGGCTTACGATTACACAGCATGCAAGTGCACGTTCGTACGATCCTGCAAGTTCTTTATTTTATGTATGTATGCCGCGTATCAATGTTGTACTTTGAACTCCTTGTGTTGTATCTCGAACTTCTTTTTCACTTTCTTTCACGAATATCTGTCGGCTGATGACCGTGAATCCTCCGGAGATTTCGTATAACCACCAAAGCACTGCGAAGAACTGCGAATCGATCACCGGAGTAGTAATAAGCGATAATGACGCGATAGAACGCGTATTAAGTAATCGAAGATCGATGCAATATGTGGAAATACCGACGACGACGTTTCAACTTTTTTACCTCTGCGACAAGTCACAGATCGATCGGAAGTAAAATGTTGTCGAGCGTCACGTCGCTCTTGTTATGATATGAAGGTAATGGAAGATTCATGGGGTCTGTTCTTTTTAGCTACACTGCTGAACTTGTGTAATAAATTAGAGTGAGAAAAAATAGAGTAGTCTCACTCTAACTTATTGCAAGTTCAGCAGTGCAGCTAAAAGGAACAGACCATCAGTTCCTCCACGTCCATATCAGGTATAGTAGGTCTTAAGGAACCAATCACAGACGATGGTGAGGAGAATATTTGATTATGATTGGTTAATTCCTTACGGCTTAAGGTTCTCACGTCCAATAACGTACCATGAGAATTGACCAATCATGTGAAGCATTTTCGCAAGGTTGCCATCTTCAAAAACATTCGATTTTAATAAGATCCCATGGCATGTATTTTTTATTCGCATCAAGTTGGTCGGAATATTATGACTTTTTAAGAAATTATCCTATACAATCGTTTGTGTTTTATTTGTAAAAGATTGCAGCGCGTTTAAAAATTATTTAATTATTTTTAGACCATGAAGTTAGCCGAAAAGTTGTACAGCATAAATCCTTGAATAAAAATCTAGTTAATTGTGAAGGAAGGAGGCAATTTCGTCAATTTTGCTGGAATTTTGCTGGAACTTAACAATATTGTATCTTTTGATCTTTAAAACGCGAATATGAAAGGAAAAAGATAGTCTCGCGATGAAGTAAAAAAAAGTTATAAAGTGCTATAAAATGAAATTCTTCACTTCGCGGGGATTGTTTTATTGCCTAAGAAGTTTCCTCTCAGATGCATTTAAGACTACCTTAAATATAGCCAATGTTGTACTTTGTTTCTTTTTTTAACATTAGATTATATATTTATTTCATTCCGAAAAGGCAAAAAGTGTAACTTAATTAGTTAACAAAAACAGGCATATTCAGTGAAAAACAAAGATAGATCATGCCGACAAGTTACTAGATGGAAAATCTCGAAAACATCCTTTTGTGTACGGTCGGGAATTGAAATCCCATTGGCTTATTTCAAAGCGAAAATGGAATTCTCGAAAGCAGATTAGATATCGAATTATCGATATCGCGTTTGCGCAATCGCTGAGTCATTTTACTCGCTCAGAATCGATTGCGGAATCGATACTTTCGACTCTCAAGGCCGCGGAGTCGACTTCTTCGCGGCTTTCTCTTAGCATAGATTCGCACGTGATATTTGCCGGATTTTCCTTATTATCTTATTTAGAACCGAGGAGGAACAAAGATAGAAGGGAGGAGGACGTAAAGAAATGATGCGCAATTAACAATTAGGAAAAACAATTTCCGTATGAAAATAGACTCGAAGGTAAAACGATAATGGAAAGGACGTGAGCCGAAGTTCATTCCCAGTTGAGTCGTGAATTAATGGACGCTTTATGTTGCGAGCTATGTCGGTTCGGAAAATTAGCGAGGGAATTAAGGTGAGAAAGGTTGTCCGGATAAGGGATTTATCCGTGCTTCATTGTATCCGTATCTATATCTGTATCAATAATAATCTGATAATGCGCTACGTGACTATGAATGGCACGAAGAAGATACAGATCTCTCCAAGTTTAACTTTTTATTCGTACTCTTCGATTCATATCATACTAATCATATCATACTAATTCAATATCTCTTCAAGTAGCCAGAAACTTCCAAAAAGCTTCTTAAATTCATCTTAAACATTCTGACTACAATTGGAGTCATAAAGATTATAAATTAGATTATTAATTATAAATCATATTGCATTTATCTAAAATTTTAATAGGAAATAACTGGAGATCTCTTTTGTTTTTTCATATGAGACTACATAATTTTTTAATGCAAATCAAATCTATGTCTCTTGGGAAAAAACCGTTAAATATGTTTGAAATATGGTCATTTATATGGATCAAATTAGATTTAAATAAAAACCAAATATTAAATTCAAAAGTAATTTAATTCAAACATGTTCTTTATATACATCATAATTAAATTTGAATATGATCCTGCTATTAGATTAACTTTGTCCACACGTATATATAGATCATATTGATATTTAATATACATTTAACCAATACTGAGTCCAAATTTAATTTTATATTTAACAAATAAGATTTTAATTATTTAACTTTAATTAATAGTTTTCAATTAACTTGATTTTCATCTGAGTTTAACTTGGTCCATGCAGAGGACAAATATAATATCCTGTTTAAAACATGTTTGATCTTTTTCGCAGACTATAGAAGTATAAAAATGAAACGATAAAACTGTTAATGTAATTTTATACAAAAATACGAAAAGTAGAACTTTTCAAAGATGTTCCAGAAAATATTTATATTCTGATTTGATATTTTTATTTAATGCTCGGAAATTGATTACTTTTATGAATTGACGTTTATAGATTTTGTAGTTTGACGGAAATAATTGGCTTTACATTTGGATATTTACTTTCGCAAATCAAAGTCGCGATGTGCGAGTGCTTATCATTCCGGAAATATCGTCGGTCTTCGCGAAACCTGCACATGTTACTTATACCGTCGACGCGAGTGATCTTCTCTCTGTCTGCCGCGTGACTCTCTCGAAACATGACCGATTCGTCAATACGGTATTCACTCGCGGATGTCGCCAAGTGCAACGGCAAGAATGGAGCGAGAACCTGGATCGTAATCTATGATTGCGTTTACGATGTGACGGATTATATGCATCAGGTATGTTTTCGTTAGTGTATCTCGAAATTATCGAGCGATTGGTGTCAACGATGATATAATAATATGCGGCAATAATTCTGGCGCGTATCTACCTGGATCGCGACGTGACTCTTCGTTTGTACGTGCGTGGCACGTAAGTTTCATTTTGTAAATTTGTCGAACACATGGAGAGAATATTATAGCTTTTCTCTTCACGTAAACATTTTTCAATTCCATCGTGTTTTTTAGTAGCACAGAGATAAATTGTTAGTAAAGCTCGTCTTGCTGAAGAAAAATTTAGTCTATATATAAAGAATTATTATTAAAAAGTTTACTATATTTTTCAGTGGCGTATTTAATAAATTTCATTAATTAAGTTAATTAATTTGATTAAGTTAATTTATTTTATTTGTTAATTATAACTAAAATTAATTATGATTTCCTAATTATTTAGTAAATAATTTAATTTAGTAAATTTTTTAAATAGCAGATTTCAGTTTCTAAAATATAAACTAGAGCAGAGCGGAATGTCGATATGATCCTCATTTATAAAATTCTAATTTTTTCTATAAAATTCTTTTCGTATATTAAACACGCAATATTAAACACGATGCAATAGGGAGAAATGTGATTCTTTGTGCGGTTTTCCATATAGAACAGAAAATCACAATGACATACGTTCGACAATAACGTTATTTTCTTGAATTGCAGGATATAATATGATGAATTTAACATAGAAATTCTAACAGAATTGTATAAATTATAGCATCCCGGTGGTGCGGATTTGCTTGAGGAGTACGCTGGGAGAGATGCAACGAGGGGATTCGACGATTTCGGTCACTCCACAGACGCGAAGAAAATAATGAAAGAATATCTAATTGGCGAACTTGAGGATGTAAGCATACGAATTTGTTATTATTTAAGAGCATATAAACAAGATTTAACATTTTCGGGAATTACAGAGAGAATAATGTAACTTATCTCATACATATATATATTTCAATTTCATTTTAATCTGTTTTGATTTCTTTTATTTATAGTCAATTTTTTATAACAAACATCATCTTCTTAAAACATGAATTTTTTTATATTATAAATTTTTATATTATAAATAAATTAATAAATTAATAAATTAATAAATTATAAATAAATAAATTTTTTATATTATAAATTTTCCTTAATTTCTTTTTAACTTTTTTTATTTATAGTAAAATTTTTAATAATCATTTCATCGTCTCTCATTAAATACCATCATATTTCTCTTGTTAAAACTTAAAAATAGAAATACACTAGGATAATAAATTAATGCAAAAGGTGTTGATATGTTCCTCGGTTACAAAATTTCATAGGAATTTTTATTATAAAATTATGTATAGTCCTCTTCATGTATAATCGATTTTATAAACAAAAATTTCTACGCATCTTGCAAGTGAGAACCTTTCGCGTGAAGTTTATTTGGCGAAACATTGTTGGATAAATGATCGTGTGTATTGCAGGAAGACAAACGGGCCAACCGGAAGAAGAAACAAATTTCTAATGGAGTGAAAGCGGAAAAGTCGGACAGGTGGAGGCGAAGGTGAATTTTTCGACTCTTAGTACACGTGTATTAATTCATATTATTTAATTTATTACGATCAAAAATCTCTTTTCTTGTCAACATTAACATTGATTAAAAGAGCGAACGTTTCTAATTATTATATTAGATCAATTCCGCAGCTGTCATTCAACTGACACTTTTTGTTTCAGAGGCTTCTTGGCGGTTCTCTGCGGCAATTGTACATCTTGAAGGACCTTCATCGACGATCGTCGCGATTGTTTTTAGACTAGTTATAAATATAATTTTATTTATTGCGTCACGTTTATCACTTCGTACATTCGTTGTATTTATATAACGCACCGCATGTGATGACGTATACGCGGTACCGATAAGAATTGTCGAAATTGAAAGTAAGTGCTCGCTTATCACTAATGTAAGTGTGTGATACGCACGGGAATCCTCAGCGCAAACGAGGAAAGCTTGTTACGCCCGCGTCTGAGTCATGTCTCATCTGCTTATCACACTTTTAAATACTGACGAAAGAGACGAGTGATCCTCACGTTTCAATGAAACTTCCATTTCGCAAGCGAGGTTCTGTGAATGTCAGCAGTTCCAGTTTTTCCTTTAACCTTCTGAATACTATGTACGTATGCACACACACGTTCGGCAAACGTTATCGGTGTGTGGACTGTTGACGCATATATAAGTTCGACGAATTCTTTCGGTTTATATTTTCAATAGAAATAATAATTGCATCGACTGTCGCGATAAGCACTTGTATTCACGCTCTTTTACATATTTTAGATATACAATGACCGAGATAAAATTTCGTTTATCTCGGTCGTTTGATTTTAATTTTTCAAGAAGTTCCCGGGAAAGATGTGTGTGTGTGTATGTGACTCTGTATAATCATACAAACTGTATATGATTATATATAAATTACATATTATATTATAGATTCCTATGTGACATACTCATATGTGAATTTTGTCTCTATATGGCTACACATATATAAGATTATGAATAATTATATGAAAAATACGTAATAGAATAAAATAATGTTGAATGAAAGAAGGAGAAAATAATTCCTTAATCGAACATCAATTAAAGTTAATATTATCAACTAACTTAATATAACTTAAACATCAATATTATGAGCTGCCACAAACTTTAACATTTGGTACAATCATTCAGTTCAATTGTATTTTTGTACAATATTTTTATCGCTGTGAATATATGTATATATCTGTTTATATTTACATAAAAACCAAACTTATATAACCAATACTTATATAACCAATCATTTTTTCCCGGGTCATTTCTTCCAGCGATTGGTTTGTAACAGTTAAAAGTATTTTATTTTAAACTTCAACTAAATTTTATTTTATATTTATTTTTAACTTCAAAGTGCTCAAAAGATTAACGAGTCTCAACTTGCATCTCTTGCAATTTAGATTTCGAGTGAACATATAATAGTAATATGGATTGAAGCTTTTTGAATTAGCAGCAAATCACAATGCGTTTGCAAACAATCGGCGCGATGAAAATCGCGTTTACGCGCGTAAAAAGAAGAAGGAACAATTCGTGTGGAAGGTGGCAGTGTGCTTGAAATACCAATTTGAACGATGCGATATGCGCGAAGCAGATAACGTATTCCGTGCGCTACGATATCGGTTATCGGCCGTCGTGTGAAATACTTGGAAATGCACAACGTGCTGTGTAAAGGGGAAGTCCACCTAACTATACGTGCCGAAGCATAAATTACGCCGTGGATCTCGTAGACTGTCGTAAAATATTTCTTTTATTGTTCGAGCGTCTTGTTGCGAAACGAGGATTTTCCTAGTCCCAACGAAGATCTTCTCGATTCGACGATTGACGATTGATGACCGATACGTACGTTCTGTAATTACTCCAATAAATATTTCTGAGAAACGATTTGTGGGAACAACGCGAGACACGCATTTAACACTTTTCGTGTCGGATTAATCTTAAATAAGTCGGGTAGTTGATTCATATTGTCGTATTATGAGCCACATTTTATTCATTAGAAATATGTCTGAAAACGAATATTGGCCTATTTCATGCTTGTGTTTCATCTCAGAGCCGAATCAAACGGTCCGAACGGAAAGTTTGACATCGGTGGTCCACGTTGTCATATTACGAACTACATTTTACTCGTAATTAATATTTAAATAATATGTATCTCATAATAGGATTATAGGAATATTTCATGATTATGTTTCGTCCTGGAACCAAATCGTAAACAGTTTGAACGGATAGTTTTCAGTCGGGCAGCTGTATCATGAGTCACATTTTATTTGTCAAACAACACGTTTTTCATAATGATTATAGGAATATTCATTTCATACTTAGTTATGATTTAGTCTCAGAGGCAAATTAAACTTGGCTTGGACGGAAAGTCCGCGCGGGTGATTCCCCGCAACGGAAAGTTCAGCGAGGATCATTGATGATTTGCGTTATCATGTTATACACGTATAAGTCGGGTATCGTCCGTTAAATAACATGTGTCTCATAATTGCAAAAGAATTTCGTTACTATATTTTGTCTCAGAGCTGAATCAAACGGCTTGAACAAAAAATTCAGCGTGAATCACCGATGACCCACACTGGATCATGAGCCGTGTCTCATAATGATTATAAGAATATTTTATAATTATGTTTAGTCCCAGGAACTAATCAAATGATCTGGACGGAAAGTTTGGCGAGGACCATTGGAGGACTCACGTTATCATATTATGAGCCACATTTTATTCTTCAGATAACACATGTCTCGTAATGATTATAAGAGAATTCCATCATTATGTTTCGTCTCAGAGGCAAATTAAACGGTTTGAACAGAAAGATTAGCATAGACCACTGATGACTCACGTGGAACACATCAAGCCGAATGCTCAGGTCTAAATCCATCCTCCCATTATCTGACCGGTCGCCTTTGACTTCCCGCGCAATTTTGTAGTCGATGCAACCACCGATTCGCTTTCCTTCGCGTCAGATTCGATGCGTTTTCCTGCCTTGTCTCCCTCCTTCATTGCCGAAGCCTCCCCTTTGTCATCTTTGTCGTCTTTCTTTTCCGATCGTTCGCTCTTACCTTCATCCTTCGGCTTTTCTTCCTTCGGCTTTTCTTCCTTCGGTTCTTCTTCCTTCGGCTTTTCTTCTTTCGGCTCTTCTTCCTTCGGCTTTTCTTCCTTCGGTTTTTCTTCCTTCGACTTTTGTTCCTTCGGCTTTTCTTCTTTTGGCTTTTCTTCTTTCGGTTTTTCTTCTTTCAGCTTCTTCGTCCCGCTGCTTTCTCCACTGTCCTTTTGCTGCTTCTGCGTGCTTTCCTTCTTGCTCGCGTCCGTCTCGTCGTCTTTCTTCTTTTGACTAGTTTCCGCTAATGTTGATTTAGACTGCTTGCTGACATCCTCTTCTACGGGGTCCTCGGGTATAGGTGAGGGAGCTCTGGGTTTGGGCGTTCGGATATCGAGCGTCTTCTCCACGGACTTGTCCGTGCTGCCGCTGCTTGCGGATTTCAATAAACCTTTCTTCAGTGTTTCGAGTACAGGTCGTGGCAGCGGATCCGTGGCGGTTTCTGAGATTACAACTTTAGTAGTTCTTTTGAAAGCCTCGTCCGTATCTCCGGTTTCCGATGATTCTATATACAAATCATCAAATTTAACACATTGCAACGTCAGCCATATTTGAGTAATGCGTGGGTTTTTACAGGAGTTTCGTCACTCGTTTTCTTATTTAAAATGTCTTTGAACTTTTAAACAAGTATGAAAAGAGCATTTATATTTGAAAGATAAAAGCATGTTCTAGAGAGATGTGTGCACTATAGAAAAAAATATTCATTTTTGAGACACTCTGATTCCTGTAAAATCGAAAATAAGAAATAAATATCTTGTCACTAAACCATGTCGATTTAATGACTTTACAAAATTTCTTGCATTGCATGTTTCTTTTAAATACATATTCTAAATACACATTCTAAATATCGGTTTAAAATATGTTATATGTTATATTTTTTTATTTTTTTTCAATAGCTTTATCAGTAGCTTTTTTTTAATTGTGGGACTTGTGAGTTTGTTGTACATGTTATTCTACATGTTAGAAAGCTCTGCGAGGATTTACATATTAATCAAAATCTCACCGCATAAACATTAAAGTTTCAACAATATTTTTCTCTTAGTAATATAAATTTACGCATACAATATTAAAAAAGAGTCGAATAAAAGACGCCAATGAAAAATTCAATAAAAGACTCGATAAAGAAAGCACTGACGAAATAATGTTGAAGACTCTCAGGCTTGAATAAATTTTCGAAGCCACTAAAAGATTTCGAGGAGCTTAATAGATAATCGATCAAGAGATGATATTATCGACCATTTTTAGTTATCCAATATCTCAACATGCTCAGTACATGATAAAGTATTAATCCATTATTATTATCTTGATGTGACTGTTTTATATATATATATATATATATATATATATATATATATATATATGTATGTGTGTATATGTAAAGATCTACTAAAGATCTAATAAAGTATATTGGATGTTTCTATAAAACTGCATTCATGCAGTTGTTATCTACGCTGATTTGACATGAAATTTATCCAGATAAGAGAGAAAATCGCAATTACGTCAAAATGATGTCGAAATAACATATGATAAAACGAAGATAATTGAATAATGAACAAAAGATAAGTTTTTATAGTCGTTTGGTTCTCAATTTTAATGTTATTATGATTTTCTGTTTTACCTAGGTATCGATAGGAAGTTATATCAAACAGTAAAATCTTCCATGTACCTCGATAAAAAATAATTATATATAATTACATGTAATAACATGTACATAATAACATGTAAATTTCGTCTCCAGATATCCATATATAAATATACGTAATTGTATATCTTCACATTGAAAAAATGCTATTGTACAAACATAATTAAACATAATTAAAATATCTGGTGAGTGCAAAAGTTTCGAAGAATTTCTCAAGGACTGATCCTGTTTTATGACTTAAATCCAGGACTTAGAAATATGTAGAAATATAATATACCGTTCGATAATAGGAAACAATGGCGATTACTCGGTAGAATGTATAAATCGATTTTAGTAGAATTGTTTAGTCAATACATTTCTTTATCACGTAATCATCAAACCATCAAAATTTTTGCAATCGCCCAATAACCGCTTACGTTTATGATATCCAATGGAAAATAGGCGTATAATTGACAAAAAAACTTCTTTCCTTCATTTGACAATATCTTCTTTTTCAGTGCGGACATATATATAGATTTTATATATAGATATAAAATCTTCGATCGTTGATCGGGATGCGAAGTTTCACAAAACCGGCAAAGTCTATTCTTATTTCGTGATCGGTCGAGGTATGAACTCACCCTCTTGCTCTTCATCCACCTTGCCCTTACTCATCATGAACTTGGCGTAAGCGATCCTGGTAGCTGGCGTAACCTCCGAGAGGTTCGGATTATAATCCACCAGCCGATTCGGGTCCATGGACGCCAGGTCAGAGTTCGGCTGGTATCGTAAATGACGACGTAGACTGCGCCTGGACTGACGTTGCGCTGCCTCGTTCGTGCTGCCGATTGGATCCATCGTGATGGTGCTCTGTCGCACCACAGCGTTCCAGTCCTTCCTGCCGGCGGCGCTTCCTTTACGCGCGATTGCCCGCGCGATCTGACTGAAAACGTCCTTCGGCTCCTTTTCGCTCTGGATGACCGCGTGTACGATGCCCTCCACTATGCCGATCTGGAAGTCCTTCTGCAGACGGCGCTCCATCACCTTGCCCTTTTTGCCTGGTACTGGTGCGAAGAACACGATTAGTTATGACTATGCTTTCGTTAACACGTTCGTTATCACGCACTATATATGCGTGCACGGAGGAAAACTCGTGCAACTGAATTCCTGTTCTCTGGGGACCAAGAAAAAAACTGGAAAATGACCTCTGTTATTGCGGTCAAGGATATTCGTCCGCATTGAAACTCGATTGAGATAAGCAAGAGCAAAAGAAGAATTGACGAAAGAAACTGAGAAAGGAAAGCGAAAAACACAGAAACGTCCTACAGAAATCTCTTCCTCTCCCTACAAACAACTCAGATAATACAAACTTGCAAAAGGCATCCTATTATATATTATAATGGTAAACGTATTAAATTTGATTCTTTGATTGTAATTTGATTATTTAATTGTATACTGACTATTCGTTTCCTGTTTGTCGAGCGCCGGCGTGTGCATTCCATTTTTCTTGAGAATATCGATGAGATCGTAACGGAAGGACGAAATATCCTGGCGAATTTCCCTGACATCGTCCTCGGTGATACCGAACTCGTCTCGTTTTTTTTGCTCAGCTGTCACGTAACGACGTACAAGCAGACGCACGACGGTGTCGTGCCTGTTCATGGCCTTCTCTCGAGATTTTTTCTGGAAAAAGATCGTCAAGTGACATGACCGACGTACGACTGAAAAATTATCAAACAGCCTCAACACGTTCGCTACAAGGATCCATTTGGAAAACTCCAGCGAAGCCTATCCTGTGTGTCTTTAATGAAATGATTTTATCAACTGTATAAAAATTTTACTCTACGATACATTTACATAATAACACAATCGTGCATAAATTTGCATTTAATACGTAATAAAACTAAGTTTGTTTTACATAGCGAATAATAATTTTATTAATAACACCTAAGGATAATTATTCATTGATTATGTAAAACAGAGAGACTTGGTTTGTTCATATAGACTGAGAAAAAAAATTATTGCTGTCATACGTATGTGACTCTAATTTTTTATGAGAGACCAGCGCTTTGCAAATATGACACTGGCAACGAACATGTTAAATTGCTCGAGTTATAATTGTTAAATCTTCAACGAGAGGGACCACTAGATGTGGAACTTCATAAGTATACACGGAGAAAATGCTACAGTAAAAATTACATAAAAGTTGTGTCACTTTTTATAATATCTTTTGCAAAATTCGGACAATATCGATATTGTAGCATGTAGAATTATTATAGAAATGATAAATAATGAAAAATAAAAGAATAAGATGTTCAACGAGTCATTTCAATATTGTGTAATAAAATGTCAAACATGCACAATACTTTTGAACAAATGTGCAACAATTTCGATTACATTGCTGTAAGCTCCAAGATTATAGAAATGTTGTAATTTTGGCTATAACATTTCTTCCGTGCACAAAAATAATTTACGATGAAAGATGTTGTGGAGCGATTGTTGCCCCCGCATTTCAGCAGCTTCTGGAAAGTTTTGCTGGTCGGTATCATGTTAAACGGTGGCGGTACAGTGTCGCCGTCTTCGAAGTAGCTCATCCACAAGTGGCTTCTGGCGAATTTCCACTCTGTGTCTGATCGTTCCTGGAAATATAGATGATGTGTTAACACATTGATTTTCTGTGATGTAAAATAATTCATTCAAAATTCGAAAGATCCTCCTGTATAATACACCGCAAAAATCACATAAGAAATTAAATAATAATCCAAGCTTCCAGAATTTCGCCCCAACTGGAATGAACACCGGAAAGTAACGGCCAAGCCTGGCGGTTAAAATTGTCTTTGTTTCGCATTTTATTGTCTAAGAAAAAAATACAGTGTCTTGGGAAGAGATGTATGCTTCCGCATTAAATCTTTTTCTCAGATCGAGTTATATTTTTGTTGAACATTAATCGGTTGAAAAATTTTGATTGACTAAAAGAATTAAAATTAACATTGAATAAATCCAGATTACATATAATAATTGTTTAAATGGGCTATTTTAATTCGATTAATTATATACTAATTAATAATTAATTCCAACAGTCGCGACTATATGTATAATAAACGTATAATAAATTAGTTTTTATTACCGATTTTCTGCTGATTACTTTAGCCAAATAAGACTTTAACAGGATTAATACTTAATTGATGCTAGGTCACATCTAAGAACAATAGCTGTACTCATTCCAGGTAAGAGTTCGGTAGGTAGTAACAGACTCAGTTTGGCTTCCGGATTGGTGCTGCGTCCTTCGTGAATTAACCTAGTAGCCTAACGTTTCATAAATATTTCAGTTTACTTTTTCAGGGAGAGAAGAACAACCTGAAACTTAAGTCTAAAGTTTCGGGCTGTTTTCCTGCCCGAAGAGGTAAACTGAAATATTTACAAAACACCAGACATAAATCCACGAAAAATATGGTACAAATTCGAAGAAACCAAACTGGACACTTCTCTACGCAGCGAGGACTTTAAATACCAAGTAATAAAATCTTCATACGACATGTTTTCGAAAATTTGGGTCTACTTACCGAAATGATTTGGTAAGAGTTGGACATCATAGCGATCAGCATGTTCAGTAACACTATGACGTTTATCACAGAGTAAGAACCGAACATAAGGAGCGCCCAGAATCGCGTGAAACTCTTGATACCCGTCAGATCGAAGGACATTAAGTCGATCATGCCGAAACTCGCCCAGAAGAGAGACTGCGATGTCTCGAATAAACTGAAAGCACATCAATGAAATTTTAAAGTCTCTCACGTCGAAGATCTAAAATGATCCAGTTTACTTTTTCATTTGTGATATTTTCTCGCATTTCTAGATAATATTTATAATTCTGCTGTTTGGTATTATTTTTTAACCTTTTGTTTATACAGATAGTTAAGAAGATGACTTGTATCTGCAGAAATAACTATCTCCGGATTTTTAGTCCAGCAAAATCAGAATTTTTCTTTCTTGGCTCGTTGGAAACTCTTTACTTTTGCTTAACTGCTTAAATCTTAAAAGAACCAAAGAGAAAAATAAAACAAATCTTGAATCTTCAAAACAGTTTGCGATTCACCTAGAAACTTCACACACATGCGATGTCATTTTTAGCTATCAATATATCACTTGTTATTATTACGACTGCAGTCCTAAAGAAAACTGACTTGAAGTTGTCGCAAACAATTTATATTAAATATCTTCGTCCTTTTTCGCGGATATTGATTGAGAGTATCGTACTTGGCGAATCTCCTCCATATCGAGCAAGCTTTCTCCTGATTGTCGAAATCCGGCAACTCGTCGGATATGTGATAGCACTTCTTCTTCTCTAAATCCGCGTAATACCACATCAGCTGATTCATACCTGAAACAGAACGCAGGCTCAACGCGGGATACATCGTTCTATCTATCTATACTTTACAAGAAGTAGGGAAAAGTAGAAAAAAAATAAAAGTGCGAGCGAAATATCGAAGCTAAATAAATACGTGCGACGAGTTTCACGGACGCGAACAACGGAGTTCCGGAGATGAATAAGTAACCCAGAGAGACGGCGTTACTCACCGCAACCGAAGGCAAACAGCACGAGGGTGTAGATGAAGAAGAACTTGATAATGTCTATTATCATTCTCCCGAGGGAAATCTGGAGTGGCCCGAGATGAGGATTCACGCTGAATATGTGGACGAGCTTTAAAAAGCTGAAACACACCCACATGAATATTAATACATGCCGAATGCTCGTCGCCGAGACAAAAGTATCTTGCCTAAAAATGGAGAGCACAGTTCGTTAGATGGATAATCGAACGCCTAAACGCGTCAACGCTTCGAATAGCGCCTACGAATAGCTCCGACCGAAAGAATTTTTCTTCGCGTTTTCTGCCATTTCCTCGCAAATCATCGCGATTGCCGGACTGAAAGTTACCTGAAGATCATTCCAGCCGCAAATGCTCCCTCCGAAAGTAGCATCGGATCAAACGCGTGCCACTGATCCCGCGGATACCAAGGATCCAAGCCATTCCAGTATTCTCTCTGTTATGTATTAATTAATTGCATCAGTCGTTTGCAAGAAATGTGCGGATGAAATTTGGGATGTTACCGAAAAGCGTATTTAAGAAATTGCCGATTGGCGAGAGAAGGTAATTTTCGAAAAGGAACATTGGAATTTTTCTGATTGATTGATTGAAAGGGGAATTCTTAAATAAAAAATTTGAATTTCAATTCAAATTTCAGTTCTATCTCAATTCAGTCAAATTTTTATTCGGTTCTAACGCTCGTATTGATAATAGTCGCTGTTCGAAACTCGTCTCGCATGACATACCCAGTTTTGAATTTAAGGACTGAGTTTTTAGATTTAGGTTTTCCATTCCAATTAGAAAATATGTGCGACATTTGCAATTGTGATTCAAGTAAAAAAGTCCCGGGACGAAAATCTCTCTGAGACAAGTTCCAAGCAACGGCTATTAGTACGGGTCTAAATCAATTTGCAATGATTGTAAATCATATTGTTTTTCATTGGACTATCCTGCATGATACCGTTCGCTTTTCCGTCTGTATTAATTATTTAGCTTAAATCGGCCCTACGAGATCGCACCTATGGGATTTTCGCATATTTCTCATAAAAACATAATGAAACGTACTTGCACTAACCACCAAGCCGCGATTCGCATACTTATCCAGATCACGTAAAAAGTATTTTGAATGAAGTCCACGATATTCCAGAGATCTGATATATACTCGACTATCCCTTCTGCCCACAAAGACTTAATCTCACCGATGATTAAACCTGCGAGATGTCACTCTGTGTGAAAAATTCTATACTAATGTACTAATTGATACGAATCTTTTTACATAAAAATTATATAAGAATAGTATTTTTTTAAGTTTGATAAAACAGCTTTTATGACGCTTGCTGAAATATGACTTATTCACAATTATCTAGGAAAAAATTATTACTTACGAATTTTTTCTTTTTATATGATCATATATAATCATATGTAATTATATATATTTACACCGAAAAGATTGCTGTTGTATAAATATAATTGAAGTAAATGCTTATATGTTTGTAATGGTCCGCGATGTCAACGTTTAAGTGGAAGTATGGAATGAAACCGTGTTTTCCATTTTCTATCCAACAGCATTTTTTTTTCATATTGGCATATATAACCCCAGTGAGCACAAAAAGTTGTGAATAGAATGTTATTTTAATGATATTCAATATTGTACAACGTTTTTTAATATATAACTTTTGATGTTGTATTAACATCATTACGAATAACTTCGATATTCTTTTAAAATATTCTTAGAATATTAAAGAAGAAATCATATTATTTTTGATATAACATCCTATAATATATTTGGTATAATATTTTTGAATTATTTTAAAAATATCAAGTGAGAAAATGTTTAAGAATTACGCACGAAGTCAACATTTTAAGATTCTTCATCATTAAGATTTTACTGTTCTTCATTTATTGGGATTATATATAATTGCATATAATATATACACTTATACATATATACATATATACATATATATATATATATACATATATATATATATATAATTTTATATAAATATATGTAATTATTTTTTCCTGAGTATCGAAGGATACGTCACATTCTGCAGTTACATCCGTCATAGATCTCCGCGTGATCATTCATTTAAATAGACTAAAAAGTCTGCTAATAATAATTATTATCGATCACGTTTGTTCTTGGTACGTATTTGTACACGCTAATTGCCTTTAATCCACAATTTGAGTGGCTGCATTACTTATCACATAGATGACCACGCCACTTTCGACGAAACCCGGCACGCAACCGCGTTCTCGCTTCTTCCAGCCGGCAAGTGTATCCCGCATCCACTCGTTGCCGAATAATTCGATCAACAGGTATTCGACTCTTTGCGACGCCATGCCGAGAAGCACTACAAACCAAATACCTGGTCAAGACCGACTTTACCGTACTAACGTGTAACTCGCGATCGAAGCGCTGGCAGGATTCTATAAGTGCGATTCGATAAGTCGTTATGTACAAAAATTGCAAAAAAACAGGCTAACGTCACGATCGAACTTACTCAGGAAGAAAGCGTACGAAGCGGAGTGACATATAAACTTCACGAACGGCTTCTTCATAAACATCCCCATCTGCGAAGTCGGTGACATCATGTAGATCGTGCTGTAGACCGGGAACATCGCTCCGAGCTTGCCGACTTCCAGCAATTGGGCCAGCATGTTTTTCCTTCGGAATCCCGGAAGACCGTCGAACCAAATGGCGGCTAATAATTGCTGAACGTTCGGATGAGAGACGAACTGTCACAGAATATAATCATCCATAAGCTTATTAGTTCAATGCAAAATGGAGGACAATAATTATATACGTTTTTGTCTCTACATGGCCATATAATCATATGTAATTATGCATGTCCACACAAAGAACATTGCAAATTAAATAATATAATTAAAGTGACTATGTCTGTGGCAGCTTGTGGTCTCGACGTTTAATTGAATAAAGTCATTTTCTTTTTCTCATTTGATAACATTTTTTTCTATGTGGACACATATAACTATATCATTTAATGATAATATATAGGGTGTTCGGGATCTTTTAGGAACGAAAAATTGTAAAGATTAATCAGATCAAACTGAGAAGAAAAGTCCTTTACCATTTTGCAAATAAGTACACAAATTTTCAAATGATCGATTAAAAGAGCTTCTAGATATGATCATTTTCAATCATTGATAACTTAATAACTACTGCGATTTTTGCAAAACGATACTTGACTTTTCTTCTCAATTTGATCTGATTAATCTTCGCAATGTTTTGTTTCCAAAAGATCCTGGATACTTTGTATATGAAATTATGTACAATTTTTTATATAGTTATATGAGAATGATGAGAATATAGAAATAAAATTTATATACAAATTATACATAATTATATGTAATTTACGAGTATAATAAATATTTTTGAATAGTTATTAACAAAAAGTGACGAGCATGTAACACGATTACGTCAATTGCAATAAATTATTGCTATTGTCAAATTTACTGTTAGGACCAAGGAACGATTGCTCAGCGAGCGAAGAATATTAAATCAGTACGTATTACACTAATTTTATAATGTTATAAATTAACGTGAAATTTTATTTCATAAATGAAATGTTTTGTAATGCTCTGAAATATTAATTTTATGCGTATCTCTGGAATATTTTCACTCAATATCCCTAACACTTTTTCAAAGATGTTATCGGACGATACGATGCTTCCGAGAATTTTATAAAATATAAATATATGGAAAAATATTTTAGAAATATCGATCTAATATGTTTACAAAACGTCTGAAACAATTCGACCAGGTACGCGATTTCAATTAAGAAGAGAGAACAATTATTATTTCACATGGAAGCACAACATGGAAGCTTCAAGTGTCAATTTGTTGTTAGTTTCATCTCGCGCGTTTCATTGAAGATTAAAAACATGCACTCTCGCCGTCGCTATAAGAATGGCGTCCGAGTCTACGTACTTGCTTCTGCTTATACTTAATAGCCAGTTTGAGTCGTTCCAAGGTCTGCCTTTCCCCAGGATCCCAATTCTCTCCGGTGGGATTGTAGTTCAGCATTACTTCTAATTCGTAAGACGTGCGCGCATGGTCCAGCAAGGAGGTCGCAAATTGTTGCGTCTGCTCCCGCATCTCCTGGTGATCGATACAGACTAGAATAGATGCATGAACGCGTGCGGACGGGAAAGGAGATGCGCGATGATTTGATTGAACGTGCGCTACTGATCGTTTGTCGAATTTCTCTCCTCAAACTTGTACGCAAGGGAACAGCCTGTAGGTTGCGCGCGCAAAAGATCAAAAGATCTGGATGACTATAAATCTCAGTTACCGATCTCAGTTACCGTTTGAAGGGGCCCGAATGACTCGAGAAGGAGGAGGAGGAGGTGGAGGAAGAGGAGGAGGAGGAGGAGGAGGAGGATCATTGAGTTAAGTACGTTATATTGGGCGCGAAATTCTTGTTCCATCCTGCTGAGGCGACGCAGTTCCCACGAAAGCTCGAAGGCCGTCAGAAGTGGGTCTCTCGATGAAAGCGCGATTAGAGATGACGAGGTGAGCGCACGATACGCGTTTATTCGAGATTGCGAGTGTCGGAGGGAGTCTTGTTCGCTGGAAGTGACGCATTCGTCGCAGCCGCACCTGCAACAATATTACGAAGCTGTTCCCTTTTCTCTCGACGCAGACTCGTTTCTGACTGACGGAAGTAAGACAATAAACGACTCTCAATTGGTTATTTCAAATTTTTAGTTGCTTGGAGTAGTAAATTACTTGGTACGCAAAATGGTATGCATTTTAACAATAAAAATTACTACCAAATTTTACAACCGCAAAATATATACTACGTGTCGCCTTATTAACTTATTATACTTGCGTTTCATTCGCTATTTATGTTTTGAAAACTGAAGGCTACGTATGTCATTAAAAAGCTTGTGTTCTTTTTAGCAAGATAAACTGACAATTTATCTCTGCACTGCCAGGAGAGATGGTAGGAGAGATAGTAGCATTAAGGAGAATTTATATTCTCTACGTGTACTCATTTGATTTCCACGAGTGTGTGTGTGTGTGTGTGTGTGTGTATATGTGTGTCGATGAAATACTAAATTTAAAAATGGACCTTGGTGCACGTTACTTTTTTTCGTGTTGACGTACCTAGCATCGTGAGGCGTTGGTAAAGTCGCGCCTCGATCCAAAAGCAATTTCAGTATCTCATAGTTGTTTTTATGAGCCGCCAAGATTAACGGAGTTATGTCGGGTGTGAAATTCGACGACGAGTCCACGGCTTCCCAGCTCTGAAGCACGAAAATATCACAGAGATCATAATAATAATTCTTTTCAGTACTGACTGATTAGAGACTGCAATTAATATAATACGAAGAGACGCATACGAGCAAAAAGGATTTAATTATATATAATTATATAAAATTGCACATATAATTATATATAATAATTATATACAATTATACATCATTTGTGAATTGCGAATTTTATCTCTATATGGGCGCAAATATAATCGTATGTAATTACAATCACTTGGAATACTTGGTAATTATAGTCCACATGGAAAAGATCGAATAAAAAAAGGAAAAAATAGTTTTGTTAGATTAAACGTCGACATCACAAACATAAACAGTAACTTTAATTATTTGTACAACAGCATTTTTATAACGTACATAATTACGTACGCTTATACATAGCCTTATTTAGTATATTATTTAGGGCAAAAAATTCAATTAATAGTTATATATAACCTTTCTTTTCTCGAAAAAGAAGAATCAAATTCCGTTTCAGAGTGCAAATCTTTCGGGCAGATTCGCGCTATTTTCACCGAAGTAGATACGCATATTGCGCGTTTTGAAGAAAAATTGATCGAAAAAGAATGTACAATAAGATCCATGATCAAGTCAATAAATATGGCGGCACACGTAAGAGCCAGCGCGCTGTTGGTCGCGAGCGAAATTTAATACATAAAAGAAACATAACATAAACTTAACGTAAAAGAGAAAAGTTTGCTTTTACATATAAAATCCGAGTGTTTCCATTATCGCAAAACCATTATCACATATGAAACCAATGATCGAACTCACGTAGGGCTGCCCCGGCTTGTGTATTTTTTCTTCCCACTCCAGCAAGATCTCCACCGCCTCCACGTACTCCTCCTTAATGGCGTGCAAGAGTGCATCCTGTGTAAGACGCGCGAATTATGGTTTCGGAGGGTTTCAACGCTTTTACGTGTTAGCGACGTGCGACTCAGACGCTGCGTAATGCAGGTAGTTTATAACAATGTCGCCCTCTCTCTCTCTCTCTCTCTCTCGCAGAGCGAGAGCGTTCTGTACAGGATGACCCAAAACATCAAGTGTGCGTGTGTGCATGCAGACAAGCGTGTGCACGCGGAACTCTCATTAGGTCTAGTCTACAATACATGTCGTTTGCTAGAGTTAGATGCTAGTCGTTTATCATATCTATGTTGCATGTGAATATGATAAGCCACTCTACAATCAGATCGCAACAAGTCGCAAGTTGTAACAAGAATAATGCTCAAACAGTGAATATTATGAACTATGTAATATATTAAAATAAATTTGTCGTCAATGCTTAATTGTATCTTAACGCAAGCATAAGCGTACACATTTTTAATTGGGAATATCACCTGATATGTCTGAAGAATATAAGCTTCTTAAATTTCAGACCACACATCTTAGCTTCTCTGCTTGTTTGAAAAATGTTTGTCGGTTTTATCGTATAAAAGTATATATTTTCTTCTATAAAGTTAATAATAATTTCATCTATAGTTTTGAATCGTCTACGACTCGTAATATACGTACAGAAAAATGACTCTCAGTCGTAGTCGCGAGTCGGAAAAGATGGGACGTGGTGATCTCTTGTTCCGACGCCGACAGCCAATTTGTGACAACTTCATGCCGACAATCCGGCGCGCATGCGTCCGACATCCGACTCCGACAAACGACGTATTGTAAACTAGGCCTTAGCGGTATCCCGGTAGGCATCGATTACGGTATATCACATGGTAACGCGCATTACACTCGCGCAATAATTAGGGGAACGACCGGCCGGCCGCGTGATTTTCATGAGAGACGCCGCGCTATCCCGATTCCACGATACTTACCTTCACTTCGATTCCCAAATCCAGCAGCAATCTGATCAGGTCGATGTTCTCGTTCTCGATGGCGGCTATAAGCGCTGATCGGTTCAGCGGATCGACGCAATTGATATTCAGTATCTCCGGGTGCTCCTGGTTCTCTTCAATCAATCTGCGAACGCGGCAACGAGGATTAACACGCGTCGAGATAACAAGACGCGGCGAACTCGAAGTGATAACATTCGTCTCGCGGTCCGCAAGCGAGACTTCTCGTTAATTATATGCGTCTTTGATTGGTTTTAAATGGGAAGACATTCGCGTGCTAACGGTAGTGTTCTCTGAACATCATGAGAATTGATTGTCTGAACTGAAAGAAAAATATGTAAAATATGTGGAGACTAAAACAAAAATATTTATTCAGATACTAACAACATATTTATTTAAATCTAGTTTCGTTTGCTTGAATAGAACAAACCGTTGTTTTCATGAAAGGCTACGGCTTTAAAAAGTATATATTGTCTCATTCAAAAGAGATTTTATTAATATAAAAATATGTATGTAAGTAACTATGTCATTAGTATCCATAAACATTTGTTTTTTAGGTACTTTTTTTCTCAGTGTATAATTATCTATAAAAATATAAAATCGTCTATGATTGGTATATTGTTATGTTGTCATGTATTGTTGAATGTATTAATTGTATCCCTCTTCTAAAAGTCGATTATTTAATCGTCATGTTAATACTTTAACTGTCATACTGATTTTCACAGATTGCGCCAAGATTCAGCTAAAATTTTAACAAACCAAAATTCTAACGAAGTACGACTGGGTACTTAACTCGCAAAGTGTGAAATTAATTATGCTTTATGCATAAATTAACGAGATGCCACGAAATCCTAATTATAGGCCATAGATAATTCTCATGACGGATATTGATTCATTCGCTACTACGATTCATTTGGGAAATCCTCGCCTTTCGATCCTTTATTTTTTTTATAACATAATATAGACTTATTTAACATATTTCTAATTATTAAGAAATTAGATTTTTTTACTAAAATATATATTGATATTTTATAAATAAGGACTTACATCCACATGTTTCCTTAAATTTGCAGTTGAAGTTCTATTTGCATGAATATTTTTTTGCCAGCGCAAATTTTGCAGAGAAATTCCCAATTGTTTTCTGTGCCCAAGTTTTTGCTGTAACTCGAATATTTCTGCATATGCTAGTCATTTAGGCATTTTACAATCCTTCTCTGAAGATTGAGATGTTTTATCCATTGCTTGAATTTTTTATATAATTGAAACCGCGTAGCGCATTTCACGCTGGACGCAGGTTATGTTAACAAATAAGGACTGGCGACGCTCGATGGAAATGTTCAATAGGCACACAAGTTTTTTGAAAGAAGTACAGGTTGCGTTCGGAGAGGAGATTATCAGCGCTACTGCGTCGTTTTATCCTTGTTTTACATCTAATGAACAATAAATATAGATAGATGACTCAATAACGCGTTTTCCAAATGCAGCCAGGTTAACTATAATGCTTATTAGATATCAAGCATCGCACGTCGCGTTATCGTGCTGGTCTGCCAGAAACTTAAGTTTGAAATATATAAAGTAACTATTAAATTAGTTACTAGTTATCAAACAAATGTAATCTAAGTTAAGTTACAGTTATGGATGAAAAAAAAACGGAACGAAGTTAAATTATAGTTAGCAAAAAAAAAACATAACTGTAATTGTACACTGTAAGAAATGATGTGTTAAATTTAACATATTTCATGTGTCTCAAATCATCCACTCTCATTTATGTGTTAATTCAACATACAGCAAATATGTTAAAAAGTAACACGCATAATATGTAAAAAATTAACACAAAAATTTAACATTCAAATGCCGTCAAGAAGATCACAGTTTGTGTTAAATTGACATACAATAAATGTTACTTCAACATTTGGGAAAAGTAATGACCTATGATTTGATGAAATGAAAATGTTAAATTCACATAATCTATGTGTTAAAAATCCAATCTTTATATAGTATAACACATGATAACTGTTATAATAAGGAAATTAACACATTTTAAGTGTTGACTTTAACATATAAAATATGTCAAAGCAAGAATTCATGCATTTACATATAAATTGTGTTATTTTAACATTTGAAAATGTTATTTTAACACTTGAAAATAGTTAATCTTAATTTAACACAAGAAAGTCTAAGTAACACAACAACGATATGTTAAATTAACACACGACTGTGCAAAAAACTTTACACGAAACTTTCTACACACAAAAGATTTTATCAAAAGTACGAAACGTATTTAACTGTGTGTAACTTCGTTACGAGCAACGAGTTACCTCTCGACCCTGCTGTAAAAATCGTGTGAGATGTGAAATCCAGATTGTCACAGTATTCCCAATTTCACTGGATTGACTCTCGACTCAGAACAGCCGACTTGCCGGCGCATCAACATTTCGCGCAACAAGCATGAAACGCGCAGCTCTTCGTCTACATGTCGCGCGCGGAGTCCATGCTGAACCCAGTTTATCTTACGTCTCAGCCAGGACACCCTCGCCGGAGGCACATTAACACGCAGAGCGATGCTCAGGATTACCTTTTGACAGTGGCACAATCGCCTCGTTCCGCGCTGAGCAAGAAGTGCTTCTCGACCGGGCCAAGAATGTAGTCAATAGGCGCCTGCAACGATGACACCGACGGCGCTTTCGCCTCGTTCGCTAGCAGATCCTGCTGCGATTCCGACGGATTCATTTCACCCTCGATGTAGCGCCTCGTGAACGTAGCTCTCGTGACTGCTCAAAGTCTAAGCTAAAAATTGAAAGATGCTTGCCTATGATTATTTAACTGTCATTGCCGATTGTGAAGCTTAGACGTGTTTGAAATTGCCCTCCCCCTCCCCGCGAAAATTATTATATTAATTTACATATAATTATACATAATCCTTTTCTCCGGGGAGAAATGTGCGAATTACATGCAGAGACTTCGCAATAGATTCAACGACAAAAACGGACAAAGAAATTTCACAAATCCGTTTCGAATATATTTGACTTTGATAGAATTTCAATTGACGACTTGATAATGAAAACATGTCATATTGGAAATTAGAAAATTCTGATGTGATCGATTACTGGTTTCGACATTCTCGAGATACTGCCTTCTAATTTGTAAAAGAAATGATTCATATATGAATTTTATCTTTATACGACGATATATTGCACATATAATTGTATATAATTATATATAAAATTATATATATTCACGTGGAAAAAATATTGTTGCATGGAAAAAAAGATATAGCTTGGTTATAATCAACAATTGGACTTGTTCTCAGTTTTTCAGGATGGATTCGAGTCCTTTGTCATCATCAACGGGCAAATCTCTCACACGTGGGCGTATGCTTCGTTAGTTTGTCATAATTTACTTGTATAAATATCTTCATTAGAACGATTCCATTTTTGTACACTGGCACGAAATGATATATTCGCGCGGAAATGAAATTCTATATGTATAAGTTATATGTGCGAGTATACATATATGAATTATGTCGCTATATAATTACATATATAATTACATATGTTTGCATAGAAAAAACGTTGTTGAATAAAAGAAAATAGTTTCATTCAGTTAATTAACGTCATGGATTACCACAAGCGTAAATATTTATTTTAATTATATTTGTACAACATTCTTTTTGGCGTAGAAATATATAACTGTGTCCATACAGAAATGAAATTCATGTTTTCTCAGATGGTTTTAGCTGATTCTATGAGCTGATTCTGGTCCAATCAGAATCGATTTCTTCCGAGTAAGAACGTTAAGGTATCTCGAAGTTTCCAGTAAACTACTTCGACGACTTTGATTGGATGAATAATTGTGAGGCGAACTCGCCAGAAGATTCGACGATAGAAACAGATAAAGAAATCTCACAAATCACCGTCCCGAGTATATTTTGTTTTCGGTAGAATTTCAATCGATCACTCGATTACGAAAATGTGCCGCATTTAGGAAATTAGAAAATTTTGTAACCGATTATTTTTGTCGACGTTCTTGAAATGTTGTTTCCCAATCTGCGAAAGAAACTGTAATCGAAGAGACGTACAGTACTCTCAGGGCAATCTCTATAATTCCAAAGTGATGTCAGAATTAATTAAATCCATGGACCCTGCGTGTCAGACTATTATGGTATAATACGATTATCTTGTTGATAGAAATTTGCAACGCGTGCTATCGAGTTCACTCCGTTGCGTTGTGTATAGAGCTCGATGTAAATAGGTCACGCGTTCCGGTCGAAGAGCTAGTTACCCTCCGACAGTCGATTCTTCCGTAAAACAAGAGACCTGTTCTACGTAATCTTCTTCGGGTCATCCAAAATGCAAGAGCAGGTAGGGCACGGGAGATGATAACGCGAGTAAGGCTTCCTGCGCTTAGCATATGCGGCTTAAGGTATTCGGATCAATCAGGACAGTGTTTCACTCTCAAACCCGAAGAAAATACCCCAGTTCTAACTTCTCGCGGTTGTCCAACAGAGTCACGAGTTTCTCGCGATATCGTTCCTTCGTACAACGCATAAATTAACGTGTAAAATCGCGATGTTGGAGAACGATGCTCAAGTCGGATTTTGGTGATTTCTTCTTTTCATAAGAAACGAAGAAAGACGCTTTGCCTTAAAGTCTCAACGCCTTGATTTAGTTTCGACGAGTCAATATGTTGCTGCCTTTCGTTCCAATTAGATTAAACCTTAATTACGTAACTTGCTTTCGTCTTGCACAAACGAAGAACGAGGTGTACCGTAAATATAATTCGTACAACGCACAACGTACAGCATTGTCTTTGATCGAGAATATTCCGGATGAGAAAACAAGAATTGAATCGCTCAATCGTATTATAGACGATCCGTCGTTGACTCTGCGCGGCATGTTGTCGCATTTATGTGCGAACAAATGTGTGTGTGTGTGTGTGTGTGTGGGACGAGTAAAAACGATAAAGAATGCTGGACGGAATAAAAAAGCTGAGGTATCGACGCAATTATATACGAATAATATTATAAATGCAAGATCTATTGACGTATCGTTGCGTATATTAATCACGCTAATTTAGGTTACACCGAGCAGACGACTCCTCGAGATAATCGGAGAACGCCTTCCCCTACAACAAGAAACAAATCTCTGCCTCGTTAAAGGGGAGAGTTTCTTCCGCGAGGAAGAAGAGCGTTTCACCAACCAGGTCTCTTTCGGATAAAAAAATAATTACGCGTAATCGTGTATAATCTATAACGTCCGTTACGAATATAATTGAAGTTGTATCTTAATCGAAGTTGTAAACGTCTTACGTTTGTGGCAAGATGTCGAACTGAATAGAATCGGTTAGGCCGATTCGATTAAAGCCGAACTATTTTTCCATTCGATAGCATTATTTTTTCCGTAGTATAACTGTATATATAGTAGTATATACACATATATAGTATATAGTAATTTATATATACAATCATGTAGAATTTTATACAATCGTATAAAATCATACTGGTCGTGATGAAATCACAGAAATCATATAAAATTATTTCCGACACGGAGAAAGAGCAAAGTTCTCGCGTCAATCGCGTTTTTCAACTCGCGGATTTCCCGTTAATTAAGAATTAAGAGCTCGAAATTAAGAGCTACGTCTTTTCCACGAAAAGCACAGAGCCTCTCAGAGAGGCTCTCGACTCTTCTTTCCCCCGCGGCGCAGAGTCGGCAAGAAGAGCGGAAGACGAACGCGTCGTTGCGCCCCGCCCCCGCCGGCGCGTCCTCCGCGCTTTTCCCCGGCCGCGCTCTAATCTCGTGTGCGGAAAATGTACTTACTTTGTAAGGGGATGTAAGGTACACTCGTCCTCCACGTCGACGCCGGCGTGCTCGCGCGAGTAACGCCGGCCGCGGACTGTATCACGGTCACATCTACGCGGGCCGCACGGCGAAACCTTACGACGCCGTCAAGCAGGTTGATCTTCAGGGCGCGGATTAAGCACGGACGAGGTGCGCGTACCGAAAAGAAAAGAGCACGCAGCCTCGCCTACGGCGAGTGAGTGCGCGACACAATGTGTCCGCCGTCACATTGTGCGCGCGGTATCGGCATTACCACGTGTGGCCGCACCGTTGGCCGCACAGAAACGCCGGAGGTCGGGGGGGCGGAGAATTACCTTCTTTCTCTTTCTCTTTCGTCCCTAACCCCCGGATTAATGGTTCGCGAGCCCCGTGACGGCGTGATAGCAGCCAAATCCGAAGCTCGTATGCCGGCGACGCGCTCCGGCACATTCTTCTTCATTCTCCCCAGCGTCGCGAATTCATCCTTCTCCTCTCGCGCCGTGCCCGCGCGATTATTTATCTGCCCCGGGCGGCGGCGAGACGTGTGTCATTTCCGTTTTTAGTGTGACGCGACATCCGTAACAATTCGGGAAACATTACGCGGGAGGAAGCCGCGGCTGATGTACGACCGCGGCCGTTAGCGAGCCGATACCGGCCGCGATATACGCGAGAATATATACATATATATTGACGTTACGTACCAGAAGAAATATATTCGACCTGCTGCGGTCGCGCGCGAATTGAAACAATCCCGCCTGGCCGGTGGGCAGGTAGACAGACGAAGTTACCTTTTTGACAGACACTCGGGCGAATTCTCTCAGTTTCTTTCAGTTTCAGTCTCGGGAACGAGAAACACCAATGAGATGAGTTAACGGAGTGAATAACGAAAGTGAGAAAATAGCAGCGGCGCCGCTCGCACTTCGCGAGATAATCGAGGTGATTGCGTGAATAATCGGCCAACTGATTATAAATAATTCCCCCCCGGCGAGCCAGACAGGCGGAACGCGCGGTGAGAGATGGGTCTGGAATTTACGGGGGTGTGTAATCGAGAGTCGTTGGTGCCTTTGATAAAACGAACGAATATGGCGGGACAACGACAACGACTGATGGGAATGGCTATCGATGGGGAGGGCAGTGCTGGGCGTTAATCGATGGAGATCTTAGTCGGCCGAAGCGATCATCAAGATTCGTCGATCGTCACGCACGCAATTATGGACGATTCCAAGCGGGATAAACGCACTCGTCCTCATGGAAATCCTCCGCTCGATGAAAATCGCGATCGATCAATGCTCAACGCTGCGCTTGCAGAAACGAGCAACACCACGTCCGTCCGGCCACTTTGTATCTCTTTAATTATTATAGTTACGTATTAAATTTACATATACATCTTAAGAACGGCGCTCAACGGGGATCGTATCGGGCGCGAGACGCGCGCGTCGCCGCGCCGCGACGCGAGCCCCGAATGTATGATACATATCTTAGGCTCAGGCTGGATCGAGATAACAATCGGTCCCGCCGTTTTACGTAACGCGTGAGACTTGAACGTCGTCTACAGTGGCAGTAAGCAGTAAGAAGTAAGCGTGAACAGTAAGAAATGGACCAAGCACAGTTGATTATTTTTGTCATAATCGGCTGTGATTGGTTTATTTCTTATCGTTTAAGCTTCTTATTGCTTCTTACTGCTTACTGCCATTGTAGATGACGCTTTACAGGGAATTCGGTCGGATACGTCAGCGTGGCGCACCGCTGCGCGCTAATGAATGAATTATTCCGCTTGGCGCACGAACTGACGCGAGAGCGCGGCTTTTTACGGGGAATTTTTCTACTCGGCGCACCCCCATGGCATCCAGCAAACGCCGACCGACAGTGATATCACGTCACAATTTCCTGGCCAACAATGTTGACAATGCTATCTTATCATCATCGTCAGGGGCGAATTTAATTAAAACTGAAACAAGTGTCGCTGGAGCATCCGGCTACTTTTTTTCCAGCGTTTTATAAAAATAAATCTTTGTAAAATATCGCAAATTTCAAACTCAAATTACACGCGTTCATATACGTGTTCAAATTTTGTTGCAAAACAGCAGAGGCTGAAGGGGAATTACACGCCGACAGCCGTTTTCAAGGCTATTTTTACAGATTTTTTTTAACAGAAATAGTAGGATCAATGGACTTGAAATTTTCACAGTGTATTCATTAATGTTCAAAGTACAAAATAAATTTTACTGGATCACAAGAACCGATCCAATTTGTAATTATAGATAAAAATGCGGTCATCCGTTTGCGAGCTCTATGTTTGCAAATTTCAAGTTATTCGATTCAGTAGTTTTTGCATATCAGTAGTGTCGACAGTTTAAGAAAATGGTGTTTCCAGATAAACGCGTTTAAAGTTTTATGTGCACTTTGCATGTGGATAATACGAAATACACACTGCCGTTATACTTTCAACTACTTTTGTCCTCCTTTATCGTAGGAATATATAAAAGAATTCAAGATTTAAACAAAAGATTTTAAGCCGTCTACGTAGTGAGCGAAGGGAATCTTCGCGCAACTTAATAACGATATTTCAGGCCAGCGTGCCTTTACATTCAAACCTTGAATTTTAATTCCTCCTGCTCAATTTTTTGATATCCTTCTTCTAACCTCACACAAATATTTTTAAATGTATATATTTTAAGAATATGCAATAAAAAAATAGCCACAAATTTTTCTTTCCCTGTAATTCCCCTCTTAAGAGACTGCTGAAACAGCATCAGGCCCCGAAAGATTACCAGCCGCCCCTGACAGTCATCATCTGATCGTTTAGATAATACGCATATAATACGCGTATTATATTGCATTTATTATTATGCCATTAAGTGGGAAATTATAACATCGATGTTGTGTCGCTGACCGTTTGTGTTTACTGGGATATCGCGTGAGGCTGTGATTTACTCATATCGAGGAGCACAAATTTGTGTACCGCGTTAATGAGTTAATCAGTTTCTCGTTAGGTATTTTTTCAACTGTTACAATGTGGTATAACATTTATGCCGTATGTAAGATGGCTGTGCGCACCGCCTTGTCGAATGTTTCCAACGATGCCTAGGAGGACATCCTAGCCGAGCAAACTAGCATCCCATACAGTAGAGAAGTTGCAGCAATATTGCTGCAACGTTGCAGCAACGTTTTTTCAACGCTTTGTGTGCTGTATGGGATGGTACTTTTTCAGTGTACGAGTGTTGATATCTTCCAGAAAAATTCCCCGTGCGTACACTTCGACAGCGAGCAACGCGAGATCCTTCGCCGGAGGATCACGCGCTGCGAATCGTCTCGTTGTTTGCAGCGGAACATACATTTATATGTACAACGCTTGGAAGCCGAGTCACTTCGGTCATTTTTACGCTACGAACGTAATTATCATATATTTTGGTGCTCTCTGAATTTCTCGGGATGAAATTTCACTCGGAAACTCGAGCGACCACCGAGTTTTCTTCGGATTCTTCACTCGTGTACGCGATAAATTTTCCACGGTGAACTGCCGGGTGAATACTTTCATCTTCTCAGGAACGTATTCATTCCAATCAATTGAAGCGTTTGTTTGTATCATTCGCTCAGAATTCGCTCTGAGCTTGCGCGAGTGAGACGTTCGTCCTTGCGTTTTTGAATGGCAATATTTTCGCGATATCTCTCTCGGTGAAAATATCGCCGCTTTTCACGTTTTGAGATTCCGAAATTCCGTTCCGGGAAATTTGAAGCCCAGATTCAGCTGGATAAATAGATCAAATTGTTACTGTTGTTTTATCATTATCATCAGAGGCGAATTTACGCTGAAACAAGTGCTGCTGGAGTATCCGGCTCCATGTGCCTCTTTCATAACGTTTTATAAAAACAAATCTCTATAAAATGTTGCAAATGTTGTAAATTTTACTCAAATTATATACGTTCATGCGTTCAAATTTTGTTAAAACAGCAGAAGCTTAAAAGGATCCTGAATGCCGCTCCAGGATCTCCTTAAGAGGCTGCTGGAACAGCACAGGCTCTGAAAGATTACCACTCGCCCCTGATAGTCATCATCTGATCGTTCAGATAAACAAATTAGATGAGAATTTAATAGATTCAACTGCTTTCACAAGACAGATTCGATGGACTTAGCACGCACTAATACGTACCACCGGAGCATCCAGCCGAATTCGCTAATAGACATGAGAGAGTTGAAGAATGTTGAGAGACAGAGAAGTAGACCGAAAAGGAGGAGATATAGAAAAAGAGCGAGAGAGAGAGAGAGAGAGAGAGAGAGAGAGAGAGAGAGAGAGAGAGAGAGAGAGAGAAGAGGGGAAAGAGTGCACACGATTACAATACGGATCTGCGACTACATCGATGGTGTTTAGGGTTGCCAGATTTATCAATTGCCAGGGAAGGACGGCCGAAAATTGCGATGAGCCAAAAATAAGGAGTTCTCGCGTCTCTGTCGTTTCTTCGAACATCAATTTTCGACAGCGTACATATTATACATTTCACACACGCATATCGATAAAAGTATATATCGACGAAAACATTACGTTAGGTAGTGATGACTATAATCAGTCAGCGGGTCTGCCGAGCGAAAAGAAGAAGGAAACTCCTGCGATAAGGAAGGACAAATCTTCATAAGAAATATTGCAAAGTTCACTCAAATTGCACGCATTCGTGTATGTTGAAATTTTGTTGAAGCAGCCGAGGATTAATCCGCCCTGCTGGTCATCATCCGATCGTCCTGAAGATCCGTCCTTGGCGGGACATGAAGATTTCGGCAAATTTTCGCTTTCGGAAAAGAGGAACGATCCTTCCCAGAGGAGGGCGTCTGGCAAGCCTAATGTCCCGAGTCCCGAGATCGTCGGGATCGTCAAATTTATATGTACACCGAACACGTAGTGAGGCAGGTGGATGTACAGCGCGGTACCCGATATCACATGCGCATTTCGTCATTCGCTTGCGGGTGTGCTTTCCAATTTGCCCCTTTCCATTTCTCGCTCTGTTCGCTGTTCTTCGCTTCGCTCTCCTCCAAGTGGAATCACGTAGGCGCGCGCGTGAATGGGCGTTCGGACGATCCTTGCGATTCCCGAGAGAGCCTGGCCGTGCCGGTCGATGGTGGTGGATGACGCGAGACAGGTAGCGACGAGCGGGAATAATATTCGTCGCGAGCGGAAACAATCAGCCTTCGTTTGTTCTCCGTCACGAGCCGTCGAAAGGGCCCGAGAGCTCGTTGGGAAGTACGAGCCGTTCGAATTTACGAGCGCTAATTGAGACGTTACCCGCGGACAGAAGCAAGCGAACTTTCGAGCGAATAATCATAATCCGTAACGCTGCCATGGAAACGGCAATGATAAATCGGCACCGTTTATCGGGCGTTTTTGTAGTGCGTTTTAGTTTTTAACTCGTTCACCGGTAATTTCATCAAAGCCTTTTGAGCGCGTAAGGGGCGTCGTCATCGGTCGCTTCACTCGGTTAAACGAAATGTGTGTGTGAGAGAGGCAGAAGGTGGAATCTATAATTTAATACTGACCGCGTATTCAACGCAATCGACGCGACAAAACCGAAGAGGGGAAAGAGGAGGGGAAGATCCAGCGCGAATCGAACTATTCGATTCCTGTTTCGCGGTAAAGACGCAGCGGCTGCTGGAGAGAGAAAGGAGAGAGCTCGCGTCCAGCGGAAAAATCTCGCAAGGATCAGGATGTCGCACAGTGGGGCCAGATGACATTTTTTGGCTCAAAATTCTCTAGAGACCTGGACTTCCAACCGATCATCGACACCAACGGATGAGGGCTCGATCCTGAATAAATTCCAAAGAGATCTAGCCGAGAGCCGAAATTTTGAAAAAATTATTGCTTCAGGGTTCATGGGTTTAGGGTTTGTCTTAACAGTTTCGAGGCTCGAACTTAATGTTTTATAGCTGAATATTCAACGTCGAGTATTATTAGGTTCTCGAATTATGGCTAGATTGGGTTCTCGGACTATTTGGAGTTCTTAATATATACGGCTTCATGCATCCACGAGCTAAAAAGTTCTCGGATTGATAGATCCCTAGATTGATGGGCTTAAGACGCAAAATCCCTCGGTTTTGTGCTTAACAGGTCTATATTTGATGTTTTTGTATTTTGGGTATATGAGTTTTGGGTTAATGGGTTTCTGCTTCAAGATCGATAAATCTCGAGGTATCTGTTGATTGGTTTCATAGTCTCAATACCGCCGAGTACGCTATTAGATAGAAATAAGTGTCGAATAATGAGTATTTCACAAGTTTCTCGCGTTTAACGATAATTTTTCCTCTTTTGGAGCTAGTAATTTGAGAAAAAAATTTCTTTTTTTAATTTTGGCAAGACAGATCTCTTCGGAATTTATTCAGGATCAACCACCCCTCATCCATTGGTGTCGATGATCGGTTGGAAATTCAGGTCTCTAGAGAATTTTCAACCAAAGAATGTCATCTGGTCCCACTGTGTGCCGGTTCGGAAAGCTCGAAGATACATCGGAAGACCCCGGAAACGGGCAAATCTCGCGGCGAAGGAGCAAGGAGCGGAGAAAGCGAGTTCCTGTGAGTAAACGTCGTTTGTTTGTTCGTGTGACTTCGTCGTGACAGATTTTTATTAGATCGACGAGACCGTTCGCGCCGGAGCGGCGAGGAGACAAGGGGCAGAAAGCAAGTTCCCGCGAATAAATGTCATGTTTGCTCGTTTTCATGTGTAACTTCGTCAAGACAGATACTCGCGGGGATTCGTCGCGACTTGACAAAATCGATGTTTAGCTTCGTTTAACCAGTCGACAGGCTCGCCTGAGTACAAGCGCGCTGACAACAACGCGATCCCGGCCGTCATTTCGAAGTCACATGCAGCTTGACCGCGGTCCGGTCGGCTCGCTATCGAAGCCGCAGCGCCGTCGACGATGATTCCCGTTGGTATCGAATCCTCGGTGAGTCTGCGACCTTGAATTTCGGACGAGCGCGAGTGACAGCGACGGCGGCGGCGGCGGCGGCGGCGGCACAGGGATGTTCATTCGTGATGATTCGAGTCGATCTGGTCCTCGAAGGCGTCCAGATTGATCTCGCCGGTGATCTTGTTCAGACTGTTACAAAGCCGAAGTAGCCTCAGCACGTCCGGGTGGAGCTCTGCCTCGCTCATCACGCTATTCGATACGAGCACCGAGCACACCGCGGACATGTCGAGATCGGCCGGCACGACTTGTATGTGTGTGTTACGACCAAACCTGTTTTAAATTTCAAAGTGTCATGAATTATTTCTTCGTCCTGATTAGCAAAGAGAAGAAGAGAGAGGGAGTATTATAACGACAGGATAGATTAGCGATTCTTAATGTCCGTCTAGACGGCACGACACACACGAATCCGTCGCTCCTCCGATAAACTTTCTCTTGTTTTAATTAATATGATTGAGATGTAACGGTGATTAATAATGTGAATATTTCAATACGAAAATATCGAAAAACGTTTTGATAGAGTTCACCGACTTCTCGAGGAAAAGATGATCATACATCAAGTTTGGCGATATATAATCATATATAATTATATATAATATATATATATATATATGTCTACATTGGAAAAAATGTTATATAAACGTATTTGAAGAAATGCTGATGTTTTTGTGGCAGCCTTCTCTCTCTGTGACACGTCGACGTTGTCGACCACCAAAATATAATTATACATAATCATGTATAAATTTTGTCTCTAAATGATCATATATAATTATATGTAATTATATGTCTAAAAAATACAAAAAATATATTGTCTAAATAATATATATTGTTTGAATATTAAATATTGTCGCACAAATCCAATTGAAGTAATTGTTTGTGTTTATGGCAGTCCGTAATGTAGACATATAATTGAATGAAATCATTCTTTCTTTTCTTCATTTAAAAAAATTTTCTCTTTTTCAGAGTAGATATATATAATTTCATATATATAATATATATATAATTATATAATTATATAATTATGACTTTATATGTATATATAATTATGTATAATAATTTTCTTGATTGAGTGTATATGATTACATGTATGACCATATCGCGCTAAATCTCGTATATCAGCCATATGTAATTATATATAATTATTTTTTCTCGGGGTTTGTCTGTCATCGTCTAAACGGATAGCGAGAATCAGCTCTTAACCGTGACATAACAATTCTCTTGGAAAATTGAAGCAAAGAGCGAAACGATGCGTGAATTAAAAGTTCCGGGAAGCTAATTTGCTCACGGCTCTAATTAGACCATCGATACCAGCGCGAGTGTGAGCGTCTTTGACAGATCGTCTTTCAGTCGTTAAATTATTCTCTCATGCAATTACGCAATTATAAGTCTCCCAATTATCAAAGTCGATCTCGGGTGTCGGAAACGGAACGAAGCTTCGCACGGAGAATATTTTCACCGACTGCGTGTCGTTACAGTCTCTGTGTTTATGGCATAATATTTTATCATATTTTCATCCGACGTTTTGTCCCGACTGCTTTCGCGCTCCTTCCCACATCGGATTGCAAATAACGAACCGCCCCATCTATCTGCGCACACCTTCGTCGTTGGTGCATCGTTCAAGTACGCGAGAGTCTCTCCGCGACACGCGTCTCGCAACGCAATTCACAGGAAAACGAGATAATACATTAACTATAACCGGGATAAATGATCGTGTTACACGACGGGAGAAGTTTCCGGTGTCTCGCGGCGTAGAGGGTAGAGCAGAGGCGGCGTCTCAGACGAGTCTCCTCGGTGCGCATCGGTTACGGTAAGGCCGTAGTCACCGAGTGTTTCGCCGCTTTAAAGTCTCCTCTGATTGTAAGACACGATGCTTAAGCGTCATGCTCGAGTGCCTTTTTACACATATTCGTACACGTACATTGCGCACGCTCGTGCTCGTGCGTATCTTTCCCCCTCTCTCTCTCTCTCTCTCTCTCTCTCTCTCTCTCTCTCTCTCTTTCGTTTCTTCTGACGACCTTGCGACAAACAATAAATCGCAATTTTGCGGCCGCTCGCGATGCTCTCATGATCATACGCGCGGCTACACCTGCGTTCCCCCCTGCGTACACCTGCGCTCTCGTTTACCGTGCTCCTTGCAAATATTGCGCGCGACCTCGTCTCGCCGCAGGTACTCGCTATTTCTTTCTCGAAGAGACTCTATTCGGCGATATTGCTGCGATACTCGACTCGACCTCGACTCGCCTAAACTAAAAATTGCTCGAATAATGTAGAATGTCGCGTGTGTTCCCTTCGTGTTCGCGTAATTGACCTTCGACGGCTGTTAAGTGCGTCGATTGTGAATATGAATCACGCTCATATGGATCCAATCCTTGGAAGACCCAATCCTGTTAATGTATCTGCCTTGGATCTAGAAGGAACAGGGACCAAATGGGAAACTCGATTGCAGGGACAGCAAACTTCCTATGAGAGACTTCTAATCGATCAATTGTTTTCAGTTATCTCGAGCGAATTCTAATCTCAGCCGAATGTTCGGAAGAATTTCTTTCGGTCGCGAAATATCGTTTCTCGTCGTCGAAATCTCGTTCGGTCGCTATTCAGTTACACGAACTGAGACCTCTCTTCTCGTATACGCACATCTTTTTACCAGCGATTTTACCAAATGATTCATAAAGGCCACATCCCTTATGAATTCATATTCATATCTGTTACGTAAAATAACGAAACGCGGAAATACGAGAGAAATATGGAAAAAGTTACTAAAATTTATTCAAAACAATACGTCACGTAAAACGTACAGCGAAAATCTGAGCGCGACTTTTAATAAATCATCAGTAGAGAAAATATGCATTATTGTATGATGTAAATTTAACGATTAATTCAATACGGTATATTTTCTTCATAAATGTAATTAAAAAAGAAGTTAATTTATCCACCAATAAGAGGCTTGTTTTCGAATTTCCAGAAGTTAAATTTTCTCATTGCACGTTGGCCGCGTTTAAAATTACGTCGAAAAGAAAGACCAAACCATATTAAGGTCGCAAATGTGTCATCGATAATGGCAAGAAGACAATTTTCAGTAAGGAGAAATTACTTCCGGTCATTCGGCTTACGTACTTTGTTTGTATACATCTTGCAAAACTCATTGACAACTTACAATAAACAATTATATAAATCAGTAATAGATTTACACGTGGAGCAAATCCATCCAAAAATGCCCAAAGTGCTGTAATTTTTATTATAATAAGATCAATTGTTTCTCTTACTGCTAATTGGATCTTCCCTTCGGGGAAGAAGAAAGTTTCAGTCTGTGTGCAACGTGTAATGCGAATTGGATGAAACCTTGCCGATGAAAAACGATATTCTTGTTACCATCACGACTGAATCAAATTTGAAGGCTGCGTTAAAATTCGGCCGAGATGACTGAAAACATTTTGACTAAAAAATCTCGCACAGTGATCTTTTCATTCCTGCAACCGAGTTCTCGTCTAGTCTTCGTATTGTGCGAGAGAAGAAAGACATCTAAAAAATAATATCTTCTATCTGAACACTAAGGAAACGTATTCAATCAACGAAGTCAATACGTCTATTTTTACTTTGAGAAAAAAAATTGTTTTCAAATGAGAAAATATACATTCTCTGAAATTTATAACTTTTATAGAAGCTTTCATAAAGACTTTTTGTCAGGAAAATCGTGAATTTTGTTTAACGGTAAAACGATTAACGCGACCAATTTCTACCGAGAGATCGAAAAGAAGAGATTTCTGAAAAACTGGGACAGGAGCAGAAATGTTCAGTTATTTTTTTTTTTTTAGTTCTATTCAACGTCCATTGAAAATACAACGTGCATTGTTACGTAAATTCGAGCAACTTTCGTAAAAAATTTAAATCGGTCATTTTTAACCGCTTTCGGTAGTTCCAGAAAATGTTAAGTAAACAAGTCTAAATTTAAGAAAACACGTTGTCAGTGCCAACGGAATACATATTTTTATTTTTTAGATATTTTTTCTTTCAGTACGGATGCGGTGATGGAAAATCTGCAGTCACGCGAACCGAATTGTTTTTTCCCATGCGCCCAATTTCCCAATTTTCCAATCTTCCAATTCGACGCGCGACGACGACGGGACGAACGAGTTACCTGATGAAATTCGCATCATTTCTGCCACGCTTGAAGTTGGATCGGCCGAACCTGATGACGACGTCCGACGGCTTCCATCGCGGGTGCCTACTGACCTTGGGCTCAGCCTCGCCATCCGACACGAGGTTCTCGTACGCTGTTTGACTGCGCCCGAACCTGATGAAGCCGGAGGAGCCGCTGCGTCTCTCCTTGGACTCGGCTTCCTTGCCATTGATGTTGCTCTCCTCGATGCCGTGCCTCTTCAGCACATACTCGAACTCGTTTTGCGGGTCTTTGAAGATCCGAAGACTACCGTCGTCCTTGAGCGGCGTCAGGATCGTCGAAGACGCGAGCGCCCAGTTGCAGAAGAACGCCATCGCGTGCAGGGTCCAGAGTGTGATCTGCGTCGGCATGAGAAATTGCATCGGCAAAATTGCCCGCGTGTTCAACGGACTTATCAGTCAGATGATTTTCCCTCAACCCTGTTTCTCTCATTGGTAAAGCCGTACATACACGGAAAAAAATATTAACTCGCGCAACTAAATAGAGACCAGCTGAGAATCCGATGACGGGGAATGATATCCCCGATTACCGTGTCCGAAGAGTTTATCCAAACATTCGCTGTACTAAAACTCGATTGATATTAATGAAAACGATTGACTGATTATAAATCACCTGCCGGAGCCTTTCCGTTCTTACAACAAAAAGTTTTCCATCTGGTCTCTATTCTGCCCCTGGAAGAGTAAAGGGAAATCAGTTACACTAGCTATTGTTTTCTTCGTGTACAGAATGAGTCACGTGAACATCTTCAAAAGTATCGACGATAGAAAAAAATGTTATCGGACGAAACGAGATGTTTGGAGGACTTCATTTTGCACTGCGATTGCGCATTTTCAAAAATATATTTTAGCTAAAAAGAATCTGATGACCTTTGAAGTGCCTTGAAGGTATTTATATACAGAGAAAAATAAACATATTGAAAGATTAATAATTTAATAATTTTTAAGACACTTAACTTCGCTTGATAAAATCTTTTTGCATCGTCTCTTATTTTTCGAAATATTCACTCGCATTTACCCGCTCTTTATCTTATACACGTCCTTGAAATTCGCTGACGTTCGTCACTCTCGGAAGCTGTTCATACGCAGCAGAATTGATGTACGAGTGAGCAAAGAAGCGCCACGCCGAGGCGGAAGAGGATTCTTATGAATCACGATTATACGTTGTCTCCCAAGATTGTACGTTCTTTTAAATTTTCTTCAGCGTGTAATTTTTATTTAATTTAATTTTATTTAATTAGATCATTATTATATATAATTATAGGTTCAATTAGATCGTTATAACCGAGATTTCTTGTACGATTTTCAATCTTACACATATGCAGCCATATACATGTGAGGTGCGAGGTCGAATATGTATCGTGATTATTGCTTCGCGAGTTAAGTTTTTGGATATATATATATACAGGGTGTCTGATACGAAAACGCTCGTGTCGATTAGGTCAAGCTGAACACCAAAATAATACACACTTAAATAAAACCACTTCGGTATTAGTGTATATTATTTTTATTTTTATATCGTGCGTATTATTTTTTGTACTTTATATCTTTCCCCATCTTTGCTCTCTCTCTCGATCGACGCTACCGCGTCGTTTGAAACCGATCAAACGACATTTCCGTCGTCAATCCGACGACTCCGACGAGTTCGAGCTAACGAAGGAACGGGTAACAAACTCGTATCTGCGCGACAACGTAGTTGGAGTCGAAGGGTCTTCTGGGGTGAAACACGTCCTGCGCCACGCAAGGATTCATAATTATCGAGCTTGACTATGACGTTACAGATTTATGTCCGCGATCCCGTCGTTCCAGCGTCGTCGCGAAGTCGCTAATAAGTGACTTCCAGCGTGACAATGCGTAATTGATTTGTCGGGATCAGCTAGGATTACCGGGGTGCAACTGGAGCGACGTTGCGCGTCGTGTAGTGTCCTGTCGCGTTACGTCGCCTCGCGTCCTGTCGCGTCACAATAAATTATATTGGCGCATTATTAGCCGGTATTAATATCCTGTTTAGCGATATCACGGCGTAGCGAGCGAGATTAATGCGCCGCCTTGCGTTACTTTAATTAACACCCGTGTGTACGCGACTTCCCTTCGTAATAATCACACGTCGCGTCGCCCACGGACTCGTCACGCGCGTATTTCCTGCGAAGCAGCCGCGTCTTACCGGAGAAACGGACGTTAATGCGAACGGATAGTCGGATAAATTCCCCCCTTCTCTCTCCTGGCTAGCGGGCCTACGCTTTAGCCTCATACGGTTTGGCCGTGTTTAACAGATATTAATATCCGAACTGTTAAGCGTCGCGTTTACGTGTCATCAAGTTCGGACAGGATATCCCGTCCCTAAAGCTCCGAGGATTAACCGGCGGATTAAGCGGCCCCCGGCCGGTACTTCGAGGCTAACTTTTCAGCACGAACGGATTCGGTGTGACATTTACGTAAATAATCGATGATCCGTTTGTTCGAAACCAGTCGAGTAATCCGATGCCTGTGTGGAAAAAACAACTTCCTTCGTGTTCGAATTTTCGTGAGCGAATTTTTTGACCATTTCTTGGGGACCCACGTGGAAAAGGACTCTCAATTCGCGCGATTGAGTAGAGACCAGACGAGAGTTCGATGACGAGAAATGGTGTCGAAAGCATTTCGTCTTATTACTCACTGCATCTCGTTATTTTACTCATATTATTTGCTTATTATTTACTTCTTATTACCTATTATTTGCTCTGTTATCTTGTTATAGTAGTATTTAATCACTCGATTTTGAAATGACTGAGTGAAAGAGTGAAAGAGACGGTGAAAGAGCCTCCTCCTGCGGGGATCTTTCCGCTCCTACAGTCTCGGGGCTTCCCGGCTGGCCCTTCTCCTTCCCAGACAACGAAAAAATGTGGTGAAATAACGGAGTTATTTTCTCGCGTACAGACACGAAACCAGTCGTAGGGACAGAGAAATTCGTGTGGAAGGTCCTTAATCAGTCATTTGTTTCCGGTATCGAATCAATTACATCGATAGAAGAATATCTGGACGCAGCGTGCAGAGCAAACTCAGGCTAGATGGCCCATACGAAAAAAATGACCATGGACTATAATTTCTCTGGTAATTGCTGAACAGTGCGTTTTTTGTAGGCATTCTCAAGGATAATTGATATTTACAATAGTTTATGCGCATGCACTACTCGAAATAACAATATTATGATATCACAGTCATCTTGCCCGAATTCAATCTACTGTGTAATTTAGGCAAAAGGAAGGAAGGTATACACACTGGGGAGCGAAAAGGTTTGAACACTTTTTTCTTTTGGATTTGGCGTTTCTGAACGTAGCTGATGGAGTCTCTCATTGAATATCCGCTGCGTTCCGAGTTGCATCGAAAAAAGTTTGCAAACCGTTTCGCCGCCGACTATTCCAATTTGCAGTAAAGGAAAGTTACAGCACTTTCGACTGTTCTCGACTCGATTCGTCATTTCTCGGCTCATACGTGGTTGTTTTGTTTGAACACATCTTACAGCGGGACGTATTGACAATTTACAATCGACTTTATCCGCAAATCCTTTCGAAGATATTTCTCTCATTCGGTCGCGAGCGGTTACGGTTACGGCTTCAGCGCGAGTTGATGTAAAGCCGAACAAGCTACGACGGAAAAACCGTAATTCTCCCTTTATCCTTGGAATGTTCTATCCAGATATCCTTCTGTCGATAACCTCAAGCGAGTTTTAACATAGCTGAATTTGTTTTTTTTCAGACGAATTCTGAGTCGCGATAATGGAAATATCACTCATCGCCGTCAAATTCTCTTCCGATTTCTATCCAATCAGACGAACTGAGATCTTTCAGTTTCTTCCGCGCAATTATAACGCGATAAATCTGCAACGTTTATACAAAAAATCTGATATTTTTATTCCCTGCACGTTGTGTTCCATTCTTGAAGTTATCGTGAGAATTAAATCTTTCCAGGGAGAGACTTAGAACTGACATCTCGAAAAATGTCGTTTCTTCAGTTCGGTTACGCGAACTTTCTCTATGTGGATTATTTCGCGAAATTGTAACGCGACAAATCTGTAACGTCCATACAAAAATGATGGTTCCACCCTTTGAGAAACGGGGAAATTCTGCCAAGAATGAAGTATTTCGGACGAAACTTCAAAATGTGACATCACGAAGACTTTCATTTCTTCTTTTCGGACGGCGCGTCTCGACCATCATACCTTGGTTGAAAAATACGGAGGACACGAAGACATTTTCTCACGCCTCTTCGACGTGATCAAATGTAAGGACTTAACTTCGTTACGAGAAATTTCCCAGTGAGTGAGACAACAACGTTCCGCCACGAGTGCAGGATTGATACCGCGTGCGAAGAAAGGAGGGCGGGAGACGCGAGGTCGAGAAAATTCTCGTCGGGGAAATTGAGCGAAATAAAATCAACAGCGATCACTTACCCTCCCGAAAAAGGGCATACGACGAGCTTCACGCTACGCTCGTCCTTAATACTGAGGGAAAAAAGGAGTTACCGACGGTGCGATTAAACGAAAGCGCGATTTATTAATTGCAGTTATCGCAGAGTGTATACTCTAAGGGTGGATTCACACCTTGGCAAAAAAGCAGAAAGCAAGAATGCAGAAGACCAATTAGAACTCGCGCTAGTGGCCTCTTTCTCTCTCTCTCTCTCTCTCTCTCTCTCTCTCTCTCTCTCTCTCTCTCTCTCTCTCTCTCTCTCTCTCTCTCTCTTCTGTCTGTCTCTCAAGAGAGAAACAGACTATCAACACGATTTCTAATTGGATACTGTTCTTCTGCTTTCTTTTCTGCCAAGATGTGAATCCTCCTTAACAGAGAGACGACGACGTGTTGCCGCGAAAAGCAACGATAAATTCTTGCTAACACGGACTACCTCTGATGCGCGAAATTTGCTTGCGTTCTCAGCTGCCGCTATCGCAATCTTCAAAATCGCAGGAGAATGTGGATGGACGCGACTGTCAAATGTAAAGCAGCGAATTTCCGAAATGAAAATTTCAGTTCGCGTGACTGAATAGCGAAAACTCGGCGATGACGAATGATACTTCCGCGTGACCGCGATCGAAAACATTCGTCTGAAGCTTCGCTGAGGCGTTAAAACTCGAGCGAGATAAGTGGCGAGCGATTGACGGGGAAACTTCGTATTCGCGAATCTTTCTGTTCCTACAACCTTCGCCCTTTCTGCTCCCTCGAGGACGAAAAATTTCGGTAGAGAACAATAAAAAATTCAGAAAGTTCATAGCGAGATCTGGACGACAGTTTAAAGGAGAGATTCGTTTCCGGTCTCGATTCACGACCGACGATCCGGGCGGAAATGGCAAAATTCGGTCGGAGAGGAAA